GAAGCGTAGCGAATCGAAGCGAACCGAACCGAAGCGAAGCGAACCGAAGCGAAGCGAAGCGAACCGAAGCGAAGCGAACCGAAGCGAAGCGAACCGAAGCGAAGCGAACCGAAGCGAACCGAAGCGAAGCGAACCGAAGCGAACCGAACCGAAGCGAACCGAACCGAAGCGAACCGAACCGAACCGAAGCGAACCGAACCGAACCGAACCGAACCGAAAATATTCATGAGCCCCTTTCGAGCCACAGCCACAGGAAGAAACTTGTGGTGCATGACTGTAGGTCATAGATATTGATTATTGTCTTATTATTCTCGGGGCCAGTGTTTGCAAACACTGATTGGAGAATTATTGTTAAAACTGGTTATACTTTTTGTGTCATTTTGTTTAAATAAAGTATTTCAAAAGAAAAAAAAAACATAACATTCGACGAATGACATTTGACATTTGCCGCCATGTTTGTGTCCAGCGATAGAATCAACATGACAGGGAAAGGCGGCTGCCTACTCATTCGGCGAATGACATTTGCCGCCATCTTTGTGCAATGCTTAGAGCAAACATGACACGGAAAGAACGCCTGCCTACTCATTCGACGAATGACATTTGCCGCCATGTTAGGCCAGTGACAAGTCGGTGCTAATCATCGGTGCTATTGTAGCTGCCTAGGTTTTCACATCAACTGTCATTGACTGTCCATTTTTATTCATTTGGTTGTTTTGAATTAACATCCTAATAATAAAAATCAATTTTGCATTAGAAAAAAACGATCCAAACAAAGGCAGGGAGAGGGAAAGAGATCTCATTTCGTGAGCGTTTGCTTAATGCGATCCATGTGGGAGAATGAAATACCCCGACATGCAAATAACAAAATGACGTCAAGTAGGTTGACTCGTTCGGGGATCCCAATATTCAGCGGATTAGAGTACGTTTCGTGAGCATCTGTGAAATCTGGTCCACTCTCCTGCGTGAAACACCCCCCTTTCCAACATCGAAATGACATCAAGTAGGTTGACTGAATCTAGGAATAACGTGATTGGGCGAATTAGGATACATATCGTGAGCGTCTGCGAAATGTGATCCATCCAAAAGAGTGAAACTTCAGAACATGCAATAACAAAATGACGTCAAGTAGGTTGACTCGTTCGGTAATCATAATATTCATCAGATAAGAATGCATTTCGTGGGCATCTGTGAAATATGGGAGCTCAGGAGCGTGAAACGCCACACCTTGCAACATTGAAATGACATCAAGTAGGTTGACTCACTCTAGGAAATAACCTGATTGGGCAAATTGAGATACATTTAGGCCCGTATCGTCAGTCGTCCCTACAATTGTAGTTTGCGTTTATGGCCTCCTAGATTGTCATACTCTTTTCTCTCCTTCAAAAATTTCTAGATTACACTCGTCCCGTGTCAGCGTCAGCGCTCTCCTATTGTGAAGATATGTTTTCCTTTTAAATTGTAGGGAATTTCAGGCTGATAAAAACCGAACCGAACCGAACCGGAACCGAACCGAGCCGGAACCGAACCGGAACCGAACCGGAACCGAACCCGGAACCGACCCCGGAACCGAACCGGAACCGAACCGGAACCGACCCGGAACCGACCCCGGAACCGACCCCGGAACCGACCCCGGAACCGACCCGGAACCGGACCGGAACCGACCCCGGAACCGACCCGGGAACCGACCCGGGAACCGAACCGGAACCGAACCGAACCGAACGGGAACCGAACCCGGAACCGACCCGGAACCGAACCGGAACCGAACCCGGAACCGACCCGGCGTCAAGTAGGTTGACTCGGTCGGGGATCACAATATTCAGCGGATTAGAGTACGTTTCGTGAGCATCTGTGAAATCTGGTCCACTCTCCCACGTGAAACACCCCCCTTTCCAGCATCGAAATGACATCAAGTAGGTTGACCCAATCTAGGAATAACGTGATTGGGCGAATTAGGATACATATCGTGAGCGTCTGCGAAATGTGATCCATCTAAAAGAGTGAAACTTCACAACATGCAATAACAAAATGACGTCAAGTAGGTTGACTCGTTCGGGAATCATAATATTCAGCGGATAAGAATGCATTTCGTGGGGATCTGTGAAATATGGGAGCTCAGGAGCGTGAAACACCACACCTTGCAACATTGAAATGACATCAAGTAGGTTGACTCACTCTAGGAAATAACCTGATTGGGCAAATTGGGATACATTTAGGCCCGTATCGTCAGTCGTCCCTACAATTGTATGGCGCGTTTATGGCCTCCTAGATTGTCATACTCTTTTCTCTCCTTCAAAAATTTCTAGATTACACTCGTCCCGTGTCAGCGTCAGCGCTCTCCTATTGTGAAGATATGTTTCCCGAACCGGAACCGACCCGGAACCGAACCGGAACCGAACCGAGCCGGAACCGAACCGGAACCGAACCCGGAACCGAACCGGAACCGACCAGGAACCGACCCCGGAGCCGACCCGGAACCGACCCCTGAACCGAACCGGAACCGACCCCGGAACCGAACCGGAACCGTACCGAACCGAACGGGAACCGACCCGGAACCGAACCGGAACCGAACCCGGAACCGACCCGGAACCGACCCGGCGTCAAGTAGGTTGACTCGTTCGGGGATCACAATATTCAGCGGATTAGAGTACGTTTCGTGAGCATCTGTGAAATCTGGTCCACTCTCCCACGTGAAACACCCCCCTTTCCAACATCGAAATGACATCAAGTAGGTTGACTCGTTCGGGAATCATAATATTCAGCGGATAAGAATGCATTTCGTGGGCATCTGTGAAATATGGGAGCTCAGGAGCGTGAAACACCACACCTTGCAACATTGAAATGACATCAAGTAGGTTGACTCACTCTAGGAAATAACCTGATTGGGCAAATTGGGATACATTTAGTGAGCGTCTGCAAAATGTGATCTATGCAGGAGAGTGAAACACCCTATCAAGCTGCATTAAAATGATGTCAAGTAGGTCGACTCGTTCAAGGAATAACTTAATTAGGAGGATTCCTGTAGTCACAGATATTGGTGTTGCTTTTGGAGTGTTCACCTAAATGAAGCAGTAGTTAACTTAGGATTTCTCCCTCATACCATTTCATATACTTACGTTTTAATACTGTATCACCATGAAGAACATTCATATTGCACAAATTATATTACGGTTGAACCAGATTAAAAATTAAACCTCATGACTGTATTTGTCAAAACTATCCAACGAAATTTGTCATACGAATGGTGTACATTGACATTTAAACCTTGTGATGAGCTTGCTTATTTTGAACTGGTTTAGATAGAATGAATCCTAACATTTGATTTGGTTTAAGTTAACTGAATCTATTTGTTGATTGGTTAGCTTCATAACTACAAAACCGTATAGTTAGCGCCATCTATGGGTAAAGATCCTAAGCAAACTTATAATAAGGTAGACATCTTCACAATGGATATAATGAAATAAAATTAGATCGAATAATGATCACTAGATGGCGGTTCAAGTCAATTTCGGAATTTTCTAAATAGTCCCACTCGATTGACTTCAGTTAGTAATTAATGAAATACTCAATTAACAAGTGAACATAAATTTAAAATATGATTTTTATTCTTGTAAATAAGGGAGCAAATTTCGAAAATAGGAAATCACATTGATGCTAACATTGCAATATTGTGATGGCAATGTTTAATGTAGAGAATCGGACACAGAAACTTTTTTGTAGCGAGAGTCCGGCTTGAGGAACCCAAGGCAGAGCAGAATATGCATATTACTTGCCAAATAGAGCAAAAGATGAGTCAATGTGGAACCTAAACAAACCATCAATATAATAGGTTTTTTTTTTGGTTGCTGAAAGCGAATCTGAGTGTCATTCAATCCGGAACTGTCAATATCAAGACATTCTCCAAATTCGACAAACTTAAACAGCTGCGAGGGGGTTAAAAGCCCCCATTTTTGTGAACAAATTCAGATTCTTCATTGGAATATTATGTAATAAATAGTAATATTATGAGTTTTCTTTAATGTCTAAAAACAAAGATTCCCCTTATGCAACTATATCGGGGTTTACCGAGTTTCAAATGAATGCGTCAGACAATCATTGAGATCTGTGAGGTATCTGTTTTCGAGATACTTGCAGCGCTATTCATTGTACGGCAGCTAAGCCAAAATATTGTGTACAGGTTTAGAAATATGTAACCTGTATTAACCGATCTAAACGATACATATTTTTATACCTTTTCATTTCAAACATAAGATTTTTTTGTTGGAGAAATGTTCGTTCATAGGAGTATCCACACTGTGACAGCAACAAATGCAAACTGCCAATCAGAGAGCTACCCTCATTTCCGAACATTTTGTTTATCCGTCTGGAGTCTGTGGCATCGTTGATGTTACTTCAAATGAGAATAATCTTATTAGCGCCGTTATACCACGGTTGGCGTGCCCCAGCATTCATGAGGTGTAAGCTAGATTAGTGCCAGAGCTGGTAAAAAATAGTCATTCTTTACATAGTGGTGTGGCGGTTCCCAGATAACATTGTAGAAATATAAGGGAATTAATGAAAATACGCATTTCCACGTGTAGCAGCTCTTCATTTAATGTAGAATTTGTTCCCTTTTGAGTGCATCAGATGTTATGTAGGGTTGTGTGGATCTGAATGGCATACATACAAATTTAATTATTAAGAATATCCATCAACACTAAAACCTATGAAGTAATGAAATCTGGCAACATCGTACAGTCTTTGAAAACAAGCATTGAATAAAAACCTATTATATACTAAAATATTTCAGAACTTTCATGGTCCCATTTCCTTCATCTACACCCAAAAATTAAGGACTGCAATCATTTCTTCATCAAAAACAGCTGGTGTAGTTGAGGTATAGAATCTACTATGATCACTAACTGGTACCAAGTTGTTATCATTTTTGTAGTTTCTCTGCTAAAGGTAGGTTTATACTAGAGATTTTATTCCTTATTTCAAAAATTTATTGTTTATAAAAACTAGTTTACAGACACGACAAACAACTGGAAATATGGTAAGTACATATGTTATTTTTTGCAAATATGTAATACTCTGGGCTACTTACAGATTTTTCTCCTTTTTTACATACATCTGTACTGCCAAGGAACTTCTCCGTCTGGTGAATTAAAATAATCTCTAAACTCATCTCGAATTTCCTTCGCAGTATTACAGTAATTATTAAATCCCTGTTGGAGAAGTGGTAGCAAATTATTATCAGAAAGTCCCTCAATTCTCGAACTACCAGGTAGAATTTCACCATTACCATCTTTCTGTCAAATACATTATCAGTTGCATCAAATTTTCTTGAAGATTTTCAAATGATGAGTATGATATCTTCGGTTTTCCTTATTTCTGGTAGAAACCCACTTCTACAAAATCAAGGATTCAAGAAAGCAACTTTGTTATTTACAACCGAACACCCAGGAATGATGCTTACTTTATTTTTGTAAATACTGCTACCAGATGATGTGACTCCCACTCGAGAACATATTGTTAGGTTTTCTTAAATATATCCATTCCCCATTCCTGAGTTTGTGTTGCTTATTTTGAACTGGTTTAGATTAAATGAATCCTAACACTTGACTTGGTTTAAATTAACTGAATCTATTTTTTGATTGATTAGCTTCATCACTACAAAACCGTCTAGTTCGCGCCATCTATGAGTAAATATCCTAAGCTACCTATAATAAGGTAGACATCTTTACAATGGATATAATGAAATAAAATTAGATAGAAGAATGATCACTAGATGGCGGCTCAAGTCAGTTTTGGAATTTTCTAGATAGCCCCACTCGATTGGCTTAAGTTAGGAATTAATAATAATCAAATCCAAGGGAATAACCAAAATTTCTGTGTTACGTGCCGCGGTTATAATATGGTTCAAGATGACACACGGGTTGATGACGTCAATTACACGAATCGCTTGAACGCGTTGATTTTAACCGCGGTTTTGTTGCAAGTTGTTTGTTTTAGAAAAGCGCGTAAATAATCTCTGATTATTTTTATTATCACTTAATAATCGGTGCTTTTTCGTCTACAACTGTATATGGAAAGTTTAAATAAGAAACCTTTCATAATATTCATGGGAGAAATGTTTTTTTCAGATTTTTTTTTAATGATGGAACCATGGTTTTGTACCTATGATAACTTTCAATTCTCTAAAATTTTCCGCATGTCAAAGAAAACATTTATTGATTCAGCAGAAATGATGAAAAAGAAATTAGCAAAACCGTATACAGGTGGATATCATCTAGTGAGTTTATATGGCCATATTTTAATATTCTTGTGGTATATGGCTACACAGGATACTTTGTTAAGCATAGGAACTGCATTTAAAGTGTCCCCAACAACCGTAATGAGTATAACTAATAAGGTGCTCCACTTTATGGTAAAACTGAAGTCAGCCTTTATCATTTTTCTCAAAAATGAAGCTGAAGTACAATAAAAATATCCAATACCCGCCAAAATTCTAACTTGTCACATGTCAAATAATAACCAGAAATATAAAACTACACCTGAGTTGGGTAAATACCACAATTTTGCGGTGATAACTATGACATATAACAGCTGATTCGTGACGTCACGTATCTTATAACCAAACTGATAACTACACTCGCTTGAACGGATTGGTAAATACCAACCCAAAATGGTAAATACCATTTCCATTTGGTTATCCGCTTGAATTTGATTGATGAAATACTGAGCGTTCTTTTGTCCGCTGTCATATGTCAAAACATATTTTCGGTCTTATTTGTTTATAATAAGTGCAAAAAGCTGGATCACGTACACGAAGCAGTTTTTTCACAGGAAATCTTGGAATTTGTGAATTTTGTGGCGTGGAGTGTGGTTGCCGCTTTTTTGTCATTGACTGACCGGCATTTCAATTCTTACGTTACCAGTAGTGTATATGTTTTGTACTTTTGTGCAGAAACCAGTGTTTTGTGTGAGAAACCAGGTACACTTGTTTACTATTCTCGTTTTCAGCTTTGTGACTATCTTCATGGTTGACATATTTTTTTCAGCCTAGGTCATTCGGCAGCACAATGTTGTGGAGTATCTTTGTATCATCGCCAGTGTGTCTCCAGGGTAACAATCTTGATAAGCAATGGTTGTACTTCTCAGACTTTTTATCTGATATCGATTGCCCAATTTTGACATTAGGACTGTGCTAAGTTTTTCTAGCTCAGAAAGAACCCTGCAGCAGTATATTGTTGCACCTTGTTTGTTTTTCTTAATTCCATCACCTCTAGCGTCCAAATTTTCTATGTTTAGGCTGTTTCCTGCTATCCGCTTTTACTAGGACAGCTGACTGGTTGTTTACAGGCTTACGCTGCTGCTGTATGAATTTTGTGTACTGGACATTCATCGAAAAACTGCTACAGCTTTTTGAGTATCTGGCAAAAAATTGTCATTCGATTTTGATTTTAAGCATTGGAATTTTCTAGCTCATCCAGTAGTTTCTCAAGCAGCTGTTTTTCTCCCTTTTAAACATCAAAAATCTTCTTACTGGAAATCTTGAAACATTTGTTGCATTTGTCACATAACGAACACACATTATCACTTCCGACTCAAATCAGGAACACAGATCAAGTAACATCTTTAAGAAACAACTGAAAGTTTTCAGTAGTGATAGATGATTCTGTTGCTGAATTCATTAGTTTGTAGTATTTTGTATTTCTTTTTAATATCAATTGGACAAGTCCATATCGTCTTTATTATAATGTTTTAGTGTTTAAATACTAGTTTAATAATTAAAAAATTATTTTATGACTTATTTGTATAGTGTTGGTCGTCCTACTACTGTATGTAATCTTTGTTATTTACCGATTATGTTTATACTTATGTAAGTGATCCCAAATAAATATATATATATATATATACTCTTTGATCTGTTCTATATCATCACTTGATGATACCACAGAATCAATGAAATACTTTTATTTTACAACAGAAAAGAATCAAATAAAAATTACTTAGACCTATTCATGTATTGATTTTCAGAAATGTGGCAACAAGAGTTGGACGATTCTGACGACGAGGAGACGCGGTTTGAAATATCCCCTCCATCTCACATCATCATCATGATTGATACACATCCCAAAATGTTCATTAAAGATGATGTGAATCAGTCTGATATTTCATTTAGAAATTGCCTAGCTGCAGTTGCCCAAATGGCAGAAGCAATTCTATTTGAGACGTCCACATGTCCATTTGCCATTGTGTTGGCCAAGAAAGACAACATCGTGCTCAGGCACTTCAAGGACAATATGATAGGTAAATTATTATTAGGAAGCACAGTAGGCAATTTAATCATGTCACATTTTTGGAGACCATTTTTCTACAGTCTAAATTGGGATGTGGCAGTATTATATGATCACCAAATAATAAAATTAGTATCAGTTTACACTAGAATTGTTGAGTGCAACTCATTGATTTATCGTTCTTTCACTAGAGTTACAGCAGCAAAAGCTTTTGAAACATATTTATCTTATAAGAACCACATGTATTCAGTCCGAAGGTACAATTAGAACTTTAGTTATTTTTAAGATGAATTCTTTACAACTCAGTCAGTCAGTCAGGTGAAATGTCTTTGAGGTAATTAATTTTCCAGAAAAAAATCTACCATGAAACATGTGAGAACTACATTCCCATGTATGTATTTTATTGGTTTTGCAGAGACGATCAGGTTCCTGAATGAGAAATTAAAAAATACTGATGATGAATTGAAGAAAGAATATATGAGAGATATTTCCGAGCCACTAGAATTCTCCAATTTTCTGCTCCATTCAAAAAAAGTTTTTCTAGATGCAGCTAAAACATACTATAAACGCATTTTGCTGTTTTTGACTAACAATGATAATCCGCATATTGCACAAGGTGCAAAATACAGTATTATAAATGAGGCTAAAAGCCTCAAGCATGCTGATATCACATTTAAGGTAATTTATGATCAATCATTTTCAGTATGGCATGGTACTTATATAACAGCAATAGCAACTTCAATTGCATTTTCCGATGAATTGTATACACTAATTTAGTGATTTGTTTCAAATTAGGAATTCAAAGGTGTTTTACTTCCCACGCCAACTGGAGACGGTGTTGTAATCGCGAAAAATTTCGACAATGAAACATGATGGTTTTTGGATATGATATGACATGTGCTAGCTAAGAATGTTTAATAATAATAAAAAGCCTTTATTTTCACCTGGTGGACAATCAGCAAAAGCTGTTCTTCTATGCCAACCAGACATCATTTAGCTACTTTTTCATTAAAAAAATCATATCAATGCATTTAATTTGTTTGAGAAAATTAACAATTTTTGTCGGAATCTCGGCCCACTAGCGGCCAGATTTGAAACTAGCAAAACTTCAAATACTATAACATTTTTAGCCCAAGAATAGCGCTTTTCAACTACGAGCCCCTTCCCACTTCAGTTGGCCCAACTATTGAAATCTTAGTTTTTTTCTTATCAAACACAAATAATAAAAATGTAGCAGGGTGTTATAGGTTTAAAATTATTAACAATGCATATTTTGATACTTCTGGGGTCTGCTAGCCAAGCTGGCTGATATATATATTTTTTTTTTGTCTTCAACTTTATCACTCCCTAATCAAATTTGCAGCATAAAAAAATCACTTTTTTAGCTAGCGACCATTTCTGAAACTTGAAAATACTTTCCAGGTTTCTCTCTTGGCCGTTTTAGTAATAACTCTTTTTGTGACAATCCTGTACGATGCATGGGTTCCGAGATACATTATATCGCATTCTTAGTTGGATACCCTGTGTGTACATCACGAAAAACCATGTCACTCATTTCACTTGGTCTGTCTTTAAGTCCGCTAATCCTTAGCCCATCAGTAACTTGGAAAGTACTGCTCGGATTATGAAGAATTTTTCACACACGGTTACTACTATGCCAAAGTTTTGTAGTTTTTAAAAATCGGTCAAGAAGCGACGGAGAAAAAGGACAAAAACGAAAAAATAAAAGTCGCTCAAACTTCGTTTTTTGACGTTAACTTGAACACGCTGCTTTCGCTCGTCCAACAAGCTCACAGACAGCTGTTTCGTGATTTTTTGGAAACCTATCGGAATAGTCTCTAGGCTATGAGACAACGAATGAAAACATAGCAACTATCCTTTATCCAAGATATATTAGCTAACTTACTTGTATGCTGAACATAACCGTTTATGTCTGGAAAATGTCGAGTCAATCTACTTGACGCCTTTAATCTTTTCCTCAGACCTAGCCTGTCTAGAGATAGGTGTTTGTTGATTTTAATGATTCATGATTTTTCAGATCATTGCCACATCAGAGAGTTTCAACTTTGCTATGTTTTACAATGAAATATTCGAGGCAGCGGAACAAAACTTTACTGAAGAAGTGTGTGTTGATGTTGATGCCTTGAAGGAAAAATTGACAGCAATTGCAGGTTCAATCCAAGGCCATAAAAAAGTCAATTTTTACATCACAATGGGTAGTACTTATTTTCCTTCATTCATTTATATTTCCATCAATGTCTTAGCTTTTCTTGTATTAACCTCAAGTTTGCCTATTGCAACAGTAGTGTACTTAAAATAATACGATTCAAAACAATTTTAAGGATTAGTCTAATCAAATTAGACGAAAATACCGCTGGTTTGCGAAGTGATTGTAAAGTTTGGTTTTATTGTTCAAGGGAATATGAAATATTTTTGTTTATAAACCGTGATCGTGTAAAAAATTCAGCTCTAAATATGTACAGAGTTTGTCCGGAAAGTAATAGGACTGAGTCGATTTAAAAAAGATTATTGAGCCAATCGTTACAATTCTTTAAAAACTTTCAAAATAGGCTCGTTCTGCATCGATGCAGCGGTGCTAACCGACTTGCAAGCATTGAAGGCGTCACGGTCAAAATGCTTGCCTTTCATCGGCCTTTTCAGGCGACCATCTTCGCGCACACCTTGCGCATGTTCAAATGCTGTGGCACAATGTCATGAACCACAGATTTTGGTAAATTTAACATCTGGGCAATTAAACGAATACTTAGTCGACGGTCGGAATTCAAAACTTTTTGTGATAGACACATCCGCTTTGTTTTAAAATGTGTATAATAACGTATGTTTTTCGAATATCGTAGCGAATCTGTTCAATTATTCACAAGTACGAAATGTTTGGATTTGTTTAGAAGGAAGTTTTTCGCATAAAAATAACATTTATCTTTCGGAATGGTTTGTGATGAACTCGTGTATTTTGCTATAAGATGAACTACTTGACCAATCTACTCCAATTTTGTTGTGGTTATTTAGAAGTACGGATTTGAAGAATTTCAAGCATCTGCGTGAAATTGTCGTCGCATTACCAACAGGTGTGACAAATCCCTGCATTTGGCCTCGGTTTTCGGGCATAACTTTTTTACCATTAGTCGGATCTTTTTACGTGAGGTTCATTTTGTAGGTCTCGTAAATACCTAAGAATCATGATATATGAAGAGTTTTTTGTTCCTGTCAACACTGTCGATTGAATCCCAAAAAACACGTTCTATCATTCTTTGTTGTCGAATGAAAAGTTTTCCCACAAAAATTGGTGAACCCATTTTTTCCATGTTTCAAATACCCCATTGAACAACTTGCATTGATAAAACCAAACTTTATAATTGTTTCGAGGTATTAAAAGCCTGTTACTAATATCGAATGATAAATGTGCACATGGATATATATTTAAAGTTGAATTTCAGAGGATGCAGAGCATGTGATTAAGTGCTACAAGTTCAAATCATTTAAAAAGCATCGAATCTTGAACAATGCTTCATACACAAGAGATGGCTCTCAGGTGGTTAAAACTAATGCACCACCAGTTTATAAGTACAAAGTAGTTTGGTAGGCAAACACATTTTTTTATTGACATATTTTTAGTTTCTTAATGTAGAGGAGTATAAGAACTCGAAAAAAGCTCTTGGCGTATTTTTTGCTCAATTTTATGGCTGTGGTGCCCACCTAATAATTTCAATCTAATTAGAGCTAAATCAGCGCCTGATTATCTCAGATATGTGATTGCACTAGATGGCTACCAAATCAGATTAAGGATATAATATTTGATATTTTATGAATATTTTTTTCTTCAATTTCAACGTTCTGTTTCCTGCATATCAGAAACAGAGTAGAAAAGTTAGGAAATGCCTCATATAATTTGTGTTTTCACGTAACGCCGTAGTGTACTGTCTGAGTAACACAGTAGTGTAATGTCTGAAACAATAATTCTTCTCCATTTATAGCAAATATGGGTATTCCCTGTATGATTTTGATAAAGAGAAGTTTGAAAATAAAACTCTGGATTGCGAGATCCCTTATGGATACACTTTCCTATACGTCACTGACCAATTGGTGAAAGCTGGAGAGAATATCCACCCGCCTAAAATTTTGGTATGTGATTCACATGAGGCAGATGAAGAAAAACAACTGTTTAGAAAGTTTTGGGATGTGCTTGTCGAATGTGGAAAAGTTTTTGTAAGTTTTAATGCAAACATCATGCACCTTGATTATTTCTTCAGTTCAGTTTAAGGTAGTTACAAATTGTAAGAAATTTTTCCATTACTGTTGATCCCCTAGAAAAATCAAGTTTGACAAACATACGAGTATATTGGCTACTGGTACTAAACAATTTCATTACCTTCAAAATTACTGCTCACATAGAGAAAGTTTCAATGCAAATGATTATGATTGTAGTCTGATATTTTATCGAAACTTTTCTGAAATGTTTTAACGGCATTTATGTTATATTTTGACAGGTGTGTTATGAGAAGTCAACTAGGCGCAACAAAATCGAATATGCTCAATTATCGCCGTATCTTATGAATGAAGACCAGGTATTCCTAGTAAGTGTTTATTTATATTTAATTTTAACGTAGCGTTCCAAGTTCCAATCAGTCTCAACATGCGGCGCGTGAATTTCCTTCTCAAATATTCCGTAACTATTCAGATGTGCTTTCATTCTTCTTAGAAACGCTAAACATTTATTCAAAATACGACGTTCCGGCTACTTTAAACACCATGTTAAGGTACTACAATACTTCCGAATTATAAACTTTAGGCCTCCTCTGGTTTAAATTTTCAGGCAGTTTAAAGTCGCCGAAATGTCGTATTTTGGATAAATGTTTCAAGTTGACTGAATCCCAAAAATGTATAACTTGAACTGATCAGGAATCGAAAAGTACTCTGAGATGATTGTAAAGCGCTTGTAGTTCTCATTTTCGTGGTACTTGTTTCGTCCATTGCGCTTTTGGCATGTTATCATGTTCATTTCTTACAAAACAAATCTTTCAGATTCAGAGGATTCCATTTGGCACACAAGTCAAGTGGCCGTTAGAAATGTTCAACGAAGCAGATTCGGCAGCGGCCGCGCCTATTTCAAAACGCGTTCCGCAGAACACCGTGTCCTCTCTGGCCGAGCAGTTGGTGGATCTAATGACAGATGAGACCTTTAATTTCAAACAGCTGGTACACGGGAAAATTAAGTAAGTTGATATCTTCATAATACGGACACACCTTAGATAACAATCAGATATAAAACTCTCGGCAAGACTGTTACGTTTCTTGAAAAGTGACATTTAGACCCAATTTCACCAACATTAATATTATGGACCAATGGGAAAATAGCTTATCGAAATGCAATTTGACAGAAGCTGTCAAAGGTCTCTGAATATTAGTGATTTCTATTGAAATATTGAATAAAATCGTGAAAATTCGACTGTATCATAAACAAAACCACTTTTTGATTCCAACTTGATGCTTTTGTACAGAAAAAACAGGACAACTTTCAGGTATTTTGATATATGTTATAGGTTTACATTTAACAATCCGTTATCCCCCTCAGCGAATGGGAATGCGGCAAATAATAGGTCGATTTTCTAGCTGTTAAATTTGGCAGCGGATTTGGACGTTTGTTAATGCATGGCGCTCTCGTATTTACCAACTTCAATATAGTGAAAGTTATCATTACATACCTTTTGAATAGTGTGGATTTGTCTGTATTTTGCAAGAAAATAGAATATAAAATACATGCCATCCAATTCCTCATCTTTCTTTACGTCATAATAGTAATCATTTATTAATTTATGGGTTAATGAATTTCTTCGAAGCAATAAAAACAGTATGTCCTCTCCATCCTAAAACACAGATAATATGTGTAAGACGTGTCAATCCCTACATCTCCCTGATGCATAATGCAATTACTATGGACATAGACAAAAAATTATGAAAAATGTTTCACAAATAATGTCTTTTAAGTCCGAAAATCATCAATGTTAGTTAGTTAGTAATGTTTATTGTTTGTCTTTTTGACTGGCGGGGATATATATCTGTCACTCGCAGGGTTGCCAATCTTTTACATTTGCTGGTTTTGAATTTTTTCGTGAAAATTTACTAGGTATCATGATTATAAGCATCTTTGGTAGATTGTTCGATCCGGAATGGGAAAGATCTCCTATTTATGAAAATATTTTTGGTATCATCTAACCGTTGAAATCAGTGCACAAACACTGTGACATATGATTTATAGCATAACCCGCTGCCCTATCAATACAAATTTAACATATAGGTCGCCTAGCTGATGATTTGGGGATGTCTGGTAACAACGTATGAAGTGAAACTCGCTAACTTCACAAATTTGAAGATTTTGTACAATTTCTTTGAAAATGATGAAAGATATGTCTGATTTGGCAGGGTAATGTCGCAGCCAAATGGCAGTCACTCTTTCTGACACAGTCCGGATCGAAAGATGACGATACTTGTGAAATGTATTGATACTTCTAAATATAGGATCGTATCGAACATCCCTACTGTCAAGATGTATAACCCAAGGTACCGACGGAGCTATCTTGCTTCGCCATCTCAAAAAAAAAAACGGTAAAATATACTAAAAATATAAACACAACAACACTACCGGAAAATACAATTCTTATTAAACCTAATAATACAAATCAAAGTTGTACGCAAACAAAGAAGGAATTGAGCAAGTATATAAATCCATCAATAATGAATTTGTCTATTAAAAGAGTAAATGATCTGAAAGATGGAGCACTGAAAATTGAATACAAGGATATCGATGATATCAAAGATTGGAAATAGAAAAAGTGTTGGACAGAATTATAAAGTAAATGTACAAATCACCAACAATATGACAATCAACGCAATCTAACCTGACACATCTGACAACGACTTCTCAGCTAGCATGCTTCTACATACAGGGCAAGTAATTGTGTAATCGGTCGATTAAATACCCAAAAAAGTTATAAGAATTATAGGCAAGTATACGCTCTCCTTACTTGGAAAATATACCGCTCTCCATACGGTAATTCATATCTACGTGAACATCACAAGCATATACTTTTAAAAAATGCTTTTTCAGAAGATGTTTGATATAGCATACTATAATAGGGTTTGCAGTGCTACTTCCGGGCCTAAGGGATATTTTGTACGCAAAAATACTAAACTTTGACAGCGTGTAAGTCAGTTACTTTTGTAGATAGAGTAGCGAACTTTTCGATAAAACATAGCTAAATTTTCATCAATACACCATCTCTCCTTTTTGGGCTCCTCTTTATTCTTGGCTCACACACAAACTACACTAAATCATATTGGATTATTATAATGCTTACGATTCTCCATGTTTTCTGGGCACATACAAGAATTTGGGCATGAGAATGAAAATTTGTTCCGCACAAACTCACGGATGGCCAAAAATTGTTCAGAATTCAACATTCGAGAGACACGAGAATAACGAGGGCAAAAAAGTTAAAAACTTCCTGTACGACATTCGAAAAAAGGCCGTTTGGAAAAGTCCAATGTTGATTTGCTTGTACGATTCGAAGGGAATTATTCACGAAGAATTCGTTCCATCGGGCGAAGAAGGAAGCTGGCGCTTGTTGCACGGCGATAACGCGCCATCTCATTGATCCACGATTGTATCACAAAAAATGGCATTTCAACCATCAACCACTCCCTATATTCTCTTGATATAGCACCGTGTGACTATTTTCTGTTAGGTAAACTAGATTTAGCCGTGAAGGGACAGCGGTATGCCGACGCAGAGGCCATCCAAAACGCGTCGACGACCATATTGAAACACATCCCGGTCAATCATCATTCGAAAATCTATTTTTGAATAAAATAAATTCGATTTTCAGAAAGAAAAAAATGTTTGTTCATTTTTTCTTTGCCCTGTTTACTTCGCGGCAGACCTTGTATGTAGGGTTGAATTCCGACCACCTCTGGCCTTTGTACAGATCAAAAAAGCGACAATGCCAATATATTAATTTCTCTTTCTGGTGACAGTTCCTTTGTTTTTGCCAACTAGTCAAACTCCACCGGAAAAGCTGCTGCTTAGTGTACTCGGTTCAACGAATTCAGACTGGGTATAAGGAGTCAGTCAATGACTTGTTCGTCTCTTAATTCTCGTAGTTGCTGTCACTTCGTGGACTGACACTGTTCGTTACTCCGTCTGAGAACATATTGAAATTTGTAGTAATGAGAACTAAAAGATCATCACAGGGTGTAGATTTTTCCGATTTCTTTTGAAAAGTACACGACTTAGATTTTTTATATTTTTCTGGCAACTATTTATTAGGCTTCCGGGACAGGCCGTATTTCAACATAAAATAATATTGATACTTTTGACATCGTGAATGTTGTTTTTCAAAAAAGAGTGCACTCTTCTTGCTGTTAGCTATATAACCAATAAAACAGAAACTGTTGTTCTCTTGTTGCAGGGCGAAAAAAGATTTTGTAAAATCGAAGCTATTCGATTTGCCTTTCGACACTACTGGCCCGATTGAATACACAAAAAAGCAGGAGGCAGACGCGAAATTGGGAAGTTTCGTCGAAAAATTCACCGCAGTGTTTCCCCCTATGCCGGAGCGGGGCAGGAAAAGACCACGACCCAAGTGATCGTAATATTCACATATTGTATTCTACCTGAAGATTTAATCCTTAAGTTGTTTTGCATTTCCTTTATTTTCGTTCATTTTGTATGAAATAAAACATATTTTCATAAGCTGTAGTTTTATTGAACAAATATGGAACGAAAAAGGCGTCAAGTAGATCGGCTATACGTATATATACTGACAAAAAAAAAGTAAACACCTACGTATGTTTATCCGATTTTGATAATTTTTGACACATACGTTCAGTGTCCCTTACTAGTAAAATGATAAAATCCTCAGCTTGATTCGTCAACTGACTGCAGAAGCTGGTTCAATGATGTGTTGAGGATCCAGGAGGATTTTTTACACACTCTGACACGCTTGGGCATCGTGCTGATAAGGTTGTCGATATCCTGTTGGGCTATCTCAATCCAGGCATTTCGTGAGTAAGAGTTGCTACAGTCTGTGGAGGGTATTGCAAATATCAAGAGCCTGCGACCTATCATGTCCCAGACATGTTCAATTGGAGATAGGTCAGGCGATGTGGTGGCCAAGGTAAACGGTTGATGCGATGTTGATCCACGAAGGCTAAAGGCGCAATTCCACTGAGGCAACATGTAGCATACAGCATTGACGCATGCCACAATTTGCCCGTTGTTGCCTCTCGAGGGCGCCGTCAGCGACATGAATCCACGTGTTGATCAGTGTCGCCGGCTATCCAAACCCGTTCGGATCGGTGCTGCTTGTAGAAGACCAGTGGCGACGCGTGACTTTTCCTAAACTGTTTAGGCTTATTTTGACCGCCCCATGTAAAAGTTTTTACTTATTTTAGGTATTGTATTTAAACTTTTTTAAAATTAAGGTAAACATTGCTGGACTGGGCGTCTGCGGCACTTGATATACCCCATCGTCTTATGCTACGACTAATCCAAGCCTTCCGAACAACAGTAGACGTTTCTAGATGTTCGGATTTCTTTTATCTTTTTTGGCAATTAATGTTAACAGTTCCCGGTAATTTTCTCTATTGTCAGAGTAATCCCCTTCAAAATGACCACGAAATGGTGATTCTTGTTTGGCTAAAAAGCATACAGCATTTTATTTTTAGTAAACCTGCAGAAAAACCACAAATTATACAGTCAGCTTCAAATATTAAAAAAGAGGAAGAAGATAAAATAAAAACCGGTAATGAATCCTACAACAGCAATGCGAAATTAATGAAAATACAGATAAACAGAGAGCAAAACCTTCTCAGGAAGCTATGAAAAATGAGATTGCTCTACTCGAAAAAAATCTGAATGATTTGTATTCTGCCAGAGATACTATGCCAAGTCGTGCTGAAGTTGATAAACAGATCATTAAGTTGCGCGAGGAAATAAAAACAGTCTTTAAACAGGAAGGTTCAAAACGCAGTTGCCCAGAAGAAACACAGGGATGGTATGAAAAGAAAGTTAGAAGATATTTGTCATGAAAATTCAGAAATAAAAAAAGACTATCTCTGAGGGATTCAGTGGGACGTCCTAGTCTTGAAAGCAATCAACATTCACTATTGAAAAAAATCGCGGATATAGCTTTATTTGGGAGTGCAGCAGATGATAAAAGACGAGCGGAATCAATTCGCAGCGTAAAAACTTTTGATGAACTCGCACAAGAATTACGTAAAATAGGATTTGACATTAGTCGCAGTGGGACATATCTTCGCTTGATTCCCAGAAAATCTAATTCTTCAGAGGGACGAAGACATGTATCGACAGTTCCTGTTAAGTTCATTCGGGTTCAAACTGATCACCACAAGAGCCACTTAGATAGCAAGTTCGCTGAAACATCAATCCATTATTTAGAGAACATAGCATCCATACTTGGACCAGATCAAGTATTTTTCATATCTCAAGATGATAAAGCTCGAGTCCTTATTGGCGTAACTGCGGCAAATAAGCAAGCACCTCTTCTAATGCACATGGAATATAGAATCAAACTGCCTGATCACGATTGGGTAATCGTCGAGCGTCATAATTTAATAGCATCTGTTTATGCTGGTATCAAAATCACTTCCAATATGCTAGGACAACCGCAAGCAGTCGGATATTTTGGACCAACATACATCGCTATTCGAAGTGGAAAGCATAGGTCATCTACTGCTAATACTCATGCTCAGGATTTCGAGACGCTTCTCGAACTTGAAGAGTTTCGACCGTTAGCTAAAACTGAGCATGGACTAGTAAAACCAGTGGTAATCATGACGGTTGATGGAGGGCCAGATGAAAATCCACCTTGTCAGAAAGTCATAGGGTTTGCTATACAACACTTTAAGCGACACGCACACTGATAGGAAAGTTAGACCTGTAAGAGTCGCTGCTCGTCGTGCTAATGAACTGATGTCATCGAAAACTTAGAATCATGGATTCGGGTTTCATGGACTGAAAACTGTTAATTTGAATTTAATATATGTACCAAAAATTTAAAATAAGTTTGTTATGTTAGTAAGATATATGTTTGTCCTTTACTCTATGTTGAATACCGTATCAGTAAAATATCATCTCTATCCTAAATCTATTTTCTTATTTTTCAAATTATAATTATAACGTTATAATTATAATATTAAAAAAAAAACAATACGTTAATTGACAAATGTTTACGTAAGCATGGGGGAGGGGATAAGAGCTTTGCTGACAAGGGGGATGGGGGGGTTAATAATTGTAATAAATCTGCTTAAGTAATACTTGAACGACCCCTTAGGTATGGAATAGGATGAGGCTCCACTACTTCCTGAATATAGTGTCAGGCTGTCATATTGCCTCTGGTGATCTGCTACCATAATCAATAGCACCCCATACCATAACTCCCACGGTGTGGTGAACGTGACGCTCTCTGCCAAACGGTGGGTCACGTCTTTCACCACGTCGCCTCCTTCTCGCTCTTGCCCGATCATCGTGCATAACCAGACAGAAGCGGGATTGGTCACTAAAGAGCATCTGATTCCAATCCCGATCCCATAGAATTCTTTCTCTAAACCGGAGCAAACGGTTAAGCCGATGTTCAGTTATGAGAAGTAGCACCCAATGTTGGCGATAAGAAAAAAGGCCAAACTGTCGTATTTGGCGATATACCGCAGGCATACAAACTATCCTTCCATGCTGTTCAAACCACTGATTAGCGATGGCTCGAGTACTACTCAATCTGTCTCTTAGAAACGTAACATCAATCAAAATAGCTGAAACCTTTGGTGTGAATGTAAATAAAAAGTCTCTCTGAAACTTATTGCTTTTATTTTCCTATATACTATAAATATGAACATAATGTCATTTTTGTCTGCAATGAATGTTTAAAATTATTTGTTACTAATTAATATGAAAGATAATTGCATTTTTAAGATTAATACGACTAGACCGTTGATAATAACATATGTAATATAAAAAAGGCAACAAGCATTAAATATAAGTAGAATCCATCGCAGACAAATATTAAATTACATAATAAATATTATAGTTTTATTATATACACGTGATCACCTTTTATTTGGTACAACATAAACATCACCGTAGAAATTAAAAATATAAAACATGATCGATTTCAAATGGAAACTTGGTCTGTTTAATAGCAATAAGGCTCCGAAGCGCAGAAATGTCAAGACTATCTAAAATACACCTTGATATCATAAACATCGGCAAGTACCCAATAATTATACTTTTTTACTGATATCAAAGTAAGACAGTGTCTATATTTATTGGACTATTTTAAGCTTAGTTCTAGTCCGTAGTTCGTATGTATGTACATGTCATATATTGTTGAACTAATTTACGGTATAAAAATATAACGGTGTTAAAAATATTTAATGAATATGCTTCAGCCGCATTATGGAATTCTGAAGCAACAGAGATAGCGCTGTGACTCGTAAATCAATTCTGTTTGCCACAGAAAGCGAGTTTCGTAAAATTTCATTATGCGTTTGTTCAAGAATTCTATCCGATAATGAGGCGTGGTGATTATGTTTGGAAACACGACTACACTGAATAAATGAAAATAGAATTCTAGAAGTCAAACAAAATACAACTATGATGTTTATCAGCAAAGAAAATAAAAAAGCAACAATAAACATGAAAAAATATACAACAGGTTAATAAAAAACACTATAGCAACCACAAAAATTTCAAATAGCACAAACAAATTAAGAAGTAGTGGAATTCTGAAAAGTCACTGCTGAAGAACTGATCAAAGTTGTAGTATGTTTTGTTGACCATAAAGCATTTTATTTCCATTCTGAATGGCTCGTCGTCGCTAAGTAGCTTGACTTTATCTGGAATTGTGTGTGTGTGAATATGTAGTGAAAGGAGAATAACCAACCAACAAGTTTTTAGAGAGATGTGCATTGATATTTTTAACAAGCTTAAAAGACCCGACGTAATTATTATTCTTCGGAAGAAGCCATGCAATATTAACAGAATATCAAATAGAAGACCTGTAAAAGCAGCAAAGATATCTTACTATTAACTACAATCTCGGAATAATTGACTTTTGATGATGAGTAGAAGGAGGTACCTTAACACAGATGAAACTTCATTTGAATGCACTGAAAAATCATTAATATCACTAATGGGACATTTCACGTGAAGCGGACAGCAAAAAAAGTGAGGTTTTAGAATTTGTTCATATTGGGCTTATTTGAACATTTAGTAAGTGTCGAAGAGAAAATACGACTCTTTTTTTAGTGACTCGTTATGGCCTTCGAATTGGAATTTTTTCGACCTGAAATGGAATATAAAACGTAGAATTTATACAGGACATTTTCTGTACTGTTTGATAAAAAACCAAATGTGAATTAAAAAAAAAATAAGGAGCTAAACCGGAAATAAACATTTCAAACCAAACTTTAGACAGCTTCGCATTTTTTATATTTGATTTTTTATACTCCAAAATATAACCTAAAGTGTGTGTAAAATACATCGGAAGTTTTTCCATGGTATGCGAATGCGAATTAATTAACTAGATTACGTATTTTTATGTATGAGTATGACGTTAGGCGCCTGTTCCGTACATAAAAATACGTATCCCCTTAAAACTTCCGATGCATTTTGAGCACAATTTAAGTTATATTTTGGAATAAAAAATTAAAAACAAAAAAAATCGAAGAATATTTACTTCCAGTTTAGCATATTAATTTTTTTTAATTTCTAATTTCAAAAAGTACAGAAAATTTCATAATTCGAAAAAATCCCAATTTCAAATCAGGATTCTATTTCGAAACCCCCAACTAGCAAACGAACGAAAGAAAAAACGTGTTTTTTCTTTCACACCTTCTAGATGTTCAAACAGGCCCAATATGAACGAATTTCAAAAACCTCACTTTTTTTCGCTGTCCGCTTCACGTGAAATGCCCCTATTATTTTTCTTCTTGTTTGTTGTTTGGTAGAGAGCATAAATACATAATACTGATAGATGATCGCTTATACAGCAGCATTTCAGACATTCAATTATCGTTTGATATATGTAATTTCCGCTTTTCCCACAAACACTAAAATGCATCTTACATTGCAAGCTATTTGAGCACTGTCAGCTTAAATATTTTAATACCTTTTCATATACCCTGTTCATTTATAGTTATATAAAAATGAAGTTAAAAGTGCGTATTGCTGTGACAGTACAAACTTGACACCCAAAATAGTCTAATCAATATCAACAAAGGTAAGCTTCTTTTTATGGCCCTAAAAATAAATGTTCAACTTTATTATCTCCCTCGTTTACTATCCTCAAACAATACCGACCTTTTAATTCTACAGAAAATATGCGCTTTGGCTTGTTGAAGCTGCATACTTCATCTCAGTAGTTTTGACAAGGTGTTCAGAACTTTGTATAATCTTTATCTATCGTGTATGCAGTTAAGTGGTGAAAAAGCGTAAGCGAAATTTCAGCCAAATAAAGACATTATTATTATTTGTGGCCAAACATTTTTAATGTCGGTTTACAAAGAGAATAAATCCGCGGATTTTCAATTCAAGTACAGAACTACAGTATTCGACAATATGTTTTCTGTTTATAAGACTTGCCTCAAAATTAAAATCCATATAAAAGCTCAAAATGTTTCTAGCAAGAACTTGTTGTGTGGTTGGCAGCACTGAGTAGTGACAGATGATTCATGAATTTGTCCATTGATGTAAACACCGCAAAACATAATCAGGGTGACTTTCAAGAAATTCGTGTGAAGAAATTGTTGTAAAACGGGTATAATGATCCTCTGCTGATGCTGTATTATCTCGCATAATGATGCACCATAAAAATTAACGGTACAAATAAAACTAATTTTCTCTCGATTTGCTGTTTTTTTTTCATTCAAATTCATTTGACATTTGAGCAAATATTTTCTATAGATGCACGTATAGATCCATACACGTCAAATGATGAACGCTGAAGAACATCACACATTCACTTGCAAAACCTACTAGTATTTCAGTTCATAATATACTCACTGAGTTTCGTACGAATCTAAAAAAAAAAAACAAGATTGATTTCATTCTAAGTGTCAAAGGGAGACCGTGCCTCGGTGGTTGCATTCAGCTCTAGTTTCCTGAGAAGTGCTTCCGCTTGAGTCAATGGAACCGTCTCTAGATAGGTAACGGCATCCGTACAAGTGTATCTGCTGCTATCCTGTTTAAATGCCAGGCCTAGTGCGATGTTCAGTGCAGATACATCATAGCTATGGCACCCCGAATACCTATTAAAGCAAAACAATTTATATTGTTTGACTTACATCCATAATTTACAAAAACGGGAGGAAGTTTCGATACAGTTAATTGTTGCAAGAGGCGAGTGGATTGGGGAGCTGCTTCGTGTTATAGATAGATAGATAAATATACTAAAAAGTGTACAGTAACATTGTTGTTAGATTTCAAGAGAGCATTTGAGACTATTTACAGGGAGAAATTGTTAACGAAATTGCATTGCTATATATATATATATATACAGGGTGTTCCATAATTATTGCGACAAAATGATAGGGGTTGTAGAGGGCATCAAAATGAACAATTTTGCCTTATAAACCCCTATTCGGAAATATGCCGTTTGGGCTGCAGCAAAAAAAAAGATCAGTTTCTTGAAACAGCTTACCTACAGTAATTGCTCAAAGTGTCCTCCACCTTGCTCAATACACAGCTGTGCACGATTGTTCAATGATCGGCGAACTCTGTGGCATACCCCCCGTATGTCCTGAACATGTCCGGATGCGGCCATCACTCTTCCCAGTAGCTCTTGTTGGTTGGGAACAGGAGTTTCGTACACTAAAGCTTTCAGATGGCTCCAGAGAAAATAATCCAGTGGGGTCAGGTCGGGTGGCCGCGCAGGCCAAGGCACAGGGCCACCTCATCCAAATACTGCCGCACTTGTAAAGAAAAGTGGGCTGGAGCGCCATCGTGTTGAAACCACATGTTTGCTCTTATGTTCAGTGGCACATTTTCTAATAGTTCCGGTAGCACATGCTGTAAGAATCGACCATAAGCATGCCCATCCAAACGTGGTGGAAGCAAATATGGCCCGATGATATGCTTGTCCACAATGCCGCACCAGATGTTAATTGAAAACTGATGTTGGTCTCTATGGATGAGGGTTTTCTTCATCCCAAATGTGACTGTTCTTTGTAAAACAGGACTCGTCAGTGAACGAAACGTAGCGACCAAAGTTTGGTTGCCTCAACTCCTGCTGCAGCCACCAACTACAAAAACGTCGACGCGGCAGATAGTCTTCTGGACCCATGGCTTGGACTTTTAAAAGGTGGAATGGGTGTATTTGCTGGTCATGGAGAACCCGCCAAACAGTAGTTTGAGACGCTCCCATATCATGTGCAATGCTGCCACTGACACGAAGACGTCCATGATTCCTTGCAAAAATGGCGTGATGCGGATGAGGACGTTCTGGAAACCGTTGGGCGTAGATTCGCGAGGCTCGTCTTCCGTTACCACCAGCTTCTCCGTAAATTAAATGCATATCCATAATTTACGATAACAAAAATCTAAAGAGTGCTAGACGAACATTTTGCAGCTGGTGAATTTTTTGTTTCTCCTATGAGCTCTTAAGGTAAAATTAGCGGTAGTGCTCAAACGGCATATTTACGAACAGAGGTTTATAAGGCAAAATTGCATATTTTTATGCCCTCTACAACCCCTATCATTTTGTCGCAATAATTATGGAACACCCTGTATATCAAATAATGACATTGAAACTGCAATAGAGCTATTAAATAATGATATGAAAAACGTAACGAATTGTTTAAATGTAAATAAACTTAAACTAAAAACAATCAAAACAAAATATAAGCTAATAGGAAAATCTTTAGATCAAAATACGATAAATCTTACAATTAATCATGAAAAAATTGTGTCAATCGAATCATTTAAATATTTACGCATATACGTAGACAGTAAATTAAAATTTGAAGGGCACTATGAATATATTATTTCAAAAATATCCAAGAAAATAAATTACTTTTACAGAATTTCGCGTTTATTCTAAAAAAATTGAGTACAACACTATCAATCTTCCTCATTTGTTATATTGTTCGACTATTTTGTTCACTGCAAGTGAAACTGTATTTTAAAAATTGCAAATATTACAAAATAACGCTATGAGAGTCATCTTAAATAAAAATAAATACTAATTTTATGCTGAACGGTTAAATATCAAAAATTTGATAGCCTTCTTGGTTTTCATTTTCATATTCAAGTTGAAAAAGCATCTTCTACCAAATCACTTAGAAAATTTCATTGTATTGAACAATGAGTGCCACAATTATTCTACTGGAGGATGTATAGACTTTCATTTAGAAAACTGCAGTAGCAATATAACAAGCAAATCAGTATTTCAAAAGTGATTGTACGAATTTAATAAATGATGATATCAAGATGTGTGTCAGTTTGAAAATGTTCAAAGGAAAATTGAAAAAATATCTCATGGAAAACCAGAATTCATGGTAGTGAAATTTTGTATAAAAATATGTAGTCTTGAAGACATAATATATTTTGTGATATGGATATTATGGACATTGTAGCATTAATGCTAAATAAATCTGAAACAAACAAACAAACAAAGCTAACTTAACACTGAACTACAGCATAATTACATAATATTATGTAGACCTTAAGTAGAACTCATACAAAGCATTTTATGGTTTACATATTGGAAAGTTTTAAGTTCAAGGAGGAATATCTATGAAATATTTTTCTTTTAATAGTATCAGGGAGACACATGTACATTTTTCACCGTTATAAATTATCGCGCCCTTTACAAGTGTTCACTAATTTATAGATCTTGCTTTCGTCTAATAATGTAACTTATATTGACGTTTCCAAAATGAACAATGATATGACAGTCATAATTTTAAGATTTACAAATAAAGGCATGCATGCAGCTCCAAGACTGCTTTTCGTTATACAGTATATCCAATTAATTTTTCTAGAATATGCACTTTTTTAACAAATTTTGGGAACACACACACCAAAAAGGAATCTACGTATTTCAAATAAGGCAAAGTAACTGCTTAATGCTGTTGTAACTAACTTTTCTCAGAATAAAGGAAATACTTGCTAGTTGAGTATGCAAGTCCCAAAAATTTGATGACGTTTGTATTGTGTATCATTATTTAAATGTATAAAATCAAGGGAGCATTAAATGCTTATAACTGAAATCAATCAATATTTACCTGTATTGAGGTTTTTTGTCAAATTTGCAGCCCGCGGATTGAGCTCCAATAGGAAATATGCAATCCTGAGTGAGGCTACATTGCACCCAGGGCAGCATCACTTGATTATGTATCTGCAAAATAAATTTCCAAAAATTATTAGGTGCATCCGAAACGTCAAAAAACGAAGTTTAGGCGATTTTTATCTGTTTTCCGTGTTTCTGACCGTAGCTCCGCCACCACTAGACCGATTTTCAAAAACTACAAAGCTTTTTCATCCTTAGCACAGTAGTAACCTTGTTTTTTAGCGGGAAGACCGACTGATAGACAGACACCGACGGAAATTAGTGACACTAGTGATCTACATGCAATAACATCGAAAAAACAATCTCACATTTTGCTCGCCAGATTCGGCATAGGAAGTAAACACAATAGATGTGTTATAACATACTAACAACACAGCAATAAAAACATTAAAATACATTAGTTAGACACCATCTCAGCAGACAAGACTGTAGATTTAAAAAAATTGCACTCATATCACTTCATCTCTTGGGAAAGCATGATGAAAGAAAAAGCCACATACAGATACACCCATACTTTTGCATAGGGAGTTGAAAATCAGTACCTACCATTACAGTGTTAACTAAAATCAGCGCATCAGCTCTAACCATCTGCAGGAACAAGAAATTCTCCGCATCAGAATGGAAGTATTCGAACATCTTTTTGTGCGTTAGGCTGGAGACAGGGTTCTTCAGATCAAAAGGCCACGCCAGCACCCCACTCTTTTTCGCCATCTCCTCAAAGAGGCGAGTGATCATGGGATGCGTCACGTTGTGCATGAAACGGTAGCTTGACTCCAGAAAAAATATCGCACCGGTATGGTGTAGAGCATCCTACATTAAATATTCATTTACAAAATACGGTATCTCAGAATTCTGAGGGCATACGAGTACCACTCAAAATAAGTCGAAGATTTCTATGCAAAGTGCGTCGTTTGTCCGTTAGAGGGCATCAGTAGGGTCGACAGATCCTCGGATGGGCATAATTATAACGGTATCAAGTTCTTTAATGAGTCAGTTAGACTTTTCAACATTGCATCGTTCCAGACCACACTGCCATCATACCTAAGGCGAAAAGCTTTTTTTTTACTATTGAAACATTTTGAAACAACGACTTCGTATATATATTTTAGAGTAATTACGTGTGATTTGAACTTGTCTGTATTTTTATCTTTTGAATGTGTCTGTTCGGAGAGTTTTTGAAAAAATTCTGCCATAATTTATACAGGAGTGAGGGTAGTTTTCACCCTGCTTTTTTGTTTTTTGTAAAAGTCAAATATAAGGATGTCTAGCAAAACATGTGTTCCAAATTTCTTTCATAAAAATGGGTTTTAAAAAGAAAACTTTGACGCCCTCTAACGGACAAACGAATTACTCTGTCATAGAGGTTCATCAAGTCAAATCAACTTATTTTGAGTCTAAAAATATGCTGTACTTCTACATTCACGGAATATTGGGACACCCTACATACTGACTAAGTGAATGGGCCTGCTTGTCTGAGTTGATCCATTAAATTTTTTTCGTACATAATCCTTGATGTGGAATTTTAGTTTCCACCCTATAGTCGCCACATAATTTTTAATAATACATGACCGAATGGAACTGGCAGGTAAGTTAGGGCATAAAAGAAATCTTGGGGGCCATTCAATGGCACCTCTTCTACCAATCCATCGATCTGGAAACATCTGATCTAAATATTGTCGAACACGTAATGCATAATGTGGTGAGGCACCATCCTGTTGGAACATCAACCTATTTGCAATGTACCGCCGATCATTCAATTTTTGTGGCTGCTGTGTATGAACCTCATGATCAATTCTGGGATTAGAATCGGACCAATATCGGCAGTTATGACGATTTACTACGCCATTTAAGAAAAAGGAACATTCATCGGAAAAGCAAGTGTTGAATAGAAAATGTTCTTCTTTTATAATTCGTTCACTCATATCTTCACAAAATTGTAATCGCCGATCAAAATCGTCTTCATCAAGTTCTTGTACCAGGTGAATTTTATACGGATGAAAACTATGGGCCTTTAGAATTACTTATCAAGTAAATTGTTTTAGTCAAATTTCTTCTGAAAGTAGTACAAACTAATCTGATGTACCTATTAAAGTCTACTTTAAGTTTTAAATCAATAAATCTTCAAAACTACTGAACTGAAGCTCATGTATTTTACATCATTATAAAGGGAATTGAAAGACCTTTAAAATAAGGTATCACCCTTTCCATTTAAGATTTTAGGGTTGGTCTCACCCCCGCCCAGGGGGCTGCACGTGTTAACGTGATTTTTTGACAAATTTGTGTCCCCCTCGAAAACAAAATCGACGGGTCTGAGCGTTTTTCCAAAAAAAAACTGAGCTCCCAGTAAATGCGTCTGTTTCGTTTTCGATGCGCCACCCGGCATATATATAGAGTTATTCGTTCTCAGAAATTACCGCTTCCCAATATTCACGTTGGTATCACAAAAAACAGCTAGGGTTGCAAAGAAAAAATAATTTTGAAGATTAAGCTTCCACAACTTCTTATCAATGAGCAACATTTCACTAAAGTATATTTAACAAACAATCATTATTTCATGGGTGCATCTAACGTTAGACATAAATGACACCAGGATAGTGAGTTGAACAGTTTTACAGTTGTAAGCTTCCAGAGTTTCAATGAGAACACAAAGAAATACGACAAGTAAATGTAATAATTATTAAACATAGTTTAGCTGGAAGCTGATTAAAGTAATTAGAGGATTCTTACCTGTATAACAAGCGGCCGATGAGCATGATATTCAGTATTTATATGTGACGGATACTCGGAAAGAACAAAGTTGATCACTTGACATCTAGAGCTATTACAATAGTTTGTAAGCTGCAAATATGAATATTACTTAACAAAGGAAGGAACAGGGAGGATATAAAAATATTTTGCATAGAAGTTATGTGAATAAAATGATATGTTTGATTGTGTAATTTGATTGTTTATAAAGTGTTTGGCAATAAAACTTTCATTTACTAAACCTTGATCCTTATTTTTTTATGAGATTCCATTTTATATCTTTAGTAAACATTTTATGGTACTGTAAAATATCGCTGTGTAACAATACTGAATAAAACTACTCTGAATTTTTCATTTTAGATCCCTAAACCCAGATGATATATCATTATTGACATACCTATATGACTTAGAAATGGGTCCACATTCTGAAATTACTCATATTATGACTATGTCCATAAATTATGAGAAACTCGAAAAATATTGAAAATCAGATGTTATGTTTACATAACTGAAAATCAAGAAATAAAATAATATTTGCAGTTCGAAAATTTCTGTCACCACACTACTTTACTTATTAGTCAAAACGAAGGGTGCCGAATACTCATTTTTTCCAAATAAATGTTTGCCGTTTTTTGTTCTTTTTTTCCATCGGAGCTTGTTATAAATGCTTTATATAAGAGTTGTATAGCTTTTATTACAGACAGCAATGCCAATGTCAGCAAAAATTAAAGAATTATTAAAATATAAATAAATAAATTAAAAGAAAGATGCTAGAACAGGTTTACAAACTGGTTATATCTACTTCAAAAACAATTTTAATGAAATTGTATAATATCTACTATATATGGTTTTAAAAATACTGTTTGTGTGTAAAAAAATGTTTGGAAAACATTGTTGATGGATTGTTTTGATCATACTATATATCTACAGAAATAAATCAGGTTAGACAATATTTTTCTAGAGCTGAATTAAAAAATGCAATTAACATAAATATCACAAAATATTCATAATTAGATTTAAGAAATGTTATTTTTTAATATCCACTTATTCAACTAAAAAAAAATAAATAAATTAGAATATAAGTGTGGGTAGTCAAGAATACCACATATATCTGTATAATCTAACATACCAAGTCTCCCAAAGCACTCACTGTACATTAGTACCAAAAAAAGTGTCTGTATAATAAATAAAATAATTACCATTTTCAAAGCATGGTCACTAATGCCCAAATTATATACAAGAATAGTATTATTTGGTAAAATTTTTGCTACATTAAGTATGAGGCCAACTGCCTGACTCTCTTCTCCATTTGAAACATATGTGACTACCACAGGCAAAGAAGTATTTCTCCAAATGTTTGTTGGATACAGTCGAGGACTTTGTGTGAATCCCAACAGATGTAAGTACTTCTCATCAGCATTCAAAGTTTTTGCTTCTGCATCTCGTAGATTATCCTTGGAAAATGAAAAAATATTATGGCTACTGTACCTGGATAACTTTTTATTAATACTGTACTTAGATAAAAAGCAATAAAGTGAAAAAAAATCAAACTGTGAGGTATTTCATATTTAAAAGATACATATTTTGTATGACGTATTCCAGATAGGTACCATTCCAGAAAGTATTTTCTATCTGGTACTTGAAATATTTACTTTAAAAAAAACTTGTATTTTGTACTCCAGATAGTTCACTGCATTTTGAATATGTGTATTCAAACCAAATTTTCAATGTACAAAGATGATGAACTATTCATTAGTCACATGATTGTATCCACATTAAAAACCAGCAAATAAATTCGGCAGCAACAAAATACTTTCTTTCTTCATCAAACTATACATGGTTTTAGAGCTTTCCCAGAGGTACTTACTTTGAAATTCTTGATTTGCTTGTTGGTAGTTGATACAATGTTCTGTATACTCTCTGGCTTCTGTTGGCCAAATATGATAAATATTAAACTTATAGATACGACCACACATAGTGTTAGCATAAAATTCTTCGTCCGCATTTGTATACATTTACAATTTTACTTTTGTAGATCAGTCTGCCTCTTCCAATATTATCAAAACATCTTTTGTCGATCCATTATCAGCTCATAATCACTATATAAAGTTGGTTATACGTCGATTACCTCATGACTTCTGGAATGTTTGGAATAAATATGTGCATTTGACGAAGGTATTCATTTTAAATCATCTGGCATATAAATATTTTACATCCCTATGGTCAAATATCATATTTTTCGTTTCTCAAAAATCACAGTTTTCTACCCATATTTTTGGTTTTTAACAGTTTTTGACACAAGAGGAAAAGTGTCGGCACGTCGGCGTCATCTGCTGTGTCCATGGTATTATTATTATTACGTCGCTAAAGTTTTCTTCTTTTTTCATGAGGTTGAGGTCGCCACAGTCACGGTCCCGCAGCGGGTCGATTCCCGATTCTCTCAAAAAGAAATGCAGCAAGGTCGCATTTTGGCAACAGCGCTGAATAAAGGCAAATGAACCTTCAAACCGGTCCCACACGATGTGGCGATAGCCTTACAACGTTGGACACATGGCCATTTGCCACATCGCCATCGCGTGGCAGAGCGCTGACGGATTACATGTGTCCAACGTTCGCCACATGACACGGTCGGACTCTTGTCGGTAAATTTGACCCGCTTTAAAGGACGTTACAACGTTGGAAGCATGACTAGTTACGCTCCCACACGAAATGTCATGTGTTTGATGGTTTTAGGTTAGAACCAGTAGCGGCGACCGGCGAAAAACATTATTATTTGTTTGCTGTGATTGTGGCAAAGTAGTGGTATGTGGGAAGTATTTTGATTTGAATACCTACCTATTTATAATTATGTATGTTCCGTAACTAACTTTTGAGGAGAATGAATTAAACTAGTGTACATACCAAAGCATAGGCTGCCATAACAACACTTTTTTCCTATTGCTAATATTTTGTATGTTTCACAGGTGAGTTATGCCTGGCCTAAGGATATGTATTTTAATGAATTATCAAGAGCTTACAGTTGTTTCATTATAATGTCCTGTTGCAATGCAAGACTAGTTGAGAAATATATTAACTTGCATTTCATAACTAACGAAAGTGAATAAATCTATGATATCTCTGAAAGTACTATCAGAATTTTGATGAAATGTTTATCCTAGGTTACTACTATGAAAATGACGAAAAAGCTCTGCAGTTTTTGCAAATCGGTACAGTGGCGGCGTAGTGATCATCTAAAAACAAAGAAAAAACGATCAAACTTCGTTTTTCAACATTTCTGAGGCTTCTGACAGACTTGGGTTTTGGTCGCTGAAGACAGATCTGAAATTATTTTTTGGCGTTCGAAAAAATTGTTTCACCGTTCAACTTGTATAATTTTTCCTTCAGTTGTAAAGGTTCAAGCGCGACACTGACACCGATAATAGATGTTGGCGTCACCAGCGTGTAGGAGGCGCATTGCCAATTGTAGTTATCGAACGTTGCACACAACGTTGTATACGAATACCTAAATAATGTTTTTCGCCGCTACTGGTTCTAAGCTAAATCCATCAAACACATGACATCTCGTGTGGGATCGTAACGAACCTTGCTTCCAACGTTGTAACGTCCTTTGACGCGGGTCAAATTTACCGACAAGAGCCCGAATGTGCCATGTGGCGAACGTTGGACAGTATCGCCACATCGTGTGGGACCGGTTTAAAAGTTAACAGTTTGCCGTGCAACCGTCAACGGCAATGTCGTCACCAGTGTCAACTCTGTCAATATTGACGGTACTGTTTTGTTTGTCAGCAGTGTCAGCGCCCGTTGTGGTTATATATTTTGTGTTGCTCTTATGGTGGTTATATTATTTGATAGTTACATTCCCTTTTCCATATAATTTTGGCGAGAATACAGCAAAAATGTCTTTAGCAGATGAGCTACTAGCGGATCTAGAGGATAACGATCATGATGATATAGAAGATGAATTGGCTACGGATGATGGAACTCCTGATATTCAGGAAGAAAAGCCAGACATCAAAGACTTGATGATGGATGTGGATACTACACAAATTATGTCCGTAAGAGACCTTTGTAAACTTAGAGACTCCGAAAAATTGAGGAACATAATGGAGCAGATACAAGATTATGCCATGAAATCCCGAAGAGCCATAGATATCATAGGACCTGTAGAGCAAGACCCTGAATACCAGCTTATTGTAGAGGCAAATAATCTGGCACAAGATGTGGATAATGAAATCCTTGCTGTTCACAAATTTGTCAGAGATAAATATTCTAAACGATTTCCAGAACTTGAGTCTCTAGTAGTAAATCCATTGGAATATGTACGTACAGTCAAAGAACTGGGTAATGACTTGGACCAAGCAAAAAACAATGAAATATTGCAACAATTCTTGACCCAAGCAACAATTATGGTTGTGTCAGTGACAGCCTCTACAACGCAAGGAACAATGCTGTCAAAAGAAGAAAAACAACAAATAGATGAAGCATGTGATATGGCAATGGAGCTTAATAACTTCAAGCTGAGAATCTATGAGTATGTAGAAAGTCGAATGGCTTTCATTGCACCGAACTTATCTATAATTTTAGGTGCTTCTATTGCAGCTAAAATCATGGGTGTGGCAGGTGGTTTGACTAGATTATCAAAAATTCCTGCATGCAATGTATTGCTTTTGGGCCAGCAGAAAAAGTCTCTGTCAGGTTTCTCCCAAACAACAATGATACCACATACTGGGTTTATTTATTATTCTGAGATTGTACAGAATACGGCACCAGTAAGTATTTTATTAGATGATTTCAAGAAACAATAAGGTCTATGTGTACAACATTTATTGTGGTCCATATCATGCTAATAATGTTGGTTACGTTTTTTTAGTGTTAGTAGATTTTTACATAACCTTATACATCAATAAGTATTGATACCTATTAATATAAACTGTAATGCATAACTAAAGAGAGAATACATTTAGAATGTCTTGAATTCACTGATCAGCTGCATTGAAAATATGTTCCTCCTGCGTTACCGGTAGAAAATATTGATTTTTCCTTTTGCAGCACCACATAACTTTACGAGATCAAAAACAAAAAAGAAAGTGCTGCAACTAAATGAATCAATACTGAAGAAGCATTTTTTTTAAGATTACTCTATAAAGGCCAAAATATACTCAAATGGTTATGCGTGTTAAGGTAGCTCAAAAAGCTGGCTCCACAATCCTACCTGCGGACTGAATAAATTCTGTCCACCTGCGATATGCTGTGTCCATAGTGTTACTCATAGAAGCCCGTGACGCGCATACGAGGTGAGCACGTTAATTATGTATATTCTATCTCTGCCTACGAGTCTTATGCTATTTCAGTATTGCATTAACTGGTTCTGCAGAGTTTGTAGGTTCGTATCTAAAGCTAGTCGTACTCTGCAGAACCAGTTAATGCAATACCGCAAGACTGATAGGCACAGATAGAATATATATAATTACTGCGTTCACCTCGTATGCGCGTCACGGGCTTCTATGAGTAACGCTTCGGCCACAGCGTATCGCAGACGGACAGCATTTATTCGGTCCGCTGGAATCTAGCGGCGGGTAGGATTGTGGAGCCAGCTTTTGGAGCTACCTTTTCTCCTACTGTGCTAGATAAGCTGTTAATTTATGAATCATTTTTAGGATCTTAAAAGAAAAGCAACTCGTCTAGTAGCAACCAAATCGACTTTGGCAGCAAGGGTAGATGCTTGTCACGAAGCTCCAGATGGTTCAATTGGAAGGAGATTCAGGGATGAAATTGAAAGGAAACTGGACAAACTGCAAGAACCGCCACCAGTGAAGTTTGTGAAGCCACTGCCAAAGCCTATCGATCAATCGAAGAAGAAAAGAGGTGGTAAAAGGGTGAGAAAAATGAAGGAGAGATATGCTTTGACTGAATTCAGAAAGCAAGCAAACAGGATGAACTTTGCAGATGTAAGTTATTTTGAATTATATTTCCTCATAATATACAAATCTGCACCCAATATAGGGGCTGAATGCTTTAAGATGTCACAACATATGGTAGTAGTGACCAACGGTACCTGGCCAATTGGTTTTCATACTTACTAAGTTACTACATGGTTATTATGAGCGAAATTACGAAATAATAAATTATTGCTCAAAAATGTAAGAGCAAAACAATTAAAACATCAAATAAATATTTATTCCACATACCTACATATAAAGAATATCTTAAACAAATCATATATTAAAACCATCAACTCAAAAACGCCTTGTGATTGTTTACTCCCTAGTAACAAACTTTGAGTCCCGTGGGTCAACATATGATCTCTGAGGATTGAGTACCTTTGAGGAATAATCCCCTTGGTTTTTAAACAAGCATTTACTTAAAAAAAATTTCAGCATTTTGAATGTTTACACGATTTACAAAATTGTCAAAATAACAAGATTTTCTAAATTTTTAGAACTACTAAAATTGTCAGACTTCCCAAAATTTACTAATTTTTGAAACTTTCAATATTGTATCAATGTTAAAAATTAACATTAACTGTATGCACCACATATGAGCAATTCCATTTTTATATGGGCACTGAATATGACGTGTTGACTATTGAGAACATCCTATACGCATTGTTCCCCGCGAATTTTATACGTTTTTCCCATTTAAACTGAATCCGCAGAATTGCATCTATAATTACCATTATTCATCGGCTTTTATCGATCTATATGCAAATATTTACCACAAAACATGAAATGAGCCACATCACTTACGCATAGACGTGTTTTCCTATCTATTCTGTTGAAAAAAGATCCCTATCCCAAAGTACAGCCAATCAACATATACCATCACCCTCGTTCAAATTTCCCGCCGTCTGATCCGCCAATCATAGCACGCGGTGGGCGGTGAACGTGGCCTTACAATTGATGAACATTTAGAAAGATCTAATTTCGAATTTGCAGGAAATGTATTAGCTGAAGTTCAATGGAAATTGATGGCTATAATGTTAATGCAAAATATGTTGGGGCAGGTGAACAAAATCTTCCTGATTTTCCAGGCATTAAATGGTATTCAGAACATGTGCGTGAGAGTCAATACTTGCTTCAAATTGTAAAATATAGAAATACAGAATGCTGTCGTCCAAGAAGTGGCCTATTTAGATTACTAGACAATAGTTTTCTTCCACCACCTGAAAAGTAAAACAAGCAGTTGATGACTTGGTTTTGGATGAAGGAGGGCAATTTCTTAATCTTCCAGTCAATTTAGCTCTACGCTTAAGTGCTTCATGCAAAGATTTCCTGCAAATACCCTACGATTATTTTTGTCCGACTGTAAAATTGAGGCTATCAAGTCGAACATGCAAAACGTGTGGTCTTTAGCAATCTAAAATATCCATAAAAAAGTAAACACGCACACTGGTAGGAAAGTTAGAAACGCTGCTCGTCGTGCTAATGAACTGATGTCATCGAAAATTGAATTTAATATATGTACCAAAAATTTAAAATAAGTTTGTTATGTTAGTAAGATATAATATTTTTGTCCTTTACTCTATGTTGAATACCATATCAGTAAAATATAATCTCTATCCTAAATCTATTTTCTTATTTTTCAAATTATACTTATAACGTTATATTTATAATATTTAAAAAAAACAATACATTAATTGACAAATGTTTACGTAAGCATGGGGGGAGGGGATAAGATCTTTGCTTACTTTTGCTGGCAAGGGGGATGGGGGGTAAATAATTGTAATAAATCTGCTTACGTAATACTTGAATGGTCCCTAAGTCAAGTGATAGAGTGCCTCAAAGCCTATCGAATGAACAAGGTGTTAGCACTAACCGTTTCAATTTAACAATCTACTTCTGTATCTGCAGCAGCACTGTCAGTATGTTAGTTTTTGCTAATACAGTTTAAACCTTTAAGATTGAAGATGACGCATATCAAGAGGACTTAGGCTACACTAGAGGCACAATAGGCAAAACTGGTACTGGAAGAATTAGGTTACCTCAAGTGGATGAGAAGACAAAAGTGAGGATATCGAAAACTCTTCAAAAGAATTTACAGAAGCAACAGATTTGGGGAGGTAGCACTACAGTAAAGAAACAGATCTCTGGCACAGCTTCCAGTGTGGCGTTCACGCCGTTACAGGGACTGGAAATTGTGAATCCGCAAGCAGCTGAAGTGAAAGTGAATGAAGCAAATGCAAAGTATTTCTCAAACACTTCAGGATTTTTGAAGGTGGATAAGAAAGATTGAAATTCTTATTTGTAATCAACTTATGAGTACAGTGAATAATGTCTGATTAGGTGTATTGTAATGAATGTATAATAATTAAAGTTATGGAATTTCCAGTTTGCAACTTTTTACTCTTAGGCACTGTTTGCTCCAAAAGCAACCCATGGATACTATTACTCGAGAAGATAAACCCACGTGCATACAAACAGTCTTATCTCTTGGCACGCGCGGCCTCAGTCGGTGACTAAAATTTCCAGAGAATATTTATTAATATATTTAATTATACTCTACCAACTGACATTCCAATTACTGGTGGAAATACAGCAAGGTAACAAATACACACTATTTAAGCCCTATGGTTACATGTTTGTTTGATTTATGATGTGAATGGTTTTGTATTAAACATATCAAAATACTCCTGAACATTATTATAAAATGAAATTGAATTGAAACACAGATGTGTTAAGTTTAAATGTAAAAACGGAATAGGAAAAGAGCACAAAACATGAGAGAAGCGCAAGAAAAAAAAACATGAATGCATAGATCACAGAATAAGTAAGAGGACAAACTATCAGCGTCAGATTGACTCCATGTTACTATATAACCGATATCCTCTTACTGACAAATAGTATAATGTACAAATACAGGGTGGCGCATCGAAAACGAAACAGACGCATTTAATGACAGCTGTTTTTTTTTTTTTTGGAAAAACGCTCAGACCCGTCGATTTTGTTCACGTTAGCATGTGCAGCCCCCTAAGCAGGGGTGACACCACCCTCAAAATCTTAAATGGAAAGGGGGGTCCAGTGATACCTTATTTTAAAGGTCTTTCAATTCCCTTTATAATGATATAAAATTAATGTACTTCAATTCAGTGGTTTTGAAGATTTATTGATTTAAAGCTTAAATAAAACTAATACATCATAATTACTGGAGATCAATACATTTGGCAGCAAAGTAATTTAAAAATAAAGAATGAACTGACCCGTTAAATGTTGAAAACGGCCACCATGCCTCTCCATGCAATAATAACGATTTTACTCAAAACGTTGCCGCATATTTTGCAATATTTGAGGAGTAATTTGAAGGCACTCATTCACAAGTCTTTGTCGCAGGTCTTCTAATGATGTCTGCTGAGATAGATTTTGCTTTTTAAATGACCCCACATAAAGAAATTCAAAGGTGATAAATCTGGCGATCTTGGGGGCCATTCAATGGCACCTCTTCCACCAATCCATCGATCTGGAAACGTCTGATCGTCTGATCTAAATATTGTCGAACACGTAATGCGTAATGTGGTCCTACAATTGTACGAACGACTGACGATACAGCACCTAGTCATTTTTGTTTTAACTAGTTCATTTTGGGGAAGTAATCATTCGGTATTCTACCAAAGTTATCTACAGCATCATAGTTACTACCCAAGTTTAGTAAATGTTTATACACATTGACTTGGCTTTTTCTAGCCGCACAATGCAATGGTGTCAGGCCATATCTATTAGTACAATTTACATCAAATTTCAAATCATCTACTAGGAAAGTAATAATTTCCAAATGACCCTCGCTTGCAGCTAGATGTAACAAATTACAATCAGCATTATTTCTGACATACTGGTTTGTCTTTCTTTGGATCAGCTCCTTGCAAACGTCAATATGGCCACCTGAAACTGCTTCGTGCAATACAGTACTGCCGCAGTTGTCCCTGTCATCCACTTCCAAACCTAAATCTAACAATAATATCACCACCGCTAAGTGTCCATGTAAGGCTGCTATATGCAGGCCAGTCCTACCATTTCTTGTCTTTTCCGTAATGTAAAGACCATGTTCAATAAGCACCTTCAATATCTCAATGTTCCCCTCGCGTGCTATTAGATGAAAGCAGGTCCAACCATCTTTGTTTTTACAGTTCACTAGAGCACCGTGGTTCAGTAAAACCTGGAAGATATTAGTGGTGCTATAGCGATAGAGTTGGTATCATCAATTTGTGATTTGACATAGCCCTCTATCTATTTTCTTCAGCCAAAATAATTATGATATTCAGATAGAAAATATATATATTAACCAAATTTCAATCCCATTAAATAATAATAAGTCTGCATTATCCGCAGAACAAAAAAACGGTGCCTAGAGGCACATCCAATTCTACTAAAATTTTTCCAATTTTGATAGCTGCTAGTATCAGTATCGACAGCCTTTCGTAAACCTAAGAAAATTCCTATAATCTTTTCACCTCAAAATCAAGACATTAAAAACAGTTTGATCTAGCTATAATTCACATTACACTATGTAGCAGCTAAAATTATAAATCACATACCTGAACAGTTTTGGTAGTATCTTCTAGATCAGTTTTTGTACAAGCAAGCATCAATGGCGTCCAATCGGCTTTTTTTAAAGCATTTACATCAGCACCGTGTTTGAGAAGCCTCTCACAAATGAGATGGTTTGAATTCTGTGCAGCCTCATGAAGTGCGGTTTTCCCGTCTTTGTTCTTACAGTCAACAGACTTTGGTGAGAATTGTGTAAGAAGAAAATCAATTATATCGACGAAACCGTGCCTTGCTGCACAATGAATTAAGGTATCACCTGTTTGATCATAATTCAATTCGGTCCAGTGAATTTTATGACTGAAGAAAAACTCTACGATAAACTTTGTGTTACCATTTTGGGCTGCTTTTAACACTCTCAGAAAATCGTTTTTAGAACACATACTTCATATGTTTTCTACCATTATTTAAATAGTTCAATGATTTTGCTTTGATGTTTACAAATAAAAACACCGGAAAAAAAGGTTACGTCACGTTGACAGTAATGACAGTTCATGTGCTGTTGCCAGATCCTGATTTGTTTTCTTATAAATGAAGTCTAGAAACAGGATGTAAAACTGCCTAATAGATTTTAATTAATTCCTATAAAGATGAAGTTAGTACTATCAGCTATCAGTATCAGTAGGTAAGGAGGGTTTGGCTCTTGCAAATGCAGTGCGTAGGGTATATACATGCACGTGGAAGAGAGACGGCATATGCGCAAAAACTGAAATGCATTTCTGATGTAATGGACTTGTGCACGTTCATGAAGACAGCAACAGAGAAGCCACATGCGCCGAACCTGAAATTCATTTCCTGTGCAATGTATATACCAAAGAGCCACATGTGCAGGACCTAAACAATGCATACAGAAATAGCCCGCCTTAATTCTCGGAACTTTTAAGTTTAACCTCCTATCTCTAGTCTTCGTGGCTTGGCTAAAGCACTGGATACTGGATATTCTACACTTCTATAGGGAGCTTCAGAATACAGTGGCAATTCATTTCTATGGTATAAAGTATAATGGAGGTACATTATTAATAAAAAAAACTCGACTGCACCAACTGAAAAAATGAAGCTTGGTTATTTTATCGAATCTCAAAATCCAATCTGTTTGTGTTACACCTCAAGGAGCAGAAATTTTACTTTATATAATTTTAATGTGCCTCATTATTAACACGAATCTGGAAATACCTACCTCATAGGTCAAAATTCATCAACAACAGTTTAAGCTAGAATAGAAATTTCAATAAGACATCATGAAGGTCTATAGCTTTTATCTAAGGAGGCAGTCCAAAATATTATAAAACTGTATAATCTATAGGTTATTCATTCCAAAATTTGCAACCAGTAGCTTCATGTGTTTCGAGTTTATAAGATTTTGTCAGTGCTTGAAATTAGAGGTGACTGGGATGCTGAGTACTAAAAATCAATCCTTACAAAAGGCCCAGAAGCACTGTGTAGATTTTATCTTTTTTCTAGCTTTGCAATTATATAGCAAAATGAACCTGAAATTAATGAAAATATTGGAGAGTTTTTAGTGCATTATTACTATTATCAATCACAGAATGACAAGTGACCACAAAAAGCAACAGAACTACAATAAAAAGCCACCTTTTGTCACATTGCATTTATAACAAAAATCAGTACAATACAATCCATTTAGTACACACTGCATGTTTCTTGCATTCATTATTATCTGTGATCTAAAATTCATATTTCTATAAGATAAATGATGTTGAAGGGCACTGTGGTATAGCCAATACATACAAATTTTTTTGTGGCCAAGACTATACACCCCAGTATCTTAGAAATTGGGTAATTGTATTAAATTTTCAATGAAACAAGGGTTTTTACAATTAGAATATTTAAATGATTGAAAGCATAAATGGGTTTTTGATTTTTATTCAGTATAAAGGTCAAAAAAATGAGAATTTGAACTAGTACTAAATTACATAATCAAGTTGATCACAGCTCCATAATAATTCTAGCAATGCACAATGAATATGCCCTCATTTTTGAGCTTTTGTTTCTAGATGCAGTCCATGGATTTTACCAATTTGCTCTTTCAATGTCTCATACACCAACTTATGCTGTTTTGTAATATTTAATCCTGAGAACTCCTTGGTTTCCACATAAATGTTGAACATGGCTCCACATCCCCCAGAAGTGTCTTCTACTGTGACTGTAGCATCTGGAAATCTTTGCTTCAATTTGTCCAGAATAACTCCTTCGTTCACAGGGCCGTTTTCTTTGACTGTTTCTGCGTAATTTGCTAATGGAAGAAACTGTACAAGGACTAAATGAATTTCAATATACAATCTGTGTTCTTACCTTTACACCCTGATTTATTTTGAGGCTGCTCCTGAGGAGAAATGATTTTATTGACAACATTTTCAACTATTTTAATTTAGAATTTGTACTATTTTTTCATTTTTCAAAGGCAATTGAAACTATAAACAAATGGTCAATTCAACAATCCAGGTTAATTTTCCTTGAACCCTGGCTGTCAAAAAAGTAAGTACAAAACATGTGGCTGTGGCCAGTGTTGCCATGTATAGTCGATCTGTTTTCTGTAGATTTGTGCGAAATATTTCCGTAGACTATAAGCCGGGAACACACTTGACGTTTTTTCCGATCGGTTTTTTTGCCGTCGACGCTATAACAAAATTGTAGCATTATACACTTGGCGGTAAAATATCCGTCACAACCACACCACCATCGCCAGTCGATCACTGACCACCATGCAGCAAGTCTCTATTGTCGTTTTATCATATTGTTATGTGTATTGACATGAACAGAGAACAACATCTCGCATTATTGTTATTTCGTCGTCGATTGAAGGGGAAGCAAAAACATTTGGATGCATCCGTTCGAGACAAACGTCATGCTACGCATTCCTTGTGGCGTTCCGATCTTTCCACTGTCACTTACAACACACCCATTTCGGCAATGATCAACGCACATCACAGTGCGCCGTTGGTAGACTGAACGATGAGTGTGTCTGTCTCCATGTGAGCGGGTGCATTCTATCGTCGGCGTTAAAAAATCCGATCGTCCATTTTTCCGCTGAATGTGTACGTCGCAATAAGATCCCGCCCCCACTGGTACGGCGTCAGTTTTTCTACTGTTCCGCGTCAGCGTTGTATTTTTGCCGATAATGCAGATTTCTCGATTTTACGCAGATAAGAAGACCTTGGCGTTGCCCGTTCATCCATAGAACGTTTCCTCCAAATTTGAGAAAGTTTTATGTACCTTGAAGAATTTTAGGAGGATAAAATATTGTTTTTTTTTGGGAAAATAAAATCGTTAAGTATTTTTCAGGTGTTTTAATCCCTTGTTACACTGCTAAATAACAATTTAACCGTTCTGCAGCTTTTTCTTTTCCCTTGTCGCACACATCTCCACAAAAAAATCTACGCTGACCCATCTTTTCTTTATGTCAATTGTAGGTTGGTAGACATGCATCACAGTGATAAAACACAAAACATGAGAATAATAATTTGTAAGCTGGCCGCTATCTTTGTCTCACACGCGTGTTTCGGGAGAAAGAACTAGATGATTACTTGTCTTCTCCGCAATGTTGTACTGACTTGTTCGCCTTGTATATCCGCGGGTCCGCGATTTTTGAATCCACAAATGGCGAAGTGACAGCGAATGCGCGTATCGTTCTGCGTTCGTCGTGGCTCAAGAAACAAGTTGGTCTGAGAACAAATAGTCTCACTTCGTTGGAAAAATCTATTATTTTTTATTTCATGCCCCCCCTCTCTTCGTCAGCTAGTCCAACCCCCGCACCATCCCGCCATGGAGTACTCAAATCTGGAGAATTTTTGTCCTTGCTTTTTCTGTTTGATATATTTGGCAACGTTGCATCAGTGACACTTGACATCCGCGACATATGACATATCCTTCAGTTTCCGGCGGCCATATTGTAAACGTCTGTGGAACATTTATTAGCCGTTTTCTACATTCGTTACGAAAACCTCGGAAAAACGACGAAGCTAGTAGATAAATGTAAATCTTGTTGCACCTTAAACCGAACTAAAGATGGCTCGCTACGGTCAAAGACCAGAAAACGCTTTAAAACGCGCTAACGGTGAGTCACTTGTAGGCTGACCCCCCATATGGTGATGGTTCATTGCCGGTATTTTTTCAGAATTCATCGAGGTAGGGAAACCTGCCAGAGCTTTGGATACACTACAAGAGGTATTCCGCAACAAAAAATGGGCATACAATTGGTCAGAATCGGTGTTGGAGCCGATTATGTTCAAATATTTGGACCTCTGTGTGGAGCTGAAAAAGTCGCACATCGCCAAGGAAGGACTGTTTCAGTACCGGAACATGTTCCAGTCCGTGAACGTGGGCTCCTTAGAAAACGTTATAAGAGGGTATTTACGGATGGCTGAGGAGAAGACTGAGAATGCAAGAGAGCAATCAGCTCAGGCTGTGATAGATATTGATGATCTTGATAATCTAGCAACTCCTGAAAGTATTTTGCTAAGGTACGTGGGAATAGTTTTCGATATACATTATATTGAGCATGATTAGCCAATATCAAAGTGGTCGGATGATGCTGAATAGCAGTAACGATACCACAGGTTATAGGTACACTACAGATAATACTCTCTTAACTACTTGCTAGTCCTACTTGTGGCAATGCTGTCTGAAGAAAGAGATTTTAACAAGCCACAGTAAGCAATTTTTTTACGGTATGATATATCGTCTTTTCCACAAATATCCATTACTGTAGAATCATAGTTGATTATCTAGTAATATATCAAAATTTCTCAAATGTCACATAATTCTGATGGATCCATCAACTACAGCTACAGATTCATTTTGTACTTGTTAACAAGTGTCGTTTAAAAAAGTTCATTTGCATACAAAAACTAGAGACTACTAATAATGTCATTAGCTAAATGGCTGTTCATCTCAGTAGACTCAAAATGTGATGGTTACTCGTGAAACAAGGTTTACACCATCTTCTCATACTTTTATTGCGTCCATTTCTGAATTTTGATCAGAACAGGGGAAATGGATTGCACTGGATTTTAACTTGTGATTGCAATTATTAGTCTTCAGTATTACCACTTAAGGAAAGGCTTATAGATACAACCCATTGATTAGATAAGCAACTTAAGGTTAGAAAAAATTTGAATTGCAAGAATACATTTTTCTTTTGTTACTAAACTAAATTGTGCAATATTCTGTGCAGGGCCATAAAAGTCAAATGACTATGGGAAGACATTTATGTTTTCAGGATAACTTCTCTTAAGGTATAAACTGCATTTTTTGTGGGTACAGTGGCAATTGGTGAAATAAGCAATTTGAGGTTAGCAAAAATTTCAATTCATTCAAGAATTCCTTCAGTTAATAAAATTGTATATGATTATGTATCTTATACAGGGTGACTTCGAAGTTGAGTCATTTATTTTAACAGTGAGTAGATCTGATCAAAAGAAATGTTTTTTCCTTTACCATTTTTCTGGTAAAATTAAAGTAACAAAGTTATAACCCTTTGGAAGTTTGAGTACCGCCCTGTCTCAATAATATCATGTGCTCGTGTTTGGCAACAACGGATATAATCCGCCTTATCGGTTCATCGCATCGGAAACAAAAAAGCGAAGGAATTTGGAATGATGTTTTTACAATTATGTTATTCAGTTCAGTTATACATACAGTCAGTGTCAGTCGCGTGTGAATAGTGTCTGTTGCGTGGCTCAAACGAAATAAAAAATGGCACATGTTTATGCGGATTGGTTTCCCAATCGAGTGCAACCAACCCCTCATGCCTTTGTTAATGTAGTACAACGGGCTCGTGAATCAGGTGACTTAAGACCTCACAGGGGACCTCACGATCAAATACAGGTCCGCACTGAAATACTTGTCGGGAGGATACTTTATAAAACAAGGTAAACATTTTTTTTTATTTTTACACACATATTTTGGTTTATCTTCCTTCTACAATCATTATCTGAAAATTAATGACTCAACTTCAAAGTCACCCTGTATATTGCAACTATAGGGAGGTACTATACAAAAGTGAATTACAAACACATGTTAAGACAGTCTAGACATTGTGATCTAAAAATCGCCAATTCTAAGAGGAATTTCCTATACTTAGGCTCTTTACCAAGTTAGGATAATTTACATGACATTTATTTAAAAATAAAAACAAACAGATTAGCCATTGTTACATATGCTACAAAACACTAAATGTCAGCACACTTTGCAAGAATGCATGATCATAGATAAACAAAAAGGCAAAAAAACCAACATATTAAAATACATATGACTACGAGCCCCTTCCCACTTCAGTTGGTCCACTTCAAGATTTCTATCAAAATATGCCTTTATAAACTAAACATGATGAAACTATTTACTTCTAAAACAATTTATTTTCTCAAAAACATTTTAGATACACTCTAGTCGTAAAAAATACATATTTGAAATCACTTAGACCTATAACTATTAGAACATCTGAAAAATAAACAATGTGCGAATAAATGCGCGAAGTTAACAAAGCAACAATTGAAAGATTACCATTGGGTAACATCACCTTTATTTATTTTCTTCCATCCATTTTATAGCCTTTTTTGAGGTATGGCACGCTGCACCATCTTGCTGAAACACAAAATCTTGGCCATATGTCAAACATTCTTCCATCACTGGAAAAAGCGATTCTTCTAAAATTGCCAAATATTTGTTTGTATCCACATTTCCATCAATAAAATGAAGTTTTCCTACTCCTTTTGATGACTTACTGCTCCAGACCATAATGGATGCTGGAAATTTCACTTTTCTCTTCAGACAGTCACCTTGGAATGCTTCATTTTTTTTGCGAATAACTCTACTGCGACTGCCACCAACACAAACTTCGAATCGGGCCTCATCACTCCATTGTATTGCACACCATTCTTGAGGTGTCGATTGTCTATATCCTTTAGCCCATCTAAGTTGATTTTTCTTTTGCAGTGGAGTTAATAGTGGCTTTTCTTTGGCCTATAAACAAGTTGTGCAACTTTAGGGTTTTTACTTCACTTTTTCTTATAAGAAAACTTACCTTACAAGTCCTAAATCCCAGTTTGTGGGTCTCTCTATGAGTTGTGGACCTCGAAATTCTCCTTCCAACAGCGTGACTCCACAGAGCACTTAATTGTAAATAATTTTTCACGATTATTCTTCTTAATGCTCTTCGTTCGGCATTTGTGATATTACTTTTTTTCACAAATCATGGCTTAATATTAACTGAACCAGTTACGTTATATCTTCTAACAATATTTCTCACACTGTACTGCCATAAGTCTAACAAAGTTGCAATTTCTGAGTTTGATTTCCCAGAATTACAAAATTTAATTATTAGTAACCGAATTTTCTCACTAATAACCTTTTCTCTACCCATTTTGAAAACCTTAACTACCCAAAACTATTTTGAATGTATTCTGACAGCTGTGATTAATAAAAACAATTGTCATGGCTTTTATTTTTCACAGCCACCAGCATTATAGACTTATTTTGCATTGAAATGAAAATAGGTTGATATGCTGTAATTGCAACATGTGTTATTTTTATGCTGCAAATTTGATTAGGGAGTGATAAAGTTGGTGTTTTCTACTATATATTATCAAAATATTCATTGCTAATATTTTAAACCTATAACACCCTGCTACATTTTTATTATTTGTGTTAGATAAGAAAAAAGCTAAGATTTCAATAGTTGGGCCAACTGAAGTGAGAAGGGGCTCGTATATTACAAAAATATGGTAGTAGCACATGAAACAGATGATAATAAAACATAAGCAACAAACACAGAAATCTACATTTTAAAATACATATAAATATAAATGGTTCATCTGTAATCCAATTTAAAAAACCATCTTGATAAAGAAATGGCCCATGAGCAAAATGCATTCATTCATTACACTGTGTAATGTTTAGTAAAATAAATAATACAAATATATCATTGGTTGTAGTTTATGATATATTTTTATGTAAAAAAACTTGATAATCAACCTGTTTGTCTTACAATTTATCACCATTGGTCAATTGATCATCAGAAAAGCTGACCAAAAGCTGCAAAAAAATGGTGTAAAAAATGAGTTTTTATTACGATATGAATCGGTATATCTATAGTTTTATATTACAGTGCAGTCTCTGGAGAAGATGCCCAGGATCGTTCAGACCGAACTATCCTGACACCGTGGGTGAAGTTCCTCTGGGAGTCGTACTGCCAATGCCTTGAGCTACTTAGAACTAATGCTCATGTAGAAAACCTTTATCATGATATCGCTAGGATGGCATTCCAGTTCTGCCTTAAATATAATAGGAAAACTGAGTTTAGAAAGCTGTGTGACAAGCTTAGGAAACATCTAGAGGATATTTGCAAGTTGCCACAGCAGGTAGCCAATGTGTCCATGTCAAAACCTGAAACTCAACAGCTCAACCTAGAGACACGTCTGCATCAGCTGGATTTTGCCATCCAGATGGAATTGTGGCAGGTAATTTCGTTTAGTTCTACTTCAAAAATGAAAATAGTATGTTTATCCCTCTCAGGTTAACAAAATAAAATATTATCCACACATTTACTTCTATAGAAGGTCAAAATGTTCATATTTGAACGTAAAATTTTCCGTTTTTTTGATTTATGGTCAAAAAATGGAGGTTCCATTTAAAAAAATCGACTAGACCTTCAAACGACCTTGAAGATCAAGGTCAAATTCAAGTCTTCGTTAGCTGGCGAAAACTACTATCAATCGCCGGGTTTAGTTTTTTCGTACCATTATTAGTGGGGTTCCGGAATTTCAATAGTAACAGTAATCTCGGTTAATGAAGATATGCGACATAATCGAATGTTTGAAAGTGCATAGAATATCCTCATAAATAGAGTCCCGGTATTCGAAGTTTATACTAAAGGGTAGTAGGGGGGGCTAATGTATCTACGGCATTAAAAAAAAAAACATTGTTTAAATTGAAAATGCTACAGCTGTTTCCGAAAATCTGGCTCCGCGGCTATTACCATTGGATCTGAAATGATCTGCTATCCCCCCATTTAAATTTATGACCAATATCGGTCCATAATTTCCAAGATATTTGACCGTTTCTAGATGTTTGACTAACACTGTATGTTTCCTAAAATATTTTTCTTTGTAGGAGGCTTATAAAGCAATCGAAGACATCCACAATTTGATGAACCTGTCAAAGAAAATGCCAGTACCGAAGACAATGGCAAATTATTACCAAAAACTTGCAATGGTATTTTGGAAGGCTGGTAATTACCTCTTCCATGCAGCCGCCCTCTTTAAACTGTTCCAGTTATCCAAAGAGATGAAGAAAAATATCACACCTGAAGAACTGCAAAGGTGCGTTTTTTTTTATATTTAAAAAATATACCAGGGAGCAAATTGAAATTACTACAAATAGAAAAAAATAAAGCCCCAACGTTTGTTTATACTATCGGCTTCGTTCTTCCACTTGATATTGAATTTATGTTTTAAACTCATTTGTGCAATGTTTAACTACATGCCATTTTCCAATTTTCAATTGCCAGGAATTCTTTAGCCAATCCACTCGCGATATATTTTTTAACATACCAAGTATGATATAAAATACCTTTCATCCATTACAGAGACGGGTGAACGTCGCTTTTAATATTTTATATTCTCATTGACTTATAAATCCTCATTAAACTTTAACACTATTTTTTTTGTTTAATTCCAGAATGGCATGTAGAGTATTAATAGCTACACTTTCAATACCGTTGCCGTCAGCCCATCCGGAGTTTGATAGGTTCATTGAAACTGACAAGTCTCCATTGGAGAAAGCACAGAGACTCGCAGTTTTGTTGGGCCTTTTCCAGCCACCTACTAGAGCAAGTTTGCTCAAAGATGTGGTATGTATTTAACACCTTAAACGTTTTAAGAAAGTAATGAAAAATAATAATAATAATTTATTAGGTGAACCATGTGGCACTAAGATGGTGCTTCCCTTTGATCACTGACTTCGGACATCTGGAACATCTTAACAACCACTTGATGTAATTAGCATTCATAAATGGCAGTTTAAAAAATCAGCCTTAGCAAAAGTGCTTCTAGCAGTGGTTCTAGTGGTTTCTACTAGGACACATGTTGTTCTGCTTACTGTTAGATTGCATTCTTCCCTTTTCTAGGCGCGACCAAATTTAGTGCCAAGAAAAACAGCGGCGAAACAAACAACGAAGATCAAAGTGAAAACAAATAAACAAAAAATCTACCATTTACAGTGAATATTAAGTCAAATTTGTGATTCAAAAAATCTGTCAGAATAAAGATAATCATGATTTTTATCAACCCTGTTGGGGAATACGTTAATCAGTATAACACTATTTTCTCATTTCCTTTCACTGTTACTTTTGTCATTAGGTTCGCGTGAACGTGGTGAATTTAGCCAGTCCTCAACTCCAAGAGTTGTACACGTGGTTGGAGGTCGATTTCCATCCCCTATTGCTGTGCGAAAGGGTGCATGGGGTCATAAAGACACTAGAGGCAGAGGAGAATTCTCTCTTGCAACAGTACGTACCTGCTTTGCAAGATGTTACTCTGGTGAGGCTTGTGAGGCAGATCGCGCAGGTTTATCAGACCATTGAATTTGCAAGGTGAGAAATGATAGTAGTAGTATTTTATTCAGCCAAAATACAAACACGTGGTTCAAATGGCAAGTCACAAAAAAGAATGAACATGAAAAAAAATGTGTTATCCGAGGATATATTCATAAAATGTGCAATAATGAATTTAAATGTGAAATTATATGTTATTACTAAGGTCCGGATTTTTATGTGGTATAAAACTGCAAAATATGTTTTTTTAGATAAATATGTATTAACCCTTCTTCGCATTCACGTATCACTGATTTTTTTTGTCCGTTTCCTTAGACTCATAGAAGTGGCGAAATTCACTACACCCTTCCATTTGGAACGTCTATTGGTAGATTGCGTACGTCATAACGACATGCAAATCCGTATAGATCACGGCAAGAACTGCATCCACTTTGGCATGGATCTCAGCGAAAGTCAACGCGAAGACAAGCCCGAAGGTCCGACTTTGCAAGTGATGCCCAGCGAACAGGTAAACATTTTCACATAGAGCGAAGCAAATTAAGGCACTGGAGATAGCTAACGCGGCTAACAGGACACTGTGATTCGAACGAAAGTCCCATTTATTACACTGATTTGCATTTGCAACTACATAACGCCATTTTTTATTATCCCTTTAATTCGTGGTTGAATTGTATTTTCTGAGTACGTCTCGCCCGTCAAGTTTCGAAGAATAAAGAAAAGTCCAACGAGAAATCCATCGTATGAGTTTTGTATTCGCTTGACGCTAATCTATTTGCATAGAACCAGATTGATGGCAGGGCTGAAATAAAGATATGATTCCATGCATGTGTATATTGAATTGAAGCTGACAACTACCAAGTCTGTCTATTTATTTATTTTTTTATAGGTCAGAAATCAACTGGTGAACATGTCAACGGTCCTTAATAGAGCTGTCAACGTGATAAACCCCAACAAGAAGAGAGCCGAAAGGGAGAAACTTAGAACGGCAATGGTTCAAATGTATCATGAGACAAAGGTCAGGGAGCATCAGAAGATTTTGCAGAGGCACAAGATAATTGAAGATAGAAAAGAATATATTGAGAGGTTGAATACTGTACGAGAAGAGGAAGAGCAGAAAAGGTTCACTTACCTATTTCTTCTTGAAATCATCTTTTACTTCCCACGCTCGATGACAGTATTGTAATCGAGAAAGTATTGAAATTCGTTAATCTGTCTGACCGCTAATTCTCGGCCGGTCTATAACTTGAAAAGTACCGCTCGGTTTTTGATGAAATTTTCACACAAGGTTACTGCTATGCCAAGGAAGAAAAAGCTTTGTAGGTTCTGAAAATCGGTCCAGTGGCGACGCAGAAGTAAACAAATATAAAAATCGCTCAAGCTTCGTTTTTCGACTCCTCTTTGTAAAAACCTTGGGGTTATAAAATATTGGGGCATATTAATAGACTTGCAACACCGGTAACGCTACGCACGTATGAGACATACTTTAGACACCGCAGATTTCGCCTCACATTTGCCCTTAAAAATATGTTCAGTCTATCGGCCGCATAGTCTAAATCTAACATCTCTAAAACGCAAAACACGAATGCATGGGTCATCTAATCTAACAAAAGCTATTATAATCATTTATCAAACAGTTTTACAGTAGACCTCCAAAGAAATGAGGCTCCCATGTACAGATACGCTCATCGGTGCAATCTAAGGAAATATCTTTTCATGAAAAGCCCAAATATTCCATTATTGGCTCTGACAATACTACGTTTTTTTTGATGTCATTGCACTACATGTAAAATTGTACTGAAGTAGTGATTTCGAAGGCGTGGGAGGCATAGAGTCAATCTACTTGGCGTGATGTTTTATCGCACAATTACATTATTTTTGAAACCATTATAGATTAGAGGAGATGCAGCGGCAACATATAATGGCTGAACAGAAACGCTTGGAGCATGAGAGGGAAGAAAGAGAAAGAAAAAGGGCTTTGAATGAGATACAACAAATAAAGGATAGGCAGTTTAAGGAAAAGCTGCAGCAGATCATCCAGACCGGTCATGGGCAAAAGATCCTCAAGAAAATGGATGAAGATGTGAGTATTACCTAGATATCTACAGTGGACCTCCGGTAATCCGACAAACATTATACAGGGCAGTGTCGGACAATCTAATTTGTCGGATTATAGAGCACTGCCTAAGATTTTTTACGAAAGAGTACCTTGTAATCCGACAAATTACATATCTAATGGTACGATTATATGTGTTATGTATATGTACAATGTACTTTGAAGTACAAATCATACAACATAGTTTATGTATGTCGAATTTAGTATAATTAAATAACAATAGAGAGCTTACTTTTTATTATAAAATTACGCATAAATGCACATATATATGTACCAAAATAATCAAGAATTATTAATCAAAATCATTAATGAATTTATGAAATTATGAAGCTTGGAAATATTCATCAATTTTTTTTTGTTTAAGGTTGTTATAACGCGAGATCAGAGCTTTGTCCCTCAGTCTTCTCAAAAGTAAAAGTTCGTTGTAGGATGTACCATTGTCTTCAGCCCATTGTAAACCTAGCTCAAAGGCGTTAATTGCGTCTTGTGCTGTGACTTGTGGAGCAGTTGCAATCATGTCGTCCTTATTTTCCTGATTGTTTGTTGTATAATTAGAAACCTGTTTTATAATCTCTTCGTCAGACATTTCATGAAAAACATTTTTCTCTTTATCCATTCCACGGCACCAGATTTCCAAATCTTCCGGACTTACCTTTGTTTCAGTAGCGACTTGTTCTATAACTTCCGAAGTTACACTGATTTGTGGAACGTTGCTAGGAGTGGTGACTATATCTGGCCATAACTTTTTCTAGACTATTTAATAGTTCATTAGGGTAACGCATTCCACGACTGACAAAGATCAAAAACCAAGTCATTCATATTAAATTCTTTTAAAGTTTTTTCTATTGGTTGGTCTTTTGATACGGCTCTCAGAAGTAGGTTTTTCTTATAGTCTTGCTTGACAAACTGAATGATATTCTGGTCCATTGGTTGAATTAGTGCAATGCAATTTGGCGGAAGAAACATCGCAGTGATGCATTTATCCTCAGTTGTTAGCTCTTCTTCAGACGGATGACCGGGAGCGTTATCAAGAAGCAGCAACGCTTTCTGATTAAAATTATGGTCTTTTAACCATTTTCTAACTTCAGGTATGAAGCATTCATCAAACCACTTTTTGAAAAGGTCTTTTGTCATCCATGCACTTTTTTGTCTGTAATAGTGTACAGGTAGATCAATTTTTTTGAATGCCCGTGGTTTATTAGATTTCCCAATGACCATCATCTTAAGCGCGTGTGTGTGTGCCCGCAACGTTAGCACATGATAGTATGATTACACGCTCTTTACTTACTTTTCGTCCAGGTACGGATTTTTCGTTACAAGAAACGAAAGTTTTGTTAGGCATCACACGCCAAAAAAGCCCTGATTCGTCTGCATTGTACACCTGTGACGGGTCAAGATTTAAATCGTTCACCTTTTGCAAAAATCTTAATTTAAAGGGCTCTATGCAGGTGGCATCGTTAGAAAGTTTCACTCCTGTAATAGTCGTTAAACGTATGCCATAACGCCTTTTAACACGTTCTAGTCATCCTTTGCTGGCCACAAAATCATCTTTTTTTTTGTTATTTCCTTATAAAAAAACTTAGCTTTCATGGCCAACACGGGTCCTGAAATTGGTGCATGCTTATTTCTTTCCTGAAGAAACCACATGTACAAAGCTTCTTCCACTTCTGGATGTTCAGCTTTCTTGAGTGTCTGTCTCTTGCCTGGCCCGCAGTCAGTAGTCGACCCGAACTTCTTGATCTTCTCGTGGTTTCTTTTAATGTAATAAATTGTAGATCGGCCTACGCCGTATTCACTTGCTAAAGTACTGAAAGTTTCGTTGCGATTTAAGCGGTCTAAAATATCACATTTTTCATTAATTGTCAATGTTTTGTGCTTTCACTTCTGAGTTTGTGATGACATTACTAGGTACTATACTTAATATACAATGAATAAATAGTAAACAATGAACGCACGCTAGGCCGTACCGCTATCACAAGTAGTCAAATTCAAACTAAGTAAAACAATGCTTACGCGTCGAGCACGATAGCGGTGGCGCGTACAAGTTGTAACCTGTTCAAACCTGCGTGATCTACATTAGCGAAGATTGTCAAATACGTATGTATGTAATATTCAAAGACATGTCGGATTACAGGGGGTGCCGGATTATCGGGGGTCCACTGTATATATACAGTGTCCCATTTTAATCTTCCCACCTAAGTATTTTGAAAGCTGCTCATCCTTGCGAAGTAAGTTTAATACCAAAGTTGTAGGGTTTTGTGGAGGAAAAATGATGGTGACCTTGATTACGACCTTCAAGGTTAAATGAATTTTCTCAAATAGAAACCTCTCATTGGCCTTGAAAATAGCAAAATTGACCCTCCGAACATCACCCTGGCCATGACCTTGACGTACACGTTGGCGGACTTGAAAAAATATTACTCCATTTCGCTTCGAGTTTGGTTTTTCAAACTATTTTTACTCGTTATTTTTTAAAGAAATTTGCTGCTTTCAATAAAAAACCGAATAACTAAAAGCGGGTATCAGCAGTGTTATTTAAAATTATCGAAAATTCCAACATTGGTTATGAAATTAAACGACGGACTTGACAATCAGGCAAAAAATAACACTCAATTATTTGCACTGATATTGTTCAAAATGATCACCATTTCTTCTTAGGCATAAGTTTATTTCTCGTCGAAAATTTATGTACCTTTAGAACATCTGCAATTTCCATTATTTTCGGTGACAAATCGCGGTCTGATTAGATTAAATTTTCATTAGGACATAAAAAAACTAGACGCCGATCAGATAGCAGCAAAAGAAGCTGAAGAGCTGCAGAAAGAAAGAAGAGAACTGCAGGCTAAGCTGAAATCGCAGGAAAAGAAGGTAGACTACTTCGAGAGAGCCAAACGATTGGAGGAAATTCCTCTAATACAGGCTGCCATCAAAGAAAGGCAACTACAGGATCAACAGTTCTGGGAGCAGCAAGAAAAGGAGCGTATTGCTGCTGCGGTTGAAGAGAGAAAGTTGGCTGTAGCTACTAGAGATAGGTAAGTAAGCTGAGTATCTCCATTTTAGTGATTGATCACAACAAATCATTTTAGGTTCACCATTACTGACTGCAATCTCATATTTAAAAATATGCGGTATTTGATTTATCTCAATTGATTCGTTTATTTCAAAAAAGTTGTAAGTCGTATAATTTTTATTTTTTAGGAGACAATAAAAATTGTGGCACTGACAAATAGACCGGTTTATCTTTTTTTCAGTTTGATAATAATAACAATGGAGGAAACCCGAAAAAATGCTATGGATTTACGTGATTTTATTAGCAAGTAGGGTTAGTGGTATACAGGGTGGTCCTTAATGACGTGCTAATATTTTAGGTGATTCTTGTGCTTTAAAAAAAAATGATAACGCAAGTCGTAAATATCTTACCTTCGAGATACAGGGCGGTAAAGTTTTCGGAAAAAAAATCTGTTTTTGATAATAATTGTGATACTATTCTAAATATGAAATTTCTCGCACATCTATGCATCAGTGTCCATTTTCTGATGTACAATTTTAATAGTTCTACCAATGGCCTCCATAAGAATTTTACAGTGAATATTTTCGAAGAAAAAAACTATTTTTGATATCTTCATGCATTTCTAAGTAAGCAAATTTGGTTTGTTGACTTTTTTCATCCGACGCATGGGTTTTACTTAAAAATAAAATCGTTTGAGTTCAGGGTGATATCTCTGAATATTTCGCTCATGTATAAAAATGCCATAAGTGGTGTCGGGCTCTTTCTTCAAAATATGAAACTAAAACTCGTGCAGCTTTTAGACAACACGCTTTCATCGGTAATTTTGATGCACTTGTGTAATTACTTCCGAAAATCAGTTGCTTTCATCCTTTTAAATTGCAACGGTCAATTTATCTGAGTGTCCTCTCACGATATAACTCGCTTCAAACAATACTGTTTGCCTAACGTGCAATCCAACTGACTGAATCATTACAAAGTATTTTTCCTGTAAAAGGTTGGCCAGAATGAAGCCGGACAAGGAAGAGTTCCTCCAGAGACTGAAGAAAGAACGTAACCAGATGTACGAGGATAAATTGAAAGAGTTCGAGAAGATGCTGGCGGAGGAAAGAAAGAAGAGACTCGCTGAGAGGAAGGCTAAAAGGAAGGAGGAGAGACAAGCCAAATGGCTGAAGGAGAAACAAGAGGAAGCAGGTTGGTTAAAACTAGTTAATCTCTAGCTTTCATGTCGTAAAGATGCTCGAGTACGCAAATATATTCAAAGTAACGAAATAGCAATTAAATCGTTAATCAAATGTATCCTCGTTCTCGTTCACTCCATTTAGGCTTTTTATTCTGTTAGCACTACAACAATAGGCTGAAAAGTACGATGACACTCTTGTGTAAAGTCATTTTTGTGTAATTTCGCTGTAAAAAAAGTTTTTTTATTTCACAGAACGCAAAGCTGCCGAGCAACGTCGTCGCGAAGAAGAAGAGCAGCAGCGGATCGAGGAGGCGGCCCGCAAGGAGCGCGAAGAAAGGGAACTTCAGGAGAGGGAGGAGCGAGAGCGCAAAAAGCGCGAACATCAGGAGATGCTCGACAGGATGGCGGCCATACAGAAAGCGAGGGAGGAGGAAATCGAGAGAAAGTTGCAAGAAGAGAAGGAGAAAGGCAGAGATAGAGAGGTGAGTTCAATGCCCGTTTTCATTATAAGTGGTGATTCAGACGCGTAGAGAAATGTTTTAGTGTCCTAAAAGTAGCATTACTTTTTTGTAATATGAGTAAAAAAATGTCGGGAACGAATAAGGCGATTTTTAATGACGGGATGAAAATTTTTCTTTTATAAGACTTTGATCCTCATTTTGGGGACTGTCACAAAGGTCATTATGAAAATATTTTCTCAACAGAGCTGACGTGATTCGCCTTGTCTAGATTGGTATCGCATATTTCATTACAATTACATTATAATACGTGTGTCTTTTAGGTGTCTTCGTGGAGAAGAGGCGGCGATAAAGAAGATAGAAGAGATGAAAGAAAACCTGCTGCCGGCGGCGGTGGATCATCCTGGAGAAACGCGGCAGATGCTAGGGATGCAAAAGATTCCAGAGATAAAGATACCAGAGACTCTCGCGACATCAAGGATTCGAGGGATTCCAGAGATTCCAGGGACACTAAGGATTCGCGAGACAAAGAAGAGAGAAAGCCTGATGTCTGGAGGCCATGTAAGATTAATATCAATTGATGATTTGGTTTTAAACATACGATTGCAGACACTGTGCATAAAATATAGCTGTGGGCCTGCAGTTTGAAATGTATTCATTGAAGTTTGACACTATTGATGCTGAGCACTACCGAGTTACTCCGAGTAACTGAACAAGGTCACCGGAAAGCAGCTCGTGTAGAAATCTTAACGAAGCTAAGGTTGACATCCTTTGATTTGTATCAGTGCCTTGGATATGTCACTGTCCTTTGGTAGTATCAAGTTTTTAGGTGCACTTCGAGCACCAAATTCAGATTCCTGTTCGTCCTTGCCGCAATACACGTCGAATGGATTCGTACCTTTATGTTTAATAATCACCGTGTATTTTCTAGCTCGCTTGCGATCAGATGATGCGAAGGGAGGTGACAGTTGGCGTATGGGCGGTGACAAGAAGGAAGATAGCAGGGACAGCGGCAGGAGCGGATTCGAAAGGGACAGAGACAGGGACAGATATGGAGATAGAGACAGATTCACCAGAGATAGAAGACCGGACGATAAAGATAGGAGGGACGATTTTAGAAGGGATGACAGGGATAGAAGAGATGATAGAGATAGAAGGGACGATAGAAGAGATGATCGAGATAGAAGAGATGATAGAGATAGAAGAGATGACAGAGATAGAAGAGATGATAGAGACAGGAGAGATGACAGGGATAGAAGAGATGATAGGGATAGAAGGGGTATGTTTTTTCAAATTACTAAACTAAACATGACGAAACTATTTACTTCTGAAACAATTTATTTTCTCCAAAACATTTTATATACACTCTAAGCCTAAAAAATACATATTTGAAATCATTTAGACCTATAACAAATAGATCATCTGAACAAATAATGTGCGAATAAATGCGCGAAGTTAACAAAGCAACAATTGAAAGATTACCATTGGGTAACATCACCTTTATTTTTTATTACGGCTGAAATTCTTTGGGGCATAGTATTAACCAAGTTTTGGCAAGCATTTGGTATAAAACAATCCCATATTTCTTGAAGCTTTTGTCTCAGTTCGGTGATTGTACGAGCAGGATGTTGTCGTAGGACCTTTTTCATCTCGTGTCACAAAGTTTCAATAGGTGACAGATCTGGACTGCTAGAAACCCATTTCAAAAGTGGTACATTATTTTCTTCCATCCATTTTATAGCCTTTTTTGAGGTATGGCACGCTGCACCATCTTGCTGAAACACAAAATCTTGGCCGGATGTCAAACATTCTTCCATCACTGGAAAAAGCGATTCTTCTAAAATTGGCAAATATTTGTTTGTATCCACATTTCTATCAATAAAATGAAGTTTTCCTACTCCTTTTGATGACATACTGCCCCAGACCGTAATGGATGCTGGAAATTTCACTTTTCTCTTCAGACAGCCAACATGGAATGCTTCATTTTTTTTTTGCGAATAACTCTACTGTGACTGTCACCAACACAAACTTCGAATCGGGCCTCATCACTCCATTGTATTGCACACCATTGTTGAGGAGTCCATTGTCTATGTTCTTTAGCCCATCTAAGCCGATTTTTTTTTTGCAGTGGAGTTAATAGTGGCTTTTCTTTGGCCTATAAACAAGTTGTGCAGCTTTAGGGTTTTTACTTCACTTTTTTTATAAGAAAACTTACCTTGCAAGTGCTAAATCCCAGTTTGTGGGCTTCTATATGAGTTGTGGACCTCGAAATTCTCCTTCCAACAGCGTCACTCCACAGAGCACTTAATTGTAAATAATTGGCACGCCTGTTTTTCACGATTATTCTTCTTAATGCTCTTCGGTCGGCATTTGTGATATTACTTTTTTTCACATATCGTGGCTTAATATTAACTGAACCAGTGACGTGTGAAGTACAGAGTCAACGTATCTGACGGAATTTTTTTTTGTTGCAGGCGAAGATACCGGCAGCTCCTGGAGGAACGCGAGGAAGCCGGATGAGGAGCGCAGATCAGGTGCACCATCTAGAACGGACGCTTGGCGTTCCAAAGATTCTGAGCGTAGAGACGAGCCGCTAAGAAGGGGAGGGGACGACAAGAGAGGTGGGGATGCCGGAAGAGATGACAGAAGGGGTGATAAGAGAGATGATAAGGACGGGAAGAGCGCTCCGCCACCAAAGGAGAAACGTGAGTATTTGTGAAGTTAGTTCATTTTACTTCAACTGACTTGATTTCGAGTTAATTCACTAGGGTTTTCCCGTATCCGGACTTTTTTTATACCCGGGTATAGAGTATTTTTTTAAATATCCGGATACTTTCAATTGCAAATAAAACTTCTTATCATACAGCGTTTTGGTCCATCCAAATATGTATTTATACATTACAAATAAACTTATTTACAAAATAATATTGTTTCTTAAAAATCATGCATACAGAATCCTAATGAAATATGACAAAAAATAATAAACTCCTTTATAGCAAAACGACAGCATAAATTAACATGTAACAAGACTTAGAAAAGAGGTCAAGGATATTCATTTTAAAGCATAGGATAATTTTAAACAATCCAGGATATTGATGAAAATTATTTTTAATCAATGCGTCAAAGGAACGATTCAAAAGCCTAATCTGTGCTTTTGCTGCAAAACTTCGTGCAATGGAGAAACCTCGTTCGCACTCTGTTTGAAGTTGGCTCTATGGATAATAGTGCTGCTTTCTATAGCGTATAAAGTATGCTTTGCTAAATTGACTACCGAATAAAGATGTAAACAGATAATGAAAACATGAGAGTGACAAGTGATCCCACTATTATTTCCAAGATTTTGAGCTTGAATTGTCCAGGAGCATCTTTGATCATCTGTTCGAAAAATAAAGAATTACATAATCTTATTCAAAATCATTTTTTTAACGAATCTGCATCTGCAGGAACAAAATAGGCTCAAAAATTGTTGGAACAATTATCATAAACTAATTCCAAAAATTGTTCTTCCGAACCGGGCGAAGTTTTCCTAGGTTTTTTTGGGTCATTGTCAACGAAAAAAATCCTTACGAGGTTTTCTCCAAGGCGCTAGTAAATTATTAGACAGGAAAATAAAATTTCCTAATTTTTATTGATACCCCGGGTATTTGACTATACTTTTTAAAAAATTAGTGTCTTGTTCTTATAAGTTTTGGTAGGGAAAGTTAACGATTTTACTTAATTTTCTCTCCTTCAGAAAGGCTGGGCTGTATTTCTACTATTCTGTGTCAGCGCTCTCCTATTGCGAGGCTACGTTTTCTTTTTGAACTGTAAGAAATTTCAAGTTGATATAACGTATAAATCAAAAGTATGAGCGATACGGCTCTTGGTAGCGATTTAAACCAAGTCCTGCTTTGCTATACTCGCCACTCGATAGATCGTGTCGTGTTATGTTACTGTGTTCTAGCATAGGTTATCCGTCACTTTTTTTATATATATTTATACGAATGTTTTTGAATGCAGCTCGCGAACCACAGACATCAGGCAACCAACAGCAGCCATCGGAGGAAGAAGACGGCTGGTTACCGGCTCCGAGACGTCGATAGATTAAATATTGATTGACCGTTGTTTTTCTAGATATCTTTTAGGTTATTTCACATATTCTACATATACGGTAATTTCCTTTTTGTTTACAGGTTTTTATTGGAAATGGTAGCGCATTTGTAATATTAAATCTGTGTACCACTGCGGGTGTATAACGCTTTTATTGTATATTTTGAGAACTGTTACTAGTGATCAATAAATAATACATATTACAGAAGTAGGATATTTTTTATTACCCATTCGATTGAATCATCTTTAAAATGTACCCCATTGCACTATGTAAATATGTAAATGGCTGCCCGAGAACTATATATCGCACTTCTACGGAGGAAAATATAGCTTGTAACATGGAAAACAATTGACATGTGTTGACAGTCATAACATACAAATGTTCGTACTGTCACGAATGGCCTTCACTTTTCGCACTTGAAACTTTTTTATTCGCTCAAAGCTCACAGAATTTACTTAGTCTTAACCTACCATCACCCACACACTGCTTTGTGTTCCAATATTCTGTGGGCATACAAGTACCACGTATTTTTAGACTCAAAATACGCCGATTAGACATGATTTACCGCTATGCAAAAATGCTTCGTTTGTTCGTTAGATCGCGCCAAAGCTTTCGTCCTTAAAACGCATTTTTCAGATATTTTAAGATCGAATAGTCCGATCTAAATGAAATTTGGAACACGCGTTTTGCTATTTGACTTTTACGAAACACTCTCACAAAGGAGAACTTTCCCGACAACACTGATTTTATTTTTTATTTGGTAGATCCTTTTTTCTACTGTTTCTTCTATAAAATCGGGCAATCTCGTATAGTTTAAGAGAAAAAAAAAAGAGTCACTACAAGATGTTCCCGAGCTTCTTGTTAATTCTTTCAGTGTATGTTGAGTTTTATCTACATAATATAGGCAATAGTACGAATCTTTCAATATGACCACCATTTTCGTTCCTGTAAATTCAGCAAACTGCATATCAAGGACATTCAAATAAAATTAAAAGAGAAATAGTACCAGAAAAGGAGTGCTGCATACGAACAAGGTTTCTGAGATCCGATCAAAAACAAAATGTAAGAGTATTATTCTTACTTGTCATATGAGTTTCCTGATAGGATCTTTAGTGATCACCATGAAAATGTATTAGATTCATGTAGAGCCAAGTCTTGATATGTTTTGTGATTGGCTTGATCACTATTACACTTATTTTTATGACTAAATTCCAAATGTTTGTATCTGTTACAAGTGCTTCAAATTTTGATGATTGGTCAGACACTGACTAAGTAATGGAACTTTGACTCGGAATAATACAATGGAACATGTACTGAGCTTATGCTGCCTATGTTTTGCCTTGGAATGTTTCAGCACCTGTCATTCTAAAGAGCGTTTCATGTTAGTTTTCATTGTACACAGTGTACACTGGAGTATTTTACTAGAATCTGAGCTAATAAAGTCAGGATCTTCCTTAATTGTATAATCATCCAGCTGATTTTTAATTTTGAATACACTGTTACAGGTAATACATGTACTATGCTCCGAATATCTCAACGTATGTTTAGTTAAACTAGCTTTTGAGGTGGTTTTGTACGCACAATATGGACATGTATGTATTTTACTAGAAACAGATGCTGCAAAGTCGGGATGTCTGTTAATTATATGATTACCTAAACTCCGATTACATTTAAACGACGAATCACAATGAATACAAGTAAAGAGCTTATGGCTATCTTCTGCCTCTGAATGCTGCAGCAGATGCCTATTTAAGTGGCTTTTTAAGGTGGTTTTATATGTACAATATGTACATTCATGTATTTTACTAGAAATAGTTGCCAAACAATCGGGATGTTTCTTGATTATATGATCATCCAGACTCTGTTTATGCTTGAATGTTGCATTGCACTGAATACACATACAGCGTGTATGGCTGGTTGATGTTTCTGAATGGCGTAGAACATGTTCGGCAAGAAATTCCTTTACGGTAGTTGTGAATGTGCAAAATGTACATTCAAGTATCTTACTATGTTTCCTAATTGTATGGTCATCTAAATAAATCTTTGTTGTAAATTTCTCATTACAATGAATACAAGTGTTCCTATCACAAGTAAGATAGAACTTATAGCTATCAATATAATTGCAATTATAACTATTAGAATTCTCCTCGTAGTGATGCCCTCCTGGAGACGTGCAATTCAGATCTCTGAAATCAAATATATTTGTTTAAGCTATTTCGTACAGTTTGCGAGTTAGTAGAGAGTTTTATTGCTCTTATTTTGCTGCTTCATTATGATCTTCCTTATTTCCATTTTGCGCAGTATCGAGCCAAAGGAATAGGAAAAGGAGGGCTTATATGGTAAGGAATTTTTGCTTTATTCAGCGCTGTGCAGTCGCAAAGCTTGGTAAACTTAATTAAAATAAAATATCAAGTTAAAAAAACATAGTAGTAATAGTAGAAAGATTTATTTAGTATGTTTGTCTGCATAAACAAAATTTAGTATTATAGATCATTTTTCTACTATTGGAACTCACACATCCAGAAACTCTTGATAAATATTCCAGTTTACAACTAAAGTTGATTATAACTTTCTCATAATGATTATCAAAATTTAATTGAGAGTCAACAAAAACCGCAAGGTTTTTAAAATTTTCTATGTATTCAATATTTTCACCATCAATATTCAGTTGAACATTTTATATATTGTTTTTTCCAATTAACATATCTTTCATTTTACTTGTATTTAAATCAAGTTTATTGGTTTCTAATAATTTTGGAATAAGTTTCAAGCCTTCATTCATATAAGAGATACCAATCTGAATATTATGAGTACTTATATAAATCAAAGTGTCATAGGCAAAAATTTGAATTTTATATTTTTTTAAATATAATTTAAATAAAATTAAAATACATGCAACAAACAGGCGGTGTTCCAAATAAATTGAATTAGGCTGACATGTTACTTGAAGTTTTCCATAAAAAAAATTAACAGGGTTTTGAAATTTGAAAATAAAAAGAAATAAGCAACCACGACATCTGTCAGTAGTTAGTCACTTTATAAAATCTCCTTTTCCAAGCAACATTGTTTGATGATCCTGTCAAAAATAAGAAAACAAGACTCATTTTTGTGCACAAAAAACTCTGGTGTGAAAAGAAAACTTACCTTTCTGGAAATTCACGTGATGTTGCAATTTTATTTTTGGTATCTAATATTCCATCGTCAAATTGAAAATCATATTCTGAAACAGCACTACACATCTTTGACTCGGTTTCTATTGTTTCTGTTTTTACTTTACATTCAATTTCAGTATCCCCATCTTCCAAATTAACATTGCGCATATTTGAATCAATCTTTGTTTTAACTTTTCCATAATCCGATTCCACCTTCATGTCTACATTTTCTAAATCAGCATGCCACATATTTGAATCAGTGTCTGAAATCTCTGTTTCAAGTTTCCTGTTTTTACATTCTACATTTTCCAAATCGACACTGTACATATTTGATCCAACCTCTGTTTTAACATTTTCATCATGAAGTCCGACTTTAACATTCCCATTTTCTGAATCTGCCCCGCGAACATTTGATTCATCCTCGGTTTTAATTTTTATTTCTATATTCCACATTGTGCAGTCAGTTATTAAGAGAGACTTATAAAGTGGACTGTTATACTAGCTTATTTGGAGAATTGTAGGAAACATGAAATTAGGTAGTTAGATTGGTTTTAAATTGAAAATTTCATCAAGAAAAAGGTGGGTATATAAACATTTTTCAAATTTTTGTAGTCATGGAGCAAGAAATCTGATATTTGGCCGTGCTTTTGACCACCGTGAGTACTTTTTTGTTAATAAAGGAAAACAGAAGTGTTGTCACCTCTTCGGTATGAGTGATAAGGTCAATTTGTGGTCTGTAATATAATGTAGATAGTGATGATTAGATGAATTGCTCTGCGTATTCTCAACATACCATGCACAAAATTTTGACACGTTCAGCCTATTTACAAAAATCAAATTCAAGCGGATAACCAAATGGAAATGGTTTGGTTTGGTATTTACCAATCCGTTCAAGCGAGTGTAGTTATCAGTTTGGTTATAAGATCCGTGACGTCACGAATCAGCTGTTATATGTCATAGTTATCACCGCAAAATTGTGGTATTTACCCAACTCAAGAGTAGTTTTATATTTCTGGTTATTATTTGAAATGTGACAAGTTAGAATTTTGCCGGGTATTGGGTATTGTTATTGTACTTCAGCTTCATTTTTGAGAAAAATGATACAGGCTGACTTCAGTTTTACCATATTTACCTTATTAGTTATACTCATTACGGTTGTTGGGGACACTTTAAATGTAGTTCCTATGCTTAACAAAGTATCCTGTGTAGCCATATACCACAAGAATATTAAAATATGGCCATATAAACTCACTAGATGATATCCACCTGTATACGGTTTTGCTAATTTCTTTTTTCATCATTGCTGCTGAATCAATAAATGTTTTCTTTGACATGCGGAAAAATTTAGAGAATTGAAAGTTATCATGGCTACAAAGCCATGGTTCCATCATTAAAAAAAAATCTGAAAAAAACATTTCTCCCATGAATATTATGAAAGGTTTCTTATTTAAACTTTCCATATACAGTTGTAGACGAAAAAGCACCGATTATTAAGTGATAATAAAAATAATCAGAGATTATATACGCCCTTTTCTAAAATAAACAACTTGCAACAAAACCGCGGTTAAAACCAACGCGTTCAAGCGATTCGTGTAACTGACGTCATCAACCCGTGTGTCATCTTGAACCATATTATAACCGCGGTACATAACACAGAAATTTTGGTTATTCGCTTGGATTTGATTAAATAGTTGTCACCTGATAGATGTCATTATTCATTAACGTCAAAATCTTCAGCCGTCAACTAGTTACCGATGTTGCCAGACCACGTCAATTTTATTTAGATAGCTGAATCTTGCCTTAAGGGAAGACAGGTTAAGTATGAAGTTAAAACTGGCTATCAAAAATGTGGTGCACATTAAAACAGATGCAAGTGAGGAAAATTACATTGCAAAATCCGAATTATCATGGTTTTTATTTTAACTGGCGTTTTGACATGCATTGTTGGTTTATTCATATTATATAGTATTCCTGCTTGTAACTCATCTGAGCTGTTAAAATTGGAGTTGTTTACGTACATGATGACAGAAGCCCAGCGATTCAGCAGAACCTGAAATTCATTTCCTGCGCAATGAACATACAAGAGAGCTCCGCATTCAATGTCGACACTTTTGGCTCATCTCCACTCTATAATCAAATTCAAGCGGATAACCAAATGGAAATGGTATTTACCATTTTGGGTTGGTATTTACCAATCCGTTCAAGCGAGTGTAGTTATCAGTTTGGTTATAAGATCCGTGACGTCACGAATCAGCTGTTATATGTCATAGTTATCACCGCGAAATTGTGGTATTTACCCAACTCAAGAGTAGTTTTATATTTCTGGTTATTATTTGAAATGTGACAAGTTAGAATTTTGACGGGTATTGGATATTGTTATTGTACTTCAGCTTCATTTTTGAGAAAAATGATACAGGCTGACTTCAGTTTTACCATAAAGTGGAGCACCTTATTAGTTATACTCATTACGGTTGTTGGGGACACTTTAAATGTAGTTCGTATGCTTAACAAAGTATCCTGTGTAGTCATATACCACAAGAATATTAAAATATGGCCATATAAACTTACTAGATGATATCCACCTGTATACGGTTTTGCTAATTTCTTTTTTCATCATTTCTGCTGAATCAACAAATGTTTTCTTTGACATGCGGAAAAATTTAGAGAATTGAAAGTTATCATAGCTACAAAGCCATGGTTCCATCATTAAAAAAAAAATCTGAAAAAAACATTTCTCTCATGAATATTATGACAGGTTTCTTATTTAAACTTTCCATATACAGTTGTAGACGAAAAAGCACCGATTATTAAATGATAATAAAAATAATCAGAGATTATATACGCGCTTTTCTAAAATAAACAACTTGCAACAAAACCGCGGTTAAAACCAACGCGTTCAAGCGATTCGTGTAACTGACGTCATCAACCCGTGTGTCATCTTGGACCATATTATAACCGCGGCACATAACACAGAAATTTTGGTTATTCGCTTGGATTTGATTTATGAGTTTAGTCTCCCAGGGTTGCCATATTTGGGGGATTTTTATGACTGTTGAAGAATAGAATGTTCTGGGGAATTTTTCTGGGAGAAAAATAAAATCGTTGCGATATTTTGGGTAGTGTTGCGTCCTGTAGAACTTCGGATTTGACTGTTGTTTCATTTGAAACTTATAGAGAGTAGTCTGATAAATTATTTTACATCATAAAAGTGTGGATGAAGCAGGCTTTTAATGAAATTTTTTTCACAACACACTGTATTTTTTAGCAGTTATTTCCCCCATTATTTCCATTGCCATCTACCATATGACGCTGACATGTGGATATGTCATATATGAGAGGCGCTTGCCTGCGGCGTTGCCGGATTGGGCTCCATATTTAGGGAAAAATATCCCTAGGTTGATCCATCTCTACACCTCTATGACAATTGTAGGTTGGTATACATGCATCCATTGTCATAGAACACAGAAAAACAGAATAATAGGTTGTGAACTGGCCTGTTGATTAAGATATCTTTGCTTCAGTTCACACGTGTGTTTTGCGAGAAAGAACTACACCATTACTCGTCTTCTTTGCGATTTTGCATAGATTTGCTCGTCTCATAGATCCACGGATCTGTCATTTCCCAGTCCCCGAATGGTGAAGTGTATAGCGATTGCGTTCATGTGCATGAGTTGTTCTAACAAGTTTGAAATATAGGCTCAATTCGTTGGGAAAATGCAATATTTATTTTATAACCCCCCCCCCCTCCCCATGGTTTTCCAACTAGTCCTTCACCCGACTACTAAAATATGATTTGGAGGAAAGTTTCAAATTTGGGGGATTTTTGAATTAGTTCTGGGGGAATTCTGTTTGATCCATCTGGCAACGTTGATGATCAGTGCTATTTTGAGGTTGGCATCTCCTGTAATGACGTTCTTCCAGTGGCGTCGCATGGGCACTACTTTAAGGAATTTAAGAATGTTATAGACCTTCGAAAATCTTGTGAACTCACACCATGTCAAGTTTCATTCCGATAAAACAAAGTGTAGAAGAATGAGTTACAAAAAATATTTATTAAATAATATTGCTATGAGTATTTTGCAAACGTGATCAAGTAAAAAATATACAAAAACTAATCTAAGGCAAGAATATTCGTATATGAACTATGTACAGATCAATGAATTCTATCAGTACAGCATGATGGCGCCATTGGTTTTCTCCTCAAGGACGGGAACTATGGTTTCTTCTTTCTCCATATTTGCGATCACTATTATTATGATGTTCACAAAAGATGCTATAGCTGCGCCAGCTACAAACCTGAAAAAAAACATTCAGACCAGTTTTATCGATTCTCAGACAAAAACTACGATAGCAACTTCTGCTTCCATGATTTCGATTGAACCAATCTTAACATAACACTGAACATGTTAACTGTACATGGTGTTAGGACGGTACAAAGATGTTAGAAGATTATATGGTTTTGTGAAATTTATAAAAATGTTATTGTGCTTGCTCTAGTACTCTTTTAGGACGCACATAATGCCCCAGGAATAAAGCTTATGTTTTTAGACTCGCCCTGTAAATGCTCATAACAACACCACAATCTAAAAATGACATTTACCAAAACGAGTAGCCGAATTCTGCCATATCTTCAGACGTCCACTCATTCTCTCTATCTTCTCTGGACAATACGTTGTACTGGATGCTCATGAAGAACTGCCCTAGCCAAAAACATAGCGCGAGCAGATCAAAAAATACTGAAAAAGATAGATATATGAGTTATGGCGCTTGTTGTGAGCTCCTTTTCATAGCAAGCAAACGCGAAATGAACACACTAAAAACTACCTAGTCTACACGATGACATTTCGAAGTTTTTTAGTTTATTTTTTACATAGTACTTCTACCGGCCATACTTTTTACTTGAATCCTACTTAGTGGAATTTAATGTAAGTAATGTATAAGCTTATTTAATAATTATCTTGTTATATTAACTATATGCTGCTTTTGTCAATTTACCTGCAAAAAAATTCCAGACGTATAGTCCGTTAACTTTGGCAAGACATCTAGACGTAGTCGTGGCAGTGTTGACAGCTGCAAAGATGGCGCTCAGTGTTGAGAACAACAGCCCTGCGCAAACTGATACCACAGTGCCCAGCCAGAAGCCATATATGAGGAACTCTGGTTCTGACCTCAGTAACTGAATTACTGGAAATAATATAAAAAAATATTTTTAAAGACAAAATTCCATAGTAGCGTTTTGGCTAAAACTGAACTGCCAGTAAATGCGTCTGTTTCATTTTCGATGCGCCACCCTGTATAAAACTCTGTATATATTTTTTTTTAAAAAATCACCAAAGAGATGGTTGTCAATTTTTTAAGTGCAAAATGACATTACTGTCAATATTGGTCCACCATTTAAAAATTCTCAAAAAGTAATCTTAAATATAATAATCTAAAATGTTATGTTTATCTCGCGGACCGTTGTGTGATTGAACGTTTAATTTATTTTGACATTATGACAATTTACGATTTTGGAAACATCATAATCGTGAATGTCGGGCATACCACCGTCTTGATTTTTTGGACATCATATCCTCAGGAAACCGCCCAAACCTGGCTTCTAGATACACCACTGGCATTCTTTAATCTACAAGAAAAGATCTTTCAAATGATATGTGTTACATGCCCTATTGGTTCGGGTACCAGAAGCCATGTATTGTCGCCCATCCTGTTTTGTGGACTGTGTCGTGGAGCGTGGAGTACCCCGTATTTAATCCACAAAGATACATATTAAACTTCGAGTTTAATCGGCATTATTCATGACTTGTACCGAGTCTAATCGGTTTATATCCGAGTAAGAAATGGAAAGTATGCCGTAATTTTGTGGGAACAATCGAAATTCTCGTTCGAATCGCACACGATCGCTGTTACGTCATAACGCGGACAGTTGAAGAGCGCGTGTGACTGCAATGCGAATTACGCCAACGTCTCTGCTATTACTATGCGACGAAAGTGTGACATGATCCAAGCGAGTCATTTGTCGATTATAATTTGTTTGTTTTAACACAAATAGCAGAACAGTGTCATTCATATTTCACGGAAGTCTTTCGACTATAAATTGTGGCCGACACAAATTTTATGATGTTTATGTAAGATTAATAGTGGAGAAATTTTGTTAGTGGAACTCTCTCCGCTGCATCTTCTTTAAAAGGTCAGATGCGCACAAAATTGAACCACTCATTGTGACCCTAATTTTGTAAGCACTGATCTCGTCTAACTAGTCAGGAACGAATAAAAGTAAATTTCAACGAGAAATGCCTTCACGACAAGTTATGGACAATGAATTAATCAAAGAAGGATTAACTACCTGGCAACACTGCATTCATCTCTGACTAAATAAGGACAGCACGTATTTAGTCGTCATCAGCTGCTTTGTGAACGCCATGTTTTGGGTTACATTCTTTCGTCTCTCTCTAATTCATTTGCTTCGTCTTGTCTTGGTGTAACCAAAGGTACCACTACAATTTAATACGCGTGTCTGCAAATGTATGCGTACGTAACAGTCCATTCCGAGCCAGTTTTTGTTAAAGTTAACTGGTTCATCTGGCGGAACTCAATATAAGTTATCACTTAACCGTAAAACAATGTCGATATACGTGAAACACTAATTAAATAAGCTTTAAGAACGAAACATGGATGTAATATTCGCAAGACAAATTATAACGCTTTCTGATTTTCGAGTGATACGTTCTTGTTATAATTGACTGCAAATTACAGAATACAAATTATTTCCAACCGAGAAGATAAAACTAGTCAACGCTCATCATAATAACTGCTATTGATGCTATTTGATGTGCCTAGTGATGCTCCAATAGACATAAATTTATATAGGGTGGCGTATCGAAAACGAAACAGAGGAAAAACGCTTAGACCCGTCGATTTTGTTTTCGAGGGGGACACAAGTTTGGAAAAAATCACGTTAACACGTGCAGCCGCCTGGGCGGGGGTGACACCAACCCTAAAATCTTAAATAGAAAGGGGGGTCGAGTGATACCTTACTTTAAAGGTCTTTCAATTCCCTTTATAGTGATGTAAAATACATGAGCTTCAGTTCAGTAGTTTTGAAGATTTATTGATTTAAAGCTTAAAGTAGACTTTAATATGTACATCAGATTAGTTTGTACCTACTACTTTCAGAAGAAATTTGACTAAAAGAATTTACTTAATAAGTAAATGCTTTTCTTCACTACGTCCATGATTTGTTTATCATTTTTTTGTTGAAAATAGCTATTGAAGCGTTTTTTTGTGGCAAAAAAGTTATTTCTTGAAGAAAGATAAGGAAATATCTCGTACTTATTTTAAATAGGAATCTAGTACATAGTTTGCGATTGATTTGACCAAACTTTGTTGCTAAAATAACTTGTAACAGTAACAGTCCCGCGTATTATTAATAAAAGAACATATTTTCATATCCTCCACGAAACATAATCTTTGGCCGTTCTATTCATCACAAAGGTCATTAATAAATAGTAAAAATAATAATGGTCTCAAATTAGACCCCTGTGGGACACCAGATGGAGCTAAGTATTTGTCAGATTTGAAACCATTGTAAGCTACAAACTGCTACGGTAAATAAAACATACAGAATTTTATAGTGCTTTGAGTAAATCCAAAGCCTGCTATAGTTTTTTTAATAGAACACATGGACATTTGAACGGCATGTCTCCAACTGATCCAGTCTCCCTAAATTTTTCAATGAATCTTTTCACAGTTGACGAGGTTAAAACACTATTTCGGCCATATTTTGTATAAAATTTTCGAACTGCCGACGTAAAACTTTAATTATTTTTGAAATATCGTTCAATAGCGTTGCTACTAACCCTTACCTTTCGGCTCTCGACTGTCAAAATGTTCTTTTTTCAGGTCTACCTACGATATTTACTGCAAAGATGGTGGCAAATTCAAATCTTGCATTAATTATGAGAAACTCTTCATTATAACATACAGGGTTTGTCCCGAAAGTAATAGGACTGAGTCGACTTTAAAAACTTTCAAAATAGGCTCCGTCTGCGTCGATGCAGCGCTGCCAGCGCGATTTCCAAGCATTGAAGGCGCCACGGAAGGCATTCTCCGGAATAGCCTTGAGAGCCGCGGTGCATGCTGCTTGGATCCTCTCTGTCGACTCAAAATGCTTGCCTTTCATCGGCCTTTTCAGGCGAGGAAACAAAAAAAGTCCGGGGGGCCACATCTGGGCTGTAGGGCGGCAGCGGAAGCGTTGGGATGCCGACCTTGGTCAGGTAGCTGTTCACAAGAAAGGCGATGTGAGCCGGGGCGTTGTCGTGGTGCAACTTCCAGTCGGCTGCGATGTCTTGTCGGACCCGACTGACCCTTCGTTTGAGTCTCCTAAGCACTTCCACGTAAAGCTTGGCGTTGACGGTTTGTCCAGGAGGAACAAATTCATGGTGGACGAAGCCTTTGATGTCAAAAAAGACAACGAGCATCGTTTTCACTTTGGATTTGATCATTCTTCCCTTTTTTGGGCGAGGAGACGCAGTCGTGTGCCACTCGGAAGATTGGCTCTTTGTCTCGGGATCATACTCAAAGATCCACGACTCGTCACCTGTGATTACGTCATTCAAAAATCGGGGATCACTTTCACACATGTTCAAATTTTCTTGGCACACTTCCACTCGCCGCAATTTCTGGTCGTCAGTCAGCACTTTTGGGACCATCTTCGCGCACACTCACAGAAACACGTCGCGCGAAAATGCCTGTCCTGACTCTCCAAGTGATCGGAGACAACTGACCAGCCGTGGCCAGTCATGGCGGAAGAACATGAGTCCTATTACTTTCCGGACAAACCCTGTAACGCAAAGAACCATATTTGCCAATGCAAAAAGCAGAAGCAACTTGTTTAAAGTGTAACGTGTTCGACCACAGCACAACCTGTCGGGTGCATTAAACTTGTTATGATATAACTGAACTTCAGGTAATCAAGCCGCGTTATAACTGTGCTAATAAATAAAATATGCATGTAAATGCACCAATGCATTAAATTATTTCAGGTTTTCGAGTGGAATCACGATTCGGTCACTTGAACTATGCTTTAGATACTGAGTGATAAAAAAGGTAAACAGCTACGTATGTTCATTAGAATTCAAGCATTTTTTATACATTGTGGCGCATCGAAAACGAAACAGACGCATTTACTGGCATCTCAGTTTTTTTTTTGGAAAAACGCTCAGACTTGTCGATTTTGTTTTCGAGGGGGACACAAGTGTGGCAAAAATCACGTTAACCCGTACAGCCCCCTGAGCGGGGGTGACACCAACCCTAAAATCTTAAATGGAAAGGGGGTCGAGTGATACCTTATTTTAAAGGTCTTTCAATTCCCTTTATAGTGATGTAAAATACGTTTTTAAGATTTATTGATTTAAAGCTTGAAGTAGACTTTAATAGGTATATCAGATTAGTTCGTACTACTTTCAGAAGAAATTTGACTAAAAGAATTTACTTAATAAGTAAATGCTTTTCTTCACTACGCCCATGGTTTGTTTATCATTTTGTTGTTGAAAATAGCTATTGGAGCATTTTTTGTGGCAAAAAAGTTATTTCTTGAAGAAAGATGAGGAAATATCTCGTACTTATTTTTCGTAAATAATCAGTGCGCTAATAGAACAGAAATATTTAATGAGCGACATGAGAACAGTAACGTGCATTGAAAATATGTTCTAAAACTTGTAGCTAAATTTCGGGAAACTGGGTCAGTCGCCAATAAAAAACGCAACATTGAAAATCCCATAAGGAACGAAGCAATAGAAGTGGGGGTTTTAGGGCAAGTTTATATAGATCCTACGTTAAGTACCCGAAAATTGGAGACTGTGTGTGGTGTTAGTCGACGTACTGTCCAACGAATTCTAAATACCGATAGTTTTCATCCGTATAAAGTTCACCTGGTACAAGAACTTAATGAAGACGATTTTGATCGGCGATTACAATTTTGTGAAGATATGAGTGAACGAATTATAAACGATGAACATTTTCTATTCAACACTTGCTTTTCCGAAGAATGTTCCTTTTTCTTGAATGGCGTAGTAAATCGTCATAACTGCCGATATTGGTCCGATTCTAATCCCAGAATTTATCATGAGGTTCATACACAACAGCCACAAAAATTAAATGTTCGGGCTGGAATTTTTGGCGATAATTTAGTTGGTCCTTTTTCCTTAGCTGGAAATTTAACCGGTGAAATGTATTTGGAATTACTGGAAGACACTATAGATCCTGCATTAACAGTCATAATTGAAAGTCAGAATGATCGGCGGTACATGAAAAAGCAAAAACGGCCGCATTTGGTTAAGAAGAAAGTGTTGTTTCATCAAGGCAATGCACCAGCTCACAAATCAGTTATTGCAATGGCCAAAATTAACGAATTAAAGTTTGAATTGCTACCTCATGCACCCTATTCACCAGATTTAGCCCCCTCGGATTATTTTCTGTTTCCAAACTTGAAAAAATGGCTCAGTGGTCAAAGATTTTTCAACGATGAAGAAGTGACGTCGGCAGTTAATGGTTATTTTGAGGAGCAAGACAGTTCTTATCATAAAAAGGGTATCGAACTTATTGAATATCGCTGGGAAAAGTGTATAGAGCTCAAAGGAGATTATGTTGAAAAAGAAATACATTTTCTTACAAAAATTTTGTGTTTTCATCGTTGGGTCGGGTACTTCTGGGACCACCCTCGTAAGTGGAGACAATGTAACCGAACTCGAAAACTGCTTAAAGTTAGACTGCCATCGGATTGCGAGAGAGAGAGAGTCAGAACAGTGCTTTTTTCCTGCACGCCCGACCTGTTGCAGATCATGTTAATCATTTCCCTGTGTATGCAATAGTGACGATTTGTCCTATACTATATCAAAAGAAATGGGAACGGGAGACGTACGTGATGAAAACGGGCCGCGAAGCTTTGCACTTAAATGACAACGAAATGGAAATAGCCTTCATTCCGAGCTTGGCTGAGCTCACGTTCGGTACATCTAGATGGCTTGAGCGTTAAACCGGAGGTCAACACTTCCCTTCGTTCGTTCCACTTCAGCTCTGCTGATTCATGCTTAGATAAAAACCAGTACAACATCCGTTTTTATCGTGTCGTATTATAAGGGCAAATATGAATTTCAGTCATTTTAGTAGAAAAAAATGGCGCCGAGTAGATTGACTCCATACATCCTACGCCGGCGTTGGAGGTTTCGATGAAAACGGATGAGTCAAAAGGCGAAATCGAACTGCGTAGGTTCACTTTGGTACGATGAATCGTCGACGTCTGCATATCAAACTATATGGGGCCGTTCAAGTATTACGTATGCAGATTTATTACAATTATTTACCGCCCCATCCTCCTTGTCAGCAAAAGTAAGCAAAGCTCTTACCCCCTCCCCCCATGCTTACGTAAACATTTGTCAATTAATGTATTGTTTTTTTAATATTATAATTATAGCGTTATAATTATAATTTGAAAAATAAGAAAATAGATTTAGGATAGAGATTATATTTTACTGATAGGGTATTCAACAGAGTAAAGGAAAAAATATTATATCTTAGTAACATAACAAACTTATTTTGAATTTTTGGTACATATACAGGGTGACTTTGAAGTTGAGTCATTAATTTTCAGATAATGATTGTAGAAGGAAGATAAACCAAAATATGTGTGTAAAAATAAAAAAAAAATGTTACCTTGTTTTATAAAGTATCCTCCCGACAAGTATTTCAGTGCGGACCTGTGCGCCCAAAAGCATGTCACAAAAACTGTTCGAAATGATTTCCGTTTTGCTCGACGCACAGCTGGGCGCGTCTTAGCCATGTCTCTTTACAAGCACGCAATAAAATCACTGGTTGATTTCTGATCACTGTACTCATTTCCTCAATTCGAGCACGTAATTCTTCGCGTGTATTAACCGGTGTTTTATACACTAGAGTTTTTAGCCAACCCCACAAACAAAAGTCTAAAGGATTTAAGTCCGGAGACCTTGGCGGCCAAGGTACAAAACCGCCACGGCCGATCCAACGATTATTAAATTGTCTATTTAAAAATTCACGCACATTTCTTGCATAATGGGGTGGTGCCCCATCTTGTAAAAACCACATGTTTTGTCTAATATTTAAAGGCACATCTTCCAGTAAACCAGGCAAATTGTGTTGCAAGAAATCAAGATAATTTTCACCAGTTAAGCGATTTGGTAATTCAAAAGGCCCCACTAAAATTCCATTAACAATTCCCACCCACAGGTTGATTGGTTCAAATCGCTGTTGAAAATTGGTTTCCCTTATTTCATGAGGATTTTCAATAGCCCAAACGTGAGAATTACGTGAATTAATAATTCCGTTTCCAGTAAAGAGGGCTTCATCACTCACTAAAATTTGATTTAAAAAAATTGTCATCATTTTGATGTTTATTTAAAAGCCAATTGCAAAAGTCAACCCTTTGTTCATGATCTTCCGGTTGTAAGGCCTGCACTTTTTGTATGTGAAACGGATAGAACTGATTTTCACGTAGAGTTTTCCAAGTTTTATATTGACTAATCGCCAATTGAGTTGAAATTTGTCGAGTGCTTACTGTTTGGATCATCACTTACTAATTCTAAAATTTGTTCTTCTAGTTCTATTTGATCGTGCGGTCTTGGAGCACCGGCATGATCTCCTCTGTGAGGTCTTAAGTCACCTGATTCACGAGCTCTTTGCACTACATTAACAAAGGCACGAGGGGTTGGTTGCACTCGATTGGGAAACCGATCCGCATAGATCCGTGATGCCGCGGCAGCATTTTGTAAAGATAAGAACCATGTCCACAAGTTCAGCATTTTCGTAAACATGTGCCATTTTTGATTTCGTTTGAGCCACGCAACAGACACCACTATTCACTCACACGTTACCGACTGACACTGACTGTATACCACTGAATAAAATAATTGTAAAAACATCGTTCCAAATTCTTTCGCTTTTTTGTTTCCGATGCGATGAACCGATAAGGCGGACTATATCCGTTGTTGCCAAACACGAGCACATAATATTATTATTGAGACAGGGCGGTACTCAAACTTCCAAAGGGCTATAACTTTGTTACTTTAATTTTACCAGAAAAATGGTAAAGGAAAAAACATTTCTTTTGATCAGATCTACTCACTGTTAAAATAAATGACTCAACTTCGAAGTCACCCTGTATACATTTTTCTGTATATATGTATAAAACTAACATCGTGTACTTTATGACCAACTGACGGAATCAATCATAAGAAATAAATCTATAATATAATGAATATTACCTCTATACTGAGAGATAGGCTATAATATTTTCTAATCAGTAAAAGAAACTTTTTGGCGATTTCTAATATTTCTAGTACTCATAGGTACCTAAAATGATTTCGTCACTCACCTTAGAAAAACAATGTAGTAGATTGGATTTATTCTTAGTCGCCGCTTGCAATTCTTCTTCGATCCTCTTAGATACAATAATATCTAGTTCCTTGTCGGATTTTGCTTGTAATTTGTAATGTCGCCACACTTCGCTTACTAACTTCTGTACATTTTGTTCTTTCGTACTTGTATGAGATTTTTAAAACTTTCAGACAATTGTTGGTATAACTTGGATTTGTCTATGTGAAACGACATCTTATTTAAACAAACTTTGGCTAATGGAATCAATCGTAACACAAATGTTAACTTGCTTTACTATGCTTACAATACGTCTACTCGCTATGGTATCCAAACGAAACAATACACTGATAGAGGAAATTTAGACAAGTGAACACCGCGCGGTAATTCCCCTACTCGGTTCTAAAGCGAGTAGGGGAATTACCGCGCGCTGTTCACTAAACGTATGCATTATTTGCGGGAATCCCCGAAAATGCATTTCGTTTTCAAGCAAATACAATGAGAGGGTTGCCATTCGTGTAAAAAAGTAAATAACTACCGCTGACGTAATCATCATCTAGACTCCCCTTCCCCCCATGTCATCCAAAATAAGCAAAGCAAAAACCCCCCATAGTGCTCACGTAATACTTGAACGGCCCCTATCAAGCAAATGTATGTAGCCTAGTTGCTATACATTGCTTCGCCTCCCCACTACTACTACTACGTACCATCCATTTCGTACGTTCTCCATCCATACGCTACATTCAGCTCCTTTTTACCCTCGAAGAGTCCGAAGTGAATCTTGCCATCGCTTTCGGCTGGGTTCTTGGCCCTTTTGGCTCTGGCGTCGGTCCAGTGTTTGGTGCCTAAAGCGGCCACCAACAAGGCCATGGCCGCGCATGACACGAAGAACGTCACTAAGATCATCAGTCGCTTGTACCAGTTCATGGTCGGGGATCATTGGTGGTAGTCTCATCGGAATAGCAGCCACCTATGACAGGAACATTTACAAAGGGTTTTTAGTAAAGCGTTCAACGGGACGGTGTTTCTAGTTCAATTCTTTATTTACTGCCTAGTAAAAAAGGCAATTTTTAATTTTAATCGAGGAAAATGATGTGATTTTTGGTTATCCCTATTCTCAACAACTACTGTGATGTTTTATATTATTTGTGCAACATAATTGTGATAGGTTAATCTGTGGACTAAGGCGATTTAATCATGTTTCCTTATAGTCTAATAAAATTCAACCGATTGAAATCAAAAATGTAAAATATCATTATATTGTATTCATTCGTAAACAATTACTCAAAACCAAGCTTATGTACTGAAGAGAAGAGTTGATTTTTAACACGCCTTTATTAGCTTGGCTTGTATGTACGAGACCCTTCCCACTTCAGTTGGCCCAACTATTGAAATCATAGTTTTTTTCTTATCAAACACAAATAATAAAAATGTAGCAGGGTGTTATAGGTTTAAAATATTGACAATGAATATTTTGATAATATATTGTAGAAAACACCAAATTTATCACTCCCTAATCAAATTTGCAGCATAAAAATAACACATGTTGCAATTACGGCATATCAACCTATTTTCATTTCAATGCAAAATAAGTCTATAACGCAAAGGTGGCTGTGAAAAATAAAAGCCATGACAATTGTTTTTATTAATCACAGCTGTCAGAATACGTTTAAAATAGTTTTGGTTTTCAGAATGGGTAGAGGAAATGTTATTAGTGAGAAAATTCGGTTACTGATAATGTAATTTTTTAATTCTGGGAAATCAAACTCAGAAATTGCAACTTTGTTAGACTTATCGCGGTACAGGGTGAGAAATAATGTTAGAAGATATAACGTAACTGGTTCAGTTAATATTAAGCCACGATATGTGAAAAAAAGTAATATCACAAATGCCGACCGAAGAGCATTAAGAAGAATAATCGTGAAAAACAGGCGTGCCATTTTTTTACAATTAAATGCTCTGGAAAAGGAGTAGGAAAACTTCATTTTATTGATGGAAATGTGGATACAAGCAAATATTTGGCAATTTTATAAGAATCGCTTTTACCAGTGATGGAAGAATGTTTGACATCCGGCCAAGATTTTGTGTTTCAGCAAGATAGTGCAGCGTGCCATACCTCAAAAACGGCTATAAAATGGATGGAACAATATAATGTACCACTTTTGAAATGGGTTTCTAGTAGTCCAGATGTGTCACCTATTGAAACTTTGTGGCACGAGATGAAAAAGGTTCTACGATAACATCCTGCTCGTACAATCACCGTACTAAGACAAAAGCTTCAAGAAATATGGGATTGTTTAGCACCAAATTTTTGCCAAAACTTGGTTAACACTATGCCCCAAAGAATTTCAGCCGCAATAAAAAATAAATGTGATGTTACCCAATGGTAATCTTTCAATTGCTGCTTTGTTAATTCGCGCATTTATTCGCACATTGTTTATTTGTTCAGATGTTCTATTAGTTACAGGTCTAAGTGATTTCAAATATTTTATATTTCACGACTAGAGTGTATGTAAAATGTTTTTGAGAAAACAAATTGTTTTAGAAGTAAATAGTTTCGTCATGTTTAGTTTATAAAGGCATATTTTGGTGCAAACTGAAGTGGGAAGGGGCTCGTATAAGCGCAGAGTCAACCTACTTGACGCCATTCTTAATTTCGGACAAGTCGAGATTAATGAAAATCACCATTTCTCCTTGAAAAAACCACGACAAAGAAGAAAAGGGCAATTACTGGAATTTCACGAGTCACGACCTTAGAAGAAACGAAACAATTACGCCGACTTCGTGTAAATATACTCGAAACATTTGTAAGAAAAATGCACTCGAATTGCTTTACTGAGACATGCGATGCTGATGGTATGAAGAACAGTTAGTTTCTAGACATTCCACAGTGCTTATTTGTAGAATTTTGGATTCAGCGATGCTGCATAGTGTCTATAATTAGCACATTTACTGGAAACTGACTGTATGCGTTAAACAACCAACCATCGTTAATGACGTGTATAATCAATGTATTGAAACGATAAAGTATAGCCGAGAACGAATGACGTCGTGTAGTAGAACTAATATATTCAGTTGTTTTAGGCAAAAATGATTTCATAATGCACAACCTTTTAGGATCAAGCACGCCAAAAATGAAGGGTCAATGGGGTATTCTCTACCTGAACAGAATTGGATGTAGATACCTGAAACCTATTAATGTTTTTTTCGATGGAGCTAAAAGTACGACCGACAACGCCTAACCCGCGTATTTCAACCCTTACACATTTTATTATATTATAACTATTTTAAATGTATTCTGACAGCTGTGATTAATAAAAACAATTGTCATTGCTTTTATTTTTCACAGCCACCTATGCGTTATAGACTTATTTTGCATTGAAATGAAAATAGGTCGATATGCTGTAATTGCAACATGTGTTATTTTTATGCTGTAAATTTGATTAGAGAGTGATAAAGTTGGTGTTTTCTACTATATATTATCAAAATATTCATTGTTAATATTTTAAACCTATAACACCCTGCTAAATTTTTATTATTTGTGTTTGATAAGAAAAAACTAAGTTTTCAACAGTTGGGCCAAATGAAGTGGGAAGGGGCTTGATCTCCGCTGCTACTGGGCCTATTGTCAAAAACCATTAAGCTTTTTCACCTCTAACACAGTTGTAAAATTCATCGACGGAAATGAATGACATGGTTTTTCATAAAAAAACGTGAATAAACCATATTTCATTCTCGAATATTTCACAATTACAACAGGTACTTTCTCGCTCAGTAGCGTAGGAAGAAAAAGAAAAAACAGAAAATACACACCCATGGCAACAGTATATGCCACTGTCAAAATCTGTACGCTGTCAGATTTGGTAATTTCTCCTTCATTCTAGCAAAATTTGATCTAACATCTGACGCTTTGAAAATCATTATACTATTCCAGGAAGTCGTTCCATTGCACTGAGAGAAACAAATACGCCTTTAAGCGAAGTTCGCAGAGTATTTGATGTTAAGAAAAGTATGGATGTGTTTTTCTCGCAAATAAAACAGAACTTATATGCAAAACCTGTAAAAAGGCCCGTGGCTGATTAGCTTTCAAGGCCCTATGCAGAAGATGACACGATTTATTTTGGGCATCAAAAGAAAAATGTCCGTAATTAAATTTTTTCATAACCTCAAATACACTACGAACTCCCCGTCTCCACAAGTATGCTCAAATACACTAATTTGTTACATTGATATGCAATTGTGCACAGTAGGTACGAACAAATGAGGCCAACTGGCTCCTTATTGCAGCAACAAGGTCAGTCGATACGAATGTCAAATATTTCGAATGTAAATGAAATATCTTGAAAACCAGTTCTCTGTTTATACAGGGTGGCGCATCGAAAAGGAAACAGACGCATTTACTGGCAGCTCAGTTTTTTTTGGAAAACGCTCAGACCTGTCGATTTTGTTTTCGAGGGGGACACAAGTTTGGCAAAAAATCACGTTAGCACGTGCAGCCCCGTAAGCGGGGGTGACACCACCCCCAAAATCTTAAATGGAAAGGGGGGTGGAGTGATACCTTATTTTAAAGGTCTTTCAATTCCCTTTATAATGATATAAAATTAATGTACTTCAGTTCAGTAGTTTTGAGGATTTATTGATTTAAAGCTTAAAGTAGACTTTAATAGGTACATCAGATTAGTTTGTACTACTTTCAGAAGAAATTTGACTAAAAGAGTTTACTTAATAAGTAAATGCTTTTCTTCAGTACGCCCATAGTTTGTTTATCATTTTGTTGTTGAAAATAGCTGTATAAGACGTTTCGCATAATATTTGGTGTTAAGTGTCCTGAATTTTTTTATTTTTCGTTGCCTCGAGTTATTTGTTCTGGTTTCAGAGCGCACCGTTAATATTTTCTGGCTATCTGTCTGTCGGTTTGTCCCGTAATCCTTGGCTCCTCGATAGGGAATGCAATTAGGATCGAACTCGTTGATAATGGATATAAAAAAAGTTATCGTTTTATTTTTCGATAAAAACCGATAATTATCTTTTATATTCTGTTTTTATTTTTCAATTTTTTATCTATAGAATTATATCATATTGGATATTCCAGAGATTACTGTTTTAGTTTATTTAATTGGTTACTTTTTTCAATTTTAGATAATTATATTTTAGTTTATTTATTCACTTACTTATTATTACCCAAAAAAATCTTTGAAATATATTTTTTATTACCCTAAGCATCTCGTCACAAAAACGTCACTCATTTTGTGCTTTTATTTCACGTCAAGGTGTTGCTGGACAATTAAATTTTGGAAAGACAAATACAGAATTAGATATATATTAGACGTTAAAAATATGTATAAGTTGTTATGGTATGTGCATGATCACCCACTTTTTATGTGTTACGCATATTAGTGATATAAAAGATAAATGTTATGTGGAAAATTTCCAATTTGCAGTTTTCGAGTTTTTCATCATTCGCTCACTACTTTCCTACATTCTACAATTATAAAATAAGTGAAAATACCGAGGGAGGGACCTGCTTTATATCAAAACTATCATCACAATTGTAGCATCTGTACAAATTCGAACTTAGAACTTGCCTTCAGTTTGCTTCTCCTTAGAACAACGGAAAAGTTACTGTCATAGTCCACCGTTGATGTCTCTAGGGTTACTCGTCTCACTGATTATTGGAATCTCCGGGTCGCTACGAACTTACTTAGCACTTACAGGGAAAGTTCCACTGTATTCACTGAGACGCGGCACTAAATGGTCTTTTTACACTTTTTTATGTCCTACATCTCGGCGATTTATAACTTTTCCACACACATTGACACTCCATTAAATGTTTTATCTTCCCCGTGTCCAAACTCGAGGATTTTATTTGACAGTCTGTTGGATCCTAATTATTTACCTATGGAAGAGTCCAAAAATGAATTTATTATATCTAATTGCAAGACCTGGTACGTGGATGAAAGTAGTTACGTTTCTGAGAACAGAATTTGTTGTGGTTCACGGTTCACGGACAATTTACGCAACGTTGCCAAGTTGTTTATCTACCTTTCTGTAACAGATCATAGATACCTACTATTGTGAGAAGTAACAAGAGCTTGTTTTAAATTCTTATACTCATGATTGAGGAAAATCAAAATGTTAATACACTAGATTTCTGATATTAAGACAAATCAGTTTTTCGCATTACCTCTAACATAAAATACTTTTGAATTAAAGTCTTAGTGGGTTCGATAATTAACAGTTTTGGAGATATTGGTGTCTAGTAAAGGTCTCTGCAGATGTTATGGTTGAGAGCATTATATGTTGACATAATTTTAACATTGAAACACATATCTTTAGTCCATATTCATGATTATACAGGGTGGCGCATCGAAAACGAAACAGACGCATTTACTGGCCGCTCATTTTTTTTTTGGAAAAACGCCGAGACCCGTCAATTTTGTTTTCGAGAGGGACACAAGTTTGGCAAAAAATCACGTTAACACGTGCAGCCCTCTGGACGGGGGTGACACCAACCCTAAAATCTTAAATGGAAAGGCGAGTCGAGTTATACCTAATTTTAGAAGTCTTTCAATTCCCTTTATGATGATGTAAAATACATGAGCTTCAGTTTAGTAGTTTTGAAGATCTATTGATTAAGGAAAAAAAACTAATTTGCCAGTGAATGCGTCTGTTTCGTTTTCGATGCGCCACCCTGTATTTCCCCCAATTTAAATTGTTTTGATACTAGTTCATTCAAAATAATATTTACTATACGAGTTGACTTTCTAGAAGCTTCACCGAATCCTGTTTGCGAAAGGTGTAGATTCGGCAACGTTGGATATCGTACCACGTCGAGAGGAACGAGGTCAGGTCCGTATCGAGACTTATCTGCCTGCAGCCAGGAAATCGGCGATTTCGGGAAGGATACAATGCTGTTCTTTTGTTATTTCTATTTTTGGAATTTAGGTTAAGTAAATGTTTTGAGAATTTACAGTTTGGTGAGTGCAATTTCTGTTCGCTGCCAAAACTCGATTGCTGAGGGTAGTCTAGGCTAAACTTTGCTATCTTTGTCTCTCTTATGTACTACAAATAAAGGCGTTATTATTATTATACGGGGGACTTGGGAATCATTTTTTATACTTGAACCACCTCGAAGGCATAGGGAATAAGCATTCGAGGGTACCGTGGAGCTATAAGGGGATACAGGGGAAAGAGGGACGCCACACGGACTCCAGCGAGGGCCGACATTCTGGCGCCGTCTTAGAGATCCGCCGTGTGGTACCTCCACGTTCCACAGTCAGAAACCGTCTACCATCTACAAATCTTGACTTTATTCCAAGAAATCTGAAGTTGTAAGATTTATGTGAATCTTCAAATCACGTTAATCGCTTAATTCCGATTAAACTGCTACAATCGGTTTGCATTTAGGGGACTATAAGGAGTTGACGGCAGAATGGAAAAAATGAGGCGTATTCGTAAAATAAATTTATTTTTGAAAATGAGGTCTCGGTGCCATATTGCAAAAAAAGTTGTACCTATTCTAAGGGTAATTTCAGAAAGAGTATGTATTGCAAAAATATACTTTTGGTGTTCATTATCAAACTTGAAACGTCGCAATCCACTGCAGTAAAGTTATTTGTATCACTAGTTTCTTTGCTTGTTTATTGAAGGTTCATTTGGTATTAATGATTCGATGTCAATCTTATACAGGGTGACTTTGAAGTTGAGTCATTAATTTTCAGATAATGATTGTAGAAGGAAGATAAACCAAAATATGTGTGTAAAAATAAAAAAAAATTAAAAAAAAATGTTACCTTGTTTTATAAAGTATCCTCCCGACAAGTATTTCAGTGCGGACCTGTATTTGATCGTGCGGTCTTGGAGTACCGACATGCCCTCCCCCGTGAGGTCTTAAGTCACCTGATTCACGAGCCCTTTGTACTACATCCAGCATTTTCATAAACATGTGCCATTTTTTATTTCGTTTGAGCCACGCAACAAACACCACTATTCACTCACGCGTTACCGACTGACACATCGACTAAATACAACTGAATAAAATTGTACATTGTAGTGAAAACATCGTTTCAAATTCTTTCGCTTTTTTGTTTCCGATGCGATGAACGGATAAGGCGGATTATATCCGTTGTTGCCAAACACGAGCACATAATATTATTATTGAGACAGGGCGGTACTCAAACTTGTAAAGGGCTATAACTTTGTTAATTTAATTTTACCAGAAAAATGTTAAAGGAAAAAAACATTTCTTTTGATCAGATCTACTCACTGTTAAAATAAATGACTCAACTTCGAAGTCACCCTGTATAGTTGTTTTATACATTTTTAGATCAATTTTCAGTAATTTTACATTCTGGTCTATAAAAAATACATAAGGTGATTTTTTAATTGCCACCTCAAACATTTTTAAATATGAACAATTTATTAAATTCAAATCATGCTATCGACAATGTACATGGCATATCAATCAATAGACAACAACAAATATTGAAATTATATCAACTAGCTAAACTCAATAAAAGCGCTGTTCCACGCTTTATCCAGAAATCAGCCGGTTCCAGGCCACTCTTCAGATCTACGGCGACCACGAAAGCAGGTCTGTTCTGAGATCCAGTCCGTATGGGAAAATAGTAACAAGGACAAGAATATAGACCTGGAACGAGAATAATCGTGAGGGTGCTTATTTTGTACGTGCAGAAGACTCTAGATTCAGTTCACGTTAGTAGATTGCAAATATAAAAACTTGTCACTGCTTATCAAAAACAAATGACTATTTGCATTTAGGAAATATTCAACTAATGTTCCATTTGAATAAGGAGGTAAACATTCTAAGCTGCATTCAAATCAACAATCCAACTTTATCTGCATTTCATTCACCTTTTGCCATGCTTTGTATGTTTATCATTTTCGTGGTTTATTAATATTATCCAATATATCTGCACTGCCAAAATTTAAGTTCTTTATAGTCATAATGACAGCAACAGAGATAGAGATATGCTACTCGTACATTCGCGGAACCTGAAATTATTTTGATGTGCAGTGTATTAAGTTACTTCATGGTCGACATTTTTCACTTCGCTCCCATCCTATGAGCTAAATTAACACCAGTCTTACCTCTGGTCTTCTTCTTGAGCTGCTCGACAGGTTTGAAATGAATGATGGGCATCGCGCAGAATAGTTGCATCGGTTGAGGTTCGATCAGCATGGCGTTTTTCCTGTCCCAACTGGCACCTTCAAGATATGTATGTTTTATATAAACTCCGTTCTCGGGCGCCACCTGAATCGTGTGTTCTTCCACCGTGAGAACGGTAAACTCCCATCCTAACGCGTCTATCGGGATGTCGTTCGCTCGAGCCGACGTCTGGATAGTACAAACAAAGGGTAGTCATATAAAAACAAGACAAACTAAACAAATAGCTAATATGCACTATACGTAGTGGTCGTTTTGCGGTGATAGGTGGCACATGAAGTTAGCCATGAAGCTTCGAACAGAACGCGTCGATTCCACGGCGTTCTCAAGAATTGCATCCTTATAAGATCAAGTTCACTCAAGAAGAAACAGTCCTGTCGAATGACCGCCTAGATCGTGTCATTCCATACATAAGTGTTTTGAGTATACTTCAATCCAATAATAAAATTTTCGAGATATCTCAAATGTTCTGAGTTTTATTTAAAAAGAAAGTTGTCAAGTCCTTAATGGAAAACCCGTTATTTGTTGAAATGAACTTATTATTATTATTAAATCATTTTGATGTGATTTTCGCTAGTAATTCAATTTGCTGATGTTAATATGTTAGTAGGTAAATTTATATCATCTACCGCTACTGCGCAAAATTTTTTACTTATGCCAAAACAGCTCCCGCGGTGGATTTTATGCGCTAAACGCATCATTAGTCTTACCTGCAAAACAGCTGTGAGGTACCCAGTAGGAAAAGTAAAAGCAGCTAACCAAAAAAGCATCGGCGCTCGAACGGTAGCAGCCCAAGTACTGAAATGCTCTACCCTGGCTAAAAGGTCTCTTGCCCACGAACCCAGAAGTTTCAGCGACGGATATGCTGGAAAATAAGAAATTGCGTCTCTTTTGTAACAATCAACGCAGCTTTTCTAGTCCGGTTGAATGTTTTTTTATATACAGGGTGGCGCATCGAAAACGGAACAGACGCATTAACGGCAGCCTAGTTTTTGTTTTGAAAAACGCTAACACCTGTCGATTTTGTTTTCGAGGGAGACACAAATTTGGCAAAATATCACGTTAACACGTGCAGCCCCCTAAGCGGGGGTGATACCACCCCCAAAATCTTAAATGGAAAGAGGGGTCGAGTGATACCTTATTTTAAATTTCTTTCAATTCCCTTTATAATGATATAAAATTAATGTACTTCAGTTCAGTAGTTTTGAAGATTTATTGATTTGAAGCTTAAATAAAACTAAAACATCAGCATTAGTGGAGATCAATACATTTGGCAGGAAAGTAATTTAAGAATGAAGAATGAACTGACCCGTTAGGCAAGTAAATGTTGAAAATGGCCACCATGACTCTCCATGCAATAATAAAGATTTTAATTTCAACTCGTTCTGCTGTGGAATATACCATGGTTAATTTATGTAATAAAGCGTTACAAGTTATTTTAGCAACAAAGTTTGGTCATATCAGTCGCAAACTATGTACTAAATTCCTATTTAAAATAAGTAGGAGATATTTCCTTATCTTTCTTCAAGAAATAACTTTTTGCCACAAAAAACGCTCCAATAGCTATTTTCAACAACACAATGATAAACAAACCATGAGCGTAGTGAAGGAAAGCATTTACTTATTAAGTAAATTCTTTTAGTCAAATTTCTTCTGAAAGTAGTACAAACTAATCTGATGAAAGATAAACAAAATTTTTCGTCCGCTACAATGGCAGGTCACATACGATTTAATAAAGGTAAATAAAAATAAAAAACGCATCGTACTATTTTAAGCAAAATGATGTCCAGATAAAAAATGCGTGTTCAATGAGAAGCCTGGTACTCAGACTCAGTGACATTTTTTTTAATGTTTGCAGTATAATTTGATACCGCCATTCGAATACAATTATCCAACTGTTAATCTGTATGTCGATTACGGTATTTGTTTTTGATAAACTTTATATTTGAAAAAGAGGATTCACACAAATAGGTTGAACTACCGTTCAATTTAAAACAAATGATCTTTGCTGAGTTTCTTTTTTTTATGCGCCATTTTTGAGTAAAAAGATAAAAACCGTTCTATTGTCTGAGAAAATTAATGTAATAATTGAAGAATGCAATTTAGCAATAAATATCTAGTTGCTCTAGAATATGTCACTGGCTTTTGACATATGGCAAGTCTCTGTTATTCAAATCTGTTCGCTGCTGCGACATCTTTTTCATTATTTAGTTTTTACAATCTTGTTAATAATGGTGAATTATTAAAATGCAGAAATGGCGGAAATGCGTTACGTATATGGCCTTGCCGACGGTAATGGTGAGCAAGCCAGACGGATTTATCACCAGAGACATCCCGATCGTGCTTTGCCAGATACTCGAACCTTTTCTAATATTCATCGTTGTTGAAACTGGTTCTGTCCGAAAAGGAACATCTGAAAGTAGACCTCTAAGTGTGAGAACGCCTGAAATTGAGGAAGCAGTGCTGCACGAAGTCGAAGAACATCCTGAAACGAGTGCGAGGAAGATCGTTAGACACTTAAATTTTGTTTGGAGAATTTAAGTGGATTTTTTGTTATATCCTTACCATATTGGCCCATTCTTCTTGCCGGGACGACTTGACGGACAGACTTACCTCAATTTTCTTCGACAACAGCTGCATTTGCTGCTTGATGATGTTCCGTTAGTAATAAGAAACAATATGTGTTACATGCATGACGGTGCACCAGCGCACTTCCGTGTAGGGGTTCGTAATTATTTACAAACAAAATCGTTGGATTGGCCGCGGTGGGCCCCAAGAATGGCCACTAAAGTCCCCAGACCTCAACAGTTTAGATTTCTTTTTGTGGGGCCATTTTAAAACACTAGTGTACACAAGCCCCATTAACACTGCAGAGGAATTAAGAGAAAGAATAGTTGCAGCTTGTGATAGAATAAAAAACACTCCAATGTGTGCGCAATTCCATGAGAAGGAGGGCGGAAGGATGCATAATAAGTGAAGGGGGCCATTTTCAACAATTTTTGTAATCATTTCGTTGGTTTTAATGTTATGTTTATGTTGTCAGTTGCTGTTGTTCACTACCCCTAATATGTTTAATTTTTCCAATTAAGTTAATAATAATTTTGCAAGTAAGACAATAGAACGGTTTTAATTTTTTTACTCAAAAATGGCGCATCGAAGGAAAGTAACTCAAGAGAGATTATTTGTTTTAAATTGAACGGGGAATTCAAAAATAATTTTTATTTGGCAAAAAACCATTGGCGTACTATTTTTTTCTTAAAAAAGATCGTAGTTAATACCGTACGCACGCCACTGTTGAAGCTAAAAATTATTTTTGCATTGAAAAATATGGAACTTCACTAACCTTCACTACGTACTAAATATCAGTGAAATATCGGGAGCGGTTCTGAAAATATTAATTAATTTCCATTATTTTCCTAGAACTTCAACACCCCGAGTTTTTGTAAGGAAACATTTTTGGACCATACCAACATTAATTCTTCATGTAGATTCACGCGCTTAAATATCCGCGTATCATTAAGGAACACCCTGTATACTTACCATTCAACCACGCTGACGGTACTCTTCCCTCATAGATACAGGTAAATATTTCTTCCAATTCGCTTGACATCACTACTAAGCCTTGAATGCCTTTTTGAAGATCTTCCAAAGATTGTCTTATAGATACTAGCAGTGTATCATATCTGAAAACGACATCACCGTTATTTTCCAAAGTGACTTAAATCTGTTACTCCATATAAATTAAATACGTGTGGATCGTGGGTGATTGATTGCACTAAGGAATTATCAGTCGCGTTCCTATTTTTCTTATAATCGCCAAAGGATGTTAGAGAAACAGTTCATTAACTTTTATAGAATAGCTTTTATTGAGGCATCAACAACAGTTGAGAACAGAAGACCAAGTAACGAAATGAGTACAAAGAATAGTCAAAGACCCTTTTTATATTCTAGGATTAGAGTTACGAATTTTCCAGAAATCAATAGTATCTGGTAAAAATGCAAGCATCTTCACATTCTGTCTCTCAAGTATGAGACGGTGTTATACTCGTAGGGACTTGGATGGTGTTAATGCTTTAAGGTAATGGCATAACTTATACCTCTGAATTTCTTGAAGTAATACTACATCCAAAGGCATTTTGTGTGGTCCAATGAGCTTATCAGTTTGTTCATAATCAATACATTCTGGTAGCTTCGAAAGAACATCACTGGCTAACTCAATCACCTGAAAGAATGTTAATTTGGACATCGTTTTTGAGACATGTCATCAGTCCGAAAAATTTGATGATGTCCGTTTTGTGTATGTTACACATTTTAATCAGTTGTTTGCATATTCGCCGTTTCACCAGAAAAGTATACCTTAGCTTCTTTGGAGTCTCCAGCTGCAGCTCCAGTGCTCTGTATCTGCAGCGACATCAGTGTTTCAAATAGATTTCTTGATTCAGATATCAACGAGGTAATGTCAGCATTCGGATGTTGACCAAACGCTTCAGGTCTATCAATGTTGGGTAGTAATGTTATGTAGTCGAAGTACGATTGAATCGAGCCATCTCTTGGTATATAGTATGTCGACAAGCTTGATAATCTGCAAATGGATGTCTTCATTTATTAGTTAGAAGACTCCCTAATCCATACATATTGATCAAACAGTTTAATTAGTTAGGCACGAAAAACAGTCACTCATTTCCGTCGGGGAATACTTGACCTCTCTATAACATGCTAGAATTTGAATGAGATAGTGGATAGAGACTCCGCCGATAATTACAGGGCAATTACAATTACACCTATGGCTGGCAAAATCTTTGAGATTATTGTGACAGAAAAAATAAGCTAAGGGTTCGGTCCGACGCATAGCTGTGCAACAGCATTGATAGGAGTGGTGGATGATGTATTATGCAGTGCTGACAAAGGTAACCTGACTGCCTTGGTGCTCTTAGATTGAACGAAGGCATTTGACAGGATACATCATGATCTACTCTTAGCCATGCTCCACTTTTACGGTTTCCCGGCCGATGCAGAGTCCCTAATGCGTAGCTACTTCAGCGATCGTCGACAGCAGGTAATGCTGAATGATAAGTACTAAGCGTCTCGAAACATATGCTTAGACTTGAATCCGGCTAAAAGTACAGTCATGTTATTCGGGCCGTAAAATTGGAGGGACCATTGTGAACCTCTGGTGAAAATAAACCTCGGTAACAATGCTTTAGAAATAAGCTCGATAGCGCGTAATTTAGGCTTATACCTTGACAAAAAGTTAAGGTTTGAGGATCATGCTAACAAATGCTCCAGAAGAGCGTATTGTAATTTAAAGACGATATGCGGTCAAAAATCTTACATGAACCAAAAAACTAAAGTCATACTATGCAATTCTCTTGTTCTGTCGCATTTTAACTTCTGTGATGTCGTGTATGACAAATGTCTAACTAAATTCACCTCTGATAAAATATAACGCGTGCAAAATTCTTGTCTGACTTATTTTTGGTTTAAGAAAATTCGATTCTGTTTCATCAAAGCTTATTGATGCTGGCTGGCTGAACATGAAGCAACGCAGGCTGCTTCGTAGCCTCGAACAGTACCAAAAAATACATAAACTACCATCCTACTTACACGAAAAAATTCATTTATTTCATATATTTCTTTTTACCTCATTTATATATGCTTATCTTATTGTGATGTAAACGTAAAAGCAGGGGTTAAGTGGAAGAGCGGATATGCCGAACTTCGACCATGTTCATATAAAACTGGTTTTGCAACTTGTTTTGTATTTTCTTTTGTTGGGAATAAAGACATTATTATTATTAATGTGAAGTAAATTTATCCTAAGTCACCTGAAATAAGGTATTTGCAAAGCATCATCACAGAAATATTGATTTATGTAAGTGGTGAGTAGTCTTCGATCCCAATCATCGGTCACATGGCCACCGTAACTAACGCCTGCGATCAGGTACTTCAAAGCATCCCATGGGGTCGTTGCGTACTCGTTCAGGTAAATTGTCAACAGATTTTCTGATACCTAAAAGTGCAAATATACTGAGTGACAAAAAAAACGTAAACACCTACGTATGTTTATTAGAATTCAATAATCTTTTACATATGAATTTATCTTGCCATGGGCAACAAGTGATAGAATGGTCAGTTTTTGTTGTGGAGGCCGCGTGTATTGTTTGGTGATGAAGAAGCATTCAGTTTTCGTACATTTACAGTTAAACGTTTTTGTACAAAATTGATTGAGTAGCAGAGTAGTAACATCGCATCTAGATGATTGTTGTGTATTGATCTGCACGTGTGCATCAAGTTAAAAAGTAGTACTACAGATAAGATACCTGGAAGTCGGAATCGTTGAAACTGTATATCACATTCCAACCCAGTTGTTGAAATTTCTTTCTCTCCAACAATATTGCATGGAAGAAGCAGAGCCCAAATAATAGCTTTTTGTACTTCTCCGGATATTGGCAAGCGGTAAACTGTTCTTCAGTGATCAGTTGGTATAATCTTTTCAAATTGGCTTTCAGCCCCTATAAATCAATTATTTGTCTGCTTGATTTCTGCAATAAGCACCCACTTGGATAAGATATCAATGTTTTCTCTATTCTCCTCCAAGTATGAGTAACTACTCTAGTTTAGTTTATTAGTAGCTAGCTGTTACCAGTGGCTTACTACGCGTTAAATTGTTAGTAATATACAGGGTAGCGCATCGAAACAGAGCCTCATCGCAGCACAAAAATATACAGAATAGATTTTGTAAACTCGTGTTATCGTTATACCTTTGGAGGTTCGGTGGTCATCTTGATACCAGCTTGGAGAATAGAAATCGGAAATTCGGGATGAGGGCTAGAGCTCAACCAAATCCTACATTTCGGATGAACTTTACCAGTTTGCAGCAATTCAATGATCTTGTCTAGTTTTGGCATCCAGCTTAGTGATAAGTGGCAATTTGCCAAGAACACCCAGTGGCCTTCCTTTGCACCAGTCGCTATCAATCTGGGAAAGACAGTGTTCGGTTATTCTGTATAGCGTAAATCTCGAAAATTGCGAAAGACATCCTTTCATGGATGTAGGGTGCGTTAAAATTAGAGTATCGCAGTGCCAGACAATTCTTGTCAAAAGCGGAATGGGTATCACGTAAAAAACCTATAAAACGTCAAAAAAAAAAAAACTATAAGATGTCATCTTGCAAACTAGGTAGTTTTTAGGGCGCAAACAGTCACTCCACGTTTGCTCCCTAGGATCGCTGTGAACGTCCATCTAAGGAAGAATCACTCAACTAAACTACTCGCATTATTGGTTGCATATGTTTTGTAAGGCCAAATAGTCCTTATGTGTAGTTTTTATCTCTGAGAAGAAACTTGGTTGAATAGCAAGATCGCATCTGGATGATTTATGTGTAATCAGTGATAATTTGCTGTGTGAGAAAATCTTTACTGAATATGCTGCCAATGAAGTATATCTATTGGCTGTGCCCGACGGGTTATTTTTATGTTGTGCTTTCCGAAGGAGAGGTTATGTTCAAAGTTATAAATTACGAGAAACTGAGGAGAATTACGGGAAACCATCACCGCGCCCGCGTTTTGAGTGATTACTGTTAGCCTGTATACAGGGTGACTTTGAAGTTTAATTTTCAGATAATGATGAAGATAAACCAAAATATGTGTAAAAATAAAAAAAAAATTTTACCTTGTTTTATAAAGTATCCTCCCGACAAGTATTTCAGTGCGGACCTGTATTTGATCGTGAGATCTTGCAGCACCGGCATGCCCTCCCCTGTGAGGTCTTAAGTCACCTGATTCACGAGCCCGTTGTACTACATTAACAAAGGCACGAGGGGTTGGTTGCACTCGATTGGGAAACCGATCCGCATAAATATGTGCCATTTTTTATTTCGTTTGAGCCACGCAGCAAACACCACTATTCACTCACGCGTTACCGACTGACACATTGACTGAATAAAAACATCGTGATCAGCGTTTCAAATTCTTTCGCTTTTTTGTTTCCGATGCGATGAACCGATAACGCGGAGTATATCCGTTGTTGCCAAACACGAGCACATAATATTATTATTGAGACAGGGCGGTACTCAAACTTCTAAAGGGCTATAACTTTGTTAATTTAATTTTACCAGAAAAATGTTAAAGGAAAAAAACATTTCTTTTGATCAGATCTACTAAAAATAAATGACTCAACTTCGAAGTCACCCTGTATGGCTTGTAATTCGACAGTGTACAGTGAATAGGTATAATTATTTATTATCCCTCTCATGTAAATCCAGCAAATTTGTACATATGTAATTTCCAGATTGGATAAGAAAAAGTGGTTGCGCAACTAATTCCACTCGGTCTCACAGAACATATGCAACCAATAATGCGGGCAGTTTAGTTGAGTAATTACTTTATAGATGGACGTTCACAACGATCCTAGTGAGCAAACGTGGAATGACTGTTTGGGCCCTAAAAACTATCTAGTTTATTCATGAAGTAAGAAATGCTCTTCATGAATTCCGCAATGAGCAATGGAACGACTTTCTGGCGGGGATGCTTGACTCAAGCATTCCTCTCTGGAAGGTGGCGAAGTCGCTCAAAAACGGAAAGCGTGAACAAATCCCACACATTCACGGTCCTCGAGGCATTGTCTTCAGGACAGACAAGAAGGTTGAAGTTTTCGCCGATGCCATGGAAAGACAGTTCTCTCCCAACTATAATCTTGATAATGACCTTGACGGGGAGCAACACATCGTAAGATTTGTCAGGAGATATTTTAGGGCCAACGGCGTCAGTGACAGTCGCGTTATCGTTGGTGATTTTTCATCAGAAGATTCTTCTTCGGAAGCTTCTTCAACCGAAGATCTGCTTAGCACATCAGCGGCATCTCCTGAGATCCCGCATTGCACACCAGCAGAGATTCAAGGTCATATTAAAGACCTTAAAGTGCGCAAAGCACCTGGGGAGGATCAAATCGCTAATAAGGCGCTGAAGCTGCTTTCGCGGAAGTCCTTAAATTATCTAAGGATCCAGTACTTCCCATCCGCGTGGAAGTTATAATGATTCCAAAGAAGGTGGGTTCGATATTTCCCCAGGATTATCGTCCCATTAGCCTGCTGTCAGCTCCATCTAAGCTCGCTGAAAAGGTGATTCTACGTCACCTTGAGAATTTCTCGTCAGATCACCATGTGATTCCTGACGTGCAATTCGGTTTTCGGTCTGAACATAGTACGGAGCTACAGGCGGTTAGGCTGGTGGAACGTGTAACCAGAGGATTCACCCTTAACGAAAGTACTAGCATCTTGCTTTTGGATGTCTCAAAAGCATTTGACAAGGTGTGGCACGCGGGCCTCTTGTATAAACTAATCCAAAAGGGCTTCCCTTTTTGGCTTCTAAAACTACTGAAATCCTTCCTTGAAGGTAGGAAATTTCGGATCAAAATTGACAATGTCCTGGCGACAACACGGCTGATTACAGCGTTGCTATAGCCTAGCGGAATCGCACAGCAACCCTCTGTTGCGTGAGTCAGTGGACTACACAGTCGAGCAAGTTCGCAAGCACAAAAGGCCGCGGCTCGCACTGTAATCAAAATTAACTCGTGAACTTAGAACAACCAAAATTGGAGCATTTTGGCAAAATCTTTAGAAAAAATCGAATATTTTTAGACCATATCAAAATCTGTGAAGTGATTTTAACAATGCCAGTCACCAACTTGGCTCTAATTACTCAGTACATTTCTGAAGTACTGGACGGTCAGGGACAAGTTGATGTCATCTACACAGATATTCAGAAGGCGTTTGATCAAGTTGATCATTATGCACTTCTGGATAAGCTTAAAACAGTGGGTATGTCTGATGCAATGCTGTCGCTCATGAATTCATATTTGAGGGATAGAAGGTTATTTGTCGAATATGGTGGTCATAGGTCGAGTTACTATCGGGCCACGTCCGGGGTACCTCAAGGGTCAAATCTAGGTCCATTATTGTTTTTGATATTTATCAATGACTGAAGTGTTTCCATTTGTTTTTCGCTGATGACCTTAAAATCTGCACGTCAGTCAAGACAGTCGAGGATTGCGTCATATTGCAAGATGACTTAGCTCTAATTTTGTCATGGTGTTCACGAAACTGTCTCAGTCTGAATGTTTCGAAATGTAAAGTTATGACTTATACAAGAAAAGTTAACTATTTAATTTATGATAATTATAACATCAATGGTCAGGTTATAGACAGATGCACCTCTTATAGAGACCTTGGAGTCATTTTTGATACCAAGCTAACGTTTATTGAGCATATACTCAATATCTCGTCGGCTGCCACTCGACTACTTGGTTTCTGTATCAGAAACTGGAAGGGTTTCTCCAATGTTGATAAATTAATGACTTTCTTTTTTACTTTTGTCAGGAGCAAGTTGGAGTATGCGACTCTGATCTGGTCTCCCATATACCAAAATTCTGTCGTGATCCTTGAGGCCATACAACGTAAAGCTTTAAAGTATTTTCACCTTAAATGCACAGGTTCTTATCCAGAAAGAGGTTGTGATCATAGTGCCCTATTAGAGTTTTTCAATTTGGATTCACTGTCAACAAGGCGAAACATATTTGCTTTGTCGTTTTTGTATGGCCTCATTCACAATAAAATTGACTGTCAAAATTTACTTGAAAAAATATGTTTCCGCGTTCCAAGGCTAGGGAGTCGACAACAAACGGCATTCTATTGTCAAGCTGGCCGTACAAATGTTATGACAAAATCGCCAATTAATCTCATGTGCTGCGTCATGAACAGTGTTACTGAATCGTGTGATATTTACAGTGACAGTTGTGCATCGATTATTAACTGCTATAGATCATCCAATCTTATTTAGAATGTGTGATACTATAGATTTAAGTCCAAGAACCATGTATCTTTAATTGTTATTTTTTTCAGCATTTCCTGTAATTGGGTTTCACCTGTTGGAAATAAATAAATAAATAAATAAATAAATAAATAAATAAATAAATAAATAAATAAATAAATAAATAAATAAATAAATAAATAAATAAATAAATAAATAAATAAATAAATAAATAAATAAATAAATAAATAAATAAATAAATAAATAAATAAATAAATAAATAAATAAATAAATAAATAAATAAATAAATAAATAAATAAATAAATAAATAAATGCCTAACCGCTGCCTATCCTAAAAGATTCTCTTCTTCCCCTTTGCTCTCGTTCTTCCTTCTCTCCTTTCCTTACCTTTTTTCCTAAAAAGTGTCTGGTTTCTGGGTTACCAAACTGACACTGTGACTCAAGAGCTAAGGTCCCACGGACCGCTCTGACAACCAACGATGACTTGATTGCAAGATGACATCTTATAGGTTTTTTTTGACGTTTTATAGGTTTTTTACGTGATACCCGTGCGGATCATAGAAGGGAGTGATTTAGACTACCCCTGTGCTCCTAATTAACACTACTTTTTGAGACATTCTGTATACATGTATAAAAAAATTCTAGGTGTCAGTAGTACTAACTTTGTAGCTATGGGTGCTTGGCCTTGTCCCAAACTGATGGACTGGAACCTGCCTCCCATTTTATAATGTTCAGCCAGTTGAATGAGGGCTCCCGTCGGATCCACACCGGGAGATAACACGAAAATCAAAGGCGTCATCGGGACGGATTCCTCCACGACAGCTTTGATATCTAACACGGGAGGCTCCACAAACTGAGGACCCAACTGGTTGATGATAAAGTTGCTGATGGAAAATTGAACTCTGTCTTGTCGCAGCGATCGGATGAACAACATTTTCTGGAACTCGTTGCATACTCCTTCCCAGTCAGCTTAAATATTAATACAGGTTTTTAATCGCTTTAGTTGTTACTATCGGTTCGGGCCTACTCAACCAGTCCTCACCTAACAAATGTAAATACATCTTTCGTTCCTCGATGTTCGCTTTTAATAATTGTTTATTTGAAAACCACTGATTAAAAGAAAAAACGTCGAGACACGTCAAAAGATTTGTCAAGGGGGACACATTTTTAACCGGAAACTACGTCACCCCCTTTTACCCTCAGCTCCCCAAGGTCATCCCCACAAAAATTTTAAATGACGAAGGGTATCGAATAATAGCTTGTTTGGAAGGTCTTTCAAGGTCCTTTATTTTGACGATTGTTCAGATAGAAAACAAAAACACACGAAAATATCACTTTTTATTTCAATAAGTGTTCAAAATGTTTCCCGTTATTGGCCAAACAGTGATATAAGCAATGTTCAAATTCCTGACGGACATTTTCAAAAACATGTAGGATATCATGGTAGCTTTCTGTGATACGATTATGAAGTTCATCCAAACTTTCAGGTTGGAGAATAAATACAATATATTTCAAATGGCCCTATAAAAAAGTCTAATGACGTCAAATCGGGAGATCTAGCAGGTCATTGTATTGACGCTCTTCGCCCTATCCATTTATCTGGAAACTCGTCGTCTATCCATTGCCGAACCGGAAGAACATAGTGAGGACTAGCTGGAAATAATATGTTTCAGCCTCATCCCATATAGAGTTACCATCCTCTTCTGAAACGAAATACTTTTGAGGAAACACTAAAAGAAACAAAAAAGTTATTAGAAATTATTGTTACAACTCCTATGTCAACATCAGAGGCTGAGCGATATTTCTCAACATTGAAAAGAATCAAGACCTTTCTTCGTAATACTATGGCCTAACAGCGTTGTCGATGCTGTCCATTGAAAAGGAATTTATTCATACCATGGAAAATTTCAACGGGATCGACAAATTTGCTGCCAAGAAGGAGCGCAGGATCGAACTGACATATAAAAAATATGTAAGTTCGGATTTGCAGAACACCTGTTTTATTTTGGCACGAGTCGCCACTGCCCCCTTGACAAATGTTTTGACGTTTTCAAATGAACAGCCTGTATACCACAAGGTTTGACTATCCATAATATCGATGTAGCGTTACCTATGAGTGGTAGAGTTTCCGGTTCTGTATGGATATACCAGTTATACCAATCCCTTGGATATTGCTCGAACGTGTCAATAACTCCATGAAAACCTTGGAGCTTGTCCAGTTCTGTTATGTTATCCCAAGCAAGTTCGCTTAGCCACGCTAAAAATGACGTATTCTAAATATAAGGGGAGGTGTCCATCAAGATTAGCGGTATCTCTGATGGAAACAAATATTTAAATATACTAAGTGACATAAATCCGAACACCCAGTTTAAATGGTTTTATTTTAATAAAAGTTGGTGAATGTATTTATCTTACTGTAAATAACAAGTGAAAAAATTTTCAGCCTTATCAGTTGGACATTCCGGTTTTTATACTGCTTTTTTTTAATTCACTAACGCTCTAAAAATGAATATTTCAGCCGCAGTAAAGAATCAACGTTGGCGGATGTTGGTTCTTGACATCCTTTACGATCGGTTACGATGCCTAGAGTACGGAGACCTGTACGATTTCGTCAACTTTGTGAAATTGTTAGGGGCCGTATAGTGGGACTTCAGGAAGCTGGACTTTCTTTTCGGGCAATTGCAGTTAGAGTGCAAAGAAGTGTAGACACTGTGGTTAGGTGTTGTCAGGCATGGGTTCGAGAAGGCCGTACGCAAAGAGCAAGGGGCACTGGACGCCGCCGTATAACAACAGACCGTGAAGATCGCCGCCTAAGATTATTGGCCTTAAGGGACCGGGTCTCCACTACCAGGTCCATTGCAAATGAATGGTTTGCAGAACACGGAAGATCTATTGGCATGCGAAATACTAACCGACGAATGAGAAGTTTTGGCTTGTTTTCATACCGGCCATGCTGGGTCCTCCCTTTAACTCGAGAACACCGACGTAATCGTCTTGAGTGGTGCAGACAACGGTCACTCTGGGATCAGGAATGGAACAGTATTGTCTTTAGTGACGAGTCTCGATTTTGTTTAGGCATGCACAATGGTCGTGCCAGGGTTAGAAGGCGACGTGGTGAAAGGAGGAATCCACAATTTTTTGTTGAAAGACATGTTCATCACACTGTTGGAGTTATGGTTTGGGGTGTTATCGCTTAAGGTTCCAGGTCACCTTTAATCTTCATCAGAGGTAACATGAACGCACAGCGTTATATCCACGAAGTTCTAGAACCCCATCTTTTACCCTATCTTGACATCCTAGCAGATCCGACTTTCCAACAAGATAATGCCCGACCACATGTTGCAAGAGTCACAATAGACTTCTTTCAACATAATGATGTCACATTGTTACCATGGCCACCAAGATCTCCCGACTTATCCCCAATTGAGCACGTGTGGGATATGATGGGTAGGAGATTGCTCAATTTGCAACGTCCTCCTCAGCCTCTAGAAGCACTTCGAGAGGAGTTGGTGGTTGCCTGGAATGAGATACCACAGGAGGACATTGACCACCTGATCAGAAGCATGCCTAGGCGCGTTGGAGAATGCGTAGCACATCAGGGTACATCCACACATTATTAAAGGTCAAAGGGCTTTAAAGCAGTGCAATCATTTTGAAATTTTTATCATTTACTTATTATGCTTCATTAAGTACTTATACAAAAGTTTATTAAAATAAAACCCTTTAAACTGGGTGTTCGGATTTATATGTCACTTAGTATAACTAGACTAGTGTAAAGTGTAATTTGTCGTGGTAGAACGAAATCCAATATTCAAGGAAGTCCATAAAGCTTCGGCTTTGAAGGTCATTGTCGGGATATTAAAAATAAATAAAACTAATTTGATCTTCTAATGACCTTGATGGCCATGGATATACTAAACGTTTCTGGTTCCTTTTACTTCCAGTGTCGAAAATAGCGGAATAAAAAGTTTACCTGCACACGGATTATCGATTTGATTATCTCTGTCCAAAACAACTCCCCCTTTCAATAAAAAGTTGTATTCCGGTGCCACTATCTTTCCTTGAGCGGTCAAAATTTTAATACACATGTGGAATGAAAACAGCAACTTGTGATGTTCAAAAAGAGCTCTACATGTATTCCTGAAAACAGTGTTAGGAGTTATTACAAAAAATGATGCTACGAGGGATGTCTTTTAAGTTTTGCATATGGAAATAAACAACACGGTAGGTAGTTTTAAATGACTTTATTGTCTTTCGAAGTATTCTCCACGAAGATTAATACACATCTGCATGCGCATGAAGTACTTAGTACAAATCGTTGTCAAACTTTGAATTTAAGTTTACTAAAGAGTGTGGTTAAGTTTCAATACTGACGTTCGATCCGCGCGGCCTACTAAGTTTCTATATGCAAAACTTAAAATACATCCCTCGTAAATTTAGTACGGTTCTGAAAACAATGAGTATTCGCCTTACTGATAAACAGCGTAAGTATGGTGATCGTTCAAAGCGGTAATTCTCTCGTATAACGTAGGGGATTTCGGACTCCTTTTTATCGAATTGATGAACAAGAGGAAGTACGCGTCCAGAGAAAATTGGTACATGGGATCAATTCTACCCATATCGTTCAATACGAAGAAGAGAATCGCTGCGCGTTTCGCGCAAGGTCGATACCCCTAAAACAATAAATATAGGATATAATGATTATTGATTCGATACCGTATGCTCTAGTATGAGTACTACTATGAAATTTTTTACTGTAATTGTATTTAAGTTTCACAAAAAATAACTACGTATGTACCTCTCTAGCACGGTCAATTTCCACTTCAGTTGTCTCGGAAACCTCTAAGCTTTTTTTGACTGCCTCGGATGTTGCTTTAGAGACCTGCAAGGTGTTGAACAGTTCCGCGTCTTCCAATAAAGATCCTCTAGTTTCGTTTAGCAGCCTTAATAACTCACTTTCGAGATCAAGCAGCGTTCTTTTTCCTAAAAATGGATATAAGTCAAAGGTCTGTTAACGTCAGAAAATCTGATATTTCGTTAGAGAAAATGACGACAAGTACGTTAACTCTGCATTTCTCACCCAAAGCAGTCGCTAGTTCATAAATGGCATAATTCATTCACTCTAACACAGAAGTTGACCACGAACAGAAGAATGCAACCAAATCAGTCAAATCGAATAGAAATCCTAGTGAACATCTTTCAAAAATGGTTATAAAAGAATGGTTCAACATTATTGGAGAGAAGTTATTATTGTTAGTGAATCACTGTTTAGTATATGGCGACTTTCCTTCAAAATTGAAATGTCCTACAATTACTCCTGTTCCAACAGTGCAAAATTCTGAGTTATATACAAACATGCGGCCAATGAATGTACTGCCAGATATCGAGAAGCTCTCAGAAGGAATCATATATGAACAAGTCGTTGAATATATTGAAGAAGATAAGATATTGACAAAATTTCAAGCAGGATTCAGAAAAAAGTATTCTACTAAAACAGCAATTCAAATGGTAGTAGAAGAATGGAGGCGAAATATGGATGAATAAAAGTTTGCTGTCACATTGTTCTTAGATTTCAAGAGTGCATTTGAGACTATTGACAGGGAGAAAGAACTAAAGTTGGCAATACATTATCAAACATTAAAAATATTTCGGTAGGTGTGCCACAGGGTAGCAAATTAGGTCCATTACTATTTATTTTATATATTAACGATATTCCTAATATTTTACAACACTGCGAAATTCAACTATTTGCTGATGATACATCAATATATACAGGGTGGCGCATCGAAAACGAAACAGACGCATTTACTGGAAGCTCAGTTTTTTTTTGAAAAACGCTCAGACCCGTCGCTTTCGTTTTCGAGGGGGACACAAATTTGTCAAAAAATCACGTTAGCACGTGCAGCCATGACCAAATTTAATAAATGTGAAACAGGAATTTGACGTCAAATGAATCTATCAAGTTCTTCGTGGACTTCTTCATGAAATTAGAACTTGTTCAACTGTTTTAGGTTTGTGGCGCATAGCAGGGCGTATGGACTGCATATATCGAGTTTGAAAGTTGTACAGGTAGGTTAGATTGAGATCTTTTTATCGTCAATCGTATTAGTGGAAAATTGTTTACATTTTGAAGGAAAATTTGGAAAAACATATTTGGTATATAGGATATGACGTAGTATCAAAAAAAAGTTTTCGATGTAATATATCAAAACGCTGCCATAGGCCTTCTAACGCCACCGCTGACACTTTACCGTTTTCGAATTTTTTCTGGGATAGGTACGAGCAATGTATAACTATACCTTTAGCAATTGTAGTGACAAGCAGATCTTTCTGTTCTTCCAGTTGCGGTTTTTCTAATCTCACAACGATTCCGAGCAACTGAGCCTCCAGTCCCTGCTCTTTTACAGCCATGTTAACCATCGTGGTCCTTGTCGAAATTTCTGGCGGATAATGCGGATTCGTCAATTTGGTGGTAATAAAGAACCGGAAATTGTCATCGTACGACACCAGTTTGTCTCCTAGCATGATCATGTTTTCACCGCCTTGTTTTACTACTGCCTTAGCTAGTATCGGGTCTAAGGAGGGGTCCATTTCTTCAAGGATGTTCTGTAGGAGTACCGGATTGCCAAACTGGACGGCTCGTTCTACTATTCCCATGTAGCCGGGTGTCCTCAAGTCGACTACCTGAAATAACGTAGTAATCCTTCCTAATTGGCCAAAACAAGGGTCTTATGATGGCGGAACTACCTACGAAAATAATTAAAATCGTTCAAGCTCCTGATCATTTTCGGTAAAATTATTGTAGGAGTTGAAAGTTATAGAGGATAGGGGGTTGTAATTGTAACGACTTTAGTATTAGGCGAAAAAAACTCGATGTGCGTGCTCATAATTTTGAACAACTGCAATCGTTGGCGTTGCGTGCACGACGCAACGCTGCATCGTCCCGGAGGCCACTGCCGACTGTGCAATGAGTAACAAACTCCAGCTGGTCTGCGATGGTGTCGTCACTGACACACCGCTATATGAGAAATATGGGGTTGTCCAAAACGGACGCAGGAAAGTAAACGCATATTAAAACAAGAAAGATTGATATTCAAATCAAGTTGGGTACTTTATTTTGAAGGTTCATTTATACCATTTGGACTGGATTTACAGACGTCCACGCGATGGTCGAAATTTTCAATGACGTTTTGCAACATGGTCGGTTCTATGGCATTTATCTCGGAAATGATGTTGTTTTTGAGTTCTTGGAGGGTGGCTGGTTTGTTGACGTAGACTTTGCTTTTCAAATATCCCCATAAAAAGAAGTCCAAGGGAGTCAAATCGCACGATCTTGGTGGCCATGGCACATTTCTTCTGCGCGAAATCACGCGATCACCGAAGAAGGACTGCAATCGATGGATATTGACGTTGGTTGTGTGGCATGTTGCACCGTCTTGTTGGAAATAAACATCGTCCATATCCATTCCTTCAAGTTGCGGCAAAAAATAGTCCTCTATCAGCACGTGATATCGCTCAGAATTGACGGTAACGGCGTCCCCGGCCGCATTTTCTAAAAAGTAAGGTTCGATGATGCCTTTTGACCACAATGCACACAACACAGTCACTTTTTGAGCATGCATCGGCTGCTCTTGATACTCACGGGGATTTTCGTTCGCCCAGATGCGGCAGTTTTGCTTGTTTACCGTCCCATTCAAAGTGAAATGCGCTTCGTCGCTGAACATGATTTTTGATGAAAAATTGGCATCAATTTGGCGGTGTTCAAGGAGCCAATCTGAGAACGTTCGGCGCGAAAAATGGTCGGCCCGACGCAGCTCTTGCGTCAATTGGATCTTGTAGGCGTGTACATTCAAATCCTTGCACTATTTTCCGGTGTGCGAACGCTCCTTGGCCGACCAGAGCCTGGCAGATTTGCCACAGAACCTGTTATCTCGAATTTACGCACCAGACGACCGATGGTTGTTTCATTTGGGCGGTTGTTGCGACCGAAATGTTCACAAAGCGCGCGAAATATAATAATGGTACACAACCATTTGTTTGCCAAAAGTCATCACCGAGCTTCGAAAAATCAACCCCGAAAGAAGAATCATCCTCCACCAAGACAATGCAAGCTCGCACACAGCCCAAAAAACAAGGCAGTATTTAACGGAAGAAAACGTGGAATTATTGGACCATTCTCCATATAGTCCCCATCTAAGCCCTAACGATTTCTTTACTTTCCCGAAAATTAGAAACCGACCGCGTGGTCAAAGGTTCCAGTCACCAGAAGAAGCAGTTGACGCATTCAAAAATGCCGTTTTGGATCTGCTAGCAAACGAGTGGAATAAGTGCTTCGTAAATTGGTTCGAACGCATGCAGATGTGTATTAATCTTCGTGGAGAAACAATAAAGTCATTTAAAACTATTTACCGTGTCGTTTTATTTCCATATGCAAAACTTAAAAGACATCCCTCGTATGTTTAAGCAACTGAAAACTTGTGAACCGATAGTTTTAATACTATCACTACTCCTATCGACTTTGAAAATCGATTCAGGAAATAAAATCGCTGGAACAATGTTGCAAAATTTCCAAAATTTTCGGGCATAAATCACAAAAAATGGAATTTGAAAAGTTTCGGCTTTACAGATTTGAGAATTTTTAAAATTACGAAATTGAAACATCTGAAAACCCACTGTGGATTGCAAGTTAAATCTCCGCCTAAAGATCACTTAAGGGTTGATCAGCCTCAAGCTTCCCTAGACTCTCAAGGGATGACTATAAATGTGGGCTTATGTATTCTCCTCTGCCTTATGGGATAACTACCTAGTGCCTAGTTAGAAAAAATGGTTGGCCGACAATTCAGTCATCCAAAAATAAATCAACTTACGAACAATTTGTTACCGGTCTCCATAGCTTTAATCCACTTCATAGCTTGGCAGTGAGGATCGATGACCAGTGGCCAGCGACTACCTTGTGTGACTATTATACCATTTTCAGTGCTGAAACTGTCCGCTGGCAACCCTTGAATATTCCATTCTCTTATTGTAGTCGGATCGGAGAGGAAATTTATTACGTTAAAATCGCTAGACACTAGTATCTCCAACTCTAAACACTGAAACATGTAAATGTCAATAAGCGAAGGTAACGTTTACGCGTAGATTCAGAAGTCACTTCGTTTTTCTTTTCTTCCATTTCGATAGTCCTGTAACATGCCGATATTGCATAAAGCGCTCATTCCAATTTCGAGATGGCACCACGCAAAACCAGCAAAGTCCAGGATCGCTCAAAAGGGCATCCAGCCCTCAAAGCGACAAGCGAGGGTAATGTTATTTGTCTTTTTTAATGTAACAAACACGTCACCCTTGTCCATTGTTCCGAAAACCCACCCAGAACTGTTGCAATGATGAAATGAGCTGTTTCTGAGAAAACCACTCTTGCTCAGTACAGTTCTGCTAGTTTAAAAGCTGGATCCAGCATACCGTTGCCACCATTTTGTAAAAAAATCAGTAATATTGCATTAGGATTAACCCGTCTCTGGCTATCTATTGTTTTTCGTGGACATCATACTACTTCGTTAGAATAATGAAATTTCTTACTTCCGCTTGCCACATTTTCATCAACTCTTCCCTGTAGTTGGACACAAATGGCCCCATATAAGACACAAAAGCTGTAGCGAGTAGGCAATCGCCTGGAAGGTAATCAAATTGCTTATCCAAAGTGGCGACAGACTCTTCCCAACGATCTCTTTCGCCGGAGAGGCATTCCACCAGTGCTGCTGCTCTTTCCAGTTTCAGCTTCAACAATTCGGCCTAAAAGTTATGGACAAAATTAGGGTGGTAAGCAGCAACCAACATATTATAACTAAATAAGTTTGTACCTGAAAATAAATTAAATTAGTGACTTCGCGTAATACGTACGAGGGACGTCTTTTAAGTTTTGCATATGGAAATAAAACAACACGGTAGGTAGTTTTAAATGACTTTATTGTTTTTCGAAATATTCTCCAGGAAGATTAATACACATCTAAATGCGCTCTTTAGCCAACAGGTGGGGTATCCAACGAGAAACTAATTTTTTTACTCCTAATTCTTCATGTAAATTTTTTTGAATTGAGGTCTATGAGATATTCAAGGATCATGTGACGCTTCGTCGCCGAAAACAGACAACGCATTCTTGTTGCGTTACTTGTCTCTGAAAATTGTAATAAATTATGGCGCGAAAATGTTCTCCGTTCAGTTCCATTTTTCTAATGACTCGGTGACACTTAAAAATTCACTGCAGTGAGAACACTGCACGTATCGTTGTGAAACTTTGAATTTAAGTTTACTAAAGAGTGAGGTTAAGATTCAGTACCGACGTTTGATCCGTGCGGCCTACTATGTTTCTATATGCAAAACTTAAAAGACATCCCTCGTATACGAGTGTAGTGGAAGTATGTAGCCACGTTATTAGAAATGCCATCTCATCAGTCAAAGAAAAGATACGTTAGTTTCAAATATCAACAAATGTCCATACCTTCCTATTAAGTTCTTCTTTCTGAGTTAGCTTTTCTTCATACTCTTTTTGTAATTTCTGTAGATACATATTCAATTCTTCCAGCTTAGCCTTAGCTTCAGCCAACATCAGTTGCTTTTCCCTCAGGCTTTCTAATGCTTCATCCAACTTAGCTTGTTTAGGTCCTACAATCCTATGAACGTAATTGGAAATTTTAGCTTCTTCCTTATCAACGGTAGAACCATTTTAATTCTTTTAATTTGAATTTCTAAACACATTTATTAGGTAATATCAGTCTTTAATCTTGTTTAGTTTACAGCGGGGTTGCTTTTGTCATACTTACTTCCAGACTTTGGCGTATTTCTCTATAGCGATGACCCACAGACAGAGAGACTTTGCTGCAAGTGATACCATTCCCACTTTATCGGGAATAAACTCCTCGCTTGTAGTGTACCCGGCAATCTTTTTCAATGTCTTCTCAGATATATGATTCTTGTCAAACTCTTTCAGATCTTTCAGGAAGTTCATTTCGCCTAGCAGTTTTTTCGCAGAGTCCCAACTGGGATCGATCTAGGAACCGAAAATTGATTTCTAAATAAGGGGCTATCTCTACATAAACGGGACAAATCTCATGGGCAGTGAGATGATTGTAGTTTTTGGGCATTTCCATTTGCCTCCCATTCAGGTCCAATTTGGATCGGTTTCAATCAGATGGTTCCCTGTATGTCCTGGCCACGCATTTTTCGGCATTATTCGTTCATCGTTGCCAGACTTACTATTTTAAAAACCTTTTTCCATACTGCTATCAAAACGTAAGACGCCTTTACTTGAAAATTTGAACGAGTGTCATTATTGTTTAATATGCTCATTCGGAAAAAATATTTTGATGAACAGCTTGTTTCAAAAAAATGTATTTTTTCATTTTCTTTATTTTTGTTCCACTAAAAACTCTCTAGTATGAATTGCATGCCGATTATACTTTACCCCTTTGAGAATATTGACAGCCTCCATCACCATTTTCACCTTCTGCGGTGGCGTAGTATAAGATTTCATCTCGCTGATATCCTTCTTACTCAACGAATCCAAAGCCTTGATCGCTTCTTCCAACGCAGGCATCGCCTCTTCCAAATCAGCCTGGGCAATGTCCGCCATTCTTTTGCATTGTACCTCTTCTTCGCCAATCTTGATACTCTTAACGGTCACCTCTTTCTGCTGTTCATCGGCTTCCTTTCTCTGAGCGACGATAATCACCAGGTACTCGTCGCACTGCCGTTGAAATTCGGCAACTTTCACTTGAGCGTCTTCCAGTTCGATCGACATTACGGTCACCTTTTGCTTGCAATCGTCGATCTTCCACAGGCCGTTGCGAAGTTTGTTCGCTTGGCTCGATATGGCCTCTCTCTTCTTTGCTAGCATGCTACGGGATAGTATACAGGGTGGCGCATCGAAAACGAAACAGACGCATCTACTGGCAGCTCAGTTTTTTTTTGGAAAAACGCCGCCACCACCCCCAAAATCTTAAATGGAAAGGGGGGTCGAGTGATACCTCATTTTAAAGGTCTTTCAATTCCCTTTATAATGATGTAAAATACATGAGCTTCAGTTCAGTAGTTTTGAAGATTTATTGATTTAAAGCTTAAAGTAAGTACATCAGATTACTTTATACTACTTTTGGAAGAAATTTGACTAAAAGAATTTACTTAATAAGTAAATGCCTTTCTTCACTACGCCCATGGTTTGTTTATCATTTTGTTGTTGAAAATAGCTATTGGAGCGTTTTTTTTTGTGGCAAAAAAGTTATTTCTTGAAGAAAGATAAGGAAATATCTCGTACTTATTTTAAATAGGAATTTAGTACATAGCTTGCGATTGATTTGACCAAACTTTGTTGCTAAAATAGCTTGTAACGCTTTATTACATAAATTAACCATGGTATATTCCACAGCAGAAAGAGTTGAAATTATCGAAATATTTTTCGGAAATAATCAGTGCGCTAATGGAACAGCAGAAATATTTAATGAGCGACATGAGATTAGTAACGTGCATCGAAAATTTGTTCTAGAACTTGTAGCTAAATTTCTGGAGACTGGATCAGTCGCCAATAAAAAATGCAACATTGAAAATCCCATAAGGAACGAAGCAATAGAAGTGGGGGTTTTAGGGCAAGTTTATGTAGATCCTACGTTAAGCACCCGCAAATTGGAGACTGTGTGTGGTGTTAGTCGACGTACTGTCCAACGGATTCTAAATACCGATTGTTTCCATCCGTATAAAATTCACCTGGTACAAGAACTTAAAGAAGACGATTTTGATCGGCGATATTCCAACAGGACGGTGCCCCACCACATTACGCATTACGTGTTCGACAACTTGTGTCCCCTTCGAAAACAAAATCGACGGGTCTGAGAGTTTTTAAAAAAAAAATGAGCTGCCAGTAAAGGCGTCTGTTTCGTTTCCGATGCGCCACCCTGTATATTATCTCTTATCTTCAAAAATATTGCACAGCTACCTACGTTTTATAACCGGCTACTAACTCCAAATAATTCGTTGGAGTAACATAGTTATGTCTCTTCATCTCCAGCAACATTTTCTTAGAACATTGAGCGACAGAATCATGTAGAGTTGCGAAAACCAAAGATACATTTTCTCTCATCTTGTCTTGTGAAGAAAGAACCAAAGATTCTCTTCTTTTCTTCTGCAATAAAATCTCAATTGACGATTGGTATACCTATAACTCGAATTTTGTGTTATAAGGTAGTGCAAGTATGTCATAATGACGTCGAAATTTGGTGATAACTCTTCAACTGACGTATTCGTTTACGTCTGACGTTACTTTTACGTTATCCATCTTACGATTTCCCATCATTTCATGCCAAGATTGTCACCAGGCGTCATTTCTATCTGTCTACGCCACCTGCGATTAAGATTCCGTTTAGACAATTGAACTACTTGCCGTCTCTGTGCCGGTGATTGTTTGCACAAAATTGACGTCACTGATATACTTATTGGCGACCTCGAGTAGAGCTTCCTTGGGCCAATCACTGAACCAATCGATAGTGGTGCAATTGACTAAAGCTGGATACTGTCTAAGTCTGTTTCGAAAAGCGTCTCCTATAGGGCTCATACACAGAACTATGTGCATATTCGCCCTAGCTCGTGTTATTAGGAATTCGTACATTGCCTCATTGGTACGCACGATGCCGGCCTTCGCAGCTGCCGAATCCAGTTTGTTTTTCACCTGGAATACACAGAATATTTAACAATTATAGATACGACAGATATTGTCTACAATTTAAAGAACGACTAATAAAAAATGGTCGAAAATTGTTGCCGGTCTATGATCTGGATTAAATTACCTGAATGCATAGATAATCTTTCGCATATAGATAAATGATTTTTACCATTATAATGTCGCATATTTCAATAAATGGTAGATAAACGAGAACATGTTCAGATTCGACTTAAGCATCCCAAAATACGTACGATACATGTCATTTCAACCGTTTGCAAAGTCGACTAATTCTTAGTAACCATGTTGTTACAAAAAGGGTCAAAATTGGGAGAGCCGGGAACGTCAGCCCAACCATTCTTATCATAAGTTTTTAAATAACCAATAAAAATATTAAAAAAATATTGCCCCTCACACAACTGGCAACGTCGTACTCCGCCCACACTGCATGTATCATCGCGTGTTGTTGCGATTACTAATACTAACTTTATGTGATTTAAGGATGTTGTTTTTTTTTCTTTCTTCGTGCATCGTATCGTTTCAATTAAGTGACTCATAATCGTGGAAATTGGTGTTGTGTATCGCCACGTACCGGTAAGTTCTGTCATTTTTTTTAAGTAAATGTACTGTACTAAAAACGTTATTAAATAAAAAGTATTAGCCAGAAAAAATTGCGTAAAAGTACTCAATAATTCAAGGCATATTTTCAACAAAAATATCATACAAACGTAAACAATTCGATGAATCAGTTGCGGTCGTCGTGCGTTCTTATCGCGGTTGCGTTACAGCGTTGCCAGATGTTTGAGAAAAATTAATTATTTACGACTGACTTTCCTCGAAAACGATTGATTTTCGGACATAAGTTATAATGAATTTTTTTTGCTTAGAATAATGCAAGGAATCACCTCTTAAAGTTACGAATATTATTTCCCTAATACCCTGTATAGTTCTGCACCATTCGTAGAGAATAGCGAAGACATTAATGTGTATACATATATTTTGGAGGGAAAATATTGGTATTCCGTCCAAATGAATTTTGGACTATAGTAATTCATTCTGGAGCTGTTCTTGTATCGGTAAAAATGTATGGAGATGAAAAACGACTTACGTCTTCAAATTCGTCCGGCTTGTATAAATTGGCTACTTCTCCGCTACTCAGCATGTTGTTGATGATCTCCAAGAAGCTCTCGTCGGTGATCTGAGTGTCGTTAAAGAGAAAAGACGTGGCTTTCGCGTCACAGCCTGTCAAACCGTATAACGTTTTTAGATCTTCTTTAAATTCTGCTACTTTGTAGTTCTTCGTTATCGATATTTGGAACGTATTGTATTCGCAGATGTAAGCACCAACTCTGGCTAAAGATTGTCGACCGCTTCCACCTATGCCCACTAACAGCATGTTGCCTCTCGCCTGTTAGCAATATAAGATATAAAGGCTAGAGCTGTGTCGGTTCTCGTTCCAAATGCACGATACGGCATAGGAAATTGAGTAATATACAGGATGTTCCACAGTAAGTGGTCAGTCAGCGATATGTGTAATGATGTGTAAGTTCCGATGAAAAGCGTTATACGTGGATATGGACCTCAAGGATGACATTAGGATTAGACAATCAGCAAATTCGTTAGAAGCAGAATATTTGGTGGATATGTATCAAAAGGGATACTATACAAGAATATGGGTAGATCAAAAAATCTTGTTGTTGAATAATTGCATTCTCCAGACAATAAAGCATATTTATCCATCTACATATAGAGAAATCTCTAAAATCCCACCTACCTGCGAGATTACCCTAACAATCCTGCATATGTGCGCAATAGCATCCTTGAAAAGCACCAAGTCCATCCTGACGACACCCGGTGAGACGTTGTACTCTTCCATCTGTTGCTCCAAGTATCTTCTCAACGCGACAGTGTCTATATGCTCCTCGTAAACATTCCATGGGTTCACAAAGTCGGCGTAGATCGGTATATTGTTTTTGTGGCACAGCGAATGAAGAGTCAGCTCAAAGTGTCTCCCAAGCTGCTCGTTCATTTGGAGGAAGAACCATTCGCGATCGCTAAACAATAATATCAGATTTTTTGATGGTAATAGAAAGAAAGAACTTCTGTATACGTAAGCATTTAGTATTAAATATAATTGTTTCGCTGATTCAATTATCCGTGCACAAGCGTAGAGAAGCAGACATTACCGCCGTTTCAGACACGTGTTACTTTCAAGACTTACCTTAAAGCTGTCTGTTTTCGAAACGTTACACCTCGCCAAGTAAGGAAGAATGAAAACGGTTGCCAATCAATTATGATATTTTTTATTTTTATGGCAATGCAATAACAATGTTAGTTAAGTTAGGTGTTAAAAAGTAGTCAAAAGGGTGCTCAGTCTTGTTAAACAAGAGAGCGCTTTGGATCTTTCCTCTAACGATGCTTTTTTGAAAATCCCATTATATATATATACATATATAGGTATTATTCATTTCAATTAATGTATTTTTACAAATTTCTCTTCCTTTATTACCTTTATTACATACAATGTCCTGATATTGCACCAATAAAAATCTCCATTTCTTGACACTTTTCATAAATCAGGCTGTCGGTATCGCTGTACAATGCTTTTCCATCGAATCCCCTGTATTTTTTGCACTGGTTAAGTCAGCAAGTTGGAACTTAGTTTAATTTTTACAAAAACTACAACATAATCTATTCGTGCACCTACTGCATTTGGCGTTGTATTCAGTAATTCAGTATTTATGAGGTGCCAGTAACAATCAAATCAAATCATTTATTTTCCAAAATCAACTGAGATATATGAGGCACATAGGATAATAATGGTCTAACTCATCAAATGTTCCAGTATTATCCTGAATGCATGATTATACCATTTTTACAGTGAACTATATTGAATTCAAATCAGAATAAGGGTATGATGGCGTCATCTATTGACTGGAGACTGAAACAAGGAGTTAGACTAGCTTTATACGATAGATCTAGGTAGATTGACACCTTTTATGTGAATGGCGCGAATTGTCAAAAGAGCGGATTTAGACCATTATCATTATATGTGCCTCATATATCAATGTATGTTTTAGAAGTTGTATACCTATCTTCGATCAGTCTATCAAAGAACACCCTGAAACACTCATGGATCCACAGCTTCAACATTGAAGACTTATCGTTATGGTAATCCTTATTGCTCCTTAGCAGTCCTTGAAAGACTTTGGAAATGTCTCTCAAATTGAACAAATAATGTATTTTCTTCGGCGTCGGCAACATCTTGCCGCAAACGTTCTTGTACAGATCGATAGTCGTCTCCGTTACTTCTTTACCGACCAGCTTCACAGTTTCGTCGAAGTCCGATAGGTGCTGGCCCAACATGTTCCAAAATATTCGGCTGATGGTGGCGTCCTCGGGGAAGGTCATGTTGATGAGGTTGAAGCGGCTAAGCAAGCGGTCCGTAATGACGTTTCTACCACCTCCTGGTGGACCCATTGAGCACAAAAGGTGCATATTCTAGGAATAAGGGTCAATTTTAAATCCATTCTTACGCGCTGCCACTTCCCCTCATTTCTTTCACCCTTTAGTTTATCAATGTCGTATGCACAATTTATTGTCGCCTTGCGGATTTAACATAGAATAGTTACAAATATACACATTTACTTGCCTAACGGGTCAGTTCATTCTTCAATTTTAAATTACTTTGCTGCCCAATGTATTCATCTCCACTAATGATGATGTATTAGTTTTATTTGAGCTTTAAATCAAGAAATCTTCAAAATAAGGTATCACTCGACCCCCCTTTTCATTTAAGATTTTGGGGGTGGTGTCACCCCCGCTTAGGAGGCTGCACGTGCTAACGTGATTTTTTACCAAACTTGTGTCCCCCTCGAAAACAAAATCGACGGGTCTGAGCGTTTAAGAAAAACTGAGCTGCCAGTAAATGCGTCTGTTTCGTTTTCGATGCGCCACCCTGTATATGGATTTTTTAAACTTCAAATAGATACTTAATTCAAAAGTCAAATCAATAATTCTAACCTCGATGTATGCCCTGGTTTGCTTCAATCTGTCATACCAAAATTGGTAATCGATCCACTGTCTGAGCAATTCCAAAGGGGGTTGAGAACCATAGGTTTCTTTAGCTGGCATATTGAGATCATCCAAAAATGTTATCATTTTCTTCCCCCCAGCTGGAGCATAGTGACCTTTGGTTCGTTTCTCTACCCTTCCTTCTATAGCATCCTAGGTAGATAATGATATATTTGAAAATGTTTAAGTTTTCCTTTAATCTTTAAACAAAGTTGTTTCCAAACAGATACTTTCTACGTTATATCGTGTCTAGAGGCACATATGTCTACAAACAAAATTTTGACTGTTTTTTCATCTTTATCTATTTAATTTTTTCATTGGAATGGAGATCATCTTCACGAATGTCAAACCATCATTTTCCTGTTTGCCAAACTTGCCGCATAACATGTAAACACAAATCATACGGGCGGATCTCTGGCTATCTTTTTTTGTCAAAAACAAAGAACTTTAGTTCTTCCCTTCTTCTCTACTTCTATTAAAAAAAATACAAATATTTCCATTAATGAAACATGTATTTACGGTGTTATATTAACAAAAATAATCGGCAGAGAATACCAAAAAATATGCATATTTCGTATTGGAGTGGGAGTGGGAAGTAATACAAACCTGCATGTTCTGGGAAGAAGTTTGTGCAGACATGTTTATATTCAGGACGGTGTATCTACTACTATCCAACTTCGTTAATACGGATTGAGCAGTAGATGTCTTGCCAGTTCCCACTGGACCAGTTAGAAGTACAGGGTTACCATTATCTAGCAAAGCTTGCACTAAGTACTCGTACCTGACAGTATCTACCGTGGGAACTATTATTTTATAAAACGGGCACCTGTAATGTCATCATAGCTAGGTAAGTGAACACAACATTTTCCCAAATACCTTGGAAAAATTCCATGATGGGTTATTCAAAAAAACTTTAGTACAGGCGTATAGCACGATGCGGAACTTTCCTACAGTTACCGAACTTGAAATGTTCATCCATTATAGAAGTTTTGCAAGGTTTTTGAGAAAATTTTGTGTTGCCTTACGGGCCGGCTAAAAAGGGTTATTGTAACATATTAGCTGTTCGAAGTCATGGGAATGATGATGGAATTATACCAAAAGAGGTGTACACTTTGTAGTTCGCGTTTAATAGCCCAGTCACCACGTGGCTGCTAGATGCTGTCGGTTCTGGCTGTACTTGTGGTCTATTTACCAATGAGTAAGCTAAACATGATTTTTTTGTCCGTCTGATCAAAAAGACAGCCAACCATCTCCTCATCAGCATAGCATGGTCTCTTGTCTCTGGACAAATGAACGAGTTGCGATGCTTTCGCGTTGTGGGCTGTCAACTACTCGTCCGAATCTCTGGTGAAGACAACTGAGTATCCATATTTGAAATTGATTAATTTCAGATTATGCTCCGCATCTCTAGATACCGTTCGATCCTCCTTCGCAGCTTTCAGATGTTCGGGATGGCGCTGCAAACGCACAGTCGCGTACCTTTGAGTGCATAATTGGTTGCCTAAAAGTCGATGTAGCGAGGACTTCTCGTCGTTTCTCAAGGACTCAATTACGAGGGCGTTACGATACGTTAACGGTCGTCTTTTTAACATTAACGTTTACATATATATGTGTTATCTGTGTTCCTCAAAACTCTGTATTAATAAAAGGACATAGTATAGTTATACCCAGTCTCATATTTCCATCCGTATGGCAGTTTCTCTTCCCAGCTGGAGAACACGTAATTCTGCCAATCTACATAATACTCATAGATTGTATCTTTGATAGGAAATACGCCTTCCTTTTCTCTTATGTATACGTCCAACTTCCTTCGGCCATCCTCATTCGTCGTACAGCAAACTGACCAGATCGCACTGTTAAGGAGACAAAATAAGAAGTAATAAACATATTATTATATGTATTGAAATGACCTTATACATAGGGTGTTTCAAAAGTTATGCATCAAACGAAAGGGTAGTCATATCCAATCAGAAAAATCATACATGTTCTTAATCCACCATGTTTGGCTGGCCAATCGAACCGCATGTATTTGAAATTCTTCTGTAATGTAGTATACTTTTCGGTCCCGACGGTGACTTTCTTCAGTATCAATGACACTTTTTTGACAATATATTTTATTTATTTGTCACTTTTGTTTGTTTTCATTTTCACATTCCTATACGCTGGTCTTAAAAGTTCTGAATATGCTGAGACTGCGCGTAGCCATCATTCCAAAGGACCAGACACAACAAATTTGAAAAATGGACCACAGTATAATTTTATACTTCTTTCCCGAATGAAAGTATCCATGCAACCAAAGCCATCCTACGATTAGTTTCTGAACAAAAATTTGCCTGATATGCATGAATGGCGGAACGATTTCTCAGAAAATAATCATAGGATTGCTTTGGTCCCATGGACACTTTTGTTCAGGAAGACGAAAAATGTATCATTCTGGATTCTTAGACAAATCAATTGGGATTAGGCTCCAGGCTAAGTCTATACTTTGTTATACTTCAGTCTCTAGCAGTAAAGTTTATATACAGGGTGGCGCATCGAAAATGAAACAGACGCATTTACTGGCAGCTCAGTTTTTTTTGAAAAACGCTCAGACACGTCGATTTTGTTTTCGAGGGGGACACAAATTTGGCAAAAATCACGTTAACACGTGCAGCCCCCTGGGCGGGGGTGACACCAACTCTAAAATATTAAATGGAAAGGGGGGGTCGAGTGATACCTTATTTTAAAAAAACTGAGCTGCCAGTGAATGCGTCTGTTTCGTTTTCGATGCGCCATCCTGTATATTTGCTCAGCGCAAGTGAACGTTACCAGAATAAAAACCAGTTTTTAGCAGCATCATCGAAATGTTCATCATCTGCCGGATTCACTCCAAACTCTTTCTTAGCGAAGATATCCAGCAGCTTGCACAACGAGATTACTAAGTTTAGCTCTGCTGCCGCCACATTCTCTTCGCAGTTCAAACGTTTAAACTCTAAAATTGGTGTTAAATAGTACGAGAACAACTCGTTCATCTATAAAAACAAAAAGAATATTACGTTAGAAATCATTTAGATGACAGCAACAGTTATAATATTTTTCACGATTCTACTTTGTCAACAAATACTTCATATCGTTAAGTGACAAATCTCTAGTCAGTACCGTATTAACATTATTACAATTTTTAATGCTCTTGTGTTGCTGCTTCCTGATTCGGAATAATTATGGAGCATATGGGAGTGCTTCTTTCGTAAGGAACTTGTAGGGTATTTTGAGATTAGTTTATTTTAAAACGTTTCAACATTGTTTTTCAGGCCAAAATTGGCGAACTTTTTGATTTCGCAGTCTATATCTCCAGTGTGGTAAAACAAAACTACGTGCTTTGTGTAGTTTGCAGTGGCGGCGATCATTTTGTTGTATTTTACTGTGCGTTAGCAATAGGGAACATGTATGCTTTTGTGTATCTCCTGACAATCATTTACTTTAATATAATATTTACCAATTCCATTTATGAACATGCCTGTTTTTTTAATTAAATATTCAAAAGTGCAATGCAAATGACTTTGATTTAAACACTGCACCTCGCACCTCGCAGTGACGTCACAAGTCATGTCTTACCATTTTATGCTGCTTGGCTAATTTGCTGTCAAGTTGTGGAAGTAAACAAGCAGTCTTTTGTTGTTTTCCGACGTTGTTTACTGAAAGAAGGAGTAGGAGAGGTATAAATAGATCACAGAAATAGTCAAAGATTAAGCAATCTTCATTCAACGAAGAAGGATTGCAAGACCTCTCGAAGCATCCATCTTCGATGAAGATATCCAGTGGAGCGACAATGTCAAATATCTGGGGATCGTTTTTGACAAGTCCCTCACCTGGAAAGCGCACATAGAAGCTGTCATCGCAAAAACCAGAGCAGCCATGGCTCAACTCTATCCATTACTGGGTAGACACAGCCAGATGCCGCTAGCGACCAAGCTACGGCTGATCAAGGCCATCGCCAGACCTCAGCTCGCTTACGCCTCCGCGGTCTGGGGGTACGCTGCCCCCAGCTACCGCAAGCGACTTGCTGCTCTAGAGATGAAGCTACTCCGGATCGCCACCAATGCACCTTCCTACGTAAGGAACTCAACCTTGCGTAGAGACCTGCATTGGGATACCATCCACGAGTACATGAGGAAAAAAGCGGAGAAGACCTTCGAGAAAGCTCAGGACCACCCGAACGAGCAGCTACGATTCCTCATGGACTACGATCCGGACGAGAGGCCTCGCAACCGCAGAACCAGGTACCCCAGACCAAGGTCCCAGTTGGCACCCGCTAACTGGAACCTTGACTAGGAGACCAGGAGAACTTGCGGCTGCCCCCCCCCCCCACCCCACGGCGTGGATGCAGAGGACCAGGAACCACCGGGACCAGGACCCACCGGGGCCAGGACCAACCAGGACCAGGACCCGCCACGACCAGGACCCACCAGGACCAGGACCCTTCAGGACCAGGACCAGGAACAACATATTGGTAAGAGGACTTGAAACTCTTGATTTTTTCGAAAACAAGAGTTTCAAGAGAAACTAGCAGACCCTCTATCGATGATCGCTTAACGACATCGATAGAATGTGCGAGGTAAAGGGAACCAACCCGGCGTTCCCAGAGACTGAAACACATGAGGAGACGTTGTAGCAGACCGCAGGTCACGCACAACACATGGCCTACCGAGACGCTGATGAGTCGGGCCACGCGAAGGTTTAGGGTTTAGTGGGTATTAGGTGATCTCTTCAAGACCCTGGAGCCCCACACACGTCGTAGCTCGTGCTATGGTATGGTGCGTAAATGCATTCCCCCCTCGTTAAAAAAAAAAAAAAAAAAAAAAACAAAGATTTTATTCAGGATAGTAAGCGAGAGAAGGATTAAAGGCAGACAGGTCCCTGTATTCGGCTAGTTGACATTCTTTTTTTCAGTTGTCCTATTAGTCACAACAAGATAAAACTATATTTTTGGTCTATATATTAATGCGCTCTGACGTCATACTATTTGTAAACAGCAGCTGTCAGCAGCATAAACTCTCAATGTCAATGTCAATGTCAAAACGCATAGATTAACGCCCCAGGCTATGGATGCCCATTGAAATAAATATACGCAACATCTGAGTAGGACTTGGTCAAACGGATACTGGATCTTTGTCAACTGTAACTGAAATTTGTTTTCGCGAAGATCAGTTTGACGTAATATTAGATGAAATTATTCAGAGATTATGACACATGAGCTTAGTTTTGAATGATTTCAAACGTGTCAACAAATACATGTTTCAAATCATGTGTCATGTTCAAATAGAACTTGTTCTATTCTATAATGATGGAAATAGAACAAGTGTAATACTTGTTCTGTTCTATCATTATATCTGATGCATTGTTCTTACATAGATGTATTGATGTTTCTCAGCTCAGCATGAGCAGAAATCGGGGTTGAAGAGAGAAAAATACGAAACGTTAATGTGTAAATTTTCAGCAAATTTGTGCTTTCTGTTTTTGCGAATCCAACGATAATCACTATTTATTTTAATAAAACGAGAACTCTTTACGTTGTTTTTTAGAAAGAACGTTAGTCCTCGAGTGACATACTGAAGACGTTTCTTTGCTTACAATTTGTATGACGTCACATCATGACCAGTAGCGTTTTCACCGTTGTAAATTGTAAATAAAAAATATATATTTTTAAATTGGACATATACAGGGTAGGGTGACTTCGAAGTTGAGTCATTTATTTTAACAGTGAGTAGATCTGATCAAAAGAAATGTTTTTTTCCTTTACCATTTTTCTGGTAAAATTAAAGTAACAAAGTTATAGCCCTTTAGAAGTTTGAGTACCGCCCTGTCTCGATAATAATATTATGTGCTCGTGTTTGGCAACAACGGATATAATCCGCCTTATCTGTTCATCGCATCGGAAACAAAAAAGCGAAAGAATTTGAAACGGTTATCACGATGTCAGTCAATGTTTCATCGGTAACGCGTGAGTGAATAGTGGTGTTTGTTGCGTGGCTCAAACGAAATAAAAAATGGCACATGTTTACGATAATGCTGAACTTGTGGACATGATTCTTATTTAATCGAGTGCAACCAACCCCTCGTGCCTTTGTTAATGTAGTATAAAGGGCTCGTGAATCAAGTGACTTAAGACCTCACAGGGGAGGGCATGCCGGTGCTCCAAGACCGCACGATCAAATACAGGTCCGCACTGAAATACTTGTCGGGAGGATACTTTATAAAACAAGGTAACATTTTTTTTAATTTTTTTTTATTTTTACACACATATTTTGGTTTATCTTCCTTCTACAATCATTATCTGAAAATTAATGACACAATTTCAAAGTCACCCTGTACACATATTCATCTTGCGCTTTAAAAAATTGAAATCGATATACAGGGTGTAAACGTTACGGTAGTCATTATTGAAATGGGTAATAGGGGGGTTCAAAACAAGTCAAAAGGTTCATATGACCCATGGTTCAAAAGTCAACAAATTTTTGTCTAAATGGCTTTATAGTTTACAACTTTAAGTGCTTTATATCGACCACAATCTTACTAATTTTTATAATCTAATCTAAAACGAATTTTGCACCTTGTTACAATATTTCTCGCCCCTAGCCTTTTTATGTCTATTGATCCATGATGTAACGTATGGATTCCATCCCCAATCTTTATAGTCGTTGTACACCATTCCGCATCGGCTGACCGTAGCCGGAGAGGCTACAGCCAAGTCTCCAACTTCGAACAGTAACGAAACTTGTTCAGGCATCGTAATCCGGTCTGAATTGATCAAGGTGAGGACTTTGTTGTCATCCATGACGCTGTTCATGTTCTCTATCCAAACGGCGTCCACTGGGCCGTCGAACAGAATCCACTTTTCATCTGGAGACTCATCTGGAAGAAAAAAAAGGTGCTCTCAGGGAGGCGAGCTCCAGACAAGTGGATTCCACCAAAATAAATAGGGTGCGGCAGAGAGGACGGACGTTTTTGGGATGGGTTGCACGTGCTAACGTGATTTTTTATCAAACTTGTGTCCCCCTCGAAAACAAAATCGACGGGTCTGAGCGTTTTTCCAAAAAAAAAACTGAGCTGCCAGTAAATGCGTCTGTTTCGTTTTCGATGTATAATAATGGAGCTTGATAAATGATTTAAACATGATGTATTTCTTTAGGGTAAGTAAAGTCATTTGAGAGTTCTAATATTGTAAATATAATTCTTGTGGTTTTAAAGTTGAGTCATTTATTTTAACTTCTTATAGGACTTATCAAAAGGAGGTGATATACCAAAAATCACCTATAGACACTGAAACTGACCTGAACAAGTCTGCCTCATGGTCGCACTGATAACACCGTCCAACCACTCGTTGGTACTCAAGTTGTACTCGCCGTACAACTCGGCCAAATTGAGCGCCTTCGGATTCATCGGATACACTTCGACTCTGTTGAAACCGGCTTTGTTTGCGGCCTTCAATTTGCCACATGCTCCCTGTAACGCTTTCCACGTTACACTTTTTGCGGTGCAGGTCTTGCCTATTATCATAACGGAGTGTCTCGAACTTTTCGTCTCGTACAGTTGAATCACTTTGGTGACTGCTATTGGAATTGGCTAGAAGAAGTCATTTAGTTTGACGGAATAAAAAATCGCAGGCACGTTTCAGATATGGGGCATTTTAAGTGGAGCAGCATAATTCTAATCTACTTAGGGTTAAATTAGTATCTTAATACAATGAATAATATTGTCACAGAATCGAGTTAATATTGTTTAAGATATTAATGAAAAAATATTTTGTTTTTTAAATTTATCACCCTGTATCCTGAAAAGTCTGTATTTCCGGACCCATGTTTATAGAAATTTTTTTCATATTTTTATCAGTCTCTAAAATATCTCCGTCTATACACCCTCTATAGGACATTTTCTGTACTTTTTAAAGAAACAAAAACAAATTTGAAATCAAAAAAATACGGAAGTGGCAATTTCAAACCGCTATTTGGGCAACTTTGCATTTTTTATTTTCGATTTCTTACCTCGAATTGTAGTCCAAAGTGTGTTTGAAATACATCGGAAATGGTATGCAGATTAATTAGTAGTAGTATTAAGATTTATTTAGCACATTTGGCTACATAAACAGAATAATTGTAAACAACTTAGAACTAGTAAATTCAAGCCATATGGTGTATGATGTAAATGCTGGGCAACCTATAATTGTAGATTTAACAAGTGATTTCTCAATTTTACTTCAAATTTTGTCAAAGTTTTCTGGTCTTTTATCTCTGAGTATAATTTATTATATTCAATCAACCCTTGATGGAATTCAGATTTGTAGCATATGTTATACTTTTTGGTCATTAAATGGAAGTCATCTTTATTTCTGGAATTATGTAAATGATGGTCGACATTTGATGATGTTAAATTAGTTAGACTTGATGGAAATATATTATTTTTTACTTTATAAATGAATATCATTACAATATATTTGATAAAAATGTTTACATAGAGCCATTTTAATTTGCTAAGCATTTGCCTAATTGGAGTATATTTATCTTTATTCAGTATTATTCTCATGCACTTATTTTGTAAAATTTGCAGTCTTTCAAAAATGGAATTATTTGCTAAATATAGAATAGTCGAACAGTACAAAAAATTTGGTAGAATGATGGTATTATAGATAATTTTTCTGCTATATAACCACCTCGTAATTTCTACCAACATAGATTAGATAGAACAAAGAATACCGGAAACGTATACATTGGATTCGTTGTTACCTGAAGATTTGTCTCTTCCATAAATTCAGTAATAGCAGCATTCATGTCAATATAATCAACGATAGGTACGATGACGCCAGGAAAGATGTCAGACATTATTCCGTTGAACAATGGAAGATCGTCCGACGTCAACCTGGCGATATTCATGTCTCTCATAGCCAAGTATACTACTTGCTCTTCTGGCAAGTTAGGCATTTGTCTTCTCTTTCTTCCGGCGTATCTAAGAAGAGCGACCATCGACCGTAAGCCGAAATCATAATGATCTTGCTTGCTCAATTGTTGAACTGCTAGCCGGTACAAGGTGAACACCTACGGGAAACTTCCTTTATCGATTTATTAACGCATTCTACCTGAAGATAGCCAACCTTAAGCGGTATTTTGGCGTCAAAAAAAAAGGTAAATGGCGCTGTAGCCGACTATATGCGCATAACGAAGAAAGGAAGAATTTTAATTGACTATGCGACAACCAACAAGTTTACTTTGTTTAAAGTCCCATATCTAGAACACTGTGAGTGGTTTATTGATCAAAAAGACGTATATGTACATTTAGAAAATGAATCTGTAAGTGAAACGGACAGATCTTCAGATAATATACCTTTTTAGCCAGAGATTTTGTATTTTGAAAACCGTCACTAAACAGAACATTTTCAGCGATAATGCCACTATCAGGTACCATCATAGAAATAGGTCTAAACATTGACTTCAAATTGTCCGGAAGTTCAGTACGTCCAGCGTAACCAGGATTCATTGTAATAAATATTCCAACTGTTAGTTTCAGATTTATTGTTGTACCTGAAATATAATTTACACGGTGGCGTATCGAAAACGAAACAGACGCATTTTCCAGCAGCTCAGTTTTTTTCGGAAAAACGCTCAGACCCTACGATTTTGTTTTCGAGCGGGACACAAGTTTGGCAAAAAATCACTCTGGACGGTGGTGACACCAACCCTAAAATCTTAAATGGAAAGGGGGGTCGAGTGATACCTTATTTTAAAGGTATTTCAATTCCCTTTATAATGATGTAAAATACATGAGCTTCAGTTCAGTAGTTTTGAAAATTTGTTGATTTAAAGCTTAAAGTAGACTTTAATAGGTACATCAGATTAGTTTGTACTACTTTCAGAAGAAATTTGACTAAAAGAATTTACTTAATAAGTAAATGATTTTTTTCACTACGCCCATGGTTTGTTTATCATTTTGTTGTTGAAAATAGCTATTGGAGCGTTTTTTTGTGGCAAAAAAGTTATTTCTTGGAGAAACATAAGGCAATATCTCGTACTTATTTTAAATAGGAATTTAGTACATAGTTTGTGATTGATTTGACCAAACTTTGCTAAAATAACTTGCAACGCTTTATTACATAAATTTACCATGGTATATTCTAGAGCAGAAAGAGTTGAAATTATCGAAATATTTTTCGGAAATAAATAAATCTACAAAAGTAATGAACTGAAGTACATTAATTTTATATCATTATAAAGGGAATTAAAAGACCTTTAAAATAAGGTATCACTCGACCCCCCTTTCCATTTAAGATTTTGGGGGTGGTGTCACCCCCGCTTAGGGGGCTGCACGTGTTAACGTGATTTTTTGCCAAACTTGTGTCCCCCTCGAAAACAAAATCGACGGGTTTGGGCGTTTTTAAAAAAAAAAAAATGAGTTGCCAGTAAATAATGCGTCTGTTTCGTTTTCAATGCGCCACCCTGTATAAAACAAGGCTACGTTAATTATAGAACGTCAAAAGAAACATTTCTAACATTTTCTATTATTTTTTCAAACCTAGATGTCAAGATGAGGAGTTGCTAAATAGCACAAAACAACTACTCTCGCTGTTTTCATGCTGATAGAGATCCGTGTTTTTTCTTTTAGCTAAATAAAATCACATACAGGGTGGCCCAGCAAAAAGGTCGCACCCCCATTTGTGACTGTCTTGGTATATTTTGGGAAAAACGCTCGAACACGTCAATTTTGATTTCTAGGAGGCATACGTAGGTGTTTACCTTTTTTCTCACTCAGTATAACAAAACTAACAGTATCCTGAAAAAATAAATGTGTAGGTCGACATTTTCGGAAATCATATTGTAGGAACATTCCTTGCAATTTGACGGGCGAGACGTATTTGGACATGTTAGAATTACCGAAATAATAGAAAATTGGTGCAAGAATGAGCGGGTATTCCATAAATATAAGTATGTAAGGTGCATTTCACTCTAGCAGAACATTATCGAAACATATTACCTTCAAATGCAAACGTTTCCAGCTTCTGCGATACAGCCGACAGCACCGACAAGATCTGCTGGGCCACCACGGACAACACTTCGATGTTGATCCTGTTGAATTCATCGAAGCATCCCCAAGCGCCAGTCTGAGCCAATCCGGAGAAGCACTTACCCATACTCTTGTAGTCCAAGCCCTCTGAACAGTTGTTCACGATCACCCACATGCCCATTGCCTTGCCGAGGTCTTTCACAGTCTCCGTTTTGCCGGTGCCTGCTGGACCCTTGGGACTGCCGCCTCGATATAGGTGAAGAGCTGTTGTCAGGGTTATATAGCACCTACGATATCATAACAAAATCAGAATTGAATTACAATATGTAGCATCGGCCATGAATTCATTAATGTTAAAACTAGCTTTGTGTCCCGCGGTTTTACCCGCAGCATGTATCAATTCAGTGGTAATCCGACAAACATTACGCAGATCAGTGTCAAATTGAGGAATTCATCACAAGATGTAAAATATCTTAATTCCAACAATTTTAAAAAATTACAAACACACCTATCTGTTAGTGGGGTGATGACTAATCTTCCAGAATTTCCATTGTATTCGTAACCATACATGAAACTCGTGTTTGTCTGCTTGATGGTGCAATCATCCATATCTCTATCCCAGTAAAACCGGAGTTGAGAAAACCACTCGAATGCATTGGTATCTCTACAATCTAAAATGTATAGGCAGCTTCGAAATTGTGGAACACTGCAAATTCTAACAAACAATGTCAATGTATTGTGTGATAGCGTTCAACACTATTTGAGTAAAAGCTGACAAAACTGAAAAGGCTATTAATTTATCGATCAATGCATTTCTAACGGGAGCAAGTAATGAGATGCAGTGTACGTAAAAACTAATTTTCCTCGGCGATAAATTTTAACGGGCAGTGACAGTGATACCTTTAGCAGAAGTCAAATGTGATTAAAATATTAGAATATGAAAGATATTCTAGCCTTTGGCCAATAGCCGGTAAGGGAAAACAAAACTTTCCAAAAACCTTGCAAAAATTCTATAAGGGATAAAAATTTGGACACAAAAAAACGCTCCAATAGTTATTTTCAGCAAAAAAATGATAAACAAACCATGGGCGTAGTGAAGAAAAGCATTTACTTTTTAAGTAAATTCTTTTAGTCAAATTTCTTCTGAAAGTAGTACAAACTAATCTGATGTACCTATTAAAGTCTACTTTAAGCTTTAAATCAATAAATCTTCAAAACTACTGAACTGAAGCTCATGTATTTTACATCATTATAAAGGGAATTGAAAGACCTTTAAAATAAGTATCACTCGACCCCCCTTTCTATTTAAGATTTTAGGGTTGGTGTCACCCCCGCCCAAGGGGCTGCACGTGTTAACGTGATTTTTTGCTAAACTTCAAAAACAAAATCGACGGGTCTGAGCGTTTTTCAAAAAAAAAACTGAGCTGCCAGTAAATGCGTCTGTTTCGTTTTCGATGCGCCACCCTGTATATTTATTAATTACATATTTATATGGGGTGTCCCAATATCCCGTGGACATATATGTACCACGTATTTTTATACTCAAAATAACTAGATTAGATAGAAACAAAGCTTTATACTATACTTACTAGCTTTATACAATCGATCAATAACATCTCGAGAATGTATTTCAATGGTGATAAGAGCGTTAGCTTTCAACCGTTGCAACTTTGTGAGATCTTTTCTGCTGAGCTCGGACAGCTTACTCAACACCTGATTCTGCTTTTTTCGTAACCTCTTTAAAGGCTTTTTGCTTTCCATTATCTTCGCATGGACAAGAGCTCTTGTACAATCAGTCGTCCATTGTATCTGAAATCAACAGAAAATATTTTTTGAGTTTTTTAAAGATAAACAAATGTGCTTTATTGCCCTAAGAGTACAATCATTCCTTATTAACAAGCTAGCTTAAAACTAAACTATAATTACATATATGTAGTTCTTAAGAAAATTGTAAAACTCACACAAGTTATATCATTAAATTTTTTTCAAATTTACGAGAAAAGGTACGTTATGCCTCATTCTATTTAAAAAAATACATGTTTGGTGTGGCATAAAGTTACATATCAATGTTGACCAGTTAACAGTGCAACAAAATTGAATGATACTCACAAGACTACAGGCATTACAAAGTTGTCCGCAATTGGACAGCAACCATTTATCCCTCTTGTTCAGCATCTTCTTCAGCTCAGTCCTGATCGGTTTGAATTTTTCAATCAGCACGGCCCTCATATGGTCCTCCAGCTTTTTCAGCCACGCCTCGGATGGTCCTTCAAGCAAGAAAGGCCTCTCGAACTCCATATATTCTCCATCGTCAGAGAACATGCCTACACACTCTTGCTTGTTCACTCCCACGTTCTTCTGGATCTTCATCTTGTTCAGGTTGTCGAATAGCTTCTTCAGATGCGGCTGAACTAACTCCGGCTTCTTTGAGTTGCCCAGAATCTCCAACATGTCATCATTGGAGACAAAGTAGAAGCGAGGGAAGACGTGGCGCTTGGTTTCAAGGTACCTGTTGGTGATTTTTCGCGAACTTGCTATTCAGCCTGATCTATTCGATACAAATCTTTTGAGCCAGTTGGTTTGAATCCAATATGGCAGATGCTACACAATGGCGATTCATCATTTCTATGGTATCTTCTATGATATGGGTATCGAATGAAAGGGCTTGATGAGGGAATCACAATAAGCAAAGTGACGTCATTCTAAATCCAATATGGCGGCCGTTGCAAAATGGCGATTTACATTTTTGCAGTCGCTCCTACCATATGGGTATCAAATGAAAGGGCTTCATGAGAGAAACACAATAAGCAAAATGATGTAATGCTAAGTCCAATATGGCGGCCGTCGCAAAATGGCGATTTACATTTTTGCAGTCGCTCCTACGATATGGGTATCAAATGAAAGGGCTTCATGAGAGAAACACAATAAGCAAAATGATGTAATGGTAAGTCCAATATGGCGGCCGTCGCAAAATGGCGATATACATTTTTGCAGTCGCTCCTACGATATGGGTATCAAATGAAAGGGCTTCATGAGAGAAACACAATAAGCAAAATGATGTAATGGTAAGTCCAATATGGCGGCCGTCGCAAAATGGCGATATACATTTTTGCAGTCGCTCCTACGATATGGGTATCAAATGAAAGGGCTTCATGAGAGAAACACAATAAGCAAAATGATGTAATGCTAAGTCCAATATGGCGGCCGTCGCAAAATGGCGATTTACATTTTTGCAGTCGCTCCTACGATATGGGTATCAAATGAAAGGGCTTCATGAGAGAAACACAATAAGCAAAATGATGTAATGGTAAGTCCAATATGGCGGCCGTCGCAAAATGGCGATATACATTTTTGCAGTCGCTCCTACGATATGGGTGTCAAATGAAAGGGCTTCATGAGAGAAACACAATAAGCAAAATGATGTAATGCTAAGTCCAATATGGCGGCCGTCGCAAAATGGCGATATACATTTTTGCAGTCGCTCCTACGATATGGGTATCAAATGAAAGGGCTTCATGAGAGAAACACAATAAGCAAAATGATGTAATGCTAAGTCCAATATGGCGGCCGTCGCAAAATGGCGATTTACATTTTTGCAGTCGCTCCTACGATATGGGTATCAAATGAAAGGGCTTCATGAGAGAAACACAATAAGCAAAATGATGTAATGGTAAGTCCAATATGGCGGCCGTCGCAAAATGGCGATATACATTTTTGCAGTCGCTCCTACGATATGGGTATCAAATGAAAGGGCTTCATGAGAGAAACACAATAAGCAAAATGATGTAATGCTAAGTCCAATATGGCGGCCGTCGCAAAATGGCGATATACATTTTTGCAGTCGCTCCTACGATATGGGTATCAAATGAAAGGGCTTCATGAGAGAAACACAATAAGCAAAATGATGTAATGCTAAGTCCAATATGGCGGCCGTCGCAAAATGGCGATATACATTTTTGCAGTCGCTCCTACGATATGGGTATCAAATGAAAGGGCTTCATGAGAGAAACACAATAAGCAAAATGATGTAATGCTAAGTCCAATATGGCGGCCGTCGCAAAATGGCGATTTACATTTTTTCCGTCGCTCCTACGATATGGGTATCAAATGAAAGGGCTTCATGAGAGAAACACAATAAGCAAAATGATGTAATGCTAAGTCCAATATGGCGGCCGTCGCAAAATGGCGATTTACATTTTTGCAGCCACCCCTACGATATGGGTATGAAATGATAGAACTTCGTAAGACAAACACAATAATAAAAATGATCTAATCCAATATGGCGGCCGCTGCAAAATGGCGACTTTGCGTGTTACACTCTTTTTTCATCCTGCTGTCGAAACGTTAAAATTGAGATGCAAGATTTCTCCCAGACATACAAAAGTTTCGTAACAAGTTAGCCATGTCATAAGCATGGCAAGCGGGGGAAAATAATATAAATAGACACTCTGACGTCGACTATACTTTTAATTGACATAACTCGGAAACTGCACGATTATATTTTGGTAGATTTTGATTGGAATGAGAAAACGTTTACTATATTCCTTATTCGATTCTAATATCTTCTACCTCGTTCTGCTTTACGTACCTTTCTAATGCGCGTTGCATCAATTCTAACTTCTCGTTCATTTTTATTAGTTTGTTAAGAAGAAAAGGTGGAGGCTTATAATGCGTGGCCTTCAGTGCCGTCTTGGCGAAGTAAAGTTTAGTGGTGACGTCACGCCAGTTTTCCGTCAAAACATCAAAATCTTCTGTCTCTTTTGGCAGCTGTTTCCTTATATCTTCGCCGAAGAAGATATTCTACAATAAAACAGATGAAGTTGGTGGAATGATGCATCGTTACTTTCATAAACTTTTCGATAAGATCTCTAATCCATAGTTGATGCTTTATTGGAAGTAGTTTTTATCGGCAAATCTAGGCAGTTTTTAGGATAGTCTTATAACAAAGGACTACAAATAACGCATGGACTATTGGTAAACTGCAAAAGGAATGCTTTATAATCAGGATCTGATTTGACGTTCTTTGCAGTGTTAATATTTTGTTTTAAGAAAACTTAAGCCTTGCATTCAATCGATGGTCATTGTAGAAATGCTAAAATTATCTGTCACTAACCTCCAAATACAGCCATTGCCGCTGCACCATCAAAGCAGTCTCCAGCGCTTCCATTATGTAAGATAACGTTCTTTCCCAACGATCTACTTCCTTCGCAAACGGCTCCACGAACTTTGTACTCTTCATTACCGATAGCTGCATCATGTTTTCCTCGAGAGCCTGAAAACAGTCGTCCACGTTCTTGATTCTAAACATGTTCCTTTCCTTGTAAGCTATCATTTCGAACTTCATTTTGTCCCAGTTAGCCTTAATCGCTGCCAAACCTAAAAGTACCCGAAGTTATATTTTGTCTTTAGTCAAAATTAAATTAATTGTCGTTATATCAATCTCTATATTGAATCACATTTGTGTGAAGGCCGCTAATTTAGTGTCAAGACGCAAATGCGTTTTTTTACTTTAGCTTTAGTGATTCACCTGCATATTGAGATTGCTATCTTATCCAAGGTTACTACCCTCTTTTTATTTAAACGCATATAAAGAGTAGAGTATTTTATGTTAATACAGTTGATTTTACCTTTCTCTATCTGTAACTCCATAGTTGCTGCGTTAGATATTTCGTTGATTTCTTCAGCATATTTATGCATCTCCATCGAATATATGGCGTCCAGATTAAATTCCGGAGAACTCTCATCAAAGTCTACACCAACAGCTGCCTTGACCTTGATCCAGTGTCTGGGTCGCATTGCTGGGTTCTTCAAATCACCAAGCAATGGCAAAGTCCTTCTAAAGGCATCCACTTTTTGCCTGGTATCTTCTACAATTGTCCATCTAAAGAATGTCAAACGCATTATTTGATTTCCAATTTTTTTTTTCGGAAATTAAATAGTGTTTACCCTTTATCTTTAAGCTCTCTGGCTAGTCTCGTTAGCTTTCTGAATAAAGTTTGTGCCGTTTCTTCCATTTCAGCTGTCTCGATGGTCCAAAATTCTCCAGACTTGTATTTCTCCCATGCTTTTTCCCATTCCTCTGCTAGTTTCCAAACTATCTCCAATAAGCTTAGTTCCTGAAATCGAACACACACAACGTGATACCTCAGCCGTACATCAATTAGTATTTGAATTCAAGATGTATGCATCGCTTTAGATATGGCAGATATAAAATGTGTTAAGAAGCTCCTACATCGCTCATGAGTAATTATGATCCAATATAGGGTGAAGCGATCATCGTCAAGCCGAAAATGGCACGTTTTGGACGTTCCGCTAGTTCGCGCTTGCTTTTGTAATATTATCACACCTACAATACCCCGCCTAACAGGAATCCAGGGAGTCATTTAAAAAGCAAAATCTATGCTACTCAGCCAAATCATTAGAAGACCTGCGACAAGAGTGCCTTCAAATTACTCCTCAAATATTGCAAAATGTGCGGCAATGTTTTGAGCAAAATCTTTATTATTGCATGGAGGGTCATGGTGGCCAGTTTCAACATTTACTTGCCTAACGGGTCAGTTCATTCTTCATTTTTAAATTACTTTGCTGCCAAACATATTGATCTCCACTAATGATGATGTATTAGTTTTGTTTAATCTTCAAAACTACTGAACTGAAGCTCATGTAAAGATCTTTAAAATAAGGTATCACTCGACCCCCCTTTCCATTTAAGATGTTAGGGTTGGTGTCACCCCCGCCCATGGGGCTGCACGTGTTAACGTGATTTTATGCCAAACTTGTGTCCCCCTCGAAAACAAAATCGACGGGTCTGCGCGTTTTTAAAAAAAAAAAAACTTTGCTGCCAGTAAATGCGTCTGGTTCGTTTTCGATGCGCCACCCTGTGTATATAGTAGCAATAGGCCAGGGCAAAGCCGGAAACATGGAGACTTTGTCACATATCTAAAAGTAGCATATAGTCAAGGAAACTTTTGAACGAAAAGGAATAAATAAATAAAAAAGACGCTATCTAAATGTCCGATCTCTGGGCTTTCTCACGCAAAAATCTTTAGTTTCGTAGCTCCTGTATCTTTGGAGCAGATAGAAATTGAATATCGGACAGCACGAAAATCTACCCGTTTTTCGACTTAGCCATTTTAAAACGTTCTTCGTCCTCGTACCAAGACGGTTCTTACTCGCCCGTAAAGCGGCGAGTTTCTAGTTTCCGAAACGGTATCGCTTTGCGTTAAAACTTTTCGCGAACCCGGAACAAACCGGAAATTCCGAGCCGATGTCGAAACGTCTCGATCCAGACTCGATAGTAGAAGTGAAAAAAAGATCACCGCTCAATATTGTCGACTTTTAGCAATAAGTTATTCCTTATGCGATTAGTTAACACCAACTATAGGGAGAATACTCTTTTGCGTTGACGGCAATAGACCGACAACGATTGCTCCGCTCAAGCACAACGTTTCCGAGGAGATGCCCACGAGCGAGTATTCACAAATTTGAAGTCGAGATTCGAGGAGTGTGTACGTCTCGATGGCTCACATCTCAAGGATGTTATTTTAAAAAAATTAAATTCCCATATGTCTACTTTATTACAAATATACGCTTTGTAGTTTTTTTTGTATGATTTTAAAAAATCCTTCAACTTAATGGCCCACCCTGTATAAAGAATAAATAATGACGTTTTTTCTTCATTGTATACCGACATGATACTTACTGCTTCTAACTTATTCAGATCCTGCGACTCTGGAAAGCTGAGCCCGAATATTCCGAGGTCGTTTCTAATCTCCTCTTCTCTAGTTCTCATGGCTGCAAGCTTAGCCTTCATGATCTGAAGATATTCCAGACCCTTCGTCGGTGACCAATCGGAATTGAATGGGCCGTGTTTCAAGAAATCATCCAACAATTGTTTGGCATCAGATCGAGATTGATCAGCTTGCTCCAACAGGCCTGTTTTGAATCGGTCCTGTTGGAATTGGTGTCGGATGAAAGAGATGGAGCAGGAAAAGGTAGGAAAAGGAGCACTTGGTTTGTGGAATTTAGAAAAAATGGAATGGCGATAGGAAATTAAAGTGCGAGCTGGCCAATCAAGTAACAATGAAATGTGTACCTATATGACATTTTTATAAGAACTGGTCTCTTTATTTTTGTGTTCTGGTATTGCATGGTATTTAGCGAAAGACTGACGTGGTACCTCAGACCACCCTGTACAAAACTTTAACCAAGGCACACTCAATAACCTAATATACGAATTAGAAACGACGTTCGCCCGCTTAATGGATGAAGTATTTGATATCAAAGTTAGTATACTAAGAAATATTTTGCTAAAATAATGATAATAATATGTTGCACCCTGTATAGTGCGGTAGGTCACATATGGAGTTTTGTAATGTGTTTTCAAGTAGTAGGTACATATTTCAACTCTTATGCTCAAGTGTTGATAAAAAAATGGCGTCGACCGTAAAAGATTATGTCCAGCACAAGTTACACCCTCTGAGGAAAAAGCTAGTTTTTTTTTCTGGATGTCTGTATGTTATGTAATTGTTTAGTTTGTAGAAGAATGTAATTGTAGCAATCATGCTAAATAAATCTTAAACAAAAACAAAACATGTACATACAGTTAGTGCATAGACATTCTTTCTCTGTAATTTTTTTTTCACAAAATTATTTTTATTTTAATGTTATTTAGTCTCGCCAGGAATTTTTCATCCAACCCACTCGCGATACATTTATTATGATATTGTGAATGTGCCGATTGTAAATCTCAAACCAATAACTCGGAGAATCGGTAGACTAAACGAGTCTCGATTTTGTTTAGGCATGCACGATGGTCGTGCCAGGGTTAGAAGGCGACGTGGTGAAAGGAGGAATCCACAGTTTTCTGTTGAAAGAGATGTTCATCACACTGTTGGAGTTATGGTTTGGGGTGCTAGAGCTTATGGTTCCAGGTCACCTTTAATCTTCATCAGAGGTAACATTAACGCGCAGCGTTATATCCACGAAGTTCTAGAACCCCATCTTTTACCCTATCTTGACACCCTGGCAGATCCAACTTTCCAACAAGATAATGCCCGACCACATGTTGCAAGAGTCACAATAGACTTCTTTCAACATAATGATGTCACATTGTTACCATGGCCACCAAGATCTCCCGACTTATCCCCAATTGAGCACGTGTCGGATATGTTGGGTAGGAGATTGGTCAATTTGCAACGTCCTCCTCAGACTCTAGAAGCACTTCGAGGGGAGTTGGTGGTTGCCTGGAATGAGATATCACAGGAGGACATTGACCACCTGATCAGAAGCATGCCTAGGCGCGTTGGAGAATGCGTAGCACATCAGGGTGCATCCACACATTATTAAAGGTCAAAGGACTTTAAAGCAGTGCAATCATTTTGAAATTTTTATCATTTACTTATTATACTTCATTAAGTACTTATACAAAATTTTATTAAAATAAAACCATTTAAACTGGGTGTTCGGATTTATATGTCACTTAGTATAAATCATACTGAATTTCTAGACAAATCGACTGGGATTCATTTCTCATATTGTTTTGTGTCTGGTCCTTTAACGCTCACTTGAACTGGGTGTAAAATCTGTGATAAGTTATTCATTGATAGTGCGCTACTCTTATGAAATACTTTTCATACACTAAACAGCTGGATGAAGGTCGCTTCTAATTCGGATCTTCTAAAATAACGGAGACGTAAAAATACTTTTCTTAAGTAAACCAAAGACTAGCATTTAATTTGTGATAAAAATGCATGCGGTATGCATATTTATTTCTGTGATATCTTTGAGAATTTTTTTAAGAAATTGTTTGCTTCTAACATGTTACCAGAAGATTATTTACATTTGTAATAATATGCGGTGATATCCTTGCAGGAATTAAAGACTGTACATCCCTATAAAGGAAATAAGATGATGTCTAACATTTTCGCAACTTTTTGGGAAAATTTTAAATTATTCCAGTGCACACAAGCACAATGTACATTTATGAAAATGGTAAAGCTACAATTTTTCAAATTCTGATTCAATATTTCGATTATTTAAATATGACTGCTGATTGGTTTAGATATGATGAAAATATTTACATCACTTTGGGATTTACAGGAGAAAAGGACGGGGAATGAGAGATATTAAGTTGAATTCTTGCTGTCGGCCACAAGTACCTTGGCGTATTCTAGCATTTTATCGGCTTGTTCGAGCACTTCAAGGTAAGCAGCCCATTCTTTCGGGATGTTCTTCTCCATATTCCTCACGGCATCAGAAATAGGCACCTGATATTTGTCCAAAGTTAGGATCATATCTTTGATTAGAGGAAATTGTTCTTCTCTGTATGGTATATCATATTTGAGCTGATCGAATAGATTGATGGAAAACTGCATTTCAGTCAGGTCGTGTGGCTCTTGCATTATCCTAAAATTGTAAAATACTCCTAGAACATTTTTTGGAATGCCGAAAGCGAATTCCTCGTTTTCCAGATCTTCGAAAAGCATTTTAGATAATTCAGTCTTTCTATTTGGGGAACCAATATTCTTTAATGTTTTTCACATCGTTTTAGAATTATTTTTATTGCTATTGATCTTATATTATCATACTACTGTTTTTCCCTCCTGAGAACTGCTATTATTACCTACCTACTCCTGTGCCAAAAGTTCAAAATTCTCAGCTGTGCACAAATAAGCGACCGATTAATGTCTTGCCCGACGTCGAGAAGCTGTTCGAAGGGATAATATACGAACAAATCATAGAATTCATTGAAGAAACCAAAATTTTGATAAAAAATCAAGCTGGATTTAGAAAAAATGTTCCACAGAAATGGTAATCCAAATGGTGGTGGAAGACTGGAGAAGAAGTATAGATGAGAAAGAATATATTGAAACAATATTTTTAGACTTCAAAAGGGCATTTGAGACTATAGATAGGGAAAAATTGTTAATGAGATTGCGTTACTATGGCTTTAAAGGATCAGTATTACACATTTTACAAAATTATTTAGTAAATAGAAGTCAAAAAACTAAAGTTGGAAATAAGTGACATATAAATCCGAACACCCAGTTTAAATGGTTTTATTTTAATAAAAGTTGGTGAATGTATTTATCTTACTGTAAATAACAAGTGAAAAAATTTTCAGCCTTATCAGTTGGACATTCCGGTTTTTATACTGCTTTTTTTTAATTCACTAACGCTCTAAAAATGAATATTTCAGCCGCAGTAAAGAATCAACGTTGGCGGATTTTGGTTCTTGACATCCTTTACGATCGGTTACAATGCCTAGAGTACGGAGACCTGTACGATTTCGTCAACTTAGTGAGTTTGATAGGGACCGTATAGTGGGACTTCGGGAAGCTGGACTTTCTTTTCGGGCAATTGCAGTTAGAGTGCAAAGAAGTGTAGACACTGTGGTTAGGTGTTGTCAGGCATGGCTTCAAAAAGGCCGTACGTAAAGAGCAAGGGGCACTGGACGCCGCCGTAGAACAACAGATTGTGAAGATCGCCGCCTAAGATTATTGGCCTTAAGGGACCGTTTCTCCACTACCAGGTCCATTGCAAATGAATGGTTTGCAGAACACGGAAGACCTATTGGCATGCAAAGTGTTTACCGATGAATGAGAAGTTTTGGCTTGTTTTCATACCGGCCACACTAGGTCCTCCCTTTAACTCGAGAACACCGACGTAATCGCCTTCAGTGGTGCAGACAACAGTCACTCTGGGATCAGGAATGGAACAGTATTGTCTTTAGTGACGAGTCTCGATTTTGTTTATGCATGCACGATGGTCGTGCCAGGGTTAGAAGGCGACGTGGTAAAAGGAGGAATCCACAGTTTTTTGTTGAAAGACATGATCATCACACTGTTGGAGTTATGGTTTGGGGTGCTATAGCTTATGGTTCCAGGTCACCTTTAATCTTCATCAGAGGTAACATGAACGCGCAGCGTTATATCCACGAAGTTCTAGAACCCCATCTTTTACCCTATCTTGACACCCTGGCAGATCCAACTTTCCAACAAGATAATGCCCGACCACATGTTGCAAGAGTCACAATAGACTTCTTTCAACATAATGATGTCACATTGTTACCATGGCCACCAAGATCTCCCGACTTATCCCCAATTGAGCACGTGTGGGATATGATGGGTAGGAGATTGCTCAATTTGCAACGTCCTCCTCAGACTCTAGAAGCACTTCGAGAGGAGTTGGTGGTTGCCTGGAATGAGATACCACAGGAGGACATTGACCACCTGATCAGAAGCATGCCTAGGCGCGTTGGAGAATGCGTAGCACATCAGGGTGCATCCACACATTATTAAAGGTCAAAGGGCTTTAAAGCAGTGCAATCATTTTGAAATTTTTGTCATTTACTTATTATGCTTCATTAAGTACTTATACAAAATTTTATTAAAATAAAACCATTTAAGCGGGGTGTTCGGATTTATACGTCACTTAGTATATATAGTGACGTAATTTTAATTTTAATAGACAAGAATGTAAAATCACAGAAAATGCATTGAAGAAAAATTTGTAACCGAATCATTATACACAATTGACATTGTAGCAGTAAAATGCTAAATAAATCTTCAACAAAAACAACAATTAAATTACAATTTTCAAGTACTACTCAATAAAAAAATCTATGAATAGTTATGTAAAATGTACCGATTATGTAACGATTTCAAAAAAATTTACTTGGAAGTTTATTTTTATAACCGACAGGTGTCGTAAGTGTCGCTTGCTACTTCAATAATTATACCTTATAATTTAACTCGGTTGAGTTTGATCTCGCTTTCCAGTGCTTAGACGTAAAAGGAACAGCATTTTGACTGATTTCGGAAATCCAATGGACATTCTGTGCTGTCTGGGAAGGTTAGCAATCTGACAATCTTCAGAGGATTACTTACTGTTTCCCGTTGATCCGCATATATTCATATAACTCTTTCAATTTAGCATCTGTCATCTTGAACAGAAGCGCGCAAAGCTTTTCCTGCCAATCTATGCAGTGATTGATAATTGCCTGCTTCAAATCGGCACAGTTAATCTGCGTGAAGTGCACGGTAGAAACAGTTTCTTGGATTTGCGCATTATTGGCCAACTCGGTATATCTGGCGATGTTGGAATCGAACAGTGCCGCGCTGGGATCTTCTTGCTCGTATCTGTCGATGAATTTATCTTTGTCCACTTCCCAAAGGTCTCTGAATGGCTCCCAAATCTTCATGTACTCTTTGATCTTTTCCACGTTGACGCGTATTTCTGTAAGGCAAAGTACTCGGGTGGGTCACGGATCATCTTATACAGCGTGTCCCAATATTCCATGGACAGAGACGTATCATGTATTTATAGACTCCAAATAAGTCAAAATATAGCATGTCACTATAAAATCTCTGTGTTAAATCTTACAATCATTCTATTGGCAAGTATCTATGAATTGAATTCTTCCGTTAATAACTTAAATTTTATTATAATTTTATTTTGAGGTCATTAATTATGATTGATTGTTCGATCATCTACTACTGTAATATAAACTCTTTGTAATTAAAAATTATTTTCTACTTTTTAATTCGGTTAACTATAAAAGCGTGTTTTTTAGTTTTTTTAACGAATCATTTCGTAATCTAATCATTTCATTTAAAGCTTCACTGTTGCATGGGGTTTTTCCTGTTAACTTAGAGCAATCAAGTTCTTCAATCCGAATAACGTCTAAAGCTATTACACATACATAAGCAATGGGAAGTACTGTACTCTTAAAATATGGTAAGGATATAACAAAAAATCCACTAAAATTTTCCAAACAATTTGATGGCAAATATTTAAGTGTCTAGCGATATTCCTCGTACTCGTTTCAGGATGTTTTTCGACTTCTTGCAACACTGCTTTCTCAATTTCAGGTGTTCTCACACTTAGGGGTCTATTTTCAGATGTTCCTTTTCGGATAGAACCAGTTTCAACAAGACGACGATGAAAATTAGACAAGGTTCGACTATGTGGCAAAGCACGATCGAGATATCTCTGGTGATAAATCCGTCTGGCTTGCTCACCATTACCGTCGGCAAGGCCATATACGAGCCCATTCACACTTCAGTTGGCCCACTTTATTTTTCATTACGGCTGAAATTCTTTGGGGCACAGTGTTAACCAAGTTTTGGCAAAAATTTGGTGTAAAATAATCCCATGTTTCTTGAAACTTTTGTCTCAGTTCGGTGATTGTACGAGCAGGATGTTGTCGAAGAACCTTTTTCATCTCGTGCCACAAAGTTTCAATAGGTGACAGATCTGAACTGCTAGAAACCCATTTCAAAAGTGGTACATTATTTTCTTCCATTCATTTTATAGCCTTTTTTGAGGTATGGTACGCTACACCATCTTGCTGAAACACAAAATCTTGGCCGGATGTCAAACATTCTTCCATCACTGGTAAAAGCGATTTGGAAACCGCATAAACATGTGCCATTTTTTATTTCGTTTGAGCCACGCAGCAAACACCACTATTCACTCACGCGTTACCGACTGACACATTGTTTCAAATTCTTTCGCTTTTTTGTTTCCAATGCGATGAAGCGATAAGGCGGATTATATCCGTTGTTGCCAAACACGAGCACATAATATTATTATTGAGACAGGGCGGTACTCAAACTTCTAAAGGGCTATAACTTTGTTACTTTAATTTTACCACAAAAATGTTAAAGGAAAAAACATTTCTTTTGATCAGATCTACTCACTGTTAGAATAAATGACTCAACTTCGAAGTCACCCTGTATATTTATATTATCAAAATATTCATTGTTAATATTTTAAACCTATAACACCCCGCTACATTTTTATTATTTGTGTTTGATAAGAAAAAAAACTAAGATTTCAATAGTTGGGCCAATTGAAGTGGGAAGGAGCTCGTACAATGAACTAGTTGCCAAGCAAAACGGTGTTGACTCAAGGTATGTTCAGAAGCAGCGTTTGATGTAGCCTTACTTGTCAACAAGTAAGAACTATGTAACAATAGAAAAAAGCTGCACATCGGATTGAATCCAGGATCCAGCCTTCATACGTACCTGTATTCAAAAGAGCCTGCAATTGCTGGCACTGAGAATCCTCAGCGATAATTTCACTGTACGATTTGAAATGAGTTTCGGCTACGTGGAATTTATCGTTCAATCTCGGCAAACCTTTAATGGTTTCTATGAGTCCTAAATGCATATTCGTGATCGCTATGGCGACTTCGACTAAAGATGGTATAAACTTTATCTGGAAATAATAATCGGTTAGTTCACACGCATGTAACATGAAGACACATCTGTGTATTTTTCAAGAAGATGATTTGGCAGATAACATAATGAAACAGATGTGAAGACATCTGTAAGTGGACCGAACCACCATAACCTGTAAAGTTTACAACTTTCCAACTGAAATTTTATTCTAAGGATAGGGTAAGCATAAGGGCACACCATAAACGAATGTGGTGCTCGTAGAAGATGTATGTGGTTATACAGTGCTTTTCTTTAATATTCCCCTCCCCGTCGATGTTTTGAACGGATCAATTCAAAAAATTAAAACTTGAAGTTTTTTTTTCAGATCAACTAAACAACACATTCTTCATCCCAACGAAGATGGGAGCTAAAACAATTCCGAGATACTTATGAATTAGTTTGCGGGATATGTATACATTTTGGAAATTTATTTTTCTTATATTTAGCTAATTATACAGGGTGACTTTGAAGTTGAGTCACGCAACAGACACCACTATTCACTCACGCGTTACCGACTGACACTGACTGAATAAAATAATTGTAAAAACATCGTTCCAAATTCTTTCGCTTTTTTGTTTCCGATGCGATGAACCGATAAGGCGGATTGCATCCGTTGTTGCCAAACACGAGCACATAATATTATTATTGAGACAGGGCGGTACTCAAACTTCCAAAGGGCTATAACTTTGTTACTTTAATTTTACCAGAAAAATGGTAAAGGAAAAAAACATTTCTTTTGATCAGATCTACTCACTGTTAAAATAAATTACTCAACTTCGAAGTCACCCTGTATAGCGGTAAAATACAGGGTGGCGCATCGAAAATGACGCATTTACTGGCAGCTCAGTTTTTTTTTTGAAAAAACGCTCTGACCCGTCGATTTTGTTTTCGAGGGGGACACAAGTTTGGCAAAAAATCACGTTAGCACGTGCAGCCCCCTGGGCGGGGGTGACACCAACCCTAAAATCTTAAATGGAAACGGGGGTCGAGTGATACCTTATTTTAAAGGTCTTTCAATTCCCTTTATAATGATGTAAAATACATGAGCTTCAGTTTAGTAGTTTTGAAGATTTATTGATTTAAAGCTTAAAGTAGACTTTAATAGGTACATCAGATTAGTTTGTACTACCTTCAGAAGAAATTTGACTAAAAGAATTTACTTAATAAGTAAAATTGTTATTGAAAATAGCTATTGGAGCGCTTTTTTTTGTGGCAAAAAAGTTATTTCTTGAAAAAAGATAAGGAAATATCTCGTACTTATTTTAAATAGGAATTTAGTACATAGTTTGCGATTGATTTGACCGAACTTTGTTGCTAAAATAACTTGTAACGCTTTATTACATAAATTAACCATGGTATATACCACAGCAGAAAGGGTTGAAATTATCGAAATATTTTTCGAAAATAATCAGTGCGCTAATAGAACAGCAGAAATATTTAACGAGTGACATGAGAACAGTAACGTGCATCGAAAATATGTTCTAGAACTTGTAGCTAAATTTCTGGAAACTGGATCAGTCGCCAATAAATGCGTCTGTTTCGTTTTCGATGCGCCACCCTGTATAAATTTCTTACAATTATTAATAGTTTATAATAGTTGGATATCGAACCAGTATCTTATCTGTACTAAATTTCCTCAATTTCTTCTTTTAATGTTGTCCAAGTTCTGGTTTTATGTATGATGATGGTGTCAAATCTGCAAATCCTATTTTTTTTTCACTTTTTGTTGAGAGATTATACAAGTCGTTTATTATAAAAAATTATAAAAAAAGGGCGCAAGTATTATTCCTTTTTAGAGATTATATCAATGATGAAACGCAGTGCACTTTGACAAGGAGCTGCACACCATGATACACAGGATTTTTGACAATAACTTTTTGTTGGAGATTCTATCGAAATCGAGTGTAAAATTTTTATTTACTAACTTAGTTCTTTCCAAACTACCCAACAGGCAATACCTACGTTGTTGTCGCAAATAGATATAAGATTCTTTGACTGAATAATCGTCAACTTACCCTGTTGTCTTGTAGAGAGATTTCTAACTTTATCAAAGGATTTGGTTCTGTTGTGCCGTCACCATGGACAGTCTCGTACACGAACTTCAAAGAGTTCCTGCAGTTTATTTTCAACGCCTCTTCCATCAATGTGTCAAAATTGTTTATATATTTAATCCATTGATTTGCCATCTGAAAAGATACCATTTTTCATGAGTAAGCCTATAATAGATGAAACTTTCAAAAACAAATGTTTGCGATATACTTCATGTTTTTACAAGATCTTCAGAAAAAGTTCATTCTGCGATTTTTTCATCACTTTTTAAGTTTAAATGTCCAAACGTCTTACTGTTCCCATGACATGCTCGAATCCCTCGAACACCAGAATAATATATTTTATGATCTCGTGGTAGTACTCGGTGAGTTTCATCAGCGTATCGTCAATGTATACGACCATTTCACGAACGAGGTCGTGGATGTCGAAAGCTACGTTCGGTCTTATGTAGAAGAACGGCGAGTCGCAGATCTTCTCACAAATTGACACTATCCTGAGATTGCAACTTTTGTAGTCGTCCACAAAAGCTTGCAGCTGCAAGAATACACGTGCAACGTTTAATGAAACAAATTTCGCAACTTGTCAGCTGTAGTTTATTTCTTACCTCGGCCGTATTGTTGCTGCACTCGGCAATATACTCATCTCCAACGTCAGCATTCCAAGTGAGTTTATTTAAACCTGGCATTATTTTCTTTTCTACGGAAGAGATGAGCGGTTTGAACAGCAGGCGCTCGTCATCAGAAAACGACGATATGATTTTGTTGTAGTCGAGCACCACGTTCAGTACGCATTCGTATACAAACTTTATCGAATCGGCTTTCTGGTAAACCGATTTCACGTACGTCGGGATCTCGTAATTGAGCGCTTCCCAATATTTTGCTTCGTGGAAGATTTCTAACAAAGACCTGGAATTATCCATATGTATAAGTGCTGTTAGATTTTTCGCAAGGAAAATGTTATTCGTTCGCGTCTACAAATTCAGAGTAGATAGAAGGAGCCGTTCAAAGATTTATTGCTCGTAGTCTGTAGTGAGAATTAAAGTGCACTTTATATAAGACAATTTTTTGACAGTTCTGTAGTTAAATTCATATGTGTTTGTTTATTTGTTTCAGATTCATTTAGCATTAATGCCACAATATCCATAATATCCATATTACACAGTATATCACAAAGTCACGTATTCTTGTAATGTCACGTATTCCTGTTAAGGGGTGATAGATTAGGTCAAAAGCAACCTTAAAACTTAAAATTCAAACAACTCAAAAATGGTTATCTTTTGGATAAGACATGATAGGACAAAATCGGTTGCTTTTGACCCCTTTTTTTTAAATTTATCACTTTGTATTTTAAAAACTCTGCATTTCCAAACCTACGTTTATGGGAACTTTTTTCATATTTTTTAACAAGGAATCTAAAAATCTCCTGATTAACATAAAAAGTTATCGTTTTTTTGCTTTATTGAAATGTTAGCAAACGTTCAGTCCGGTTCTATTAGATGGTCAGCAAAACATATAAATTACTAGTTTGCTCAATGACGAGTAAACCGTATCTACTATAGTACCAGAATCGACGGCATCTAGAGGTCACAGTAGTGACTCGGTTGACAGTGCGACAGTTCCAACAGACTGCTTTCTGTTTTCACTGTTTTCTCACTTGTCGACTCTGGTAATAAATGGCAGATTGTGATGTCTTATTTCGATGGATTAGTCTGGCTCAATTACCTATCAATATTAGCTTCCAAAAGCCCAGGTTTGGTTACGCTCTTGCACATCAGTGGTCGATTGAGCCTTGCCGGTACATCCTCTCCGATACTGTCAACCCATTTACGGTACAGTCCCAAAATCGTTTCGTTTATCGACTTGATGAGTTTTTCGTACTGTGCAAATACTTCTCTCGATATGCTGCACGGCATCATCCATCCAGCATTATCAAACATCTGCGAAATTGGTTACATTTATACGCTTTCAAACTTGGCAACTAGATAGATAGATAGAAATGCGCTTTGTTGCCTGAAGGACACAGTCACCTTTAATGACAAAGCTAACTTGAAACTAATCTATAACATAATTTCATGGTGTCTGTTTTGTTCAACAGTTCATTATCTAAATTTATAAAATCAAGAGACATTTATATGTCATAAAATTTGTCTTAATAACATTGAAAGTCAAGTAATTGCTGTGCTTTGATTGTATATCACCATCAATTTTTGTCCTAATTTCATTTAGATCTGTATCTTGCCAAACTGCGACTTTATGTTTATTAAATCGTTGTTATAGACTAAGAATATGATCGGACCGAATACTGATCCCTGAGGTACACCCCAGGGTGTAAACGTTATGGTAGTCATTATTGGAATGGGTAAAAAGTCAAAAAGTTCATATGACCCATGGTCCAAAAGCCAATAGATTTTTGTCTAAATGGCTTTATAGTTTACAACTTTAAGTGCAATCTTACTAATTTTTATAATCTAATCTAAAACGTTTTTAAATTGGGTAATTAACAAATAAATGGCATTAAGTTAAGCCAAAATTTGTAGTCAGTAAGTTTCATTAAATTAAATATTTAAAACACACATGACAACAGCGCGTCGATCTTTCATCACTCTTATCGAACCGGCAATCGATCGCAAACTGTAACAGCGGTTAGTTATCGTTTTGCGCAGATAAATTACTTTATCGTTTTGGCGAGCAGAGCATCGGGCGTGTTGTTCGCGTACGTCGTCGTGTTTATTTACAATGTTCTCGAATCAAGAGTTGGCCGACATGTTGTTACTTTACGGTGAAGCTCCCCCTCTATTACCGATTTAAATAACGACTATCATAACGTTTACACCATGTATTCAATTTATTTGAAATGTAATGTGTTGCTAATCTTACAATTTGGGATCGATTATTTATACATTATTTATATGTTTTAAACCAGTGTACAACCATATTTATCTAATTTTTTGATAGTATAAATTATAGTATCACTCTCGTGTATTTCCTATGAGTTCTTGTTAATTATGATGTTAATGATTTTAAATCATAATAAATTCCTTTAAGATACCGATTTATTATAAATACGCAGATTGTTAGAGATAAGATCACTCTATACTTTACTGTACAATCGTCAACATCTCAATAAATAATTGTTGAAGTGGTTCGTCGCCTATTTTATTTAATTTATATCATGATTTGCACAGTCAAAAGCTTTAGAAAAGGCGTAAAAAGAGCTATTGAATTTATCGTTTAAATTTAGATGTAACTGTAGGAGTAATGTGAAAGTAGCATCCGTGGTACTTTTTTAATTTTTGAAACCCAAATTTGTTGTCACTTATAATTTTGCCATAACAGTGTTGGGTCTATAACTTTCTGGTAAATCTCTTGAACCTCCTTTATAAGTAGAAATAACTATTGACGTTTTTTGAAGTTGTGGGTAAATAGCATGTTGATGAAACTGATCAATCCAGCACGGAAGCGGTAGGTACTCGCCTGCTTTAAAAGTTGTAAACGATTTTTCTTCATATTGGCCATATGCGCCCTTCCCGCGAAATAAGGCATTGATGTTGGGTACATCTCAGATTCCACTTGCATATCTTGTTTTGCATCTAGGATTTCCTCTCTGAACATTCTATAAACCTGCAGATAAAACGTTTTGGTCAAATCTGGAAAATTTCTTACTCTGCCATGCCTCTAAGGCGTCAAAATATGATAGTCGTTTCGTACAAGACTTACTACAGGGTGACGCATCGAAAATAAAACAGACGCATTTACTGGCAGCTCAGTTTTTTTTTCAAAAACGCTCAGACCCGTCGATTTTGTTTTCGAAGGGGACACAAGTTTTTCAAAAAATCACGTTAACACGTGCAGCCCCCTGGGCAGAGGTGACACCACGCCAAAAATCTTAAATGGAAAAGGGGGTCGAGTGATACCTTATTTTAAAGGTCTTTCAATACCCTTTCTGCTGTGGAATATACCATGGTTAATTTATGTAATAAACCGTTACAAGTTATTTTAGCAACAAAGTTTGGTCAAATCAATCGCAAACTATGTACTAAATTCCTATTTAAAATAAGTACGAGGTATTTCCTTGTCTTTCTTCAAGAAATAACTTTGTTGCCACAAAAAAACGCTCCAGTAGCTATTTTCAACAACAAAATAGTGAAGAAAAGGATTTACTTAAGTAAATTCTTTTAGTCAAATTTCTTCTGAAAGTAGTACATACTAATCTGATGTACCTATTAAAGTCTACTTTAAGCTTTAAATCAATAAATCCTCAAAACTACTGAACTGAAGCTCATGTATTTCACATTATAAAGGGAATTGAAAGACCTTCAAAATAAGGTATCACTCGACCACCCTTTCCATTTACGATTTTAGGGTTGGTGTCACCCCCGCCCAGGGGGCTGCACGTGTTAACGTGATGTTTTGCCAAACTTGTGTCCCCTCGAAAACAGAATCGGCGAGTCTGAGCGTTTTTCCAAAAAAAAAAACTGAGCTGCCAGTAAATGTGTCTGTTTCGTTTTCGATGCGCCACCCTGTATATTACCAAGGTAATGAAATATCTAAAAAATTATTGATCAAATATACACTCTGGATGGGAGATACATTTATTTAACGGCTTTCCCGTCCATTAAATATCGTCCCATTCCAGGAATCATAAATTTGTCTATATTATTTGTAAATCATTTTTTTAGATATTGTAAATAAAGGGTGTCCCAAAATTAACGCAAGATTTGAATTAAATAGAAAATGCCATTTTTAGTCTTTTAATAGTTATATTTTTATTGACTCATAAAGTACATAGGATAGGGTTATGTATGGAATAACACATCGGACAAATGGCCTCCACGGCTTTGCATGCACATGCGCACTCTTTTGTCGAAATTTTCCATGACCCTTCTGCATAAATGTGGCTGAATTTCGTTGATGCAGCGTTGAATCTCCTCCTTTAATGCACGGGTGGTTGTGGGCTTGTTGACATAGACTTGTGATTTCAAATAACCCCATAAAAAGAAGTCTAATGGTGTTAAATCACACGATCTAGGAGGCCAATTTTGATCACCGAAACGAGAGACTACACGACCGGGAAATGTCTCATGCAGTAATTGAATTGTTTCACGGGCTGTATGACATGTGGCACCGTCTTGTTGAAACCACATATTGGGTACATCAATATCATTCAATTTTGGCAGAAAGAACTGTGTAATCATGTCGCGATATCGAGCACCAGTAACAGTCACTGCTTGACCAGCATCATTTTCAAAAAAATATGGCCCAATTATGCCTCCAGCCCAAAATCCACACCAGACAGTCACGCGTTGTGGGTGCATTTCTTTTTCGACAATCACACGTGGGTTCTCCGAACCCCAAATGCGGCAATTTTGGCGATTGACAAAGCCATCAAGATGAAAATGTGCTTCATCGCTTAGGATGATTTTGCTTGAAAAATCAGGGTCCATTTGTTGATGTTCAATAATCCATTCAACAAACTCTCTTCTCTCTGCATGGTCATTAAGCTTCAATTGTTGTGTTAATTGAAGTTTGTAAGCATGAAGACACAGATGTTTGGTGAGTATACGCTGTAGAGAGGTTCTTGACATTTGCAATTCTTGTCCACGACGTCGAATTGAGGTTCCTGGATTGTCCGCAACACTCTCACGCACTGCTTCGATATTCACATTTGAACGGCTTGTTTTTGGACGACCAGTGTGTTTGGCGTCTCCAACGGATCCAGTCTCCATGAATTTTTCAATTAATCTCTTCACAGTTGACGAAGTTAAAACACTATTCCGGCCATATTTTGTATGAAATTTTCGAACTGCAGCCGCCAAGCTTTCACTATTTTTGAAATATTCTTTAATAATGAAGACACGTTGTTCTATCGTGTAACGCTCCATTTTTCATAACCCTATACTGTTAGCTGTCAAATTGCTTTTTTTCAGGGTTGCCAACACTTCACTGCACAAATGGCGGCAAATTCAAATCTTGCGTTAATTTTGGGACACCCTTTATAATAACAGAATAATCGACCAACTTCTTACTAAAAATTTGCCCTGTATGCACTTGAAATAACAAAAAACGTTGCCTTGAATATTTGAAAAATTTACCTACTTCTAAGGTCTTTCCGTCGAACAGCGTCACCATAGTTTTCCTCTTTGTATAGTTGTGTAGCGCTGCAAGACTTTCGATACCTTCTTCAACATTGGCTACCATATCGAATACTGCGTTTGTTAAATTTTCTACAACGGTTTCGATATCCTTCATTCTGGTCCTGAATTTGAGGATGTCGTCATACCAATCTGCCAGTTGTACATCAAAAATTCTGAATTCGACCTAAAGCGTAAAACGTAGTAATTATACAGGGTGTCCCACGTAAAACTGCAGCGATTGATTACTCGTAAAGACGACGAGAAAAGGACTAGGCACAAAACATATGAAAAATGGGTTCTTGTCGATTTGTCGAAAAAATCAGTGTGATATATTTCTTGCCTTCCCGAACAAAAGTGTCCAATTTATACACAACTGATCTAACAATACAGTACGTCTCCCACTTGAGAAGCTTAGAATTCTTGATTTAAATAGTCGTTTTCATCAGCGAATCTAGACACTTTCCAGAAAATTCTTGTAATGATTAAAATTTTTGCAATGGGAATATCGTGTTTAAGGAAAACGTAAGCTTTACATTCAATCGATAATTTTTGTAGATTTCCAAATGCATTAAAAGTTAGACGTAAGCTGTGCCCTTGAAAAGCTACCTGTCCTATTGAGCTTTTTGAATTCTCGAACAGCTCGTGCTAGATCTATTCTAGCATGAATTCTCGCACAAGGCTACTACTATGTCAACGTCGAATTAGCTTTTTAGTTTTTGAAAATCGGTCCAGTAGCTATAGGCAAAGGAGGAAAAGAATAAAAATCGCTGAAACTTCTTTTTTTGACGCACGGGGGTAGGGGGTTGTATGGGGGTGGGGAAGGTTATATATCAATTCTTGTTGATATTACTATATTTTTACACTATCAGCCTCGATAATCTTATGCGCCTATTAGACATATTGTACACAACAAAGATTTCCTTGTTTTGTTTAATTTCGCTGTTATAATTACATGTTCGTAACTAACTTTTAGTTATGAACTGATGACGCTATTTTTTATCGCGTTGCATCCTTAACTTACATTGTGAACATCCTCGAGTGCATCATTGAACATTTTTTCGGTTCTTTCTGCCCAGTTTTCAAACTGCACTCCTTTCGAAGTGCCGAACAGCGGCTTTTCTATATTTTCAGTTTCATCGTGCCTCCCGAAAACGACCATTGCTTCGCAAACTTCTATCATATCTTTGCATCTTTGTACGAAACCATCGACGCTGTTGAAGATCGGGGCTTTGTCGAGATCCCATGGACTGTTGCCATATACATTATGTCCTTCTGCAACCTAATAGCAATGTTTCATAACCTTTACTTGTTAGAAAGTATGATACTACCACCTTTTTCCAAAATAGTATCACTGCAGTCTCTATTTCTGACGAATAATCAGCGCAAACGTTTAAAGCAAAAAAAGTAATGTTGAATGATCGTTGACGGCTATTCTTGAATACGGCGGACAAATGACCATGCTTTGGATCGCGTGGTCTGATATTTTATACTCCCCAGTAAGACAACCATTCGAACTGAGGTCACATTTCACGCCACACATGACCTCAGTGGCTGCTTCTAGACGCACTCGTTGCGTTGTAAAGTAAGATGCTCCTATACCCAAAGAATACAAAGTTACCAGTAAAAGAAAAAGGCCTCGGCGGAATCTGGAGTGGTTCTTCTACCAGTAACTCTGTGTTCTTTGCTATTACTGAACTTTTTGGTCAAAGTGTATGACGTTTGTTTTTGGAATTAGACAAAATCTGTAACCTTTTTTTTTTATTTTGAAGAAACTTACCAAGACATAATGTCTGATGTATTTAGTCATGCATTCAATACAAGTCTCAAACATGGCGATTGCTTTTCTTGTTTTCTTCTCAAAAAAGACTACATCAAGGTTAATGTAGTCTTTGCACTGCATAATTATCTGATTACTTAACGCTCTACAAAGCAGGGTGATTTTTTCGTTGGTGTTATAATGTGGGCTGTTAAGCCAAATAAACCTAATGAGGTGCAGTATATTTGGAACCAGATCAGGCATTTCCTTGGGGTCTATTATTTCTCCCAAGTCCTGTAAACATGAAATGGTCATTTTAAATACATACATGTGTATGTACATGAAAAATATTGAGTCTGACAGATTAAATAGTAGAAGTGGTACTGTGGTACGAAATGTTCTAAAAAATACCATATCTGAACATATACAGGGTGTCCCAACGGAAAGCTGACTCTCCTGCTACATTGTACGGCTATAGATGAAAATACGTCCCCCTAGAAGTAAAAAGTGACGTCACAAATAATATTTGCCGTACCTGACTGGGCTTAAGCAAAAGGTTTAAATACTCGATATTCGAATGAGACTCCGCTATATTTCTAACGATTTCATCATTTAGTGAGCGAAACTGCCTAACATACGTCGACTGGACGGCAGTGAGGATGTTGCAAATATATTTTATGCCATCGTTTTCCAGTTGATGATGCAATCCCAATAAGTTCTCATCTGGAATCCAAAAAAAAAAAATTGGTATAAGATGCTATGCAAAAAAATGGCGTCAATTAGGCCGACTCTGCCCAAGGACGGCTTCTTATTGGTCTAGTTTTGATTCTCTGGTCAATTCTCAAATCGGAACGAAGTCTTTTTCAGGAAAATCACTGAAAGGAAACAGTTGCGGTAAAAAACCAGCTAATCTTGATTTATTCATATTGCACATCCTCACGTGGTTATAAGGTGTGCAGTTCGTTTTCGCACAAAATTTGAAATATTATCAAGCCTCTCTTTATGACAGCACTTCTATGATCAAAAGTTTATTAACGTCGCACGTACGTCTATTTTTCCAAAACTCAAATTCATTGTCCAAGAACAACTGATCTTCGGGAGTGCTTTGGTCTTGATCTTGCAAACCGACTCTAACTTGTTTGGTCCAGTACACCATTATAGATTCTAATCGCTTGATTAGCTCTTTATCCGTAGTGGCTTCTTCCAGGGGAATTTTCAGTACCTCTTTTGGTATGTACAGCACTGTCAGTCCGTACAGTTTGTAATGAAGGTCGGTTACGCGCGCTAAAAACATCTGCAAATTGCTAGTGAACTCATTTTTCACGCCTAAGAAGAGCATACGTTAAGGAAACATTAAATACTCTATTAGACGAAAAAAAGGTGTGAAATTAGTAGTACCTAAAACAACACTTGTGAAAGACTGGTGGTGGAAAATTTACATTGCGGATCTTACAGCCTCCCTTAACGGGCCTCCTACAATCACGAACACTATCTGCTGAGGTAACGGGCAGGTGAAAAGGAAACGATTGTGGGCTGGTCTTAGACGGTGGTCGGCGCTACTTTAAAAGAGGAAAGGATGACTACCGAAGTAAATTTTTATAATAACCGAGTCGGATTTCTATTCGCGATCTAGCCTGTAAATCGTTTCCTATTTTGGTACACAGCTAGTGATCATTTAGTATTGTTCTACCCTTCTTTCTGTTCGTCGATATTGTGTTGTTGAATTGTTGTTGGTGTCTAATATAAAATATTATATGAAATACCGCCACCAAATTATCTGAATACGTCCTTTCTTAGTCCGTACATTGCGCCGCAACGCTTGGTTTGGCAGCACGAAACAGTAGACAAAATTTGTCCAAAATACGATTTGTAGAGCGCTTCGAAATTGACGCTTTATTTTTTGATATTTTCGGATGAAATTTTCACAGAGTGCTGAAAACAAAACCCCACAGGTTGCTATAAAGCCACTTTTTCATTTTTTTCGCTAGGTTCTTTTTAAAAAATCGCGAAGTTGAACAGAAAAAGTGCGCACTTCAACCCATCATAAAACTTGTGCAAAAACAAAAATTCAAAAAATGCTCCTATAGCACCCTGGGCAATTATCTTCTCAACGTACTGTATGAATTTCATTCAAAAATATTGAAAAATGGAGTGTCAGTTTTGAAGCAGCTGAACCCTTGTAAATCGCATGAAACTCACTGCGTCGGAGCCGCCTTAAGCAAACAAAAATATTTGCGCGCTTATTTTCTACCAAAATATTGGAAATGCAAGAAATACGGTATAAATATTTTACTGAAGGATACTATCAGGCCAGTTATCCTGTAATAGCAATAAAGGTCCATAAATATCCCTGATGTTGTTTAGTATGAATCCTTCTATGTTATGGTCGATCGTCCCAAATATGATTTCATCATGGAAGGTGTCAACTTCAAACCTTATTCCTGGTTGTTCTCTGAGAAAATATGTCAGTTCAGCTACCACGTTGAGTGGAACACCGATGTCACAGATCTACAAGAAAGTTAAGTGTATTGATTGAATTTGCAATGTTACTTTCCACATAATACGATAGTTTATTAATAAAAAAAATAATATATTTCCATCAAGTCTAACTAATTTCACATCATCAAATTTCGACCATCATTTACATAATACCAGAAATAAAGATGACTTCCATTTAATGACCAAAAATCTGTATTCCATCAAGGATTGATTGAATATAATAAATTATACTCAGAGATAAGAGACCAGAAAACTTTGACAAAATTTAAAGTAAAATTGAGAAATCACTTGTTAAATCTACAATTATTGGTTGCCCAGCATTTACATCATACACCATATGGCTTGAATTTACTAGTTCTAAGTTGTTTACAATTATTCTGTTTATGTAGCCAAATGTACTAAATACATCTTTCTATTACTACTACTATTCCACTTAAGAAGAATCGACTTTGCTATGTGGGTCAAAATTGGAACACCCTGTATAATTATAAATATTTCAGACACATATGCCTGCAGATACCATATACAGGGTGTCCCAGAATTCGACGTCAAGCGGAAATGGGGTATAGGCCAATTCATAATAGTTATCAGAAGAAAATCGGAAAAATCTACATCCCGTGATGATCTTTTATTTCCAATTTTTCCAATTTCGTGGTCACTTGGGAACGGTGAAAGAAAAAGTTTACTCAAAGCCAATCGAAAATTTGCTAAATTTGTTAATAATGGAAGATTCGGCCGTCTGATAACCCGATCATAAGATGCCAAGCTTGCAACGCTGCTGAAGAAAGGCAGTTTGAACATTTATTGTGAATTTAATAAATACATTCACGAATTAATAAAAATGGCGTTACCATCCGTCTTGCTGTCACTAAAAGATCATTACAAGTTGTAGATTTTTTCGATGTTTCCGATGTTTTCAACGCCCATAATTTGAAAATTACACAACCTAGATTCTTTTTTATATTTTTCTGATATCTATTATGACTTGGTCTGTCCCCCGTTTCTGGATCGACGTCAACTTCTGTATAATCTGTAAATAGGTTTCTTGGGATATTTTTTGTTTAGGAGCAACACTCCTTCCTTGCACGGACGGGACACCCTGTACATGTTTGTACATCCTTACCAGTTCACCCTTGTGGTAGTAAACAGTCAACAGAGGCATGTGAGTTTCGTAAAACCATCGTTCGATAGCCTTCTCTTGTTTTTCACCCCAATCACTCGCTTTCAGTTCACCTAGGGTTGTGATATCTTTCACGAATTGGACTAACTTGGCTATGTCTTCATCTGAGTATAGTACTTCCTCGACTTCTTCCTCGTGTACTTCTTCAGCGATTTGCACCTGTTTCTCTGTTGTTAAATTGAATTTGTTAGTGTTTGTATGTTTGAATGTGTTCCCATAAATTCATTCGAAAAGCCAAAATGGAAAGGGGGGTCGAGTGGTACCTTATTTTAAAGGTCTTTCAATTCCCTTTATAATAGTATAAAATTAATGTACTTCAGTTCAGTAATTTTGGAGATTTATTGATTTAAAGCTTAAAGTAGACTTTAAAAAAAGTAATTTAAAAATGAAGAATGAACTGACCCGTGACGCAAGTAAATGTTGAAAATGGCCACCATGACTCTCCATGCAATAATGAAAATTTTGCTCAAAACGTTGTCGCACATTTTGCAATATTTGAGGAGTAATTTGAAGGCACTCATTCACAATTATTTGTCGCAGGTCTTCTAATCAAGTTGGCTGAGTAGCATAGATTTTGCTTTTTAATTGACCCCACATAAAGAAATCCAAAGGTGATAGATCTGGCGATCTTGGGGGCTATTCAATGTCACCTCTTCTACCAATCCATCGATCTGGAAACGTCTGATCTAAATATGGTCGAACACGTAATGCGTAATGTGGTGGGTGTGGTAAATTCTTTTAGTCAAATTTCTTCTGAAAGTAGTACAAACTAATCTGATGTACCTATTAAAGTCTACTTTAAGCTTTAAATCAATAAATCTTCAAAACTACTGAACTGAAGTTCATGTATTTTACATCATTATAAAGGGAATTGAAAGACCTTTAAAATAAGGTATCACTCGATCCCCTTTCCATTTAAGATTTTAGGGTTGGTGTCACCCCCTCACAGGGGGCTGCACGTGTTAACATGATTTTTTTCCAAACTTGTGTCCCCCTCTAAAATAAAATCGACGGGTCTGAGCGTTTTTCCAGAAAAAAACTGAGCTGCCAGTAAATGCGTGTTGCGTTTTCGATGCGCCACCCTGTATATGATATTTACAGAACCGTAACAGAATAAGCAAAAATCACGGTTATTCAAAAAATTTTCAGTTGCTGTCTACAGGATGTTTCCGGACTTTTCGTTATGCTAAATAACATAAAACCAAATTTTCATCCGTTATAGAATTTTTGTTGGGTCGAAAATGTTCGTTTACTGGGCTATATGGCCAAAACTAGCACGTGACTTACTATGGTTACCACGGCAACAAATCAACTCAGTTTTATATTTTAGTTTCTGAAAATTGTTACACATCATTTTAAGTTTAATTTTGATAAGTTTTAAGGATTTTAATGGAATTATTTACCTATATGTATAGATGAATGAAAAGGTTTCCAAATGGGCAACGATTTTAGAAGTGGATATCACTAGTTTTAAATGTACATATAGCAGTGCCTAGTCTTATAAGGTAAGCAAACTTACAAATGCCGTAAATGCGTATTTTCTGAAAATTTTATGGAATCCTAAACGGGTCCTACTCAATCTAGAATATATGTTTTGACACTATGCATTTACAAAATATTACAAAATTTAAAAATCGAAGCTTGATACTGCAATAAGTGCCTAGATATTTTGTATATGCGGCCTAGGCCGCCTTTTTATGGATATTCCTAATAAAATTACAATTCTAACGACTGAAATTTTCTTCCAGGTTTTAAATGGATTGTAAAGGGAGTGTGCAGACTTACCTTCAGACGTTTCTGAAGAAAAGAGAGAATCTTTGTCCTCTCTTTCCCTCCCGTAGGCGGACGCAGGCGATGGAGAAGACATCTCTCTAAAAACTGTTTACAAAACAATTTTTGAAAATAAAATATGAAACAAAGCCTCCTTTTTCAATTTTTGACACATTTGACGCGTGCCGGTCACATAACTTGATCGCCGGCTGCTTTCGTTGCCATCGTTACGTTCATTCGGCTAGATCGATTTGTTATTGGTACAGGATGTTAGCCAATTACGCGTACTTTCCAAGTTGTAGGCGGACTAAAGACTAGCGGACACACGAGTGACACGGTTTTTCGAGATATACCTGTCGCGGCATACAGAAACATCGCATTTTCTGAATTTTTCGCGACTACAAAACTTTCCCGCCAGTAGGAGTCGGAAAAGTAACGCACTAGTCGGTGGTTGCTTTGGTCACGTTGCAGAGTTACCACTCGCTAAAAAGCCTTTGATCCTCAGACTAAATAGTCTATTTATAAAAAAAAGCTTTACCTTTTGCTTTCAAAAAATAAAGTACAGCAGACGCTCGATAATGTAAACTAATTTAATCCAAGTGTGGTTCACATTATCGAAATGTTTACATTAGCGAACGTGATTTATATAATATTTGATTTATTAAAAGAAACGTTTAATACATACTATTTATAACAAAATAGACAAATATTCTAACAGCGATAAGTATTTTTATAATTAGAAGAAAAATAATTAACAATTTTTGTCTGCGTAAATTTGCGCTTAGCATTGTCTTCCAATGCCTGCGTCCGTAATTTACGAAGAACTAAAATATCCGTGTATTAAACTTCTTTTCTTTCAGCCCAATCTGAAGCTTGGTTAAAAACTTGTATAGCTTGCGCGTCAGTCACTACACTGGCGATTATTCACCTGTCGTACTGTCTTCGTTCTCGTAACGTAACCTCAGTAACATCTGTGCCGATTTTGTAAGAACTTGGAATATACTGTATGGACACAAGTTTAAAAACGGATGTCAGGGCACTGAGCTAAGTGAAAAAGAAATGTTTTTGTTTTTATTTTCTTCTCCGTAGTTAGGTAAACAACTGAAATAAATAATACAACATAGCGGGAACGAAATGAAATGCGGTTTCCATAGACTACAAAGGATTTGGTATGGCTGCCACACTGCAGGAGTTCTACCATTAGTAACTGTCCTAAACAGATCTATAGATCGAACTAGTAGTATTACTACCATGTACAACGAGTGCAGGCCTTGTTACCAGAAGACTATCCTCGCAAACTAACATTCTGTTAGTGGTTTTTGCACAACAACATTAAAAATCCGGTTTTTTTTTAAAAACATTCTAGCGACAGACGAATGTTGGTACTTCTCTACTGATACTATTCGTGAAGGTCATTTCCAACAACGTTTTAAAATAAATATTTGGGCGGGTATTCTTGACGATCAGGTAATTGGCCCTTTCGAGTTACCCCCAAAGTTGTCAGGAAAAGGATACCTTAGCTTTCTAACCAATAACCTACCAGAACTTTTGGAACAGACCTTAGACAACATGTCATTACAACGGAGAGACAATTTGTGGTTTCTTTGTGACGGGGCACCACCACACATTTGTAGAGGCGTCATTCAGTATTTGAATGAACGTTATCCAAATCGCTGGATCGGTCGAAATGCTCCTGATCCTCGAAAATGGCCAGCAAGATCTCCTGACCTCAATCCGATGGATTTCTGGTATTGGGGAGAACTTAAAGGGATGGTTTATGGGGCTGGTCCAATAACAACTGAAGCACAAAATCGCGAAAAAAAAATTTAATGCGGCTGAAATAATAAATGGACAACTTCGGGGACCTAGAGTAAGAAGAAACTGGATTCGTCGTAATGAAACTTGTCTAGAAAGTGGACGACGACATTTTGAACACCTTCTTTAAATACAAAATTTTCGATTTAGATACAATTTAATAGGTCTTAGTGAAAACAACCCAAAAAATGAGAAATTTAGAAGAAAAATCGCTAAAACACGGTACCCTCATAAATAATGAGAAATATGAATCCGTGGCCACCATAGCGGTCTTTGCAACCTGATAACATTAATGCCTGAAATAGTGTTTTTTAATAAACATTGCATGTTCAAGATTCATTTTTGAGCTCTTCGTCGACTATTTTTTTCGACAATATTTTTTTCAAATTCCTGGCACAGAAGTTTATTAAAGGAAATATATTTTTCCTGAATGTTGTATGTGCTTTTTTAAGTTATATATTTCAAGTTATTACTGAAACTACGGATAAAACAAAACAACCCTGTTTGTTCATAGTAAATTTATTTATAAAGATAAAAAATACGGACGCAATGAAGTCACACCACAATTGCAATATCACAAATGCATACCTATGATTGTATATGTCAGCGAAAAAATTAATAGCATATACTAAGACAAAGAAAAAAAATCATAAAACTTTACAACATATATGCAAGGCATAAACAAACATATAAACAATAAATATGACTAAACAAATTCACGTTTGTACTTATATATAAACTAAGTCGGTTATGTCCAAAACCCTGTACTATACAGATTAGTCTTATACAAACTTATATCCTAGCGCGGGCCTCCAAATTCTTTTGCTTGACAAATCTTAAAAGTCTAAACACCGCCGATGGAGTAACTCCAGGGATTCTGCTTGCAGCAGCAATCTGAAAAAGAGGCAATTTTTATCAATGAGGCAAATATACTGAAAAAGACATGTTTGCTTTCCGTCTCCTGCAACCGCAAACATCGCTGTTTCATACTCATTAGGAACTCGTCAAACTGCAACGATACCTCAAAAACCGTATGAGAAAAAAAAACTGATTTTTTTTGCACTGCCTTTTTTTTTATTGAAAACTCACTTTGCTTTTTGGAGAAAACCGAAACTTTTTTTGAAAAAAGTGACAAAAGGAAAAAGTAATCACCCAAGCTAATCCACTATAAATATACTAAGTGGCATATAAATCCGAACACCCAGTTTAAATGGTTTTATTTTAATAATGTATAAGTACTTAATGAAGCATAATAAGTAAATGATAAAAATTTCAAAATGATTGCACTGCTTTAAAGCCCTTTGACCTTTAATAATGTGTGGATGCACCCTGATGTGCTACGCATTCTCCAACGCGCCTAGGCATGCTTCTGATCAGGTGGTCAATGTCCTCCTGTGGTATCTCATTCCAGGCAACCTCCTACTTCTCTCGAAGTGCTTCTAGAGTCTGAGGAGGACGTTGCAAATTGAGCAATCTCCTATCCATCATGTCCCACACGTGCTCAATTGGGGATAAGTCGGGAGATCTTGGTGGCCATGGTAACAATGTGACATCATTATGTTGAAAGAAGTCTATTGTGACTCTTGCAACATGTGGTCGGGCATTATCTTGTTGGAAAGTTGGATCTGTCAGGGTGTCAAGATAGGGTAAAAGATGGGGTTCTAGAACTTCGTGGATATAACGCTGCGCGTTCATGTTACCTCTGATGAAGATTAAAGGTGACCTGGAACCATAAGTTATAGCACCCCAAACCATAACTCCAACAGTGTGATGAACATGTCTTTCAACAAAAAACTGTGGATTCCTCCTTTCACCACGTCGCCTTCTAACCCTGGCACGACCATCGTGCATGCCTAAACAAAATCGAGACTCGTCACTAAAGACAATACTGTTCCATTCCTGATCCCAGAGTGACCGTTGTCTGCACCACTCAAGGCGATTACGTCGGTGTTCTCGAGTTAAAGGGAGGGCCCAGAGTGGCCGGTATGAAAACAAGCCAAAACTTCTCATTCTTCGGTAAACACTTCGCATGCCAATAGGTCCTCCGTGTTCTGCAAACCATTCATTTGCAATGGACCTGGTAGTGGAGAAACGGTCCCTTAAGGCCAATAATCTTAGGCGGCGATCTTCACGGTCTGTTATTCTACGGCGGCGTCCAGTGCCCCTTGCTCTTTGCGTACGGCGTTCTCGAAACCATGCCTGACAACACCTAACCACAGTGTCTACACTTCTTTGCACTCTAACTGCAATTGCCCGAAAAGAAAGTCCAGCTTCCCGAAGTCCCACTATACGGCCTCTATCAAACTCACTAAGTTGACGAAATCGTACAGGTCTCCGTACTCTAGGCATCGTAACCGATCGTAAAGGATGTCAAGAACCAAAATCCGCCAACGTTGATTCTTTACTGCGGCTGAAATATGCATCTTTAGAGCGTTAGTGAATTAAAAAAAAGCAGTATAAAAACCGGAATGTCCAACTGATAAGGCTGAAAATTTTTTCACTTGTTATTTACAGTAAGATAAATACATTCACCAACTTTTATTAAAATAAAACCATTTAAACTGGGTGTTCGGATTTATATGTCACTTAGTATAATTGTCATACAATTTCAGAGCTGTTGTCAAGGTACGATTGTCACCGAATGACGTCATGCGGATACGAAATTCGATCGCGAAATGCACTCTGATGTTTCTCTGTTCAGTTGGCGATATTATCAGGGTTGAAAAAAAAAATATGTTTAAAAAAATATTTTTTTTGCTTAAAATATTCAAATTTAGCTGAAAAAAAAAACATGTTTAAGACACTGTTAATACATGTATAAAACGGTAAAAAAAATAAAAAACGATCGCCTATATAATTGTTTTTTGTGCATTAAAGATCGGCAAAAAAAGAAAGGCAATGACAGGGATCACGTGTGGAAATACTTTAAGGAGACTGATGCCAAAGCTGACTCGAAAATAAATAAAAGGGCAAAATGTTTAACCTGCAATATGGATATAGTGCCACTGGTGGCAAGCATATTAAAAATTGTAAGCAACTTAAACACGGATGTTTGTTAGAAAAACAAAATATTCATATATCAGATAGTTCTGATACCGAAAATGATGATGTTTCTTCCGAATCTATTTCCTCACAGTTAGGTAGCTTGGAGAATTGTGAAAAAGGTACATTTTTTACTTGGAGTTCCGTAAAAATGTAGTGAAAACTAAAAATTTATTCTGTGTACATTTTCCATAATTTTATATTTTAAAAATATGGATTTAAGGATTTTTTGTTAAATAAGATGGGTTGTATACTTTTACAGAAATTTGTTATTTAATGTCATTATACAAGTAAATATATAGTCATATTATATGATTATTCTGCTGTTTGTAATGTACTAGTGTTAGAGTTCAATGCAGTTTGTTAAGATCACTCGTTCGTTAAGAAACAGATTTTTTTCCACTAGTGTCAGTTCCCTAATTTCATGTTTGATTAATTAATAAAAAATAAATTGTATTTTTCAGTACCAACGTGTTTCAACCTATGGCCCTTTTAGTTTCGTTTTACCAAATAAAATCAATTTTAATCACACTTAATATAAAAAAGCTCGAATAATTCACAAATGACAAAAAACAGTGTTTAGAACATGTTTTAAACAGCTTAAATCAAATTGTTTTAAAACAGTGTTTAAATCAAATTGTTTTAAAACAGTGTTTAAAACACTTATTTTAAACCGCGCGATATTTGATGGCAAATGATGATTCACTTACCGTCTGAGGCTGTACGGCGACGAGTTTTTCCCTTTCTTCAAAGCTGAGATTGAGCGATTCGCAATTGTAATCCAGATGGCCGGGTATTTCCAAGGCTTCGTCCCGTCTCACTTCTCGCATCTCCTCGATCTGCTCCAGCGCGGCTTCTTCGTAAAGGGCTTCTATGTGCAACCGGTTTTCCAGAGTATGATCGTAAGTCAGAGGTAGGAGCTCCGGAGCCGCCTGGGCCAAACGGCTGATCGTTATGTCGTCGTTCCGGATGTCTATCATGTCAAACGCGCTGGAATAAATCGGGCATGAATATTGTACTATATGTTACGTTAAACAAGTCAAAAAGTTCAAAGTCAAGTCATCGTTGGTTGTCAGAGCGGTCCGTGGGACCTTAGCTCTTGAGTCACAGTGTCAGTTTGTAACTCTGTCAGGTCTGGTAACTCAGAAACCAGACAATTTTAAGGAAAAAAGGGAAGGAAAGGAGAGAAGGAAGAACGAGAGCAAAGGGGAAGAAGATCAAAAAGTTCATATGGAATTAAGGTAATCAACAAGAGCATGTTAATCTATGACATACGACGCCACAATTAGTAAATAGATTAATTGATTGAAAAAATTAATTTATTTGGTCTTTTAGCAGCATCTCTAGTATCAAGCTCCATGACGACAGTATATTTAGATGAATATTTAAAGTTCAAAGCACATTGCAAGTATATGATGTCAGTTCTAATTTCACATTCATTCAACTAAATGGATATTTTGTGTAAAACGTTGATATTGTGGGTACCTACTATCACTGCTGCACCTGACAATACGAAAATCAATTTCCAGAGAAAAATACACTTTCAAAATTTCATAGCGCATCATTGAATTATCTGAGAAAAGAGTGAACAGTTTAAAATTCAACAATAATCGCTACTAAAAACTGTTTCGAAATTTTGGAATATCCTGTATTAAATTGGATCAATTGTTCACCAAGACACTCCGTCTAAAAATTTAAAATGCTTTACAATAAAACCAGTTAAAAATAATACATTTCTAAAATGTGCAGCGATATGAAGCCAATAACGTGACCAATTAACGCAATTTTTCCCATTTTTTATCAACACTCGTAGTTTTATAGTGCATAAGTATAATATTGAAAGTGACTTTCTGTAGCAAAACAGACTGAAAATGAAAATAAATAACCAATATGTGAATCACATGAATTTTCAGTATTGTAATAATATTGAAACGATATCTTTTATGCTATGGAATTTAACAAGACAGAGAAGTAAAATGCTTGAAAAATATAAAACTTTTTTAACGACTGACAGCCTTGGCAGAGCAGTCGCTCCCGTACTTCTTATACAACGGTTATTGCGACGAGCAGACTGTATAGAGATTTAGCTATATCTTGAGACTAAGCTGACTAAGACATTTCCTACCTTCTTTGTAGATAACTTTTGGATGGCGCAGCTCCGATTAGGCTTCTCCACTGATTCACTGACTTGCTAGTATTTTTTAATAAAGCTATGCCTTCTCTGATTTTCGTATCCATTTCTAGTGTTTTACGGTACCTTTCTTTCGAGACGCAGCCCACTGCGTACCTGTATGATGGATTTATGAATCAATAAAAACTTTTTTTTCGATTTCACGTTACAACGTTATAATTTTTTTAAATTCCTAGTTTGACAGTATGTACCGTCAGAACGCTCTGCATAAAAAGGCGTAATTTAGGAACATGTATTATTTAGTATGCTGGATTAAACACGCGGCCCCGCTCACGTAGAAGTAGGGGATTCGTTTCGGAACAAGAAATGCAATATTCAAAGTAATGCAACAATTACTTTGAGCAATCAATTTTTTTTTTGTCTGAAATTTTAATAAATCGTTTTATTGCATCGCTTTTTTATACCTTCGACAAAAACTAAGGAATTTACTTGGAAATTTTACTGATCCTAAAATGACCTTGAAGGTCATGGAAATTAGATATTAAAATAACTACAGTATGCTGTTAAAAATATTTGGTATAAAGTGTATTTTTACTTTTTAAACATCCTTGTTATAGATATGATTAAAAATGTTATGTTTTGAGAAAACTCAGGGATGACAAAAAATGTAACACAAATGATTAACTTGGAAACTTGCACGGGTCACGGGCCGATGGCAATACAACAAATTCAGATTTGAATTTTTTATTAAATTGGAATTTTGGAAAAAGACTGGATTTAAAATTTGGAAAATAATTTAAAGATTTGGAAATTTTCAATAAATTATGAAAATATTTGAAAATTTGATAGGAAATTTAGATTTATTGTCAAACAAGAAAATTACCAAAAAATGAAGCTCCTGATTATAAGTAGTTTTGTTGTCATTTTGTTTATAAAATCAAATAACTCCAAAACTTTGTAACTAGCAACTAAAAATATAATTATAACATGTAACATCGTGTTATTATTTTAATTTTTAAATTGATTTTATTCCAAATTTATTAGCCATACTAGATTTTTGGAGTAACAACAATTCCCCTATATTTTGAGGCGCGTTTTTTTTAGTTTTTAAACTATAACTTATTTGCTTATATTGACAAGCCAATCAACATACCCTTTAGCAGTTAGTCGCTGATCTGCATTATCAGGTCTAAGAGATAATCTGAATTCAGCTCGACTTGTGAACATTCTGTATGGTTCTGTTGTTCCCAAAGTTGTTAGATCGTCTACCATCACCCCAATATAACCTTCAGTTCGACTTATAATTAGTGGTGGTGTATTAAGAGCCTGCAAATAAAATTATACAGTTAGTATGAAAGAAGATTGACCGGAAAATATATGTTAACAGTGAAAAAATTGGAAACTAAGATATTTTTTTGAAAAATATCTACCTTGCCAAGAACAAAAACTTTTCGTGGATTTTAAAAATTCGTTCAGTTGCAGTGGATTTATAACTATTTTCGGTATTTTTAAAAATTTGTATTACGGTATGGCATAGTTACAATTAGAACAATCAGGTTAAACATTTTGAAATGAGGCAATTCTATGATAAAAAATAAAACAGCAATTAAATTTTGCAGTCAAAACATTTGCTGTATTGTTTTTTTTTTAATAATGTACCACCTCGATGCCATATTTTAAATAATAATTTTCATAAATGTATTATATACTCCAAAACTCATAAAACTTAAAACCCAGGTATTTTAAAAAAATGCTTTTTAAGAAAGTTTCAAGATATCAAAAAACCAATTTGTGGATGACCTCAAATATGACCTACACAATGACCTCAGATATCATTTGGAGATCAAGTTTGTGAATTCAAGTAGCAACCACAATTTTTGACAGTACTTTCGTGTGGAGCTGGAGATTCTACAACAGAGTGGATTTTTAGGCATGTCATAAATGATTCGATCAGAACGACCTATGATTGATTTCATTTATGAAAATGTGGTGCTATGTAGAATCTCGATCTCGACAATGCTATGTCGAGCAGTTTTTTTTTGGTGTTTCTGTAACTGTGTATATTTCGCTACCTCTAATGACGTTTAAAATGATCGTGAACGTCATATCTAAGGACAATTCTTATTCGAAACCTTCGAAATACGCCGTTAAAAATCGTTCCTTACATTTGCAGCCGCGTTGATTCCAGCCAAAATCCCCTGAGCTGCGGCCTCTTCGTATCCCGTCGTTCCGTTGATCTGACCTGCTAAAAACAATCCAGGAACTCTCTTCACCTCCAGTGTAGCGAACAACTCTCTCGGATCGACATAATCGTACTCTACGCCGTACCCCGGTCTCGTGATCTCCGCTTTTTCCAATCCTGGAATGCTGCGGATCAGCTGCCATTGTTGCTCTTCGGGGAGGGTACATGAGAGACCGTTCGGATAGATCAGAGGGCTGTTCAACCCTTCTGGCTCCAGCCACACTTGATGTTCTCTTCCTTTAGGCAAATGGAAATATTTTACGTCTAAGTCGTGCTTACTTTCAGTGACAGGGAACAAATCGAAGTGAATTGTTGTTCTCACAGAATACTGTCCCTCAATGGAGGCTAGTAAATCTCAAAAACTTATGTTTATCTATACATAGTTGGTATTCAATAGATTCAAAGATATTCATATGTACTAAGTAATATATCTTCCATGACGTGACGAGAAAAATTATTTGTTATTAGGTTATTTTTAGCAAAAATGCAATCTGACAGCCAGTCGGGTGATTCTCTAGTCGCAACAGTTGTCAACGTCGCATACGTAAGCACTTTATTCTGTAATCGAACGCTTCATTGTGAGTTTTATTTTTATCCTCAGTGATTTTTACGTGTATATATATATATAAAATAAAGCTTCCGCCCTTTGTTGGGAACTTCGACAAATTCAAGCAAAGAGGACTCATTATACTTTATTAATCTCTAGCTTTCAATGGACTTTGCCATCTTAATCAGGAGCTGCAATAACATTGAGAAGAAATAGCAACTGTTGTGCAAAATGATTTTAAATTAACTTACAGTATAGTATGTGAGATTGTTGCTAAATGTTATTAACGTTTAGGTTGAGGGAAACACCCAGTAACATGATTAAAGGTGGATACATGTTACAATCGTCAAAATTAATAGGTGTATAAACTACACAACAGCTGTATGTCACGAACAAATTAAAACGGATTAAAAATATTTAAAATGAAAGTTAAAATTACATCGTTCCTTTTAAATATTTTTAATCGGTTTTAATTTGTACCTGATCTACATTTGTTGTGCAGTTTATATTAATTTTGACGATTATAACATGTATCCAACTTTCACCAGGTTACTGGGTGTTACGCTCAACCTAAATGTTAAAACATTTAGCAACAATCTTATATACTACTGTAAGTTAATTTAAAATCATTTTGCACAACAGTTGCTATTTTTTCTCAATGTTATTGCAGCTCCTGATGAAGATGGCAAAGTCCATTGAAAGCTAGAGATTAATAAAGTTTAACGAGTCCTCTTTGCTAGAATTTGTCGAAGTTCCCAACAAAAGGCGGAAGCTTTATTTTCACATAACTGGTCTAGACGACAATGACCACGTCTCAAGTTATATATAAAATTATAGCCCATATTTTTGACACTGAAGGACAGGAGAGTTTGATAGCTGATTGTTATCTAAGCTGTGATTATAGCAAGGTTGATATTTAAAAGAAAAAACAAAGGTATTCGCGAATGAATATTAGCGACTTTTTACAATAATTTACCTGGAAATCTCAGAATCTTTGACTCTATACTGGGACAGTATCTAGGGCCTTTTATCTCCTCCATTACATGCCTGTTCTGGTGCATATTATCCTTCACTATTTTCTCAATTTCAAGTGTTGTCTTTGTTAAATGACAAACTAACTGATCTTTAGGCTGCAATAAGACAAAAATTATATAAGAGCTTGAAAAAAGTATGATGCTTCTTATTTCTGTACTTTCAAAGTGAGAGCAAATTCTACAGAAGATTTTGTCCTTTTGTACGGTCTGGAAAAGTTCTATTTAACATTGCAGTTATTTATTTTATATCGGAAATTAACAGAGGGAAACACAAGTCGCACGCCCATAACGATCAATATGTCATACTGACAATGACAAGCATAAATGTAGAAGGCGTGTGATGGAAATGGATCTATGAAAGTAATACTTTCAGTTTCATTTTGAGCCGCCAAAAACTGCGATTAGACCTTTACTTACATTTATCCAAACTTTATCATTCATAAACGAAAACGCCAAAGGATTTGTATCTCCTTTCTGAATTCCGCAGCCGGAAAAATCGATAGTCGAAGCATTGAGTCTAGGAGGGGTACCCGTTTTCAGTCTGCCCATTTTCAAATATAATGAACCCAATGTTTTAGCTAAGCCTATAGCAGGCTGGTCTCCAATTCTACCAGCCGGAAACACTGTAAGGCCAATATTGATCTGACCATTCAAGAAGGTACCTGTTGTTATCACCACACTTTTAGCCTTGATTTTTGTACCATCATCTGAAAATATAAAACATGTTGCAACTGATAATTCAAATATCAAACTAAGAGGATATGAGAACTGTCCATGATCTTTTACAGTATTTGATGGGATATTTTTGGAATATAGTTATATGATCATTTTTCACTCGTGTGTGAAACAAGACATATTTCAAATAAGTACACTGGAAAAAGCTCATTTTAATAAAAAAAAATGATATTTCATTGAAATAATGCCCCATTACAAATTAATAAATAGCAATCCACCAATATATCCTGTTATATGAATCATGGCATTATTTTTCCATGTCTTGTAACATGAAAAGGGTTTTACATACTTAATATAACACCTCCACATTCAAAACACTGCTGATTATTTACATTTATAGTAGGATTATTTACAATCAGATCTTCTACAGGTGCTTCAAGGACATCTAAATTGGGAGTATCATCAAATAATTCTTTTTGCATATGTTGTTTGTACAGATCTCTGTCAATTTGTGCCCTATATCCCCATACAGCAGGTCCTTTTCTTCTGTTTAAAATCTGAAAATGATGTAAACAAAACAGCATTTTTTTAACACGTTCTCTGCCTACTCAGACTGGATTTACTGTTCCCAATAGCCGAATACTTTTCTTCGCCAATCAGACTGATATTGGTATATGTAATCATTTTTAGTTATTTATATTGGTATCGAATTTAAAAAAGGTGTATATTGGTAGAGAAAAAAAATTGGCCCCGATCGGAGCCGGAGGCATTGAAACCAGGATTATTCGATCACTGCTGATGACTCCAATCGGAGCCGTCGTCATCGGCAGCGAATACTCAATAAAACCGTGTTTTTCTAGACTAAGTAAAAAAAATATATCTTTTAAAACAATGTTTCATTTAGCTGTTCATAAAATGATCTAGGAATCTAAAAAACATCTTGGTGCTTATTGTGTTTCATCAAGCCCTTTCATTTGATAACCATGACTATGACTATGAAATATGTAAATCGCCATTTTGCAGCGGCCGCCATATTGGATTCAGAATGACGTCACTTTGTTTATTACATTTCCTTCATGAACACTTCTGTGATACCCATAGCATAATGGTGACTGTGAAAAATGTAAATCGCCATTTTGTAGCGGCCGCCATATTGGATTAAGAATGACGTCACTTTATTCATCACATTTCTCTCATCAAAAAACACCCATATCATAATGGTGACTGTGAAAAATGTAAATCGCCATTTTGCCTTTTGGTTTCTTAAAAACAAAGTTGTTTTTATCAACCCTGCTCAGAAACCAGAGATGATTAAAAATAAGGAAGATGAAGAAAAATAGTGTGAAAAAACTTGGAGTACAGCGTAAGAAGTACAACTGTTAGAAAAGGCATTTGAGCATTGTTGAAAATCACTGTAATAATGTTGAATGCTGAAAAAGAATTTGGATGGGATTTAATCGGAATATTGTTTTATATTATATGGAATTAAGCAACTCAATGCGTGCGAACTTGCTCTATGCGTCTACTAAAACGAAATTTTGACATACTCGTCATGATGAGCCTATTTGCAGATGCAGGGTTATCCTTCATTTACTCGACACGCTGTAGAAATTACCTTATATTGTATTCCAGAAAGGTCGCATATTCTTCCGCATACCCCATCGAGAGCATCAGTTTCTCGCATCAAATGCCCTTTACCGATACCACCAAATGAAGGGTTGCAAGACATTTCACCAACAGTATCTTTCTTATGGGTAACAAGCAACGTTTGACACCCCATTCTCGCTGCTGCAGCACAGGCTTCGCTTCCTGCATGTCCTCCTCCAACAACAATCACATCGTACTGTTTCTCCAAATGAAAATATCTTCTGGAGGCTGAGCAATGCAGTCTCTTTGTCCACAAGTTTCTCATCATTTTGAAACGATTTATATACAAGCCTTCAACACGGTCTGAAAAACTTAGGAAAACGATGTGGCATCGATTTGGTTACGAAATTCAGGTGATCCGTGAAAACTTTCTTTTGTTTACGTTTTGCTAACCTTTAACCCAATTTCAGATTAGGGATGGGCAAAAATAACCGGTTAATTGAATAACTTCAATTAATTGTTTGACTATTTCATAATGTACAGTTAAACGGTTATAGGTTTATGAACCTTTATTTTCCGGTCAACCGTATAACCTTTAAATTTGGTTCGGTTAGCTGGTGCCAGTTATAGTTATCGATTTAATGACTGGTTAAGCTATTACCGGCTTTTTATAAATAACCGCCCATCCCTAGTCGTGATCCTAACGTGCCACGAAGTCGATGGTGCCACGTCTAAGCCGGTGCTGCCAAACCTATAAATTTCGTCTACCAACATGATACCTTATTTACCGAAAAACTCAAATTCCCACGATTTTTTAAAATACTCCAGATTGGAAGTAGGAGGGACCGGGTGCTTGAAAAAAAATTCTACCTGATGATGAGTGCTCACAAAACAACGCTTACACACCTGACCTTGATCCAAAGTTAAAATCAATACATTACGTCAGATTAAATTTGAATGCCTACCTTAACGCAAAATAGATCCTAAGCTGGCATGTATAGTTTGAATTTCCCTGGTACATTCATTTTGGTGACAGTTTTCTGTGTTGCGACATTGTCTCAAAGCTTGTCAGGTAATTACGCCAACGGCTGTTGTTTATTTTGTGGTTTATTTCCTAGGATCCAATAGTTTTGATTAATGCGGCAACCATGTGCGTCACTATTATTATTTGATGTTGTGACGTAACTGCAGCGCCTCAGTTTTTTGGTGCTGTCACTGTCAGCGGTCTGTCATAAATGTAAACAATAGTTATTTTTGTACCTAACCAAACAGGAAACCAGCCAATCAGATTCTCAGTTCTAAATGTTCGATCACAAAAAGTTGGCCTAAGAATATGGATATTCTAGAAATTGCCAGAACTTGTGCTACACATCTAAATCCGCGACAAAAATTGCGCATTTAATCGATAACTGAGCAACGACTTCGTCGTCGTGCTGTGCTCCGATGGAGGCGAAAAGTGAATCGCCACCAAGCATCTCGGACCCTTCTGGCAGCCTCTTTGAGGGCCAAGAAGATACCTCTATTTCCATGCCAAACAATGTGAGCGCCACAGATATTGACGAGGAAACAAAAACCAAACTGAAGGGAGATGCTATTGGAGATACGTTGTACAGTGAATCCTTCGTCCTCAAAACCCTGTTGCAGTTTTCAGACCTAAAATGGAGTGAGCAAGTTGAAGAGGATCTGTGCTTCTTGTGGGATATGACAGTAGAAAAAGATGTGTGTAAATACTTGTTCAACATTTCGTATCCTTCATTGGCTTGCAATGCAATCATCGAGTATAAGGAGAATAGATTCAGAGAGATAGTCATTGGTATCCTGGCCAATATATTGTGTGCTGATTGTGAGAAGACCATTGTAGAAGGTGAAATTAGTACTGTTCTTCTGGAATTAGACAATGATGATCATCTGATTTTAATCCAAGTGATGAGGTTCATCAGTGCTGTGGCAGATATTTCTGAAAAGCTACCATTAATAAATCAAGAAATCGTGAAAAAGATTAAGTTCATTTTGAATAACTCGGTAAATGCTGGGTTGTTAACTCATACCTTGGAAGCATGTGTGAATCTAACTAATGATTTCAAGATTGCTGAGGAGCTGGTTGATTTAGAATTATTTTCAGCTACTGTAACTGCATACAAAACTGTTATGGATGAGGAAGATTGCATAATTAACTTTGATTCAAAAGAGAAACAGCAAACTTGTAGATACATGTTAGAAACCGTTAAAAATATTTGTACTTACATTGATACTTTTGAAAATCAAGAGCTCTTGGTTGAAGTACAGAGGAATGCAAGTATTTATGTTAAAGAATTGGTGAAAATATTGGACTTTTACTCTTATGAAGAAAATGTATTCCCAGTGACTGATGAAATGATATATTTCATAGATATGATTAGATACACTTTAACCACATTGAATGTCAATTATATGTCTACATTGTTTTTAAATGTTTCAAAATTATTTTGTCATGTACTAAATGTTGAGGATGAGGTCCCCGAGTTGTTTGACTCTGTTTTAGAAATAGAATGTTTTCTATTATCTAGAGAATTACCAGAGATTGTATTGAAAGATTTTACATTACTGTCGAAAGATAAAGTGAAAGTCGTACTTAATTCAGTTAAGCATAATTTACACAAACATGACTATGGTGTGAATATACAAGAACTGTTATGCAAATATAAGTATTTTTAGAATTTTTAATGCATTATTATAGTTAAGATGAATATATTTATATAATAAAACATTGTTTTTTCCAATTTTTGGAAGAAGTCCCGTATTCAAAAAGTATTTTACCCTATCAAACTGGCCATTTATAAAAGTGTTCAGAGACATTAACGTTCCGCCGTATAGACGCCAGGCGACGCAAAATGTGAATAACAGCTTTTTTTGGCAAACATTGCTCCTCAAATTTTATATATCTCCATTGGTATCCCTCAATATTTTATCCAAATCTTTTTTATAACATTCTAGCAAAATAGCAGAGCTTGCAAAATTGTTCGAGGAGCTGGCAACGCCGTAATCTGGGTGACAAGAATGACAAGATCGTATGTCTATCCCGGGGTAACGACGGAGTCATTTAGTACGTGAAAGTGGCAGTTTTCCAATCTTCATTTGCATTTTTCAAGCGATGTGCAACGATTTCGAGAAAAATTTCGCTACAGATAGTCTTGTAGAGTATATTTCAATAGTTGTCTCGCGTGGCCATGTTAGCTTTACTCGGGCTCATTTTTTACATAGGTACCAATTTTTTTTACTAAAATCTGAAACAGCATGATAGATCCAAATAAATGAAATAAAAAAATCCATTTTTTATTTAAACTTACAAAAAGAAAAAACAAATGAAAACGAAAAACCTGTCACGTTTCGAACCCGGTTGAAAAACTTCATTCCTTGACGCTCAGTCATTTGCTTAGGTTAAAATATGATCTAGAACTCCGCATATAAGGAAAATATGGACCATTGCCATCTAGATAATAAGCGCGGCGAGGCAAAATATGTAGGAAATTGAAGGATAAAATATCCATTTTCCTCTCTCATAGACATATATTTGGAGTGGAATTTAAAATAGATAATTAGTGTTTGCACCCATTTTAAACCGGTTCCACACGATGTGGCGAATGCTTTACATCGTTTGACACATGGCAATTCACCACATCGTGTGGGAGAGCGCTGACGGATTACATGTGTCCACCGTTCGCCACATGGCACGTTCGGGCTCTTGTCGGTAAATTTGATCCGCGTCAAAGGACGTTACAACGTTGGAAGCAAGGTTCGTTACGCTCCCACACGAAATGTGTTGTGTTTGAGGGTTTTAGCTTAGAATCAGTATCAGCGAAAAACATTATTTACTTGTTTGCTGTGGTATGTGGGAAGTATTTTGATTTGAATACCTACTTATTCATAATAATGTATGTCCGGTAACTAACCTTTCAGGAGAATGAATTAAATTAGTATACATACAAAGCATAGGCTGCCATAACAACACTTTTTTCATATTGCTAATATTTTGTACGTTTCGCAGGTGAGTTATTGCTGGCCTAAGGATATGTATTTTAGTAAATTATAAATTATCAAGTGCTTACAGTTGTTTCATTATAATGTACTGTTGCAATGCAAGACTAGTTGAGAGATATATTGACTTGCATTTCATAACTAACGAAAATAATTAAATACACTATAACTCTAAAAGTACTTTCAGGATTTTGATGAAACCCTAGGTTACTACTTAGAAAATGACGAAAAAGCTCTGCAATATTTGAAAATCGGTACAGTGGCGGCGGAGTGATCGTCGAAAAACAAACAAAAAACGCTCAAACTTCGTTTTTCGACCTTTCTGATACTTCTGAGAGACTTAGGTGTTGGTCGCTGAAGACAGATCTGAAATTATTTTCCGGCGTTCGTAAAAATTGTTTTATCGTTCATTTTGTATAATTTTTCTTTCAGTCGTAAAGGTTGAACCTGACACCGCTATTAGATGTTGGCCTCACCATACGTCGGACGTCGGAGACTAAAAAGTTCATCCCATCGTATAGGAGATTCACTTGTTAATTGTGGTGTGTCGAACGTTGCAGACAACGTTGTACACAACGTTGTATACAACGCTGGAAGTATCGTGTGGGACCCGCATTACCGAGGAAACAAATTTTTGTTAGAGATTTTTTGTTTGTCACTAGTTTTTCCATGAGGCGATTAGTTAGTAATTTGAATCTCAGGGAAACAAACTGTATCTGTCATCTGTCACTATCGGCCTATCAAAGCTGTCATCGGTAATCGACGCACGACGGGTCGATCGCAATGGCGGTTTCAGTATTTGCGTGAATATAGTCAACAAACTTAAAATGTGATAGTGAATAAAATACCACCAGCAGAATTGAAAATAACCCATATCATATGCAATTTTCTGAACTTGTACGTCGAGTGGTGAATGAAACGCTGTTTCCGATGTGGAAGCAGTTACAGATGGGACTTCGGGCATTTTTGCTAATAGCATCGCGAGTTTGGACATGTCTCTGCTACACGCTAAAAAAACAAACTCGGGCTGTAAGTATTGATGTTTTGCACCTCTCTGATCCACTCTGCACATTTTCATTAGACCCTCTTGTATTGAGATGACATTACAAAAATATACTGAATAAGGCTATTATCATATTTTGCGTGAACGGGATACATGGACGAATCTCAAATCTGTTTTCCTAATTTTAACGATATGGATTTCTCGTCGCCACGGAAAATTTGGCAATGAATTTTGGCAGAAATCCAGTGTTTATATACCTTCTCCCAATTTTTCCCTCATCTCTAGTGTACCTAATAATCTATGCTAGGCTGGATCAAACCACATATATGCCATAACAAAAGATGTATATTGATAGTCCCTTATGATTTGTAATGGGTAGGCATTCTTAGCTGAATGTACCGTCGTTTAATATTTTCAATTTGTAAATGTGTTACGTTTGTGTTGAGAAATATTGGGACAGGACCCCAGCTAAGGTTTGATACACATGCAGTAATGGACAAAAGTATATGGACAAATATGAATATTTACCTAAATACCTCTAGAAAACTGTGAATGAAAGGAGGCTAAAAAAATATGCTGAGGAAAAAGATGGATATGTGGTTTGATGGCCAGACAAACATGAGGATTATTTTTCTGTGTTGTGTCTTTTCAAACCGATAATGCTAAATGATAATGACTTTATAATTTATTAGCGCAGATGTGCAGATATACAAAGACATTGTTTTTCACATAAACATTTCAAAAATAATGTACTATTTGACAAGACAGTTAAATATAATGGTATTTCACACATTATTGATTTTATTTGCAGATAATACAGCACCAGTCTGTGAAATACGACCTGTTTCCATTATCTCCGTTATCTAGGCATAGACTAAGTGAGTAAATGTTTCTAGATGCTTCTTTTGAGCTACTGTCATCCTTAGCTGAAATAACATATCTGAAGTCAAATTTAAGAAAAACATGTTTTACTTCAAACCCAATACACCCAGTCCCCCAGGCCTATTGAAAAAAAAAGTGTTGAATTACTTTCTAGCTATTGCTTTTTACCAGACTGACTGAAAGTGCGTTTTTTATGGTTCTTCAAATCATCTGACAAGGATTTGCAGAAAGCTAACAATATGATATACGTTTACTAAATCTTACAACTTTTCAATAATTAATTTAGGAACTTTGATACCAGTTTATCTTTCTAAAGATTATTTAAATACATTTGATATATTTTACTGTTTGTTTCTTGGACCAGGTATAGTGAAGCGTAAAGTGCTTGTATTGGACTTGGACGAGACGCTGATACACTCGCACCATGATGGCGTGGTTCGACAAACGGTGCGACCTGGCACGCCACCAGATTTTGTTCTCAAGGTCATCATTGACAGACACCCAGTCAGGTTTTTTGTGCACAAAAGGCCGCACGTTGATTTCTTCCTAGATATAGTGAGTATTTTCCACTTTTTTTAGATAGTAAATAGCATGGAACTCATATACCAGGAGAAACAACGTCAAAGCTGTTCGTGTCCGACGCTTGGAGTACCAGCAGTGCTTTGACAGGGTTGCCATGTTGGCAGATATTTACTTGTAGAATGTTTTGAGGAATATAGTGTTCTGGGAGAAAATACACTTTTCGCGGATATAAAGCGTCCCTCCGCACGGGTATTACGTATCTTGAAAAGTGACGTTTCGTCGTTTTCTTTTCACATATGTTATTTTTTTGTGACATAACGTAGCTTTTTTTACAAGATGTTAACTTAGCCCAAGCTTTTGTACACTTTTTGTGAACTCGTTTTGTAGTTGTACGTTTTGCTTAAATGTCAGCCAAACAGCGATTATAGCGAGCAAACGTGTTATGAAATATTTGTACTCTACACACTACTAGTCTGCAAGATAACATTTCATCGGTTTCTTTGATGTTTTTAGGTCTTTTACAGTACCCTTGCCGCTCTTTGAACAAAACCTACCTCTTTCCATTAACTGTGGGGGATTTTTTTTTAAAAAAGCAATTCTGAGGTATTTTTGTTCTTGATTTGAAGAAATTCTGTCCAACCCATTTGACAGATCCGCCATATAAACTCTTTCCTGATAATTTTTTGAATAATTGTATTTTCACATATGACCATCACATTGTTTTCTTATTTCTAAATTCATTTCACTAATTCAAATATTTTTCGTAGACAAAACTAAATGGCACTATTACAAAAGTAATATTTTTAGAGGAGTTTCTACTATTATTATTACTTTTCATTATCGTAAAGAGATAGAATAACAAAATTCCGAACAGCGAGCATTTTGGGCTTCTCTGTGTAGTAGGTTTTTGTGTTTTATATACCTAAAGATTTATCTTGTTTTTGATTTTATATACAGTCAATTGTTTTTTACCAATAATAGTGTTTTGTGTTTCCTAAGTTTTTGCAATGTCTAGACATATTTTTGGCAAAATTTCATATATTCAAATGGAGTTAACTACCCATTTTTTCGTAAATATCGATCCAATAATTTTCAAATGACATGTCTCAGCATTTCAACAACAGTGAATGTTATCTCAATAATATCACAAAAATAACAGATAAATATTTTAAAATTAGCAAATGAATATTCAAAAGATGAGATAAAGATATAGCCCGCTAAAACGTACTGTTGATGAACCTATCATTGTACTATAAGTGTGACCTAAAACAAAATCACCTAACATTTCCAAAACATGAAATATAAATAATATTTATCTGATTAATATATTACCTTGACATGGCATGACATCTTCTATAATAAGCCTTATCTCACTGCATGCAGATTATATTTATGTTTTTCTATATTTTCTTATCAAGTTAGCTGAACGATAAAATGATTGAGCAGGGTGCCATTGCATTTGAACAAATAAATCAGCGAAAAAATGTAAACGTAAATTATTTACGTCTGGATATGACGTAGAAATACGGTGAAGTTCTAAGAGTGGCTAGCAACAATTAATATAATCCAAAACTAAATCAGTACGTTGCTGGGAAAGTACAAAATTGGCGAATTCGGCGGCATCGGCATCGTGTATGAATGTTGGGATGATATTTTCAATACATTCGTATAGGGAATCTTACATAGTTTATCTCTTGGTGCTCGCCATCCTATGACTCGATACTGCTTCCTGTCTTGGTCTGCTGGACAATTATATGTATAAATACGAATTTCGAAACTTTTCTAAGCGCCACTTTCTTAGTTACGTAAATGCGCATCTTTGCCCCCATCAAGCAACTTTGTGTGAGTCGAATTTGAAACAACCCTCCATAAAAAATAGTAAACCTGTCCGATTCTTTTCTGCATAAAGGTATCCCAATGGTACGAATTAGTCGTATTCACAGCCAGCATGGAGATCTACGGTGCTGCGGTGGCAGACAAGCTGGACGCGGGCAGAGGCATACTGAGACGGCGGTTCTACCGACAGCACTGTACGCCGACGTTTGTGTCCTACACCAAGGACCTCTCGGCCATTTGCGATGATCTCAGCAGCGTGTTCATCTTGGACAACAGTCCGGGAGCGTATAGCGCTTATCCAGGTAAGCAGATTCGACATAAGGTCTATCCTAACCGAATGAGGAAGCATTGACCATCAAATGACGTCGAGGTCATAGTCAAGTTCTCAGATAAACTTCAACTTTGTTCTATCATAATTTTCTCTGAGATACGGATTTTTGAGAATCTAAATTGAAACTGTTTATGGTTACTGGTAGTGAAAATGATTGGATAGAATACACAAGATCAAGAAGGGCTTTAGGGCTAAGAAGTACTTTTCTCCGCATGACCTTCTCACTCTATACAAGGCCCAGATAAGGCCTAGCCTCGAGTATTGCTCACACATTTGGGGTGCTGCCGCCCCGACTACATTGTCCATGCTCGATGCTGTCCAGAGGAGGGCGGTCCGACTGATCGATGACTCTTCCCTAACAGACAGTCTCGGGACTCTTTCGCACCGGCGGGATGTCGGCGATCTAGCTCTTTTCTATCGCTACACCAACGGGCTTTGCTCCTCAGAGCTCTCTTCCATGATGCCGCCGCGCGATGTACCTGCCAGACAGACTCGCCTGACTTCGGCGTCCCATCCTAACCGTGTCAAACTTCGTACATCCAGAACTGGCCGATACGACCGCTCCTTTGTCCCGAGGGTGTCTAGATTGTGGAACAATCTACGGGAGGAAGCTTTTCCCAGTTCTACTAACCTTAGGCAGTTCAAAAATCGTATTAACAAAATTTCTTTGGGATCATCATAGCAGCCGCGGTGTTCCGGCATTTAGGCTTCTGCCTGCGCGGCTGTTTCGATATAAAAAAAAAAGAAAGCAACGTGTAGCAGTTCTACGAGATGGAAAGAAAAACTATTACAATGCCAAAATTGATGTACAGTATAGTAAAAATAATAGCAAATAGATGTACGAAATTTTGGAAAACATAGTTTTTCCTATTAAAAGAAACGCATTATCTAAAATGAATTTCGACAAATGAAAAGATAATAGCATATAGAATGAACACCCATTTCATAGAAAGTATTATTTTTTATTTCCACAGCGTTGAATGCTGAGGTCATAGAAAGTATTAACGACATTGCAAGATCAATTAACGACGAGCATTCCAACCAATTCTCCATGAGATCAGAGTATAATGCATCATTCAGTGACTTTAGAACAATAAACAAAAGATTCTCATAGCTTTATTTTGTAGAATTTGCTATTTTAAAACGTTATTTTTGTAGCACTAATGACACGGTTTCTTTTTCCTTTTTTTTTAGATAACGCGATCCCGATAAAGTCCTGGTTCAGCGACCCGACGGACACGGCGCTGCTCAACCTGCTTCCCGTGCTGGACGCGTTGCGTTTCACGGCCGACGTCCGGTCGGTGCTGTCGAGGAACCTGCACCAGCACCGGCTGTGGTAGGGCCCATCCACACCCATGCTCATCATACGATCACCAATCACCATTCGCGCGTACACATACGATCAGGTACAGAGGCGGCTTTCGTACGGGCACAAATGCATTTTACGGGTGGCTGGTTGCTTGCGGGGATTCATTATGGTGGAGAGCAATGTGTGTCATGGCATGTTTTCGCAGCTAAATTTCAGAATGAAAGATGATAACTATAGAGTAATGGAAATCATGCTTGTGAAGATGAACGAATACAAATAGATTAGGAGTCAAGCCTATATATTTACATTGCATTGTTTGTCGACAAAATTGCATAGTTTTGACTCATTTGTCTAGCAATGCCTACCAAAGGGACAATGTTGTATCAACATAATGATAATACTTACTGATCATTTGCCTTCACTAGACTTTATCCATTGCAATAACGCACTGCTAGACACTATTTATACTTCTGTATGGTTGCAAATATTATATTCAAAAAGTCCGTTTGTATTGTAGTCAATTACAACATCACATTGCTCTTTCATGCCATTTGTATTTGATGTTTTCTCGCTCAGTCACTGTTTCAAGTAAATCTTTCCTTAAATCGATTTCCCCTATCATCAAAATTGGCTGAAACTTCGACGTACTAATGCATGTTTTATACCATGAAATTTTTACCAAGAACATTTAAATATTGGTGTTTGGTTTATTTAGACAAACTATTGTCATGAAACTTTCCCCTTGTTTTGAGATTTGTAGAGGTGTTTGTGGGTTATTATTTTTTACGTAACATCTCGCCAATAATAAATACTGTGTATACGCTGTTACTCTATATTAAGAGACATTCTAACAATTTATCTTGAATACATTTCATTTATCTTGAGGCATTGAAGCTCTTGTTTGGATGAAACGCAACTTGGAGATTGGTAATAGAACCCTTTTGATAACCATCAACGTTTATCACGAGTACAACACAAGAATTAAAATTTTAAAAATAGTTCAAAAACATTCTACCACCTACTTAAAAAAGTTTTGTACATTGGAATATTTGTAAACCAAAGAAATCCTTTGTAACCTGAATCTGATTTAACATTTTTGTTACGTAAATATTTTTTTAAGGAAAACGTAAGCTTTGCAATCAATCGATAATCTTTGTAGATTTCAAAATGCATCAAGCGGCGTAACGTCAGTCGTTCCGACAATTGAACCGGTTGTTTCAAAAACCGCTCTTTATATACTAAGTGACATATAAATCCGAACACCCAGTTTAAATGGTTTTATTTTAGTAAAATTTTGTATAAGTACTTAATGAAGCATAATAAGTGAATGATAAAAATTTCAAAATGATTGCACTGCTTTAAAGCCCTTTGACCTTTAATAATGTGTGGATGCACCCTGATGTGCTACGTATTCTCCAACGCGCCTAGGCATGCTTCTGATCAGGTGGTCAATGTCCTCCTGTGGTATCTCATTCCAGGCAACCACCAACTCCTCTCGAAGTGCTTCTAGAGTCTGAGGAGGACGTTGCAAATTGAGCAATATCCTACCCATCATATCCCACACGTGCTCAATTGGGGATAAGTCGGGAGATCTAGGTGGCCATGGTAACAATGTGACATCATTATGTTGAAAGAAGTCTATTGTGACTCTTGCAACATGTGGTCGGGCATTATCTTGTTGGAAAGTTTTATCTGCCAGGGTGTCAAGATAGGGTAAAAGATGGGGTTCTAGAACTTCGTGGATATAACGCTGCGCGTTCATGTTACCTCTGATGAAGATTAAAGGTGACCTGGAACCATAAGCTATAGCACCCCAAACCATAACTCCAACAGTGTGATGAACATGTCTTTCAACAAAAAACTGTGGATTCCTCCTTTCACCACGTCGCCTTCTAACCCTGGCACGACCATCGTGCATGCCTAAACAAAATCGAGACTCGTCACTAAAGACAATACTGTTCCATTCCTGATCCCAGAGTGACCGTTGTCTGCACCACTCAAGGCGATTACGTCGGTGTTCTCGAGTTAAAGGGAGGACCCAGTGTGGCCGGTATGAAAACAAGCCAAAACTTCACATTCGTCGGTAAACACTTCGCATGTCAATAGGTCTTCCGTGTTCTGCAAACCATTCATTTGCAATGGACCTGGTAGTGGAGAAACGGTCCCTAAAGGCCAATAATCTTAGGCGGCGATCTTCACGGTCTGTTGTTCTACGGCGGCGTCCAGTGCCCCTTGCTCTTTGCGTACGGCCTTCTCGAAGCCATGCCTGACAACACCTAACCACAGTGTCTACACTTCTTTGCACTCTAACTGCAATTGCCCGAAAAGAAAGTCCAGCTTCCCGAAGTCCCGCTATACGGCCCCTATCAAACTCACCAAGTTGACGAAATCGTACAGGTCTCCGTACTCTAGGCATCGTAACCGATCGTAAAGGATGTCAAGAACCAATATCCGCCAACGTTGATTCCTTACTGCGGCTGAAATATTCATTTTTAGACCGTCAGTGAATTAAAAAAAAAACAGTATAAAAACCGGAATGTCCAACTGATAAGGCTGAAAAATTTTTCACTTGCTATTTACAGTAAGATAAATACATTCACCAATTTTTATTAAAATAAAACCATTTAAACTGGGTGTTTGGATTTATATGTCACTTAGTATATTTTTCTCAACATGCTTGTCCGCGGAAAATACTTCCTTTAAATATAGATGCATACTGTAAATATATACCACTTAGGTATTTACGTTCCTTCCTCTTCAAATAACACCTAAAGACTATACTAAGCTCAAAGAAGTCCTAATTTATTTGTGAATGGCACAATTTTTATTGTTTCCTTCCTCAGATTGTGTGACTATGAGGTTTTTGAAATAACATATTGAATTGTAGGACGCTTTTAAGGCCTTGATTTTCACAATTTCCTACTATTCCTTGTCAGCGCTCTATTTTGAGGTTATGTCACAAATATCAAAATGTTGGTGCTTTTGATTTACATAATCTGTTTTATCATTCTGCAATTTCCTACTAATCAAAAAAAAACATAACAATAGGAGAGCCCTGACACGGAACAGTAGAAATCTATATCAAATTGAAAATCAAGGCAGGAACGACTGACGATGCGGCCTTAAGAAATTTCAGGCTGTTAAAACTTGATTTTTATCATCTGTTTTTTGAGAGAACATAACCTAACCTCATCTAAAAATATCCCAGCCTTTCCCAAGGAGGGAAAAGACTATGCAAATCTATAGGAAATGTCTGACGATACGACCCTAAAAAAAATTAAGTGTGCCTTTGAAAAGCTACCTGTGCTATTGAGTTATCCGAATGTTCGAGCACTCTTGTCATACCTATTTCAGCATAAAGATATACAAATAAACTTGCCCTGGAACTGACCTTGTAAGGATCATCGTCACGATCCACATGATACCGCCCCACACCTTCCTACAAGGTTTTGTACGAAATATCTCTTTAGTGTACCGATTCTCCGAGTTTTTGGTCTAAGAACTAGTCACCATATTCATCATTTTTGCAAGTTTTTATCCGGCTATTTCTCAAAAACTAATCATACGATTGCTTTGATGACATGGGCACTTTTGATCGGCAAGGCATACTGAATTTTTAGACAAATCGATTGAGATCCATTTTCCATGTTTTATGATGTCTGGATTAGTAAAATCGGGCCTAAAGGGTCTACAGGATTATTATTTTTTTATTCTACATGCATACGACAGTTTGGTATGTTATTCTGGGAAACAACGTATTATTTGGAAAAGATACAACCACATAAATGAACAGCGTATCCACAGTACCGCTTGCAATCAATTGTTGACGAGATGTTGTATGACAGTTTCAGCCAATTAGAGAGCGGGTAGCACCGCGCAGACACACATAAGTGCCACCTTTGACGCCAAGCCAATGCCAAGTCGCCTCTGCATCACGATCTACGTGCACTCGTAGTAGGTAAGTGCTGGTGACGGCTTTGACGCGGGCTTGTTTCAGCGCGCCCCAAATGCCTGCCGTCGCCATGACGGCCATTCCGACCGCCGCACCGACGTCCGAGCTGGACGCCTCGTCGATAGTGACGCAAGTGGCGCCACCCGGCGTCATCTCTGCTGTATCCGGTGGCCCGAAGGAACCGCCTCAGCGTAGACCGCGCTCCAGGATCCCGCAACGTACTTGCAACGACTGAGGCAGGAGACAGCCGCCCCTTGCCGGGGGCGGCGGGAAGAGAACTGCCGCGGCTTAGACAGCAGGGACGAAGGTAAAGCGTGTGGATTAAGAGGTTGGAAGAAATTCGATTCCAAGCATACCTTTCTCTTTTGTTACTAAAGTATGACGTACAGGTTTTCGAGAGTAACTTCTGTTTTCATAAAGTTCTGCGAGGTCTGTAAATTAAGTGAATACAATTTTATATTGTCACACTCAAAATAACTCCCTTCTGAAGCCTCACAGCACTCCTCATGGCAGTGTATGAACTCGGATACTGCAATAGCCGTTTGAACGTTTTCGACTGTCCCTTGAGGTGATTTTACAACTTCGGGAAGAGAAAAAACTCACAAGGGTAGGGGATATTTTCGTTAAGGCAGATGATAACTATTTAAAGTGGTACGCGCCCAGTGTGCTCTTTTTTGAGTAATTTGAACATTGTTGGCGTGTATCGTGTATGGCTGATATTCCTCTATTTACAGGTTACGTATTTATGGTTGCGAGTGTCACTGCGATTCCTTAGGATTTAGTCATATTTAAACTCAACCGTCTAATTTCACTCCAAACTCACAACTGTCGCAGATTCCATCCTTTGTTCGCTACTGGAAACAATCTAAAACAATGTCAATGCAGGGCGCCCCTTACTAATCAGTGCTTCATTATGAGTGACTTTTTGGAAATAAAATTATTTTTTAATCATGTGACTTGTTGAAAATGTTTTTTTCTTAACAAAAACAATTGTACAATTCATTTGATCCTTCGTCGCTAATTTTGGATTTTCAGGTTGCTAAGAAAAGCCTAAGTGATACTAGTTTTTTGAAGTTACAAGGCGTGTATGGTGTTGAGTCTTATTTTTTATACAGAAAATGTATCTATATAAAAGTAACCTGTAACGTGGAATATACCACTTCAAAAATCTATTTAGCTGTTCTATTGTGTATAAAAAAATCTTGATTTAAATAAAATGTTTGAGTTTCCAACTGATCGGTATGTCTCCTCAATGAACTATGGCAGATGTCTGATGTAGGCACTAAAGTTTTAGAATAACCTTACAGATCTTTTAATTCGTTTCCTTGATGTATCTCCTGAAACTATGTGGCTTTTATGTTCATAGGATTCCGTTATCTGACCGAATCGAAACCACAATATATTTTTTAATTTCAGTTTATTGTACGATGTTTCGACCACCACTGTGATTTTTTTCAAGTGTAATTATGAAGCTTGCTATAGTCGAAAATATAACTGGTATCTTTCACAAATCTGAAAGAATTATTCCGACAACGCGCGTCGTTTCTGTCGTGACGTCACACGACATAAGTTCGGATTCTGGGACTGTCCTTGCATATCGCATTCATCCTTAGCGCTAAAACTGACCAGTCTCAATATATTGTTTGTATCTTACTGTGCGATATTATATATCAATATAAGGAGGTTTTCTGCGTGTTTCAACAGTTCTAAAATATGGCCAAAATTGTTCACTAAGTTTAAAAAAAAAACATATACGTTTTCCTGATCGCTGAAAACGAATATGATATATTTTTCTCGTAGATCAAAATAGCGGATTTAATTTCATCAATCAGTTACAACCAAATTACAGTTTTTTATGTTTTCAAAGTATAATTTATGCTTTATTGTACTTACTTGCATTCAGTGTCAGCCAAAATTGACATATTTGACAAACATGCTACTAGTCGAAAGAGAGCGGACCATGGGCTTTTTATTTTCTTTTTTAATTCACTAATTAGGGAAAAATTGTTACATATTGTTGACGTATCGGTTGGGCAGTAATATAAGTATACACTATACATACCTTCGTCTCCGCAATCCATTTTAGCACATTTTTTTATTTTAAACGTGACACTATTTGATTATATAAATACATACAATATTCACATTGTCTATCACTCGTCAAATCTATCCCCGTTCTCGTTCATACCAATATTTATTTTCATCCTTGTTACCATATGAAATACGTATCGACTAACATCAAAACGATATTTACAGCAGTACAATGATATTTCCGAAAGATACAATTTTCTCATCCATTACTTGTAATTCTTCTATTTTTCGGCACAGATAAACATGGCTTTTTGGAACCGATATTTGTACATCTACGTGCAATACAGAATTTGTAAGTCTGTGGTCTGATCAATGTTTTATTCGTTCACCATAAATTGTAAATACCGACCAGGGCACCGTTTGTACACGACGGACGCATCGTTTTGTGGTAGCGATGGAAGCTGGTGTCATGTGACGTCATCACTCAGCGTCGCGTCATTTTTTAAGATATTAAATTTTATTTTCAATGCTTGGATTATCATTTTATGTATGGTTCAGAAAATAGGAAACTTCCTCACGATCGATTGTCGGTGGTCGAAACGTCATACGATAAACTGAAATCTAAGTATATATGATTCGGCCACACTGGTTCCTATTTTGTTTCCTATTTATTTATTAATTCAACGTACTGTAAAAATAATTCGTACATATAAATATGTAAATATTAATTTAGATGAGGGTAATGTTTTCCAGAACCAAAGACGGATAACTTTATTGTACTTTTTATTATTTTGCCCAAATTGTTTCATCTTTGATACCAACAAAATTTCGTTTTTGTTCCTCGTGAACTGTTAAGATAGGATAAGTAACGTTTTTAGCATGTAATATCTTATCGTAAGGGTTTTCAAGGTACGTTTTCTGCATCAGAAAGTGTACTCTGTAAAAAGGACCGGGCACAAAACATACGGAAAATGGAAACAAGTCGATTTGTCTAACGATTCAGTATGATATATTTTTTGCTTTCCTGACTAAAAATATCCATGGGGGATTAGTTTCTAAGAAATAGGCACGAGTTGCTCGAGAATTCGATAACCCAATAGGTCAGATTGTTTTTGAAGGACTCAGAAACGTAGCTTATGATTTTTGCAAGGTCAAACCAAGGTCATGTTGATTTTGAAGGTGAAAGGAAAAGGGCACATGTGCAAACATTGCTTTAGGTTGAAACTTATTCATCTCCTTGCACATTCATGCCCTATTTCACTGAATTCTCGAGCAATTCCTGTCCAGCATGAACATATGAAAATCAACTGACCTTGTAGGGATCATGGCCGCGATTAACATGACACCTGCCTATTAACAATATATTTCTGTTGTGTATTGACTTTCCAAGTTCATTGTTTTTGCAAATCAGGCAAACCTTATCCATCTATTTCTCAAAAAATAATCATAGGATTGTTTTGGACACTTTCCTTCAAGAAGCCAAATATCATACTGAATTTTTAGTCAAATCGACTGGGACCCATTTTCCATATGTTTTATGCTTATATCCAGAACAAATTGATTTTTACGAATATTTTGCCTGAAATACGAGCAAAGCTAAAACCAAGTTGAGAGTAAATGTTCGATACTTTTCAATCTTGTCAGTACAATTCCATATATAAGCAGTTATAATTTAAAAAAAACTGATGCGCATAGCCACGTTTTAAGTTGGTGCATCTTTAGCCAGTTTAAAAATCGTGAGATTCTTTAGTCAAGTAATATTACTACTTATAGCAGATCTGATGTATATAATGTTGTATTCATGAAACATCCAAGTGGACGTATAATAAATTAAATTCATATAGCTTATTATTTACTGCATCAGAATACTAAAAGCTGCTTTTTTATCAACGCCTTGTTCTTTTCAAATGGATTAATCTAAAAATATGCATTGTCCAATTTTATTTGAATATTCGTCTTCCTAAGTTTATGAAGTAAGAATGCTTCTGTTTATCGAATGTTTTAAATAACAGACGTTCTGTGAATACATAAATCAGAACAAAGCGCTACTTAAGCGGTCACTGACACTACGTTCATACGTCCACGTATAAACGCTGCGAAATGAATAACATATACAGTGTGTCCCAACCGTGAGACGACGCTGTATTACTCATTAACAAACACTATTCAAAGAAAAATATATATGGTAACTCGTAACGAACTGATATTAAAAAAAACTCATGGTAATGGAGACTCGATAGTGCAAAAATATACAAGGTGTTTCATTTAATGTTTTTGCGAAAAAGTACCTTTTTCGGTTTTGACCGCTGTGTATTGATCGTTCAGAAAATTCGAAATAATTAGGCTAAAATTGAGGAAAGGAAAAAAAAATTTCGACACAAAATTCAACATAGCATATATGAAGGCTGTCAAACTTTGATGTTTTTATATAAAATAGCCATCAAATTCAACAACTAATAACCAAAACCCATAAATATGTTACATCATTTTTGTTCCTCTAAAAGGACCTATCCGAATTTATAATAAAAAGTAGGGCATTCCATTTTAGAAAAATTAACTTTGATATGTGATATATAATGACCCATAACTTGTTTTCTTTGATTAGTTTTTGTTTAGGACCAACTTCGACCTGTATATTAGTTAAAACGGTTCAACACTAAACCATATTAGTAATACTTTTTAATCGGAAGAATCGTTTAGCATGTGAACTCTATGGGAAGGTGAGTCTGGTGAGGTGTTCGTATTGTCACCCTGTGAGGCTTTACATGCGCCACCTCGCTAGCTTGCAAACAGACAGTACGCAAAATCAGAAATGTCGTATTCATTTCTTATAATAACTAGTTCGGACTAGAGAAAGCATTCCCGCTCTAGGGTCGGCCCACCTCGGGGTCATCTCTTGCCATTCTTCCCTGCGTGAATACCAGCTGTGCTTTACAGTGCCAGCTAGAATAAAGTACCGTTTTTCATAATTTAATATTGTTTATTCGTCAGTACTTCCGTGTTTTACCATAGTCAGCTCTTTGCAGCGTCAAGCACAATTGTGACAGGAGAAACGCATGTCAGTGATCGTTTTGAGGTACGCAACCATTCTGTTTGTAATAGTTTTTGGTTCAAAAAAATGATCGCTGGTAAATTAAATGTAAATCCAAGTTTGTAGATAGCTAAGGCCGTACTTTTGCTAGAAACTTTTGTATATATTTAGGAGTACGTTGTGACATAATTTATAAATATAAGAAGTTGGTAGTTCAACTTGGAACAAGAAGTACCTAAACGACCTTTTACAATAATGTAAATTTTACTTAGCATTAAATAAAATTTCATTAAAAATTGCGTTTTATTGAAACCTGTAGACAGTTTTAATGGTTGCAGGAATTAATGTATATTATAATAATTAGTGATGTCTTCAAACAACAATAATTGATAAACCTTTTTATTTTCAGAACCCAGAATATGCCAGCACAATCACTGAAATGACTTTAATTTTCAAATATGTTGCATCTATATAAAATATACAAATATAAAAATATACACTTCACTAAACGTTGGTAACTTGAAACGTTAATTGGATTAATATAAAACATAATGACCCTCAAAATTCTATTTAAAATCACTATTCTTTCTCATTATCATCTTTGATGCTTTTCCGACTGTGGCAAGACTCTGAGTCACAATCCTTGGAAGATCTGTAACAAAAAAAATCATATTTAGATTATGAAAGTTTATCGACATCCATTGTACCCATTAAATTGAAAAAAAGAGAAAATGTAACGTCCGAACGGGGACATGACTTTTAGGGCAATTTCAAAGTCAAATAAAGACATCGAAAAGGTGACCTTGATTATGAATCTCCAAGGTCAAGTCAACATTTTCAAAAAAATAACTAATTTTTATACTGGAAATAAATGAAGCATGAAATTTACTTTAAGCTTGGCTCGACCTTGACTTTAAGGTCAGTGCTACATTCGAACATAAAATGTATGTATATAAAAATGAGATGTCTGCTTTGGAGATTTTGACTTGACCTTAAAGGTCAAGGTCGAATATAAGATCACCATTGGGTCATCCCACAACTGTGCCGTTGCATTTTTGCTAAAGTAAATTGTTTTACCCTGGAAATAGATAAAGCATGAAATTTTACGACAGAATATGACCTTGACCTTAAAGGTTAAGCTTCGCTCCACCTTGACTGTGAGGTCAGTGTTACATTCGAACGTAAAATTTCCTGTATATAAAATGAGAGGTTTGCTTTAGAGGTTTCGACTTCATCTAGAAGGTCATGGTCAAGGTCGACCATAAGGTCACCTTTGGGTCATCCCACAACTGTGCTGTTGCATTTTTGCTAAATTGTTTTTGATGCCTTGATTTGACCTTGAAATGGCCCAGTAGGCAAAGGTCAATGTCAAAGCCAGTGTGATATCCATACGTGAAAAATTACTCCTTTTCAATTCGGTTCCATTTGACTTGAAATGTCCTTGAAGGTCACAGTTATCGCCACCATCATTTTGACCCTCAAAACCATACAACTTTTGTCTGAAAGTTTTTTATAGAATGCGCAGCTTTCGGAATATTTATTAGGAAACAGTGAAATGTGACACAATTTATAGAACTATTTTTTTTTATTTCACTAAATTTGATGTGATTAGATGTATACCTGTTGGAAATAAATGTCATATCACTTACATAATTTCTAAGCTTGATTCACTAGTTTTCATGCCATGCTCATGTTCAGAAGATCCTGATCCAGAACCTAGTTCTTCCAAGTCTTCTTTTCTCTCTTCACCGTCATGTTCATCCTGGGTCAAGCTGGACATCTGCCAAGCAGGTATGGAAGGCGGTACCACAGGAGAATTTGCTACCGATGGAAACTGTTTTCTGTAAAATATAATCAATATATAAATACACAGATTTCCAAGCAAGTGAACCGTCTTATTAAAGAAACATTTAAAAATATAACTGTCAAATGCCTCAAGTAAGTGTGTCAAATGGTTAGGAGAAATACGCCAAATCTTTAATATCACATATATCAGGCACATAAAACTAGACGGACGGTTCAAAAATCCAGGACTACATTTTTTTCACGTTTCTGTTTTTTATCAAAAGCAACACTATAGGCTGAATATTGAAATGTATCAAGGGAAAAGGTCTATTTATTAAGATATCCATAAAAAATGTCAAAAATAAACTAAACTGCAATTAACCAACAATATTACTCCTATCATTTTTTTAAATCCTAATCACAGAATGAATGAACAGAAATATGCAATATATAGGATTTAAAAAATATAGTAAACTGGCCCACGCAACCCATGTGATAACACAAACATAAACATTTCAAACAACCTAATCTGATATTAAATAATATACCTCAGAATATCAACAGTAAGTTATCAATACCAATTAATAAGCTGCTAACAGTAATTAGTAATATAATTTTCAAAAAACTAAATAGCTTATAATGATCATAATTACTAATGTGTAAATTCCTCGAGTGCAAGGTTGAGCTGATGTATGCTATGTTTGCAACAACTGACAATTTATTCAAAAATAAGCTGGATAGGGAACTGGGAGACAGGGCAGCACGTTTTGTGGATAATCCAGCATAAAAGTCATCACACAACAGTGTCATCAGATTTTCTGTCCACAGTTGCAGTGCTAATAATTATAACCACAGCATCTAAGCCATGACCACACAAATTCCACCACATAACACTGTCTTATATAACTCGTATACTAACCTTCCTAACAACAAGCCCTTAACCGTCGATACCTCAGACTTTAATTCTGCTAACTGTCTAGCTGTGCTTTCACTATTCAGTCTATCCACCTCTACCTTGACACTCTGTAAGTCATCTTTGATTTCACCAACAGAGGACTTCACATTCTTATCTAGTTCCTCAATAGTTTCTTCTACGGATTTTTTCTTTTTACCAAATAGGAATGGGGCTATGTACTTCTGAATCATTGAAGAAGAAAATGAGATGTTTAGCATGTATAAAACATATAAGATGGTAGTCTGTATTGATGAAAAGCACTTCTTGGAATATATGTTGTTAAAAAATATTTATTTTAATTTAAAAAGAATGTAGACAAACATTGCTACTTCTTGATATTATTGAATTGCAATATTTTGCTCTGCAAAATACAAGGTGTTTTCAAAGTTGAGTCATTTATTTTAACTGCTTGTAAAAGAACAGAAACAGAGTTGATGTACCAAAAATCACCTTTATAAAAGTTGCATAATAAAAGAAATGGTAAAATATAAAAAATTTTAAAAAGCAAGATTGTTATTACACAGATTTTTTTATATTCTTGACCACTGCTGTGTAAAATCTTAGCATTTTTTGTTTGTAGTTTCAATGTCTTTATTCGATTTGTAGTGTAAAACATCAGGAATAATAATATATAAAATCAATAGTAATAGACCTAATTTGCTGCCCTGTGGCACATCTACCAAAATGTTTTTAATGCCTTCAGTTCCTTGACTTCTATTAATTAAATAATTTGGCAAGGATATAAAAAAGAAAAACAATGATATTAATTTATTGTTGCATTAGATAAAAAAATGTTCATTGCCAAAGAGACTATTGTAAAACTTTGAATATTACATTGCTTTCTCTGAAACTAATCTTAACACTAATGCTAAATGAATAACTTTACACTACCTCTATACAAACGTCTAGTTTTTATTATAAAATAAATCTGGAGACTTTTTAGAAAAATATCTAAGCTTTTGTCTGGCATTGGTAAGTTAGGTGATGGCCGCCCTAGGTAGGTCCATACCTTTTGAATTTATTTGATTTTAAGGGTTGTGCATACCTGGTAAAATTTCTGGATTACATACGCTACGATGCTTAGTATCGCTATATTATGCAATATCTCCCTAACTCTATCAAACCAACTCAGTTGCATCTGACCATACATTGGATGGTTGCAAACTGTACCCATCGATGGTGGTAAAGATGGAGGAAGTCGTCTCTGTTGCTCTTCATGTCTTGTGTATGCTCCTGATTTATCACAGGCTATTTGGATTTCGTTATCAGTCAGACCTTTGCGCCTCAGAAAGTTCTGTTTTTGGGCTAGAGGCGTATTGATAACATTGGGATTCTCTAAAAATTTGATTGCAGTTTGGACCTGGAAAATATACTAATTACAAAGAGGGAGTTCTAACGTGAAAACGTTACCATTTCTTCTCGTACTGCGCCCTCGGGTTGTTGGGCAACGGGAGTTTCTACTGCTGCAGCCATGATCGCAGAGATTCAGTAAATTATACCTAATTCGATAGTTAAAGATTGATAAAAAAAATCATGATTATTGAACATTTAACCTGACATTTGAATCCCAGAACAAATTTTGAACTTTAGCATTTCAAGGATGCTCTATATCCTATATCATAAAACATATACGGAAACGGAAAGATGACTTTTTGTCCCTAGTTTTTTTTTGCAGAGCACTACTCAGAACAATTAGACAAATGACATAATTATGACATTTGCCGTCATATTCTTACAGTGACATAAGGTGGATTCTTTAATTCACCGGTTGATTCCACCACTGATGCTTATGGTTGACACTGTTGACAGCTTTGTATGGTGATGGCAGCAACCGGTTGAATTGAAAGGACAGATGTCTGGTCCACCGGTGGCACCGGTTGCTCAACCGGTGAATTAAAAAATACACCAATACGGTGGTGCTATTGTGGTTGCCTAGCTCCTCATATCAACCACCTACATAAATAATATTAACATCACAAAACATACTCATCAAAATAACACGTCCTTAACTTAATACGTGGTATTTTGCCATTTCTGCGATCCGGATAGATATGAACAAAACAGTTCATTTGCTAGTAAAAAACAACAGTTCAAAACATAACATTAATGATAGAATTGTCTTAAATGGCGGTATAGATTCTGATATATTGCAATCCCAATGTTAATCGGAACAAGCGCCATCTGTTGTTAAGTAGTAGATGTCGTACTGCGCGTAGATCTGTCAGGACGATAGATGGCACCATTAAACGCCCTTAGATAAATATGTACGTAGTCGTGCCATAAGTTCTGTCCCATGATAAAAATGAAACAAGATAAGATATATTTATATGAAAGATATTATTTATTCGACAACATTTTTAGAATTCATAATCAAACAGTTTTATTCAAAATGTCCCCCCTTGGCCTTCACACACTGCTTCAATCTCGCGGGCCACTCATCTATCACTGCACGCACAGCTTCCAAAGGAATAGCTGCCGCTGATCGGATCAAATCCGCTTTCAGGGACTCGATATTACGGTGGGCTTTGGAGCAGGCCAACTGCTCTAGCAGGTCCCACAACTTGTAGTCTAAAGGATTGAGGTCCGGACTCCCTGAGGGCCAATCTTCCGCAGCAATGAACTCTGGCACATTGCTTTCCAGCCAGCGCTGCGTACTCTTAGCCTTGTGAGCGGGGGCGGAATCCTGCTGGTAGACCCAGTGTTGGTTGGCAAACAATGTACCACTTAAAGGCTTGACGATAGGATCCAGTATGTCGCTCTGATAGTTTGCCGCTTTTGTTTTCACGCCCTGTTTACAGAAATGGAGCTGAGTGACCCCTTCGTAGGACACCCCCCACCAAACCATGACTGACGCAGGGTGGTGGCCTCTCTCAACTCTCGGAATGATCTCCGAAGCTTCCTGTGAACTCCTTGCATACACTTTGTCATTTTGTCGGTTGAATTTTTCTTCTATGGTGAAGATTTTCTCATCCGTGAACAAAATCTTTCGGAATCCCCCAGCTGCGTACCTCTCCAAGAGCTTCTTGGATCTTGTCGCCCTGATGTGTCGCAAGGTGGCCGTAAGTCGCTGGCCCGTACGTCTCCGGTAAGCCCCTCGCCCTAGGTCTTGTTTAATGATGCGCGACATCGTCCGGACAGGAATCTTCATTTCCCTGGATAGGATCTTCTGCTTCCGGAGTGGATTCCTTTGAATCCTAGCTTTTACGGCTTTGATGGCTGCTGGAGTCCTTACTTGACGAGGTCTTCCGCTTCTTGGCCTGTCATCAACAGAGGACGTCTCATTGTACCGCTGAATGGTCCTAGACACAAATTTACGCGATATTTGAAGGCCGCGTAAGAGTTCAAAAATCTGACTAGCACTGTGATTAATTACACTTATGTAAAGCTATCACTGCAATACGGTTCTCTGCCTTGCCCCACTCCATCGTTATGCTTCGAGAGATCAATACAAACTGAGGTATATGTAATTACCCGAAAAGCGCTTAATCAACTGACACCACAATGTAAACAATCGGACAAGTATTAACAGGTCTACACTTGTTTGAAAACGAGGGACAGAACTTATGGCATGACTACGTATACTGGTGCTTACATTAACGCTGTCACTCCGTGTCATGGAATTTATGATATTAACATTACCACCTATCGATATGTGCAAACGAATGTGAGCAACTATTTTGATTACTAGCACTTTTGACGTTAATTGAAATAAACTGTACCTTCGAGCCATCTGTTGTCGACAAGTTTAAGTCCTACTGAGTGTCTATTCCTACAGACAATAGATGACACCATTAAACGCCCTCAGATAAATATGTATACTAGAGCTTACAATAACACCATAACGCTGTGTCGTTGAATTTTTGATATTCACAATAATTGATATTTAAAACCATCCATATGCTGAAATAAATGTAAGTATTGACTTTTGTTAATAGCATTTTCGGTGTTATTTGGATCAAACTGTAACTTCGCGCCATCTGTTGTCGACAAGTTTAAGTCCTACTGTGTGTCTATACCTACAGACAATAGATGACACCATTAAACGCCCTTAGATAAATATGTATACTAGTGCTTACAATAACACCATAATGCTGTGTCGTTGAATTTTTGATATTCACAATAATTGATATTTAAAACCATCCATATGCTGAAATAAATGTAAGTATTGACTTTGGTCAATAGCATTCTCTGTGTTATTTGGATCAAACTGTAACTTCGCGCCATCTGTTTGTCGACAAGTTACTATCGCACTGTGTATTGATATATCTAGCTAATAGAGGGCAATAATCAATGATTTTAGATAAATGTGTATAGTAGTGTTGGCTAATAGATGGCGCTAGTAAATGCTTTTAGACAAATATGTATACTAGTGCTCACAATAACACCATCACCCCGCCGTGCCCTGGAATTTTTGAGATAAAACTTACCTGACGCCATTTTTTTTGAACAAGAAGCGATTATGTTTATGCCATGACGTTTTATTTTTAAGTGTAAGCTAGAAAATATATCCTCTGACTTTCTATATAAAGAATTTATTGGTTGCTGGTATAATAAAATATTCATTAATTTGTACAAAAGAGGGTAAATTATGTATTTTGTAATTATATATATATTATTGTAAATTTTATAATCGCACTCATCAGAACCAGACGTTACCTAGCAACACCGATTGCTTGCGAAATATTTGTAAATCCATCTTTAGCCAACAGTTCAGCCAGTTCCCTCTTAACTCTTGTAACAACAGGCGGTCCGTCGTATGCCAAAGACGTGTAAAGCTGCAGCAATGATGCGCCAGCTTTGATCTTTTCATATGCGTCTTCCCCAGAAGAAATGCCTCCGACCCCTGAAAAGCAAATATGTAGGTATATTCAACTTCTATTCTTATTAAAGGTTTCCGAATAGGGACGGCCGAGGTTGACTGTTCGAATGGAATAAAACAAGCTGTATGAGATGTATAATCAAATTTTGGTTTCATTCAGAAGGTACAGCGCACAAAAGAAGAGAAAAGTAAAAATAAACTTCCCAACGCTGTACGTTTGCGCGCGTGATTCTAGGAGAAATCTGGCAACACCGCCATGTTTGTCGGCTCCCCTACCATCGATCCCAACAAGAAGGGCCTATTTGCGATGCTCATACTGGAAACTCTGATTACACTGATTAACCAAGCTGAATATCATGACACGCAGCTAATGACCCGGTATAATCGCAAGAGCTACAATAGTCGTGCTATTTCGGCATAATACGAGTATATTTCTGTTGCCACCTCTAACACAATTTGTTTCATGCCGAACCAGCATGGACTCGTCGTTATTTTTTACGTAATAAGAGTACCAAACGTTTTGTAGCGAGATGTGCTCACCGATGATCGGCAATCCATCGGTCAGCTCGCTCATATCCCTGATCATTTCCGTGGACAAATCTTTCAACGGCTGTCCGCTCAATCCGCCGGTTTCGTTCTTGTTCTTCTCGTCTTTCAGCGTTTCCGGCCTTGTGACGGTCGTGTTGCAGACTATCAGCCCGTCCACCCTGCACTCTCTTCGTTTCAACACATCGGCGATATCCGTCATTTCTTGACGGCTGAGGTCGGGCGCAAGTTTGAGCAGCAACGGTGGCTTTTTCGATACCGGCAGGTTGTCTCTGGCTTCGATTAAGGCCTTTAACAGTTTGCTCAAGTTCTCTTTGTGTTGGAGGTCCCTCAGATTAGGCGTGTTGGGGCTGAAACGATCGATCATATGACGTATCTATCTAGTTGTGATGCAAAACATGTGTTAAAAATTATCATTATCAGTACTAAGTTAGTCGAACTTTATTATAAACTCAAGTAGCTTCACAACGATTGAAGATATGTAAATTTATTATGCAAAAGTTACTAAACATTCCATGAAAAATCTGGAAATTATAAAATGGGGGTGTCCATTTAAAGTGTAACGCAATATTTTATTTTTAGATCACCCGGTATTGTACAGCTATAGCTCTAGTCCCCCCTAGAAATCAAAATTGTCGTGACCAAAATATACCAGGAAGCACATACTCACCTACTGATATTAATGACTAAATAGTCAGAAAGAGGCCCGAATTTCTGAATCCCCTCCACATAATCCTTAATTGCATCAGGCGATGTTTTGTTTTTTCCCAAATTAACTCCAATAATTGGGATTTCCTCATTAGCATCTCGTACATTCGCAATTCTTTGTAGTACGGCAATATGACCTTCACTATTAAAACCATACCTATAAGAAATAAACAAAGTATATTTAGGGATCTCAAGGCTAGACGTTAAATTAGATGCGCATATATATCCAATAACCAGAGATATTGTCCAAGCTAGATTTGTTTTTAACAAATGAATATTTACATTAATATTTATGATTCGCAATGAGATAATAATAGCAAAAAGAATTCACAAATATTGACAAGAAGGAAAATGGAATGAATGGTGATAGATCCAATATGGCATTAACAAGAAATTGTAATCCTGTGATATCTTGACTTTTATGAACAATGATAGATATACACTTAATGTACACCAACAGATTAAGTATGTCATTGAACCTGCTAACAATACACATTAACTGATATAATTACATATTTGAATAACTCATTAGTAGGAGACACAAAGTTCTTCTATGATGTGTTACTATTTTAAATCTAGATTACTTTGTAAAGAACGTTATATACTAACTTTAAAATGCTCGAAACAATCTGCATGTTTCCTGGGAAAAAGGATTTTTATATATATTGAGATGTGAGTTGTAAATAAATGAATTTGGTTCAAAACTCTCGAACTTGATCTTTACCTATTAATAACTGCTTGGTCATCTTTCAGTCTGAATACTCTGGGTTTTTCATTTCCTTGTTGTGCTAGGGGTGTTACAGATCCAACTTCAACAAAGCCAAACCCAATATCTTTCAATCCCAATATGGCTTTGCCATCCTTGTCAAACCCTGCAGCAATTCCAATTGGATTTGAGAATTCTTTTCCAAAAACCTTTAATTTCTGGAATGGACAAGATATGTTGTGTAATCCCAAAAAGATCTTAGTTGGTAAAACTGATTACAACTAAACAGCCCTGTAGCATCTACTTGGACTCCTGGAAATGATTTGAAACTTCTTTGTTTTCTGCTCCTAGCTCAAAGGAAGATTTTAGCATAGTTATGCATGAAAAAAAAACTGGATTTTACACATATTTTTTTTCAGGATAGTAATTGAAAAATTATTCTGAATTAATAGACTTTCATGCCCTTTAGAATATCAAAAAGACTGCAAATAAATATCAATATATTACAAAATTATGAGCCATAACTTTATATGACTTTCTAAATGTTATTAAAAGTTAAAATCAACAGGGATTTACCAATAAATCTGGATCTTTATATTGACTCTTAGGGATGAGTCTATGTTTGCTAGCCCAAACAGCTAAATTGTGGGCTTTTTCAGGATCTAGCATATGTACAACTGGCATAACATAGTTCTTGTAAAACTTTTCATCCCCTTTGTAAAAACTTATCCCTGCAAAAGCAGCCCAGCCGCCAGCAGTCACATATAACATGGACTGTAGTTTCTTCTGCAAATAATAGGGTGAATTTAATATCAGTTCCACGAATAACTATTAAAATGTCTTACCTTGCTACTTGTTCTGCTCATTATTCACTGATCCTTTTTGTTTCATATGCACAATTTATTACAAAACTTCCTGAATTATTGTTTACCAACACTCTTCTTGAACCTTTCATTCTACATGTACCAAGTGAGTTGAGACCAGCATTCAATATAAGGAAGTAAAAATAGTAACACCAAATCAAATTCAATCATCAGTTTGTTTACTTCGGACTCTTTGATGGTTTGTTTACCAAAAACCGTACAAAGGTCAAGGTTTTACTTGACACTTCACAGCTGGAATTGACATATGAACATGGGTCGCCATTCTGTAGTATGCATGGACAACTCCTATGGGAGAATGGGAAACAGTGCGGTGTTGCCTGATTTCAAATTTTCACATAAGGATACATGGATGACTTCATAATGAGCTGCGTTATTGACGCTTCAACAAGTAAGAGACTACTTATTTGTCAAAACAGCAAAAATATGTTAATAACTCATGACGTTATAAAATCTTCCATATATTAGAAATGGGCACTATAAAATTATTCAACAGACTCAGATTTAAGCAGAGTCGGAAACGTTTCATGCGGCCTTCGAAAGTGAACAGGATGGAATTTCCCCCTCCTCTCGAAGTTTCGACAATTTCCAGTTACAACGGGAGTAGTTAGATGGCGCATGTTTCGCAAAATGTTCGCTTTAAGATCTGTGATAAACTGAGCTGTATTGTTAGAATCTGAGTTCAACTGTTGAAATGTATTCTGCTTTACTCTAGAAAACTATCCGTAGCGAAATGTTTTCCGAAATCGTTGCACAATCAAAAAATGCAAATGAAAATTGCCGCTTTGACGTTCTAAATGACTCAGTCGGTACCCCGGGATAGCCATGCGTCTTGACAGATAACATTGTCATTCTTGCCACCTAGATTGCGGCGTTGCCAGCTCATCGGACGATTTCGCTATCACTGCTATTTTGATAAAATGTTATAAAAAAAAAGTTTTGAATAAAATATTGAGGAATACCAATGGAGATATATAAAATTTGAGTCTTGGCGATGTTAATGTCTCTGAACATTTTTTAAATGCCCAGTTTTATAGGATAAAATACTTTTTGAATAGGAGAAGTACGACTTTCATTTTCTCTACTCTTTATTAGGGAAATAAGGTTTTTAGTGACTGCATTCGCACTTGGGCGAGGAAAACCCCTAGGAAACCTCAACCGTCACTGCTAAGATTAATTGTATCAGGTGAAGAAAAATTAAGTCGTTCCACAATTCTGGCTTCATTTGTACAATCGAAAATCGCCAGTATGCCATAGTTAGTAACCTAAAAAAAGTAGCATTGAAGTAACGGTTTATACGAGGGTCATTTCTTAAGTAAGAACCGTTTTGTAATCCAGTCCCCCCCAGATTTTGAGAATTCTTTATTCTCTCGCAAAAAGTGCGATTTATAACTGTATCGAATGAAAAATATATTTACTGCGAATATAGAAAATATGAACAAAAAATGCGAATACTACAAGTGATGATAAATTCATCTACAAAGGATTGTCTATTGGCAACGCACCAAGCCGGGTTTAGATGCCGTCACCTGTTTTGTGGACGCCATGTTTTTGGAGTCATCTCTTATCTCTCTCTCTCTCTCTAATTTTATTCACTTTGTCTCCTCTTTATATAACTACTCTTTGGTGTTACGTCAAAATTTCTCGTCTAAGTTGTTTGAAAATGCATCCCAAATTGTTCTAACACATCAGGAAGGACATATAAAAGGTTATTCATCAAAGGGGAATGAAACCACCAGTAATTTTTAAATATGTTTATGTTCTAAATTTGTACCATATGTATATGAATATATTTTGATATACGCATATACATATATAATAATAACGTATATAAGTACCCTATACAAAAATACATCACTCTACACACAGTTCAGTTATAAACATCTTTCTGCAAGGAATAAGTCTTCAAAAGAGAAAAAAGTGTAATTATGAATAAATCATTAGTATTATTAGCTCCAATACTTTGCTGTCACACTACAATATGGATGTTTATACAAAGTAGGCCCACTAACGGCATCTAGAATCTATTGAAACGCCCTTTGTAGTTTCAATTTGAGTTTATTCTATGAATTTCTATATATTACATGAATCATCTGCAAAAATATTGCATTCAACATATTGTTTTACTGTAGAATAACTTCATAAGAGAGCTGTACAATTTTTATATGCATGTGAGCATATTTTGTATGTTTGCAACGCAATAATAGAAAAATTCACAGAACAGACCCTAAGATGACCTTACTTTGAAAAACAGTAAATATGTAGAGAGGAACCTACATATACACTGTATTAATGCGAACTAAACGTTAATACTGTGTAGTATGTGACTTTTAAATAAAATAATCAACTGCTATAATAATAAAATAAAGGAAAAACTACAAATTTCACAATATATCACAATGTACACGAGTGTACTACAAATAATTCGTTTGATCCTTGATCCTTTATTAAGAAAAAATGTGTGATTACTTTTTATGTTGGATAATATATTTACAGTCTTATAAGCTAAGCTCGGTCTAAAAGTCTAAATTCAACATTATTTGTCTTTATACTTTTGATAGTAATAAATAAATAATTTACAAAATATGTCTATAGGAATATATGTGGACTGTACATATACACAAATAAATAAGTGTAATACTAGATGAAATTGTACAACGTGATGTTATATTTAGCTATACAAACTGCGAAATATTCATGACATAAAATCCCACAAATATACTTTTGTGAATGTTAGTATACGATTATATCAGATATATCAAAACTGTTGATCGAAATGTCAACCATAAAATAGCCTTGAAGTAATATTTATGATACAGTATTTTGATTATTCCATTTACATATTCCACCTAGATCGTTTCGAGAATAAATACAAATATCCGAAAAAAAAATAATTTTTCTCATGACCACGTTGTCATTATAACATATGGAGGATCATAAAGAGCACAACCTGTCAAAGGAAGTAAAATATCAGAATACAGTTACATATTAAAATATACGACGCAAATAAAAACATGACAGCTGTCAGTAAAACACGCAACTATACGAGTTCTTCAATTTAAGCACTGCTAGTGTTCACCTCACTGCTACGTTTTTTAATAAAATATTTTTAGAAAAAACTCCAGAATATAAAAAACAGACAAAATCTTTTACGTAGTGTAATAGGCTGTTTGACAGTCATAACATTTCTTTTATGTATAACTTTTGTAGAAGTAATTTATAAAAGATATTAGTCAAATAACTTTCATAGTGTAATGCTGGCCTAACATATACATATGCAATCGGCCATTATGCACGCGTTTGTGTAAGCTCAAACTTACGTTTTTTAGTTTTGTGTCACGTGATTTTCTCGTCAACGTATTAATCCTCCACATTTATGGTTGTTATGGGCGCGTGTCATTTGACCTTTGTTGATTCTTGATATGAAACATAGAAATGCTTGAACATACAACTACAAGGACGACAGTGTATTAAATATATAAAGGTATTTTCAGAAAGAGAATGAAATCGACGATCCTCTAACACCCAATTCATGTGTGTGTGTCCAAGAGCGAGTAACAGATGCGTTAAGTCCGGCTTGCGCAGTGTGCAGTTTCCCTCGGGGAAGTTAAGATAGGCACATGATACAGTTTAACAATCTGTTTACTTATTCCGTATGACAGAACGTAACAGCCAAAAACCGTGAAAAAACCATATGGATAATTATACTTCATGAGTGTGGAGCAGAATTACAGTATAACAGTGAGCTCTATACTATACCCTCGCTTATTACAAAAGTTTCAATTATTATTACAGTGAACATTACAGTATTTGACATATTCTCAAGTATCACCATATGCAGTTTGATTTTATATCACAAGTCATTTTATTTGAATGAAAAAATTGGAATCTAAAAATGTATATAATGAATGTAGTCTACCCAAAGATAGCCAACCTAATGCTATATCCACCGCCCCAAAAATTATCCGAGATAAAATGAGAGACCGTAGCGTCATGAGAATTTGTCACTTCTGTTTCTCTATTTATTATATATTATTAATGATCAATTTTCCATACTGTGATCTGTGAAATTGTTCCTTTCTGATGTTCTTATCCATTTTTGATATTGCTTGTCCTGAAACAGGATGTCAACCATGTAAATTGTATTTTTGTAGCATTCCCTGAAGAAGAAAATAAACATTTTCGAAAGCTTGATATGATCGCAGAACAAACTTTTTTCTGGCCATCTGATTTTAGATGAAACCTCAAGATTTATGCTTTGCATCTTAACTAGTCATCCTCTATGAGCGTATATAAATAAGGTGGCTACAGCGCCATCTTTGGAACAGTAACCTTTTCAAAGTATATATAGTAAATAGAGAAACAACTATGACAAATTGTCAGTCTCAGTTGATCTCGGATAATTTTCTGCATGCGGAAATATAGCATTAGGTTGCCATCTCCATCGGATACGGGAAATAATCTGGTACGCCATAAGTTTAAAAGAGATTCGACCCAAATACCCATAGATGCAGTATTATTATCCAATTATCTCACGCTGACCTTGAATTTGACCTTGACATGCGAGGTCACTTCAAGGTCAATTCCTTTTTTTTAATGCACCGGACATGTATAATGCGAAAAATTTTACGTCTAAATGAGTTCCAAACCCCAAAGATTGTTGATCTTTGGAGATCATGGTCAAGGTTAAATATCCGATCAATTGAATTACGTTGGCAATCATGAGTCTAAAAGGTTAGACATTGTGGTCCACCTACCGTCTGTTTAACCCATCGATGATCTTGTGGTTCAAGTTAGCCACCGTATTAGGACAAACCTGACAACGAAATACGTTTTTTAAGACTAACACCGAGCCTCAAATATTATTATCTGACAACGAGTTGTGTGTGGAAGAATTGGTATTGAAACCTGAGTTAAATATCTATGAATATATGTTACTCAAATACTATATTTGATTTGTGATGCTGCTGAATTAAACAACTTAGAATTATTGACAGTGTTAGTTGTGTAGCTCTCGAATTATCAGTCTTGGCATTGAGATAAGAGATATGTTAGTATGATATTTATTTCAATTTTGTAAATGTCCAGCTTGTAGATTGTGTGATGTGGAAGATAGGATATCACTTGTAATAAAAGCGATGTAGAGACGAAATGATCGTTGTAGAGAAGTAGATGTGGTGACCGCTACAGGATTCTGGATTGTTCCTTTCCTAACGTGATATGGATTTATACGAATCAATTTTTTCATCACAATCAAATAAATATAGATGCCAAGCCTTTTAACAAATTTAACCTAAACATGCACATATAATTCCAATTTTTGAAGAAGCTTGTACTGAATTTACCATTTGGGTGTGTTTTATCCTTGAATTGATAGTCTATTTTGAAAAAAAGAAAATAAAAACAATCTGGAGTTGGAAATACAGAATATTAGCGATTCTTCAACATCCTCAATGACTTCAGAGTGCGAGTGCGAGTCCATTAACCTTATTTCAGAGACCATATCTTCTCTATCTTGATAGCCATATCACATAAACAAAGTCATATAGCCACTCTAGGCAGGGTGTAGTCTGTAATAGGATAAATTAAACAGTTCTTAAGTGCAGTACAGATTTCAGTGTTCAGTTCATGAGTCTTTTGTGTCTGTTTGTCCTCGATGACAATTTATAAACGGCATACTTTGTGAAACACCGATATTTTTGTTTAAGAGAAGATTTGAGGTAAATGGAAGGAACTTCTCATTCGAGATTGATCCATCACACCAAATTTGGCGCAAAGAAAACTAAAAGCTAACCACGAACAAATATTCGGAGCGATGCAGAATACCATATATTTAATCGGTGAATCAACTTTGCTGCTCCCCTTAAAGTCGTCTCGCATGCATAACACGAGAAGATAAAAAAGATGTATAAAAACATTTCCAAGATCAAAAATTGAGAATCTGACATTGTCCCAAACTTTGCTAAAAAAACAAACTTCCTTTGCTCACCCTGTATAAGTGGATACATAAAAGAAATATACCGGTCGAACCCTGTACGTGTTCTCAAACAGTTGGTCAAGAACCTCCCGAACATCGCAACTCGTTATCTCTTTCCGCTCCGAAAATATCGAGATTTGAATTTGGGTAAAATTTTCCATGTTGCATCCGGCTCTGTCCTCGCCTATTACGTATTACGTACGTGAGCGAGTAAAAATTATACAGCTATCGAAAAATAACGATAATGAGCTGAGGAAACGATTCTGACTGTTAGAATTACCGTCAAATTTCGAAAAAGTAAACTTTGAGCGCCTCAAAAGTACCGATGACAGCCGTTTTTCGGGGTACTTTGTCTTCGTCGATACGGACCTGCGTTACGGAGCGACGTAGCTACGATGTTTTTTCACAAAACGAAAGACCAAAGTCTCTTGATTAAACCGACATACGACACGTTACCCGATCGCATTTTTTAAACTCGGCAGAATAGAAAATTCAAAGATATGCAGATATTTTTAGTTTGAAGTTTCAATTTTGAATTTCCCCTCCAGATTCGCGATTCCTGTTAGGCGGGGTATTGTAGGTATGATCGTATTACGAAAGCGAGCGAGTGCAAGCGAACGTCAAAAACGTGCCATTTTCGGCTTCATGACTATCGCTTCATCCAATATTGGATCACGCCAACTAGAATTGTCCTTTTTTACGCGTGAAAATCAACATTTTCGAATAGATTCAGAATCTCTATATTCTATAGTACAAACGGTACCGGACTATAGCAATATTCACAACAAGAATCAAGTAGGTTGCGATGTTTACAGGCAGTTGGTGTTAGGCTTTGACGTTTAGCGGTTGATAGAAATGATCATCAGTTTGAATACGATAAAAATGATTGTAAGACCTTATTACTGCCAAAGATAATTCCTGAAGAGACCAGAAATCTAGAATATAGAAAGACTTTCTACCTTATAACAGTGTGTGTATTGTGTAGTGATACCCGGTGCCGAGTGTTTACAGTTTTTCGGTTCAGACGAAGTGCCTCAGTGTATATCTATCGGGATAATGTATTTCATCTTTGAAGAAGTTTGAGAGGACCCTTATTAATCGTCAGCAGATTTAAATAAGGTAAAAATAATTTTCATTCCTGTCAAATCATAAAACATTTACACTGAAGAAAGAACGTGCTATCCTTAGGCGAACACGGTTGAGATATGTCAAGTGTCAAGCGCCATTTTTTTTGCAAGTCGTGCGGTAGCTAGACATGCGACGTTGCCGGATCCTCACATAAATCTGAGTTTGTCATACAATTTTATAGAGGGCATTAATGCTGTATCGAAGATTTTATAATGCCATTGTGTGCTATTGATGGTGACACATGCGACGTTGCCGGCTCCTCACATAAATCTGAGCTTGTCATACAATTTTATAGAAGGCATTAATGCTATATCGAAGATTTTATAATGCCATTGTGTGCTATTAATGGTGACACATGCGACATAGAAAAATGTAAAATGAAAAATGATCAATGAAAAATGAAAAATTGCCTTCTATGCTCTCCCTTAACGTCTGATGGCAACGCTGCTATAAGATAACAATAAAAGACTTTCAATTAATTCTACCAACTCCATTGTTAACGATCACATCGCCTCCCTACACCTCGGTGGTCCTGCACCTGATTTTCTCCCGCGGCTGCCTTTCCTCTTCGTCCTCTTCAGGCGTACAGCCCAGCGACGGTCCGCCACTGGTCGAACTGAACTCGTCCAGGAAGTCGAACAACGCGACGGCCTCCTTCTCCTTATCGCCGTATCGTACGAATAAGTCGTTGCGTCCGATGATCGTAGGTCGGGCGGTTGCGGATAGCGACGTCGCCCTAACCACGGCCAATTGGGGGCGAGTGGCGCGCGCTGCAAGTAGAACGCACACACATGGTTCACACCGTGGTCTCCGTCATGGGGGTGCATGGTGCCGATGCGGAAGCAGCTTTAACAATCCCCGACATTTTTACTGAGGTACATGGTACAGCGGTGTGTGTATGTATGTGTGTTAAATAGAGGATGAGCTTGCTTACTGATCTGGAGAAGCGGTGGTGGCTAGGCGTATCTAGATAATTGACAATTTTTAGTGCAGCGAAAATAACGATTCGTTAAGCATACCGTTACGTTATTTTTGACAGCGGCAGCAAATATCCAGATGAAGTCTTTTTCACTAGTGTCCATTACGCTGATTATCCAGTGATATTTCAAAATTCCGCACATTGACAAGTGACAGACAATTCTGACAGATGTTGCATACACACACAACATACATATAAGTAAATTATTACAACGTTTTTCTTATTTAGAATATTTTATAACAGTTATTGAAAATATTGAATTTTATTTTTATCGCTAAACATTTCTCTTGTTGTAATGGTTCTGCGGTGGAGGATCGTACTTTACTCTCCATCTCTTTTAAGGTCATTGCCGGGAGTGGTTGATGTTTCTGCTCGCCAATAGAGGGCGTGCGGTATGGTCATCTCAGGGAACGGGAATCTATCGAATTTTCGATGTGAGGTTAAAACTTATACTTATTTTTGAAATTTCGTCGACCTTGAATACGAAAGCTGACGTGACTTGGGGCTATTTTCGGTGCTCTCATGTAGCAATTTAGCGGCCACAACCTGCGTTTGTGAAGCAATTTCACACCCAGTGCGGTGTTGCCGGGTTGTGGAGATTTTCATAGAAATTATTTTTATTATTAGAATTTTGTTGTCTGGCCCATTTTTCACCCTGTTGGGAGTTTAGTCGTTGTCGCAGCTACGCCTAAACCATCGAGCTGAGGGAGCTGTCTGCATAAACACTTCGAAATGACCTATAAGTAGGACTCACGTCTATGAGGGGGCTGAAAATTTGAAATGCTCTACAATAACTCCAGTTCCCAAAATAGAACATATTCTAAAAAACGCAGCGATATCGGATAAGGAAATATGTTACCAGACATTGAAAAATTGAGTGTAATATTGAGAATAATACTGAATAAATAGACTCCAAAAATTCTATCAAATATTTCGTAATGGTATTAATTTATAAAGTATATAGAGAGAACGTAAACGACGCGTGTAAGCTGATCGTTTTTACACAGAGAAATATTAAAAATATCAAATTTTATTTTTCAACTATCTGAAAATGGCCAATGGTGTTAGATCAATTTTTACATCAGTGGTGTTTTAAACGAGTTGTATTCATTACTAGTTTTTATCAGAGGTTCTGCGCATACTTAACCTATATTTGAATTACGTTAGACAATTACCCAGAAACATATGTCTATATTATTTTCATAGGTAAAATTACAGCTAGTGGAAAGGATAGCGCGGCTTACTTCGTAATCAATAAATACCGGATGTCTTATAATAATATCATTTTTCTATGTGTACTTCGAATATTTTATTGTCAAAATTTCCGGTCACTAAACGTATCCACATATGTGCACAATAGCTCTAAATATGGTACTTAGTTTTAACAGATTTACACCCAATTAACTATGGAAAATATAACAGGCTTATACAAAGATGTCACTTGCTGATCAGCTGTTTGCATTAGTAGACGTCAAGACGTAATGGATACTCGTGAAATAGACTGAAGCACAGAATGTCTTAAAGACGTTCATTTTATTCACTAATCATATCTGAACGTCTGAGTCATTACAAGATAACTTTGGTGCATGACAAAAATCAAACATGTTTAAGACGTTTTCTTGTGTCTTCTAGAAGAGGTACGAACAGCCTGTTATTTCTCAGAAAATTCTTCCGAACGGAGTTCAACAAACAAGGCTTTAGGTTAAGCACAACATGATATACTTATAGGTATGATCATTTATCAGCAAGTGTTTCAGATGCTCCATTTTTATTTTATTGTTTTGTATATCTTGGCACCTATAATAGGCTCATGATAATGGAATGATTTTTTGCATGCAAGATGAAATGGAGCACCCATTCAGTGCAATTCCGTCATTTTCATACGTTTATACTGACATTAAAATATCATATGCGTATTGTATGTATATATATATATATATATATGAATAAGACTGACCTCCGCTTTTTCTCATTGTGTAAATGGTAAAATATCATGCAGTGCTGATATTAAGGTTTCATTGCTGAGGTCAGTATCAATCATTAATATTAAATGTCGCTTTTAGCCAAACGCCGAATTTGATTCAAAGAAAAGAGAAAAAGATGGAAAATACTGTGGTATTCGAAGGATCCATAATTTTCGCGAATAAAAAAACTTAGGCAATGGACGTCCAAGAAACAATATCTCAATATTAAATACATCATATCAGTATTGTAATATCCAGATTATTGGATATAGGCGGACATCCATCATAGATATCTAATAGACAAGCATTTGATGTATGGTATGTGCGCTTTCTGGGAAGGCTGGTGAGAATATTGTTAGAACATTTAGAAGAGCACATTTTTACAACACGTTTTCTTTGGATATGCTACAGGATTTTGCTAATGCGAATATTCTGTTGCAGTAGAATCTGTGATATTTGCTCCTAATAGGGATTTGTAATATATTCTTAGGACATTACATTCGCACGTGTTTAAAACGTGATGCTGCTATTAGAGGGCATTCTTAGAACATGCATTGCAAATAATTTTGTTTACTGGATAAGCTTAGTTCCTTCGATACCACAGTGACTAAAAGGAATCAGTAAACAAACTCAAAAACATTATAGTTATAACGTAAATATAAAATTATGTATTAGGAAGAGTACTACTAGCTGATATCTACGAGATACAAGAAATGAGGTAAGAGAAAAGAATAGACAGGCAAAAGAAAATAAAATGACCAACTTAGTGGATTGTGTACTTCAGTAAAATGTTTGGGATTGCAATGTTATTGGTCATTACAGAAAGAAACGAGCTGAGCATGCGGTTAACAACCTATACCGTTCAACCAAAGAAAACTCAAACTAAACATTAAACTCAATTAAAGTATATAATTTGAGTAAAAAGCAAATATGCCTAATGCCTATGCTACTGCCTAAATCTAAAAGGTTATTACGGTCAATGGATCGTTTATTATTTTATTTTTATTAGGAGAATAAAGGGTTGACTCATAGCCCAATGATCATATCACACGCATCTTAAAAATCATCCTAGCAGGATTGTGGTACAATGCGTATATCTGGCTTAGCAACGTGACAGAACCTTCGTTTAAACATTAACCATTTACCAAGGCACCTTGAAAATGTCTAGTGAGCCATACACTCTTGTGCAGGAGATATGGATACGAGATGACATTTGGATACTCGCTCTGTATCACCATCTTTTTAACTCCGAGACATCCTTAAGGACTACCTTTACGGTTTGCGATGGGACAGCTCAACAATGTCAGATAGAAATTTGGCTAGAAATATCAAATGCCAAACATTGTTCATTTTAGGATAACTTGGTTAGTATAGTATTGCTAGTAGTAAACAAATGCACGTACTTCCATGAAGCTATGTTTGGCATCATTTTCATCGAAAGCAAAATGCATATTAACGCGGTTTTCCAAAAATCCTGCAAAATTCTATAGTAGATGAAAATTTACATTTACGTTACTCAAGTTGCGTTCCTTAGCATAACGAATATAGGCACTTGCAGAATTAGGCAGTTTAATGAATAAGCTACAAAGATTGGCAGTATTGTATTTTCATATCTACATTCGGTTATAAAATAGAGTCAATTTTCTTGGAGCTGTACTCAGTCCATACGTAAATGTATTTAGCTGAGTACAAAAAAGTTTAGTCCAACTCCTTATGTTCTTGCTATTGAAGTTTTATATCTAGTTTTCTTCAAGAATATGTCAAGAAAACTTGCTTGAAAATAATGACTGAAAACCTATTGTGTTATAGTTTTTTTACAAAGTATGTATTTTAACGAAAATATCAAAATTTTTCCAGTTCCTGCCTATGATAGGATCTGGAATTTTTCGTCATACTAAATAACAATACTCCAGTAACATAAATCATTTTCATTCACTATACAATTTTTGTTAGGCTAGAAGTGTTCCTTCAATGGGCTACATAGTGGTAGAAATGAGCAATTTCAACACTATTTTTACAGTTCTTCCTGCAAAACTTCCTACCATTTTTGATACATTTGCGAATGTCAAATTAAGAGTTGGAATTTTCACACAATAAGATGTGATTTTTGGATCTAATATCGACTTATTTCGGGATAAATGAGCACAGTAATGGAAAATTCATTTAAGTAGTCCACATTGAACAATGCCTCACGCACAAACATTTGCTTTTTGCGGTGTCGTGTATGTTTATTGCGGATATGCTCTTTGCTCCTAAATTGTAAAAGTACCTCTCAACGAGATTAACTCATTTTTGAGTGCTAGTTTTTCATGTATTTTGCATTGAATTAAGTTGCGGCAAATCCGAAGCGTTTATGTCAATTTTCGTTCAAATACTGACAAACATAGCTCCATTGATTTTACCAACGAATTCGAACAAGTTAGAAAGAATCAAGCCTATATGTTTACAATGTACATGTGGATTTTTTCTTTTTTTTTACTTTTGTAATATTTTCATACCCCAGGTGAGGTAATCTAACTGCAACGTTGCCAAGTTGTGCTTGGTTATAGCTCGGTAGTTTTAGATATTCTCAAAGTTCGGAATGTATTAAAAAATGTTTATTTTCGTCTCGAAACAGAACAATGTTATTCGGTATAATCCAATAGTGGATGACACGATCGTCATGAAGAAAAAAATGGCACGTTTTAGACGATCTGCTTGCACGCACTTACTTTTACAATTTTTTCATACCAACAATACCTCGTCTAACAATATTCCATTAGTTGGGGTAATCTAATTGCAACGTTGCCAAGTTGTGCTTGGGTATAGCTCGGTAGATTTAGATATTCTCAAAGAACGGAATATATCCGAAACTGTTTATTTTCGTGTCAAAAAAGGACAATGCCATTCGGTATGATCCAATGATGGATGAAACGATCGTCATGAAGCCGAAAATGGCACGTTTTAGACGATCTAGCACGCACTTGTTATTGCAATATTTTCATACCTACAATAACCTGCCCAACAGAGGTCGAGAATCTTGCGAAAGGAAAATGAGGGTAAGTGTGCTGTTAAAAGGAAATTATAGTAATAAATTTTACGACACTCAACAAAAAAAAAAACATACGAATACGCTTAAGCAAGTGTGAAAGAGCGTTCCAAAAGCATACAAACGCACTACAACACTTTGGAACACTTGAATCGAAAGCATGAAATAATCTAAAGCAAAGAGGGTCATGTTTCGAAAAGTAGCATTTTGTCAAGGAATCTATAAAATCGAAACTTTCGATTGGAAAGGAATAAAGGAATAGAAAATGACGTGTTCCAAATGTCCGATGTCTGGGCTTTGTGATGCAAAAATCGCCAGGTCCGTAGCTCCGTTATCTTCGGAGGAGATAGAATTCGAATATCGAAAAGCACGTTCGCGACCTAAAAAGGCCAATTTTCCAACGTTTGAAATTTTTTTATTTGAAATCGGTACCCTAAACGGAAAAATTTATTTCGGTAATTTATAGTACCCGTCGAATTGTACAAAATGCGCTATGTGAAATTTCTTTTCTCTTTGCTGTAGAAAAGTTTTAGGCTTTAAAAAAAATCAGTATCAGGTTTTTTGTTTTGAAAATTTCTAGAAAAAAAAACTAAGATGCGGATCAAAAGCGGGCCAGGAAAATACGAAACGCATATCATTTAGATATCTAAAGCGATCGATCTCGAGTCGATATTTTGAGAAATGACGGAACAGTGGCGGAAATCGTTTTCGATTGTATTTCGTCCTCGTACCGCGATAGTTCGTAGTCGCTTGTAATAATATTAAGCAGTGTTCTAATTCAAAAATGTTTAAGATGAACTTAAGAAATCACTTTATGAATACCTAAAATGTAATTTCAATAGGCAAGAATATAAATATACAGTAAACTGATTAAAAAAATGTGTAGGCGAATAATTATATAAAATTGCCATTGTAGCATTAATGCCAAATTAATCTTCACAAAAAAAGATCCTAGACTTGCTCCTTCTACCTAGTCTGAATTCGTTGGGTTGTAGCGCATCTTAGAAAAATACATATTATTCTATCAATTCAACACAAACTAACTAGCATGGTGCTAGGTTATAGCGGATATTATACCATACCTTTTTTCTGCCTATGATACTTATGGATTCTGTGTAAATGTCCATAGTCTGGAGGATCTTCCGTAGAGTCGCTGGCGACGCTCCCACCACAAGATGAGGTCGGAGACGAGTCGCTCGATACGGACGCCATCATTACGTCTAACAGATTTGCTCGAGCCTAAAAGTATATCCAAATTGAGTAAATCCGTAAGATCGGATGGTTGCTATGAAGCGGAATCTTTTATGGTGCTTAAGTGAAATATTCGAGCACCAAGTACTTATGGCCGTTTGCAAAGAAAATGACTTGCTTGGATGCCTTCTATTATTGTATTATTGTAGCACAAACGTAGCACATCAGCATGTCGAATTTTTCTTCATTGCTAAAATGGCCGTCTGGCAGCTTTGACGATAATAAAGGAATATTAACGATACATTTGCTTCCACCACGACGCAGTTTTCCTTATAACCAAGAAAATAATAGTTTGATTTGCTATTAAAGCATATTTTTTTAGTTTTCTCGAACTACAATTTATTGTTTGTACATACCTTCGGGTCGGTGAGATCAATATCCTTTTCAACATGCACCCATCCGGTGGGCTTGCAGGCCTGGTCCAACTTCTCGACGTGTCCCTCTTCTTGACTAGCAGCACTCTCCTCGCCGCTCTTTATCATCCTGTTCAGTTCGTCGATGACATCCTTCGAAGTGGCCCTTTCGTGGAAGCTGACCGCGCGATGTGGAGGCCCCTCGATGATGTTGCTCAGCACACCTGACGTGCTTTGGGGCAACTTCTCGGAGGTGATGATGTGTTGCGGCGGGACCGGTTGCTGTTGAACGTGGACGATTTTCTGGCGGATAATAAGAAGATATTATCTATCTAAAGTATCAGTACGGATTTAAAGGAGCTGCATTCAAAATTTTACAGAACTAATCAATTGACAGAAGTCAAAAAACCAAAACTGGATGTACAATATCTAGCTCAGAAAATATTTCTCTTGGTGTACCGCAGGGTACTAAACTAGGTCCACACTATTCACTGTATACATTAATGACATTTGTGATACTTTAAACTATTGTAAATTCAGATATTTGTGGACGATGTGTTAACATACGTGTACGTATCAGATAAAAATATAGACACTGCTTTAAAGATTCTAAATTCTGGCTAAAGAAACTAAAATTGATTGCTTCTAAAAGAAAATGTATATTAATAGGAAAATACGTGAATGAAAAAAATGGCACGTTTTAGACGATCTGCTTGCACGCACTTACTTTTACAATTTTTTCATACCAACAATACCCCGTCTAACAATGTTCCATTAGTTGGGGTAATCTAATTGCAACGTTGCCAAGTTGTGCTTGGGTATAGCTCGGTAGATTTAGATATTCTCAAAGAACGGAATATATTCGAAACTGTTTATTTTCGTGTCAAAAAAGGACAATGCTATTCGGTATGATCCAATGATGGATGAAACGATCATCATGAAGCCGAAAATGGCACGTTTTAGACGATCTGCTTGCACGCACTTACTTTTACAATTTTTTCATACCAACAATACCCCGTCTAACAATATTCCATTAGTTGGGGTAATCTAATTGCAACGTTGCCAAGTTGTGCTTGGGTATATCTCGGTAGATTTAGATATTCTCAAAGAACGGAATATATTCGAAACTGTTTATTTTCGTGTCAAAAGAGGACAATGCTATCCGGTATGATCCAATGATGGATGAAACGATCATCATGAAGCCGAAAATGGCACGTTTTAGACGATCTGATAGCACGCACTTATTATTGCAATATTTTCATACCTACAATAACCTGCCCAACAGAGGTCGAGAATCTTGCGAAAGGAAAATGAGGGTAAGTGTGCTGTTAAAGGGAAATTATAGTAATAAATTTTACGACACTCTGCATTTTTTCTCAAAACAAAAAAAACATACGAATACGCTTAAAGCAAGTGTGAAAGAGCGTTTCAAAAGCATACAAACGCACTATAATACTTTGGAAAGCTTGAATCGAAAGTATCAAATAATCTAAAGCAAAGAGCGACATGTTTCGAAAAGTAGCATTTTGTCAAGGAATTTATAAAATCGAAACCTTCGAACGGAAAGGAATAAAGGAATAGAAAAAGACGTGTTCTAAACGGTCCACACTATTCACTGTATACATTAATGACATTTGTGATATTTTAAACTATTGTAAATTCAGATATTTGTGGATGATGCGTTAACATACGTGTACGTATCAGATAAAAATATAGACACCGCTTTAAAGATTCTAAATTCTGGCTAAAGAAACTAAAATTGATTGCTTCTAAAAGAAAATGTATACTGATAGGAAAATACTTGAATGAATGTTAAATACTTTGGTTGATATATTCATAGTAAACTAAAGTTTGAGGATCGCTATGAATAGATTATTTCAAAAATGGCCAGACAGACTGATTTTTTTTATTTGTATATTTAAAATGAAAAATCACATTTTGAATTGGATAATCATTACCACAATTATTATGAAAGAGGTAATATAGATTGTAATAGTAAAGTAACTAGCAAATCGAAATTTTACAAGGCATTGCTTGTACTTAAAAAACTAAAGATGATATAAAATCTACTTGATGTTTAAAAGAAATTAAAGGAACACTTCACGGACATTGGAAATTCTTGGAGATGCAAATTTTACTTTTTCTGAATATTTGTATGTTATGTAATTGTTCTAGTTTTTTAAAAGTATGTAATTGTAGCAATCATAAATTTCAAACAAACAAACAAACATTGTTGACATCTGTAATTAGTGTATTGATTTTGGAAATACTGATAACCGATGGCGCATTTCATCAACACAACCGAGATTTGAGTAAAAACAAAAACCACACTGAGTTTTTAGAATATTGCTTTAATTATGAAAATATATTTATTAAGTATACGATATAAATCTAAAGTATTTACCAGTTGTTTTTTGTAGAATGCTGACGAAATGCACAGAACACGTATAATTGTAAAGAATGGCAAACGAATAAATGACTTCAAATCGACTGTGTCATAGCATGTATTGTACAGATTAAGGGTCAGACAAATTCATATGAAATGAATAATAATGCGTTATCATTGCCAATGCTGTGAAACAGAAATAAATTTATCAACAATGGTTTATTGATTGAGGACAATATATACTTAGCGATTAAAAGTTCAACATTATCAGGATTTTGGAAATATCTTCGAAATGTTTGTCGTGCGGTCACTCAACTGATGAATAAATTTAGACGCTTGCGTCGCCGATAACATGACGTTGCTTGCTATATGAAACAAACCATTTCAATGTAACATCTCAAACTCAAACTTGTGGTTGTAACGCTGATAACTCTCAGTGATGATAATGTATTTATTTCCAACAGGTATACGTCCTGTCACAGGAAATTTGGTGAAACTAAAAAAAGGAATGTCTATATACCATATACAAGTATATACATATATATATATATAGGTGAAAAATTAAAGCTTCCGCCTTTTGTTGGGTACTTCGACAAAATTTAAGCAAAGAGGACTCTTTATACTTTTTTAATTCTCTCTAGCTTTCAATGGACTTTGCCATCATCATCAGGAGCTGCAATTACAATGATAACAGTAGCAACAAAAGTGTAAAATGAATTTAAATTGACTCAACTTACAGTAGTATGTGAGGATGTTACTAATTGTTGTTTACGTATAGGATGAGGGAAACGTCCAGTAACATGGTGAGAGCTGGATAGATGGTACAATGGTCAAAATTATATAAAATATGACAAGAACAAGTTAAAAACAGATTAAAAATTATTTAAAAACATTAGAGCATTACATCGTGAAGCCACTTGATGATTGCACAAAATGGTGGTCATGGAATAATGAGTGAGATGAACCCTTTGACAGAAGGCCGAAGGTTGTCAATGTCTGCGTTGAAAGATGGAACGAATTGTGGGCGTGTGCCAACGTTGCCAAATCACTTCAGATGATGTGATTTTCAGAATGTTATGTAAGAAATTGTTAAACCGACCAGAGGCAGTTGACAATTTCTTACATAACATTCTGAAAATCACATCATCTGAAGTAATTTGGCAACGTCGGCACACGCCCACAATTCGTTCCATCTTTCAACACAAACATTGAGAACCTTCGGCCTTCTGTCAAAGGGTTCACCTCACTCATTATTCCATGACCACCATTTTGTGCAATCATTAAGTGGCTTCACGATGTAATGCTCTAATGTTTTTAAATAATTTTTAATCTGTTTTTAACTTGTTCTTGTCATATTTTATATAATTTTGACCATTGTACCATCTATCCAGCTCTCACCATGTCACTGGACGTTTCAATCATCCTATACGTAAACAACAATTAGCAACATCCTCACATACTACTGTAAGTTGAGTCAATTTAAATTCATTTTACACTTTTGTTGTTACTGTTATCATTGTAATTGCAGCTCCTGATGATGATGGCAAAGTCCATTGAAAGCTAGAGAGAATTAAAAAAGTATAAAGAGTCCTCTTTGCTTAAATTTTGTCGAAGTACCCAACAAAAGGCGGAAGCTTTAATTTTTCACCTAACTGGTCTAGACGACAATGACCACGTCTCAAGTTATATATATATATATATATATATATATTATCCAAAATATACAGCGTTTTTACAAAAAGTATCGATAATATGTCTTATAAAGAGAAATGTTGTGTAATAAAGTTGCAAGAAGTTATTAGTCTAAAGGTGACCTTGAAGAGGTCAAGATAGTGTAACAAGAATGAGTGATACTACAAGCGACATCTGTTGGGAACCGCGCCAGGCACTCTCCTAAGAGATTGAAGACTGGCCCCGAAGGTTCTGGACTGCCTTATGTGGCGTACCGGAACCTTCTCGAACTAACGAGTACCTGCGATGCGGAATATGTAAGCCGATGGCCGGGAGAGGGAAGCAGAGTTGATGAAAGGCGCGACACAATAATTCGTAAATAAGTAGTCAGACATAAATAATGGTGTACATTAATGTTCTAGCTAGGTAAGTTAAAGTAAGTTGTGTTGTGTTCTAAATAAATTAGTGCATTTCTTCTAGTGGAATCGAGTGTTTTAATCCACACCCAAAGGAACCTAGAAAAATGCTACAATAGTTTTCTTAAATGAAAATATTTATTTTTGACGCAAGAAATAGCGAAAGCAAGAAAAAATTTAGTGGAATGGCATATTAAATGCCGTTTTTTCTTTTAAGCAGAACTCATCGGTTAGTAGAATTTAATCACTATAGAATTACCGAAAAAAATAAATAGGGTGCATACTATTAATTTTCCCTTTTATATATAACATTTGTTGTTTTTTTTTTCTGCAAAATTTTAATAAGTCAGCGCGTTGCACTTGATAAAAAAATACAAGGTAATAAAAGTTCCCAAAACATCTATGGTTCAATTTTAAGCAATACCTTGTAAAATTGCAGTGAAACCATAGCCATTGAAATTTTAAGATTTGTGTCACATAAACTGCTAAAAATAAGATATTTGAATAATAATTCTTCCCCATTTTTTATGTGGTTCAACCATTTCGTTTACAGCAAATGAAAACTAATTTTCAAAATTGGTTCTACAAAATAGCTATGAAAATCATTTTAAATAAAAATATCCTGAGATTAAGTCTATGTTAGAAGAGCTACAGTGGTTGAATGCAAAAAATTATGTTATTCAATTCTCAATTTCATATTCAAATTAAATAATCATTATCATAACTACGAAACTAGAGGCAATATAGATTCACATCCTCAAAATTGCAATAGTAGCACAACTAGAATGTGTTGTAGCGTTTTACTGGATTCTTTTGGGTGTGGATTAAAACACTGGATTCCACAAAAAGAAATGCATCAATTTATTTAACTTGATAGAACATTTATATACACCACTATTTGTCTGACTAATTCTTATGTCGCCATTGACTGCACTATACTCCACTCCGATCTACTACTCTACCCTATTCAGTACTCTGCTTCCATCTCCCGGTCGCCGAGTTATATACAGGGTGACTTTGAAGTTGAGTCATTAATTTTCAGATAATGATTGTAGAAGGAAGATAAACCAAAATATGTGTGTAAAAATAAAAAAAAATTAAAAAAAAAATGTTACCTTGTTTTATAAAGTATCCTCCCGACAAGTATTTCAGTGCGGACCTGTGCGCCCAAAAGCATGTCACAAAAACTGTTCGATATAATTTCCGTTTTGCTCGACGCACAGCTGGGCGCGTCTTAGCCATGTCTCTTTACAAGCACGCAATAAAATCACTGGTTGATTTCTGATCACTGTACTCATTTCCTCAATTCGAGCACGTAATTCTTCGCGTGTATTAACCGGTGTTTTATACACTAGAGTTTTTAGCCAACCCCACAAACAAAAGTCTAAAGGATTTAAGTCCGGAGACCTTGGCGGCCAAGGTACAAAACCGCCACGGCCGATCCAACGATTATTAAATTGTCTATTTAAAAATTCACGCACATTTCTTGCATAATGGGGTGGTGCCCCATCTTGTAAAAACCACATGTTTTGTCTAATATTTAAAGGCACATCTTCCAGTAAACCAGGCAAATTGTGTTGCAAGAAATCAAAATAATTTTCACCAGTTAAGCGATTTGGTAATTCAAAAGGCCCCACTAAAATTCCATTAACAATTCCCGCCCAAAGGTTGATTGGTTCAAATCGCTGTTGAAAATTGGTTTCCCTTATTTCATGGGGATTTTCAATAGCCCAAACGTGAGAATTACGTGAATTAATAATTCCGTTTCTAGTAAAGAGGGCTTCATCACTCACTAAAATTTGATTTAAAAAATTGTCATCATTTTGATGTTTATTTAAAAGCCAATTGCAAAAGTCAACCCTTTGTTCATGATCTTCCGGTTGTAAGGCCTGCACTTTTTGTATGTGAAACGGATAGAACTGATTTTCACGTAGAGTTTTCCAAGTTTTATACTGACTAATCGCCAATTGAGTTGAAATTTGTCGGGTGCTTACTGTTGGATCATCACTTACTAATTCTAAAATTTGTTCTTCTAGTTCTATTTGATCGCACCGGCATGATCTCCTCTGTGAGGTCTTAAGTCACCTGATTCACGAGCTCTTTGCACTACATTAACAAAGGCACGAGGGGTTGGTTGCACTCGATTGGGAAACCGATCCGCATAGATCCGTGATGCCGCGGCAGCATTTTGTAAATAAGAACCATGTCCACAAGTTCAGCATTTTCGTAAACATGTGCCATTTTTGATTTGAGCCTCGCAACAGACACGATTATTCACTTACGCGTTACCGACTACCGACTGATACTGACTGTATACAACTGAAGAAAATAATTGTAAAAAGATCGTTCCAAATTCTTTCGCTTTTTTGTTTCCGATGCGATGAACGGATAAGGCGGGTTATATCTGTTGTTGCCAAACACGAGAACATAATATCATTATTGAGACAGGGCGGTACTCAAACTGCCAAAGGGCTATAACTTTGTTACTTTAATTTTACCAGAAAAATGGTAAAGGAAAAAAACATTTCTTTTGATCAGATCTACTCACTGTTAAAATAAATGACTCAACTTCGAAGTCACCCTGTATAGTCCCAAATGCTGCTTCGAGAAAGGTCTGGTGAACCACAAAGAATATTGGAGGTCACTTCGCGTCGATCTATAAGGTGAGTCACTGCCGCGGTCCTCACAGACGCCGCCAGGCGGCTTGTGCGATCGTGGTTCGCGTACAAGCAGAGATCGGCCATGAAGCTCTGGCGAGTAGGAGACTCGCCCAACAGATGGCGCCGACAGTACTATTTGTCACAATATGTATTTCAAAGGGAGTATTTGAATCTAATAAATTGAATAATAATAATATCAAACAGTGTTCGAATCTAAAAACGTTAGAGGTGAAGTTAAAAAATCTCTTTATGGATATCCAAAATGCAGAGTGATGATATTTTAATAGATAAGAATGTAAAATTATAGAAAATTGTTTAAAAAAATGTGTAAACGAATAATTATACAAAATTGACATCGTAGCATTAATGCTAAATAAATCTTCAACATACAAACAAGTAAGACCTAAAAAACTAAAAGAGGCGCAATCTGAATTTCTGTATGCAGAGTGCTGTCACCAGCAAAGTTGTGCATCAGACTGATCGTACAGGAAATAAGGTGGTTGTAGGAGGAACAATTTCAGAGCCAAGACTTCCCTGGGGCTAATCACGCCGCGATGTTCGAGGTATACCAGAAGCACCCGATTTATGCACCTCTATCACCTTACTTATAACAGAAAGCAGAACTATACTCATGTAGTTGTAAGGGTCTTAGAACCTTTTTTTTTGGGACGGGTTGCACATGAACAAATTACCAGTTTTCTGGGAAAGGGCCCCGTTTAATAACATGCTTACCTTCAATTTGGATTTGTTGCTCTTGTACGGTATTTTGCTTTTTGGTATCTTCGTTTCCTGCAGGTTCTCCTTATTATTGTTATTATTCACAGCGATCACTCTGGCAGGACTGATTGGAATCCTCGAGTTCGCTTTCCGTCTCGGTATTTTAGACACCGTCGTATCGGGCGTGCTAACACTGGAAGTCACCGATTCACTTGTACAAATATCACTAAAAGCAGTATCACTCGATTTCGTTAAATCACTATTCGTCGTCACTATATTCTCACTATCTACATGTTTGTCGGTGATTTTATCACTATCCTGCAGTCCAGTACTTTGGTAATCCACCGAGGTTAGTTCTACGTTTACGCTACTGCAAATGTCCACAGGGTGTTCGCTAATGTTCGAGCAATTTTCGCTTTCGACGTCTATGGGCGTCACTAAACACACTTCTTCGGCATAGGCGATATTCTGCTTGATATTTTCCTCGATTAAGTCCTGAAAGAAACATTATCATGAAGTTATGTTTGAGGAATCATTGAAAAAAAACCGGATGGGCTTTATGGTCTTTCATGAACCACTTGTCACATTGTCGCATCAAGTGGTTCATGATGTAATGTTTACCTTTCGTTTTAAATATTTTTAATCTGTTTTAATTTGTTCTTGACATACAGCTGTGTGTAGTTTCTATAATTTTGACTAATGTACCATGTTTCCCTCATCTTCAACGTAAATAACATTTAGCAACATCCTCACATACTACTCTCCTGATGATGATGGCAAAGACCATTGAAAGCTAGAGAGATTAAAAAAGTATAAAGAGCCCTCCTTGCTTAAATTTTGTCGAAGTACCCAACAAAAGACGGAAGCTTTAGTTTTTATATATATATATATATAGCACATAAGCATTTGGACACTGCTTTAGAACTGTTAAATAGTGATATTGAAAAAATGATAAATTGGCTAAATGTCAATAAATTTAAATTAAACACTAATGAAACAAAATGTATGTCAATAGGGAAACATTTAGGTGACCAATTATGCTCATGATTAATGATGAAAAAACTGAAGTAGTCGAGTCATTTAAATATCTTGGTATATATGTGGATAGTAAGCTACTGTTTCACGAACAGTATGAATACATTATTTCAAAAATATCGAAAAAGATAAATTACTTCTATAGAGTTTCCCATAATCTTAGTATGTATTCCAAAAAAATTGTGTATAACACTATAATTCTTCCCCATTTTTTATATTGTTCAACCATCTTGATTACAGCAAAATTACAAATGCTACAAAATAAAGCTATGAGAATCATTTTAAATAAAAACAAATATAATAAGATTAAATCTATGTTAGAAGAACTGCAGTGGTTGGATGTGAAAAATTTCATATATTATTTAGTACTCGTTTTCATATTCAAATTAAAAAATCATTTATTACCACCCATAGAGAACTTCACAAAATTAAATAGTCATTATTATAACTACGAAACTAGACGCAGTATAAATTTTCATCTGCAAAATTGTAATAGTGTAGCATAACTAGTAAATCTATATTTCAAAAGGGAGTATTTGAATTCAATTGAATAATGATATTAAACAGAGTTGGAATTTAAAAATGTTTAAGGTGAAATTAAAAAATCACTTTATGAATAATCAAAATACATGGTGACGTAATTTTAATTTTAATAGACAAGAATGTAAAATCACAGAAAATGGATTGAAGAAAAATATGTAAACGAATCATTTATACAAAATTGACATTGTAGCATTAATGCAATAAAACAATAATGAAACAAATGGGACCAACAGAAAAAAATACTGAGTATCAAGTAAATATGTTCATACTGTTCGGATCGTGATATGACAAGAAAACAATTTACAAAATATATAGTATATAGCAAATATGTTTACAAGTTTTTTATCAAAATTCAATAAATAATTGTGGGTGTTGCATTTAATATGTCACTATAACAATTACGAAAATAAAACGCGCAATAATAATTACTTCTCTGATCTTATCCTTCTCTTTCTCCTTTTCCTTGAGTCCGAACTCCTCGCAAAGCTGCTTCAGCGTGACGTAATTCTCGTCGTGCGCGGGTTTCGAGTCGTTCCTGACGACGTCACCGTCGGCCGTCTTGATTTCTTCAGGTTTCTGTTGCGGCGCTTCGACGTTGAACTCCTTCGTCACTTCGTTGACCGAACAAGGCCGACCGGCGTCTCGGAAATTGACGTACTTCTGTTGCTCGGCAATAAATGTGAGCACGTTCTGCAAAGTCGCCTCTCGATCTCCGTTTTCGCTCAAGGCTCCGCCGAGGCTTCGAGACGAGGTCGAAGCCAGGCTTTTCGTGCTCTCGAACTTGACTAACCTGCAAAGTGGACGAAAACGTCGGGTTAGTCACCGAGTCGAGACATTTTGGAGTATTTATAGTTGGTAATAGGCCGGGCAAAGTCGAAATGTCGTGATTTTGAGGTATTTAAGAAAATGTTGCATACTTTGCAAGGGTTTTCAAGTTATACATGATGTCCACATATACAAGTACCAGGTATTTGAAGGGCTGTGTGGTTTGCTTATTCAACTAGCACGTCATAAATAGTTCGACTGATTATTCCGAAAGTTACTTGTTTGCTTGGACCACAACATTAGTTACTAAAATTGAATGAAACTTTCCAACAAAAATCCGTCATTCTGAAAGGATCGCTTACCTTGAGTGTTAAGTATATCGTTTATGCGCATCGAAAAAAATAAGAGAGGTATATTTAGTACATTAAAAAATATGTAGTAAAATTTTACTTGGCAAACGCAACAGGCGAAAGCGTCTATGACCTTGAAATGATGCCTATGATATTTAATTATATTTTATAGAATATATAATTTATAAGCAAATTGATTTACGTAAAACACAAAAGTGCATACAATATAGCGCCAAAAACATATAAAAGACTAATAAAGACGGGCTAGTCGTCAAAATAAGGAAGGCAACAAGGTTTGGGGTAATATAAAATGTAGCCTTTTAATATGTTAAATTACTGATATACAAAATTTTATCGAGATTATAAAATGCATTTTCCAGTAAGAAATCGTCGTATTACAGACTTAGAGCGTAACATGGAGAGTGCTTTGTTTGAGGATTCATATAGCTTTGGCAACATCGAAAAATCGAACTTTTCCTGGGTTACAGTATTTTCCCACCAGTAGCGCAGAAAGTATATGGGCGTATTTACCTATAAAAATCTCTGGTAAAGTCCGTTCCTATGGCAGGTAATTCTCCGGTATCATCACTAGAACCGCTTAAAGCGACGGAAGACCTTTTAGAGCACGTTTCCGGTTCGTGGGAATTGCAATAGTCTGAGCCGGCACTGCTCCAACTGAAACAAAAAAAAAAAAATGCAAAAATTTTCAATAAAAACCACTCTCGTACGTGTACTTGAAATTGTCCCTCAGGGTTCGGTCCTTGGACCAATCCATTTGTAGTATAGTAAGAGCATACTGTATAATATATTGTCATTAGAAACTTGTTAGGCATTGCAATAAAAATATAGGGTATTAGGGAAATAATATTCTTAACTTTAAGAGGTGATTCCTTGCATTATTCTAAGCAAAAAAGTTCATTATAACTTATGTCCGAAAATCAATCGTTTTCGGGGAAAGTGAGTCGTAAATAATTAAATTTTCTCAAACATTTGGCAACGCTGCAACGCAACCGCGATACGAGCGCACGACGACGGCAACTGATTCATCGAATTGTTTACGTTTGAATGATATTTTTGTTGAAAATATGCCTTGAATTATTGAATACCTTTACCCATTTTTTGTGGCTAATATTTTTTATTTAATAACGCTTTCTGCACAGTACATTTACCAATTAATTCCCATGATTATGAGTCGCTCATTTTAAACGATGCGATGCACGAAAACAGAAAAAAAAACATCATCCTTAAATCACATAAAGTTACAGTTGATTGCATTAGTAATCGCAACAACACGCGATGATACATGCAGTGCAGACGGAGTACGACGTTGCCAGTTGTCGGAGGGATTTCGTTTGTCTGTTTTTCTTCGGAAAATTGTATTTAATAAGCAAGAAAATTATTTTGTTAGAGACAGTTAATAAATAGATGTGTTGATACATTTTACGCTATTAGGCATATATGAATTTAAATTATTAAGGTGCAAAATTAATTTAGTTCATGACTAAAAAGAAATAAGTACAGCATTTTTTTGCTCCGAAATGGTTGATTTTCGGATATAGGTTATAATGAACTTTTTTGCTTGGAATAATGTAAACAATCACCTCTTAAAGTTACGAATATTATTTCCCTGACTCAGTGTATACATTTATAGACAAAAAAATAATCATCCTGAAGCCAAGTTGTGTTACTAAGGGCGCAAAACCCCGAAATAAATAAATCTATTACACCTTACTCTGTGCACATCCATGACGTTCCTAGCCCCAACCACTGCCCGGATAGCACGAAATATTCATAAAATATTTATTCAATATTTAATAATATTTTTATCTTACCTAAATATTTGTTTTCTTAAACAAATATTTAATAAAGATTTGTAATATAATATTTTTATTAAATATTCACTCAGTATCTTTTAAATATTTTAAATACAATATCTCTTTTATAATATTCATTTAATATTTACTTTTCAACCAATGGAAAATATTAAATCTCCAATATTTAGAAAATATTCCTTTAATATTTTCGGCTACGGCGCATATGCGTGTGACGCGGAGCGACCAATGGCATAATAGAAAGCCGGCCTGAACCTGCGCAGACCCGTCTGCCGGCATCCATTTTGCCTGTGAGTTTCACTATGATAGCGTGCTTCTCCTCCAAGTGATTGAGTGTTTTTTTTTTGTGGAAAAGAGAAAAGGGTAAGTTTTTCGATAATTATATAGGTTAATTTATCTGGATAGTACACATAATTGTGCCAGTTGAGTATAAAGCTGCTTTTCAGTGGCCCAGTTGAGCTACTCGGAGTAACCCATCATGCTCAGCACCAATATTGTTCCACTGCATTTTGTATTCCCGTAAATACACTGGAAAGCAGGTTATGCATTCAATAATACTTCATAATTAGTAAGTTTTTTTTCAGAGGAGTGGACTTGCAAGATGCAGAAAAGTCTTAGAATGTTTTTTTAATAATATTTTTCTAGCAAATTAAACCATTATATCTAGAAAGAATTTTCTTTATAAAGCTAATTTTATATAAGCATTCCTACAGATTTTGCTAAAATAACCAATGATGAATTTTCTATATACACTGAAAATATTAATAGAGCTTGAAAATCCATACATATTTATGAAAAATATTAGATATTTCATCAAAATATAAAACTGATATTTAAAAATCTTTCCTCATATATTTTCTAAATATTTTTGGACAAAATGTCGCAAAAATATATGAATTATATATACTACAAATATCTATAATGAATATTTTATAAATATATAAGAAATATATTTATTAAATATTAAAAAATGTCGCTACAAATATTTAACAAACATTTTTTAAAAATATTTAATATTATCGGGGTGGAGAAAATATCGTTAAAATATATGAATTATATATACTACAAATATCTATAATGAATATTTTATAAATATATAAGAAATATATTTATTAAATATTAAAAAATGTGATGCTACAAAGATTTAACAAACATTTTTTAAAAATATTTAATATTATCGGGGTGGAGAAAATATCGCAAAAATATATGAATTATATATACGACAAATATCTATAATGAATATTTTATAAATATATAAGAAATATATTTATTAAATATTAAATAATGTGTCGCGACAAATATTTAACAAACATTTTTTTAAAATATTTAATGCTATCGGGGTGTAGTCTTTTGTTACACTGAAGGCATTATTATAACATAAATGTGTAAGAAATATGAGAATACCTGTTATCAGGCGACTGCTGTTGATGCGCATCTGCTTCCCTGTCGTTCGCGTACGGCCACTGTTTTTCGTTGGGAGAGTCCATGAGAAATGTGACTATATCTCTCCCGTCTTTGTCGACCATGTAGCTGGAATTATTCCAAAGACATTCATTTGCATCCTCTTCTAATTCCAACGCGTTGTTTTCTTGGATACTCGGCAAGGTCGAGATGGAAATCTGTGACGGAAAATATAAATAGGATTGCTGTTCCATATTCAGAATCATTCCGAATTTGATGGTTCAACGTTATTTATGGAGTGTTACAAAAGTTATTCCAAGGATCAACATACAAGTTGACTCATTTATTTCAACTGCTTTTAGGAGTCGTCAAAAGGAGTCGATATACCAAGAATCACCCATATAAAAGTTGCATAATAAAATAAATAGTAAAAGATTTAATATTGTATGGACCCATTTCTTGGCCTGCTCGCTCTCCGGATTTAACGTCTAGCGATTTTCTTCTGCGTGGCTATTTGAAATAGTTGATGTGTCATGATCTGGAAGAACTTTAACAGCGCACAGAAAATGCTTTTGATTTAATTCGTGTAGGCAAGATTTTTTTTTTGGAAGCTCGTAAAGAGTCGAGGGTTTTTGTTAATCGAACAAATGCAGACAATTTTGAACAATTTTTGTAAAAACATGTGATGATGTGATTATACGATTTTCGGTTTACTGCGACGACATGCTTACAACTTGTGTCAAGTAGATTGACTGCAAGTTTTCCTACAATGCTGTCGACTCACTTGTACTTACTTTTCAGTTGAATCCTAGCATAAGCTAACCGTAAAAACTCACCATGTAGATACTACAACAGCTGCCCTTTGTATCAATTCCTACCTGCCCAGGCGTCGTGACGTCCATCTTCTTCCATTGCTCCCTGAGGTCATCGTTGGACAGACTCAAGCTCCAATCCTCCAATTCGGCTCGATCGTACTCCAACTCCAGCATGTCCCTGTGTTGCTGCTGCAGCGCCGATCTTGTTTCGTCCAATCGGAGCCAGTGTTGGATATATTCTGCGTCCCACGTGGTGCACTCCAGCCGATCATCCGTCGTGCTGGACCAGGAGAGTTGGGACGTTCTGTCTTCTGGATATATCTCTAGATTGGCATTGCCTGCAAGCGAATGAAGGATGATACGGCTGCAATGTGAATTTTGGATGTGGGTTATTTTGAAATAAGATTGTGACAGTATGATGACAAAGAAGACACTGTTTTTAGCTAGTTGCTGGTGCAACATTGTCGCAGCTCTGTTGTTGAAGCAGTACCTCAGCATAACTATAGATCATGGATATGTTTCGTTAGAAGAAATTAGCATAATGGACTGGAAATATTTTTTCGAGGAGCTTATTATACTTACCCCATAAAGTATTTGTGCCTCTGGTTCTCCTGAGTGGGTTGACGGACTTCTCAGTGATGTCGACGAGAAAAATGGAAGGAGTACTTGATATTGGCGAACTAAACGTATAGCAAGGCGATGGAGCTGTCGTTATTTTTATACAGAGATGGGAATCGGAAAAACTTCTCATTATATGCTGAAAAGGCAGGATGTCTTTGCTTGGAGGAAAACTATTTCTGGAAAGAAAAACAAAATTACAGAATACACATTGGCCCTGCTCTGTTTTGAACACGATTTTACCGAACCTTTCAACCTAATTTTCACCAATTTCAAAAAGTCTGATTAACTTTAAAATCTGAATTTGGAGGTAAAAAAATGCATTTCGAAATTTGGAAAAATGGATTTGAAAATTTGGAAAATAATTGGAAAATTCAGAAATTTGAAAATAATTTGAATATTTGGAAATTTTGAAAAAATGAAAATTTTTAAAAACGTTTTAAAATTTCGAAATTTGAAAAATAATTGGAAAATTCAGAAATTTGAAAATAATTTGAATATTTGGAAGATTTGAATAGAAAATTTTGAAAAAACGAGAATTTTGAATTTTTTTTTGGAAAATTCAGAAATAAGAAAATAATTTGAAGATTTGAAAATTTTGAAGAGAAGAAAATTTTGGAAAACATTGAGGATTTCGAAATTTGAAAAATAACTGAAAATTCAGAAACTTGAAAATAATTTGACTATTTGAATATTTCGAAAAAATTTAAATTTTAAAAAAAAAGAAAATTTCGAAATTTAAAGATTAAAAAATTGCATTTCGAAATTTGGAAAAATGGATTTGAAAATTTGGAAAATAATTGGAAAATTCAGAAATTTGAAAGTAATTTGAAGATTTGAAAATTTATCAAAAATGAAAATTTAGAAAAACGTTTTAAAATTTCGAAATTTGAAAAATAATGGGAAAATTCAGAAATTTGAAAATAATTTGAATATTTGGAACATTTGAAGAATAGAAAATTTTGAAAAAATGAGAATTTTTAAATTTTAAAATAATTTGAAGATTTGGAAATTTTAAAGATAAGAGAATTTAGAAAAACATTTGAGAATTTCGAAACTTGAAAAATAATTGGAAAGTTCAGAAATTTGAAAATAATTTGAATATTACATTTGAAGAATGGAAAATTAAAAAGAAAGAGAATTTTGAAATTGAAAAATAATTGGAAAATTCAGGATTTTGAAAATAATTTGAATATTTGCAAGATATGAAGAATAGAAAATGAAAAAATGGGTATTTTGAAATTTGAAAAATAATTGGAAAATTCAGAAATTTAAAAATAATTTGAAGATTTGGAAATGTAGAAGCAAAGAAAATTTTGAAAAACATTTCAGAACTTCGAAATTTGAAAAATAATTGGAAAATTCAGAAATTTGAAAATAATTTGACGATCTGAATATTTCGACAAAATGAAAATTTTAAAAATATTGCAAATTTCGAAATTTAAAGATTAAAAAAATGCATTTCGGAATTTGGAAAAATAGATATGAAAATTTGGAAAATAATTGGAAAATTCGGAAATTTGAAGATTTGAAAATTTTTAAAAAATGATAATTTTGAAAAACATTTCAGAACTTCGAAATTTGAAAAATAATTGGAAAATTCAGAAATTTGAAAATAATTTGACGATCTGAATATTTCGACAAAATGAAAATTTTAAAAACATTGCAAATTTCGAAATTTGAAGATTAAAAAAATGCATTTCGGAATTTGGAAAAATGGATTTGAAAATTTGGAAAATAATTGGAAAATTCGTAAATTTGAAGATAAGAGAATTTAAAAAAAATGAAAATTTTGACAAACGTTTTAAAATTTGGAAATTCGAAAAATAATTGGAAAATTCAGAAATTGGAAAATAATCTGCATATTTGGAAGAATTGAAGAGTAGAAATGTGAAAATAATTTGAAGATTTAAAATTTTGAAAAAAAGAAAGTTTTGAAAAACATTTGAGAATTTCGAAATTTGAAAAATAATTGGAAAATTCAGAAATTTGAAAACAATTTGACAATTTGCATATTTCGAAAAAAGGAAAATTTTGAAAAGCATTTTAGAATTCCGAAAATGAATTTGAAAACTTGGAAAATAATTGGAAATATCAAAACAATTGAAAATAATTGGAAAATTCAAAAACAATTGAAAATAATTTGAAGATTTGAGAATTTTGAAACAATGAAAACTTTGAAAAACATTTAAAAATTTTGAAAATTTAAAAAATTGGAACAAAACATGACAAAGTTCGAAGCTTTTGATTACAAGTACTCTTGTTGACTCTTGTTCTCCAATACTTGAAAACTATTTTACAGTTTCAGTTCGGTTTGCTATTAAAGCGCGTGTTTTTAGTTTTTTTAAACTATGATTTATTTGAACACAATTGGTTTTGGTCTTCTAGACATATACTTCGAAGTTGAGTCATTTATTTTAACAGTGAGTAGATCTGATCAAAAGAAATGTTTTTTTCCTTTAACATTTTTCTGGTAAATTTAAATTAACAAAGTTATAGCCCTTTAGAAGTTTGAGTACCGCCCTGTCTCAATAATAATATTATGTGCTCGTGTTTGGCAACAACGGATATAATCCGCCTTACCGGTTCATTGCATCGGAAACAAAAAAGCGAAAGAATTTGAAACGTTTATCACGATGTTTTTCGTCAGTCGGTAACGCGTGAGTGAATAGTGGTGTTTGTTGCGTGGCTCAAATGAAATAAAAAATGGCACATGTTTACGAAAATGCTGAACTTGTGAACTTGTGGACATGATTCTTATTTAATCGAGTGCAACCAACCCCTCGTGCCTTTGTTAATGTAGTACAAAGGGCTCGTGAATCAGGTGACTTAAGACCTCACAGAGGAGGGCATGCCGGTGCTCCAAGACCGCACGAACAAATACAGGTCCGCACTGAAATACTTGTCGGGAGGATACTTTATAAAACAAGGTAACATTTTTTTTTAATTTTTACACACATATTTTGATTTATCTTCCTTCTACAATCATTATCTGAAAATTAATGACTCAACTTCAAAGTCACCCTGTATATATATATATATATTATGTACTTGTTGATTTCTAGTATATAATTATGGATTGCCCTAATGAATTTATAATGGATTCTTATAATGAAAGATATACCAGTTATTAAGGATAAAGTTCGATCATGTTTACCTTTGGTTCAGGCTGAGTAAATTAAGCGGAATGTACAAAATATCAGGATCCTTGCTGTCCGTGACTAGAAGCCTCGTGTCCGAGACATCCGTCTCATCGCTCGCCTCTTTCAGATCCTCCAAGCCCCGGCGTGGCAACGTCGCATCTCCAGAGCCTCTCGTCACGTCAGCCTGGACATCGGAGGACATTGTGCTGTACCCTTCGTCGCGATTCCCACTTTCGGGCGACTCGTTGCCCGTCGTTTCTTCTTCAGACTTTGACGTTGATTGAGCTGGAAAAAATCATTTAGTTCAAAACACAAAACGAAGAGTAGATTGGACGAAATGTAATAAATTATAGTTTGAAAGAACACTCCTTAATAGCAAATCGAACTAAAAAGTAGAAAATAATTTTAAAGTATAGGAAAGTTTGTGTTACTGATATTGAAAGTTTAACAATTAAGTATGGCTTATTAATTTGGAAAAAGATGAGAATAAGATATTAAAAAAATATTGAATTGCAGTAAAAAAGCGTGGGTTGCTTTATATTAAATGTTACAATTATTTGCCACGTTCGAAACTTCAGTTACTACGAAAACATAGTTAAATGCACCCCATGTTTTTTTAATTTCAAATTGATTAGTCATGCTTGATTGTTGGACTTTCTATTGTCATTCTCTTCCTGTGCTAGAAAATTATTTTCTGTTTTTGGTTCCATTTGCATTTAAAGCTTGTTTTTTTTGTTTTTTCAAACTATAATTAATTTTCTGATTTTCACTCTAAAAACAACTAATTTAATTTTTTTAAAATTTTTT